AAGATGATTATATAAGGTTAAAAAATCAGTATAAAATAGAATCAATAGAATAGAATGAGAGAAACAGAAGGGAAGAAGAAAAAAGGAAGTAAGAATGATCCGATTAAGAGTGGGTTAGACCTATTTAAATAATTTATATTTAATAGGGAGGAAAAATAATGATACATTTGAAGAATGTGGAGAAAAAGAAAATATAGAACAGAGAGACTGATGAACCGTAAAACTTATGAACAAAGTGAGAAACTGAGAAGAATAACTGGAAGAACAAGAAAAGGATGGAATCTGAAAGGAATATTGGAAAATTAGGGAAATATAAAATATATTCACAGATTAACTGTTGGCGCTGTCATCATAAGGGCAGGGAACAGTCGGAGAATAACAGCACAAGACTACACCAAGTTGTTTCCTTGGGCGACACGTCACACGCCACCACTTTATTTTTCCTTCATTCACCAACATTGCACATGCTCCACAATTTATAGTCACACCCATTAATGACGTCATTGAAGAGCACTCATTAGAATACACATTACAACACCCCCACTTGCTCTTGCACTATACAATCGTCATTCCAATTTTTTTTTTTTTTTTTTTTTTTTGAACATTTAAAACAAGTTATTTTACATTCCAAACATATAATGCATAAATTTTCCCAGTTTTGGCTTTGTGGCAGGTTTGGTAAAAACGTCCGCAACCATATCTGCTGTTGAGCAGTATACAATGTTTATTTTTCCATCATAAAATGCAGATCTGACAAAATGATACTTGATATCAACATGTTTACATCTCTGACGAAATACTGGGTTCTTTGACAAAGCTATTGCTCCTTGATTGTCCTCAAATATTGTAACTGGCATATACATGCAGTCTTTGTCCATTCCACCCAACAACTGTACAAGATACAAACTTTCCTGTGTTGTCGCTGCCAATGCCATATACTCTGCTTCGCATGTAGACAGAGCCACCGTTTGTTGTTTCTTTGACTTCCATGAGATAACTGGTCCATTTTTATTAAGGCTAAAACAATAACCCGTAACGCTTCTCCTGTCACTCTGATCAGTAGCCCAGTCTGCATCGCTATATGCTACGAGCTGAAGTTTCTGCTCGCTCCTCTTAAAGCATAAACTCTTGTCTATTGTCCCTTTTAAGTATCTCAACACATGTTTTGCTGTTACCAAGTTACACTCCCTTGGTTGTGACAAATATTGTGAGAGTTTACTTACAACCCAACTAATATCAGGTCTTGTGCACATCATGAGATATATTAGGCTTCCTATAAGCTCACGATACAATCTTGGGTCTACAAGTTTGCTTTCACTTTCAAAGTTTAACTTCTGTTCACATGGAGTGCATCTAGTACCACATTCAGACATACCAAATTTCTCCAGTATTTTAGTTATGTGCCTTTTCTGGCTAACTTTTATTTCTCCCTCTGTCTGTGTAAAATCAATGCCCAAAAAATGTTTAAGCGGCCCCATATCTCTCATCTTAAACTTTGCTTTCAGCATGTCTTTAACACTGTCCATTAGAGAATCCTCACTTGTTGCTATAATAAGATCATCAACCCAAATGACTAGAATCACTCTATTATTTGCTGTATGTTTTGTATAAACACAGTGATCTGCTTCATTTGGTACAAAACCGTTTTCAGACAAATAATCAGATAACATCTTATTCCAGTTGCGTCCAGATTGTTTTAAACCATACAACGATTTGTTAAGTTTAAGAAACTGTTTTTCACCAAATTCTGAGTCAACCATAAAACCTTCAGGCTGTTCTATATACACCTCACAATCAATAGGAGCGTGTAGATAGGCTGTTTTAACATCCATCTGATGTAATTTCAGATTATACTGAGCTACCATCTGCATCAAGCTGCGTATAGACGTCATGCTAGCTGTTGGTGCAAATGTCTCCCCATAATCTATACCAGCTTCCTGGCTGTAGCCTTTTGCCACATATCTGGCTTTAAAAGTCTCAGCTCCATCTGCATTCTCCTTGATGGTATAAACCCATCTACCCCCCACTGCATTTTTACCATCTGGCAGCGTGGTCAGAGTAAATGTGTTATTTTCCTTCAAGGATTCAACCTCTTCCTCCATAGCTTCTATCCACTTCTCAGATTCAGGTGAAGTCAGGGCCTCTTTAAAACTTTGTGGTGTATTACACACTAAACGATAGCAATAATCAACATTGTCAAAATTTTCCGTGGCAAAATCATCACTCTCTGCCTTACATTCGTAGTCCTTTAAATACAGAGGCACTTTTTTCTCTCTTTTGGAGCGTCGTAGACAATGTTCTTCATCTTGCCTGAGATTTGTGTTCCCCACACTTGAAGGTTCAGCACGCATCTCTTTTGTTCCTTCTGACACCTGCTGTTCTACTTTTAACTCTGACTTAACAGGAACAGTTTTTCTGTAATACTCATCCTCCAACTCCTCTGGTTCAGTCTGAGTTTGGCATTCATTTTCAGGTTTAGTTAGAAATCTGACTAACCTGTGTTTACACACCCTTCCTGTCACTGGATTATAAATCAAATATGATGGGCTGTTTTTATCATAACCAACAAAAACTCCTTCATCACACCTTGGGTCTAACTTTTTCTTATTTTGTTTGTAAGAGTAGCACACTGTTCCAAACTCCTTCATTTTAGAAAGATCAGGTTTCTTGCCTGTCAACATGTAGTACGGCGTTTGCCCCAGACGATTATTAAAACACCTGTTGCGTATAACTGCAGAAGTCATCACAGCATAAGTCCATAATTCTTTAGGCAAATTACTCTGAATCAGCAAACACCTGGCCATCTCAAACAGTGTTCTCCAGCTTCTTTCAGCTGTCCCATTTTGATGGGGAGAATACGGCGCAGATGTTTCATGTCGAATAGCATTTTTACTCAATAAAGACTGATAATCTCTTGACATGAACTCAGTGCCGTTATCTGATCTAATGCACTTTACTTTTCCATAGGGGGCTACATCTGCAATAAACCTTTCAGTAGCTCTGACTGTGTCACTTTTAGCTTTTAGAAAATAGACAAATATTGCACTTGAAAAATCGTCCGTAAATGCAAGTGAATACCTAAATCCTTCTTTTGCAGCAGGCTCAATAGGGCCAGCTAGATCCGTGTGCACTAGCTCAAGGGCCGTTTTAGCTTTTGCATCAGCTTGTCTATTTCTACTCTGGGTAAATTTCCCTTTAATACACGTTTCACAGTCTAGTTTAGTTTTATCAACCTTCCCTTTGATTTTCATACCTTTCACAACATTTTCTAGTTTTAATACATCTTGAAAATTACAGTGACCTAAAATCCTGTGCCACTCTTGAATGTCATAGCAACCCAAAACTTTATCGTCCTCTTTGTCAGCAAAGTCATTTTCATCGAGAACATCAAGGAAATAAAGTCTATTGTACACGTTAATGTCAAACCTGGTTCCATCCTTGCAGATGAGTTGATCATGTCCTTGTTGAAAGTTGACTGAGGCTCCCTTTGCCGTCGCTGCTTTAACAGAGAAGATGCTCTGGGGGTAGGTGGGGATGTACAGCGCCCTCGTTATCGCCACCTTCACGTTCCGTCCCTCGGTGTCTCGCAGCCACACCTCTGCATCGCCTCTCTTCTGTGCCACGCCAGTTGTCCTCGTCCCATCAGCAAGCTCCACGAAGTGTTCCTCCGGTCGGAAGGCATCATCAAACTTTTTAAACTTGCTTAGATCATTAATTATGTGAGACGTTGCACCGGTGTCTACCATCAGTCCTCTTTGTTTCAAGCCGCTCATCTGGCTGTCGCTCATCTTGAAAACAAACGAGTGATCATCCCCTTCGATGGCCCGTTTCACACTTTCTTTCTTCTTTCTTCGACAGTTGCTCTCTTTATGACTGGAGTTTTTACAGAAACTGCACCATTGTCTCTGTGCTTTAAAGTTCGTCGGACATTGTCGCACTTTGTGTCCCTTCTGGCCACAGCTGTAACACGTAAACTCTGGGTTTGTTTTTTGTCTCTGCATCACTTTGCTTGAGAATCCACTGGCTGTCATCACATTATCTTCATCCATGTTAACTTTTAACTTTTCGGTGCTTTCATAATTTCTCAACTTAACTTTGAAGTCACCAAAGGTTAATTTGTCATCATCACTTTGAGTTATGTGAACAACAAATGGCTTAAATGGTTCAGGCAAACCTTTCAAAGTCAGTGCTATCAACAGTCCATCACTCAGCGTCTCTCCAGCATTTCTTAGCGCTGTAATGGCAGTTTCAGCCCGAATAATATAGTCTGTGACAGTCTCGCTGGCAGCTTTCTGGAGGGATGTCAGTTCTGTGTAGAGGCTAATTACCCGCGGCTTTCCTTTGCCCGCATAATGATCTCGCAGGATCTGCAACGCCCTCCTGCCGTCATCTGCCGCCTCTCTCATAACTAGAGACAAGCTCTTGTCATCTAGACACTGGATCAGCTCGGCGTAGGCTTCCTCGTTTTTATCAGAGTCGTCATCTTCATCTTCATCTGCATTCGGCTCCACCTTACGCAGTATTGTTTCTTTCAAGCCGTGCAGCCGGAGATGTCCCAGAAACTTTGCCTCCCACAGCTCATAATTTCTTTCATCTCCATCAAAGCACAATCTTTGCCATCGACTTCCCATCTCCCTCCTGGGCCCATAACCTGTTGGCGCTGTCATCATAAGGGCAGGGAACAGTCGGAGAATAACAGCACAAGACTACACCAAGTTGTTTCCTTGGGCGACACGTCACACGCCACCACTTTATTTTTCCTTCATTCACCAACATTGCACATGCTCCACAATTTATAGTCACACCCATTAATGACGTCATTGAAGAGCACTCATTAGAATACACATTACAACATTAACAAAACATTATTTTTTTATCTACAGAATAAAAAAGTTAAAAAAAATAGACTTAGATGTAAAATAATGTTGCTACACACCCATGGACAGTAGGGGGCGGTATGCAGCTTAAAGCTGCTACGATCCGCCATAATAGAAAACAAGAAGAGAAGAAGAAGCAGTAGAAGAAGAAGTCCACCGCGTGTTTCCGGTTTCCCTCGTAGCGGCGTCAGTTAGCATACAGAGAAAAATGGTTCGAAAATTAAAGTTTCATGAACAGAAGCTGCTGAAGAAGGTGGACTTCATCAACTGGGAGGTGGACAACAACCTGCACGAGGTGAAGGTCCTGCGCAGGTATCACATCGAGAGGCGTGAGGACTACACCAAGTGAGTGACGTCATGGATGCTGCTGCTCTCTGTTTAGCCTCTAATATCTGATCTGTTACATTTTTATGAGGACTTATTTAGTTAAAAAGCTCCTCCGGCAGAAGCCATGAATTATTTACTTAAACTTCTTCCTTTATTTCTACAGAGCAGATTCGCTACAACTTTAGAGACAATTATTTATAATCCGGAAACATTGATTTATCAAAGCTATTATACAGCTCTGTTCTAGTTCTAATCAGCTTATTATTGGAGCTTTAATCGGTACACTTTCATCATGTATGTGGAGATGGTGGAAAGAAAAAAAAGCTTTCTGTTTAGCTAACAGCTTTAGCATCTAAAACGAGAGCGATAATCAGGATTAGTGCTGAAACAATCAGATTAAGCGATTATTGAAATGATAAACAAATGTTCTGTAAGTTTTGGCGATCAGATTATTAATCGATTAATAGAAAAATAATCAACAGGTTAATTGATTTGCAGAATAATTGTTATTTGCAGCCGTAATTAGAATAAACTGTTTGAAATTTGTTTGATTTCACCAGGTTTCTAGCTGATGGTGTGGTAGATCACTGCAGCCCTGTGCATATCTATGTTGTAGCTCTATAGTTGTACTGGTAAACAGATGCTGGAAGCCATGTGGCTCCTGACCAATCAGAGGAAGTCTGATAAACAGCTCAGTAAATAACAAACATTTCTATCTGATTATTCTGGACCTGATGTTTTGCTTTTCCTTCAAACTGAACTAATAAACCTGAAACCGATGTTTCCTTTCTGAGTGACCCGGCTTCACCCCCAGATTCCACGTCCCCCGTCTCTCCGCCACATACGTCCTGCAGAGCGATTGCAAAGTCATGTTAATCTATGAGAGCTGTTCCACATCCTCCGCACGTCTTTTCCGTCCTTCACCGTCAAAATACTTCACCTGATTGTAGCATATCTGTAAAAAACAACAGTATACTATATTTTAAATTAATGCAAATGGATCATAACACATAAGGTCAATAGGCTAGTTCTCAGAAGATGGATACGACTCATGAAACAGCAGACAGAGACTAGAAGTTTGCAGTTGCGAGTGCCTTGTATTTATAGTAAGGAAAGTTTATACATATATATTTACAACATCAGTGAAACATCCAAATGGCCATATAAAATGTGCAAAACAGGAAAAAACAACAACAAAACAATTAAGAGGAAAAAGAAAAACAAAATTAATCAATTCCACAATTAATGAAACCACATCCCTTCAGTCCATTCACCCCAAGCTGGGGTTGATTAAAGGTCCCAAGCAAATTCCTTTTAAAGTGCTTGGTACAGTGCAGGTCATAGACTGACAAAAGTCAGAGCAGACTGGAAACAAAATTGTTCGTTGGCTGCAAGGAGCCTCCTACCAGCCTGGCAGGAGATCCAAAGTCTTTGTGCACCCAAAGTGCAATCTTTCTTGGGCTCTAGGCCTGGACCTTCAGCTCGCCATCAACACCCGGCCTGAATAATGAAACAGGACCATTTTATCAATATATATATATATATAAACAAAACATTCTAGTGTGCACACACATTCAGTAAGTGGTACTCTTTGTACTACAGATAATTCCAAATAGTAATTTTCAATCAATATGCATATTAAATAAATATAAAGTTCCATATAAATTGCACTATATAAATTAGTCAACATGAAATGTAAAAACAACAACTAATACAAACAAGTGCTCAATAAATATCTAAGGCACCTCATTGTCCACATAGGGTTCTTCAAAGCTAGTCTGGGCATCTGTTTGTATAGTCAGCAATTTAGCAGCTAGACAACAAACAAAGACATAATGAGCTAAAATTAAGCCACAAAGGAGAAACACTAGTGATGTTATGAGATGAGCCGAGGCTTTGAGGCGTGATTCATGTAGAGGAGGGGCCAAAATTGGTGACGTCCGAGGCCTCGCTACCGTGATACCATGTGACCGCTTCGGTAAGCGCAAGAATTTTGACAGGCATCTAAACAGCCTCAGTGTTCAGTCAAGATGTGGGAGTTTGGAGGAGAGCTGCTGTCAGCTGGATAAAGTTTGGATAGATTCTAATAATAGATTGGTTGGAAAAACAACCAATCTAGTTGCTTAAAGCTAATTTGGTTTGAATAAACAATGTAATGATCAAAATTTGAGCAAACCACTGAACAAAGTCAGTGTTAACACGTTAGTATTAAGTAGTGTTTTCTCCTAAGTCAGACTGTCTACATGAGTGGCATTGTCTGTAAGAGACAGACTCTCACTCTAGAGGTTGACGGTTCGAGACCTGTCTTTCTCTTTTGAAAGTTGCGATTGAACTTAATTATTTTGGCTGATGAGACTAATTTGCATTGTTTTGCCCGAGTAAAAATATAGATTGGTTAAATTAGGTCGGTTTGGCTAAAAGATTGGTTGAACACAACTTCCAACCTGATTAAAACCAAAAAAAAAGTTTATTTCACTAAAATGGTAGAAAAACTGTGCACCTTAAATGAGTGTTCTAGGAAATTTTACACTTAAAAAAAACTTACAAAAGATTTTATTATACACACCAACCATTAACAATTTCAAGGGAACTTAAAAGGGGAAAAAAAGAAAAACAATTGCAAAAAAAATCACAGATTTTATTACAAACTGTAGTTCTGCTGTCCACCAGTAGGTGGTGACATGTTCACATGAAGCCTCATGAACTGTGGGGATCGTTGAAGCAATTTGGCCAAACGGTTCAATGCCTCATGAGGCTTCATCTCACCATCACTAAGAAACACTCACCAATTCCATAGTTTGTATGTAACACAAACAGTTTTTTTCATCTCATCTCGGCTAAGTAGTTAGCTCCTGCAGCTCTGCTTCTCCCAACATGCCATAGTCTTTCAAACTTCCCCACTCCAACTAATATACCTAACCATAGGCGGATCTACTGGGGTGGCATAGGGTGGCAAATGCCCCCCTAAATGTCAGCCTTGCCACCCCTGCTGCCACCCCAGTTGGCGGTAGGGGCGGCGAGTCTTATAAATTATGGATCATTTGAGAATTACGGCCGCTAATTTCCAATGTCGGACTGCAGTGAATGCAGCACAAGATGACGCGAGAGCGACTGAGACTGATTGTTTTGAAAACCAAATGAGGCAAAGCGAGGGAGCCAGGGGTGATGGGGAGAGGAGACACGGGATGAAACAGGTAAAAACTGATTAACTATCTATAGAGAAATGAAATCATAATGAAAGCACAATGTTGCTAGCATAGCTGCAATGCTGATTTTGAGATGATAAAAATCAGGTTGCAGAACGTTATTTCTCTATCTATGATGTTAGTTAGGCCTGACGTCTCAGGCTCATGAAGACATATTTGCGGTCAACTATGACAGAAAAGAGACGATCAAGTTTGGTTTTACTCAAATCAAAACGCACAAAGGGATTGGATCTAAATACATTAGTGAAGCGTTTTGCTGAGCAACATGGAAATCGCAGCATTCAGCTGTTATAGTCATGTTAACTTTATGTTCTGCTCTCTGGTGAGCCTTTACAGAGCTGCTACATTTTGTTTAGGCACCTGAGAAAATCTAATATTTCCTTTAATAAAACCAAAAGTGTTAAAAGTAAAAATGTGATACTGGTGTAAATCCTGCTTAATATGAAGCAGTGTTGTTGTTTCTTTTTTTGTATATATAGTATGAAACTATCCAGAAATGACCCGTATGAACCTACTCACAAGCAAAATGTATTTTTATGTTGCTTCTTTTCAGATTTGTGGAGATTTTGATGTAACATACAGAACCCGCCTTTTTGTTGATTTGTTGATACAGCAGTATGGAGGACCAACTCTGCCATATTTAAAAATAAATACAGAAATAAATAAATGCTTAATAAATAAATAGCCATACAATTAATTGCCACCAAAAATACAAACAACAAATAAATGTAAGTAGAAATTAAATTATACAGCTAGTCATAAAGGTATATAACTCTTTAAATTGGCTTCTTTATTTCTTTGCCTTTTTAATATTTACCTTATTTATTTTTTTGTCATTTATTATCTTCAACTTCATTTTTTAATTACTTATATTTTTAGGTATTTATTTATGTGCATGTTATAATATTTTTGTCTGTTTTATTCTTCATTTGTATTTTTTTACCCTAGTTATTTCTTCGCCGCTATTTCTTTCTGCCTGCCCTTTTAACATTTCTGCCTGCCATTATAATATAATTTCTAATTACATTTATTTGTTGATTGTATTTTTGGTGGCAATTAATTGTATGCTTATTTATTTATTGAGCTTTTATCTATTTCTGTTTTTATTTTTAAATATGGCAGAGTTGGTCCTCCATATACAGCTCTATCTACAGCATATTTACATGCATGAAATGTCCCTTTCATGTTGCCTTAACTGCTGTATGTCAAGTTACTGAGGAACAAATGGGGTAAATGTGTGTTCAGAGTAAACATTACATAGATGTCCAGTACCTTGTTCGGGTGCCTTGACCCATTTATTTCTACTGTGTAGTTCTGCTCACTTTAGTGCAGCTCAGTCCATTGATCTCTGATAGGGAACTTTTTCTTTCTATCGTTTCTTCTTGTGCAAATGCTGCAAAGCTGCCTCTCTGACAGTCAATCTCACACATCTGCGACTCAGCACCTGTGTCTTACCTTAATGCCTTTCCTGTCATAAGGCCCCCCTAGAAGTAGTGTTATCATTCTTCTATCTCCTATTAAGTGAGATCACATTGTACGATGTATTATAAATATGAACTGTTTCACATGAAACACTAGTACTGTACATACTATTCTCACCAAACTGTGATAAAATTCAGTGTAAACAAATGCCATATGTTGCCACCCGTAAAAAATTCCTGCCCCCCTCTTGCCACCCCATAAATATTTTTCTAGATCCGCCCCTGTACCTAGCTGATAGGCTGTTGCACATGTGATCCTGATACTCAACAGCAATTGGCTGTGTAGCAATGAGGGGAAGTGAAAAACATACAGAATGATCACTGGGATCTTTCTCCATTATCTAAACATGTAAATGGAAAATCACTGGGATTTACACCCGGGTTACATGATCTTGACCTGTTGCCCTCAGGTTTCCGTATATTTAACTCCGGTCAGGTCAAGATCTGTGATTCCAATCGCACCAAACAGGAAAAACAACGGTGAAAAGATCCGGTTTGTCAAATTAAAATATAGTAACAACAGATCAGTAACTAAACATTACAGCGTAGTTCTTATATATTCCCAAAAACTAAGAGTGTTTTATTAAATGATTGGATGCAAACTATTGGTGCTTCAACAGGAAGCAGGAAGCAGGTTTCTCATCTCCATCAGATTATTTATTTTATACCGAGAGGCTTAAAAGTTTCATCAGATCCAGTCAAAGGAAACTTCTTATTGCAGGAATGGATGAAAAGATGCTTCTGAGTTCATTCAAACCTTGGATGATAATTTAATCCCTGATTTAATCCGTGATGATGGTTAATCCCTGCTACAAAAATCCACAACGAAATGAAATATTTGGGCAGAAACTGAACATGTGGATGCTGATGGGAATATTTTTAATATGTTATATTAAATTAATTTAATTTAAGTTAATTTCCAATGTTATAATAATATAGCGCCTGCTCTCCTCGAGCTCAGAGGAAGTCGGAGCGGAGCAGGCGGGTGGAGCAGGCGGGTGGAGCGCGGCGGGGCGGATGATGATTGGAGATTTCAGGGTCATTCAGTGATTCAAATTTTATATAATTCCTGCTCTGAGTCGCTCTGTCAGCTAAATGCACATTTTAGAGTCTCTATTCTCCATTTAATGATTAATAGATTACTAAACTAGTTGACGATTATTTCAATTATTGATTTATCAGATTAAGACATCTGATTATTTGTTTCAACCCTTTTTTCGACCAATATTGCGATTTTCTTTTGCACTAAACCTGTCGATATTTTCCTGGTCCGCCATCCAGAGCTGCAGGACTTTACTGTAATATTTGCATTAAAATATTCTTCTACTATAATGCATAGATCTAGGTGTTAAAGCTGCAGCTCTATGCTCCCTTCTGTGTGACAGCATGCCTGCTTTAATCGTAATACCGCCACCTAAAGGGCTGGAGGGAGAAATGTACTGTCTTTATCCTGTTGACTAAAATCATTGCCTCTGCCATTTTCTTAAGTTGTGATTATATTGCATTTTATTGCCCAGTCCTAGTATGCATATGTTTTTATTGGCAGTTATTTTACCTTGTAGTATTTTATATGTTGGAATTGAGGATGCGGCGTCCTTTAGCGGTGACCATGTTTTTCTTTCAGGTACAACAAGCTGAGTCGTAACATCAGAGATGTGGCCCAGAAGATCAGAGACCTGGATGAGAAGGACGGCTTCAGAGCTCAGAGCACGCATCGGCTGTTAGAAAAGCTGTGAGTTAGCAGGAGTCACTGCCTGGATCAACCACACAACAAACTAACGGAGGCTCTCGATAAAAGTCAAAAACAACCATTGCTACGTTCCTGGATAAATAATCAAATCAATTGGATTAGTTCTTGATTTTAAAAGTCCATGATTTGAATTTTTGCTTAATGGTAAAATGGAGGAAGTCTCTTCTTCTGCATTTTTTCCCTGCGTGTTTGCTTCCGCCGCCTCTTCCCTCCTCCCGCCTGATAGCACGCTGCACTGTTCACTAACGCAAGGAACGCCGCCCAAACTGACGAGTTCCTATGTTCACGCTGCACGCGCTTCAAACAGCAGACGGCTGGTTTAGTGTTCAGGGATTAAACTGTTCCAGCCGGAGTCCCGCCTTGTAGTGATTGATGGGGGTAAAAAAAAACAACAAAAAACTAGAAAATTGACAGTAAATAAATTTTAAAAAGAATCAAAATCCCTCTGCGTTTGTCAGCCAATGGGAGCAAAGGAGCGCTCTGAAACTAACAGTATTAGCCAATCAGAAGGAGGGGGCGGGTCTTAGGAAAGCATGTACCTCCTCCTCTATTTTCTTGCTCCAGTCACCAGATAGATTATGGTTCAGTGCTGAAGTTCTACGTGGAGAATCACCTGCCGCCGTTTACGGCTCCATTCAACGGAGAGACGTGTTAAAAGTTTAAAAAATAAATAAATGAAACTTTGTGTTTGGAGAGAAAGACGACAGAGAGAACGGAATGACATGGAGGGGTTAAAAGATGACGTGACCATGGATAAAGGGCTGAAAAATAAATGGCGCCAAGCACGGCTTGAGGAGACGGGGTCAGATGGCGAGACATTTAGCAGCTTGCTCCGAAACATCCGCGGTTCTATTTTTTAAAAACAAAGCAGAGTGTGTATGACATCATCGGCACGCCGGACTGGAGTCATAACTGGCATCCTGGGCCACAGGCGGCTACGCTCTACCCCTGCTATTCATTCTAGCTAATCTGAATCGTTCAATTGGAGAGCGAGATCATCTGAGGTGTTGATGGCAGCAGCACAGCAGATATTTCTCTCCAGGATGGAGTCACAGCCAAACAGGAACAGACCAGATGAAGCTACTATGAGAAAAAGCAGAGAGAGCAGAACGTTAGAGATTGAACTAACAGATTCTGCAGAGTGGGAGAATAGAGATAGAATGAAGCAGAATGATGAAAAAGGGGTCCCTATGTCCTCCAGCAGTCTAAGCCTATAGCAGCAGAACTATAGAGATAGATCAGCTTGATGCCGTGACACAGAACATGGAGGATTATTTTCAGCTGTGGGGGTTTTAACATTTTATCTGCTGTGTCAGATGAAGGAAAACTACAATTGAACAAGCTCCTCATTTAAGGTCTTTTAGCTGACACTTGTTTTTACCTCAATAGTGATTTCTTACCAACTTTGTTTTACAGCAATAATTGATTCAATCGTTTTCCTGCCTCGACATCTAGAGATCTTCTGTTTCCATCCGTTCATCTGTTTTTATGAAGAGAACCATTCCTGCAGCATATCCCCCCCCCCACAGCATGATACTGCCACCGCCGTTCTTTAGCAGCTGGGATCAACTTCTCATGTTAAGGAAAGTTTTCCTTCACCTCACTGCAAAGACAATCTAGAAATGTCAGGGTTTGGGTGAGGTTTTCAGGACCCAAAGGCAGAGGCAAGGAGGTTAAAGGAATAGTACACCCAAAACATGATTAGCCTTCATTTTCTACATTCAGCATTCAGCTCGGCAAAGAACTCATGCTCTTCCTCAACACTGAAGTCCTCAGACATTTTTCTTTCGTTGTTTCTTTCTTTGCACAGGTAAACAGCACATTTCTTCTTCTACGCTTGCATTATCGGCAGAGCAGACGCTGAATGCGCACTTTCATCTGGTTTGGTCTGCCGCGGTTTCCGTAGACTCGTGAACGCGCTTTCAGGAAATACTATACACTACTGTTTATGCTCTAAAAACATTCTAAATGACTTCGTTTCGAGTAAATTCTGGACGCTACCCACTCAGGACACTTGGAATACATTGGACGAGCAGTATGGAGGAATATTGACACGTTTTTTGTGGACTTTTATGGACCTTTCTGCCTCGGGCGCCATAGACCTCCATTATTTGAATGTCAGCAGACAGCAAGAAGCCTCCCAGATCTCCAGATGCATTTGAGATATCAAAAAAGTACTCCAGAGTGTTGTTCAGCATGGGGGTGAGTAGAAAATGAAGGCTAATCATGTTTTGGGTGTACTCTTCCTTTAATGTAGATTTTATTATAGCTTTTATTGCATTTTATCTGTTTTTACTTGTGTTGTTTTTATGTTATCATGTGAAGCACTTTGTGACTTTGTCTGTGAAAAGTGCTATACAAATAAAGTTTACTTACTACTTACTTACTTAATGGAGTTCTCACAGGTAACTGATGCATGAATCCAAAAATCCAACATAATAAGGACAGAAAAAAACAGAAACTTGGAGAAATCAGGGAAAACTTGCATGAGGAGTCAAGAAAAGACGAGGAAGCAGCACTGAGGAACTGCAGAGGGAGTTTATATCGGAGACTAAACCAACAGGCTGATTGGGAGCAAAACAGTGATGAGAAATAAGTTAAAAATGTCTCAAATTTAGTTTATTTCCCCCTAATTTGAGCAGGTAAATAAGATGATTTGCAAATGGAATGAGATTTTTTTTACTCCTAAATAAGATAATTAGATAATATGCACTTGAAATAAGACAATGCAATTATATTTTCTTATTTTAAATGTAAATGTCTGGATCTATTGGCAAAGTGTCTCACTGACCTCAATTCAAGAAAAAAATCAAATTTTTTGCAGTGCTTAATGTCAAAACGCTCACTTTAGTTTTAGTTCTATTTGCTGCAGACTAAAACAGGGAACTTTTAGCCTGATTTATTTTATTTTTTTAAATGTAAACATCTGGTTTCAGGTCAGGATGGGCGGGACCTTCGATGTCAGAGATGCAGCAGATATTTGATCTTATCGTTGTTCACCTCAACATGACTATAATGATCGGCTTATGGTAGACTCTTGGCGTTTATCTCCTAAGGTACAGCATCGGCCTGATCCCCACCAGACAGAACCTGTCCCTCACGGAGAAGGTCAGCGCGTCGGCGTTCTGCAGGTAAAAAAAACGCCATCGCCTCAAACCGGCGGCGCATTGCTATTTTTGTTGTTTATTCTGTGCGTTTCCTGTGTGTTCCTGCAGGAGGCGCCTGCCCAGCATCATGCTGAAGCTCCGCATGGCTCAGAACCTGAAGACGGCCATAACTTTCATCGAGCAAGGCCGTATCCTTCTAACCCGACTCGTCCAGATGGATATGCGGAGCAAATCCATCTGGAAACCTTCCGTTGAAGTAATTTTGGGAAGGGGCGAAAATCCTGGTTAGCTGATTGGCCTATGTTGGTGATAGACGGGCCAAATAAACCAATCAGATCAACGAAGCATATGACGTACTAACAGAGCGACGACGAAGAGGAGCCAATTGATAGATCAAACTCTTGCTGAAACCAGTCGGGAGAAGAGCAAAAACATCTTTTCCTCTGAGAAAAGCCTCCAGAGCAGTGTTTTGCTCTTCTTTCAGTGAAGAAATACTCTGTAATTCCCATAAAACTTGCTCGATAGCCACGCTAACGCTAGTTTCATCGGCTGAAGCCGCCATGTTCTTTAGACTGAACTGTCGCGCTTCTCGTTGCGTCACACCTCAACCCGCCTCAAAGCCAACGCTGATTGGACGTTCGTTTGGTGAACGGCTCCACATTTTCTTCAACGGAGAGTCTCCAGACTGATCTGCGAATGAAACCTTGAAAGCTCACGACATCAGGATGGTCTCACGAGGCTAGAATCCTTCCTGTTTCCCTCCTCAGATCCCAGATTGCTGTTTGAGTTGCTTTTCCTTGACTCACTGACAGATGTTCGTGTCGGCCCAGATGTTGTTACAGATCCAGCGTTTCTGGTAACGAGGTTAGTTTATGTTCTTTTACTGTAAAATGATTTATTTAAGCAGGGATGGATGTAGAAAATATGGGGCCCTAGGCAAAGACAGGCAGGGGGCCCTCTGAATGGAGAAGACAACACATAAACAGCCCCATTCTACAGATAGAGAAATGTTAATAGAATAGACATCCATTATCTGTTCTAGGTTGTGTCCCTCTCTTCTTGTCCCTTTTCTTCTTGTTTTCCTCTCTATGTTTTGTACTCAGCTGACTTTTCATGCTGTCTCTAAAGGAATGAAAGATTTTTTCCAAGCACTAAGCTCACTTAGCTGATTGCTCCTTCCTGTGTTTCCAAAAAGGCCAAAGTAAATAACCCAGTCCTTCTTTTCACTGTAGACAGGCCATGTTCTGCTTATCTGTTCTCCATTTTTCATTTGGATGAAATAATAGCTGCATGAATCATGACAGCAGACAAGATAGAGGAGAGCAGGAGGCGGGGTTACCAATCTACTCGCTCTGGAGAGCAGAGTTCGCTGCTTTTAGATGTTGTCTCCAAAGTCTCCAGTAGCAGAAAAAAGTCTCTAGATTTGGCGCTAGGAGCTTTTTAGAAATCAAAGTGCTAGAGGGGTCTGAAAAGTGGCTAAATATAGCGACTAAAGCGCTAAGTTGGCAACACTGCTCTTTGCATGGTTTGTTTTCAAATGGTTTGCTGCTGTCTGTTTGGACCTTTCTGAACATGTGCAGCAAATGGACTGATCCAATATGGTGGACACTGATGGGGGGGGGCTGAGACACACTTAATATTATCAGCGTTCTGATGGCATTTTAGTCAGAGCATTTTTATCAAAAACATAATTAATGTGCAGAAATAAGGAATAGTTGTATTAACCAGACATGGAAACAGAGATTTATGGGGCCTCCAGGAACTTGGGGCCCTAGGCAGCTGCCTAGTATTGCCTAATGGTAACCCCCCCCCCCCCCCCCCCCCCCCCCCCCCCCCGTATATAAGCAAAGGAAGCTTAGAGCAAAATTGTCTAAAATTGATCATTTGGGACTTTAACCTTTTTTTATTTTTCAGAAATATGGAGGATTTTGTCACCTGGGTGGATTCTTCAAATATCAAGCAACACGTCCTGAACTATAATGACGAGGTGAGTCACCGCGCTCTGAGCGGCTGCTAACACCTCATTAACTAACATGGCTGACACCAACCTTTGTTCTTTTTTTGCAGAGGGATGACTTTGATCTGATAGCGTAAGCGGAGGAGTGAAACAGACACGAACATCAGAGTTCTTATTGGTTCATGATTCCACCATAAAGGAGCCGCTTTGCTGAAAGGCGTTTCTGCAGCCAGGTTTCAGTGAAGCTCGTTTGCATATTTCAAACTTCAACAAGAATGAGACACACCCTGAAAAACATCTGTCACCAAAGATGGTTTATTGAACTCACAGGAGGAGATTCCTTCCTGAAAATGAACCAGAGGCTGAGAAGTTGGATGTTTATATCAGAAGCTGCTCTGTTGTCTTTTCTTCTGTTTTTGCCTGTTGGTAAAAATCCAGCTCCTTTGATTGTGCAGATTTTATTTTATTGTTTAGTGAATAGACTTTTGCAGAACTTCAATAAAGTATGTTAAAAAGAATAAAAAATGTCTTAAATTGAATCCATGTCAACAAAATATTAAAGGAACAGTAGCTGGATCCCATATTAGATGTAAATCATAGGCGTAACTTCCTGAGGATTGGTGGGGACGACCCCACTAATAATTTGCGCTATTGAGCCTTGATTCTGTAAAAGTTTAAAAAATGTCCACTGGACTTGGTTTCCCAGATTTGAAGACGTTTCTCCACCCCTCCAGGAAGCTTTCTCAATTCAAATGTCTGAAACCACACAGAGTTTGAGTCTTTATAGACAAAGCTTTGTATCGCTTGGAAACATGCTAACGGTAACCGATGAATGGGTCGTTTGGTTCCATAGTTAACCTGTAATACCTGAAACCGGCCTATGATTCTGAGGGTCGGTCGTTAAGGAGGTATTGTTCACAGGCTGGAGCGGGTAGGTGCTTCGTTCCTCTATGATGGGGTGTGGGGATATCTGGATCATGTCTATGACTGAATTGGAGGTTTTTGGAAGCTGAAAGCTGAATCCCCCCCCCCTCTGTTTAAGGTTGTTTTTTCTCTCTTAACATAGATGCTTCCTTCCTCTCAAACCTCCTGTCTTCTTTGTCCAAAATGTGAACATTCTGGTCCTCCAAAGAATGTCCTTTGTCCATCAGGTGTAGATGTAGTGCAGAGTCTTGTCCAGAGGAGGGCGCTCTCCTGTGTTGGGCCATGCGTCTGTGGAGAGGTTGTTTGGTTTCTCCAGTATATACAGGTGCTGGTCATAAAATTAGAATATCATGAAAAAGTAGATTGATTTCAGTAATTCCATTTAAAAAGTGAAACTTGTATATTATATTCATACATTACATACAAACTCATATATTTCAGATGTTTATTTTGTTTAATTTTGATGATTACAAATGACAACAAATGAAAATCTCAAATTCATCATATCAGAAAATTAGAATATTGTGAAAAGGTTCAAAATTGATGGCCCCTGGTGCCACACTCTAATCAGCTAATTAACTCAAACCACCTGCAAAAGCCTTTAAATGGTCTTTCAGTCTAGTTCTATAGGCTACACAATCATGGGGAAGACTGCTGACTTGACAGTTGTCCAAAAGACGACCATCGACACCTTGCACAAGGAGGGCAAGACACAAAAGGTCATCGCTAAAGAGGCTGGCTGTTCACAGAGCTCAGTGTCCAAGCACATTAATAGAGAGGCGAAGGGAAGGAAAAGATGTGGTCGAAAAAAGTGTACAAGCAAGAGAGATAACCGCACCCTGGAGAGGATTGTGAAACAAAACCCATTCAAAAATGTGGGGGAGATTCACAAAGAGTGGACTGCAGCTGGAGTGAGTGCTTCAAGAACCACCACACACAGACGTATGAAAGACATGGGTTTCTGCTGTCGCATTCCTTGTGTCAAGCCACTCTTGAACCACAGACAGCGTCAGAAGCGTCTTGCCTGGGCTAAAGAGAAACAGGACTGGACTGCTGGTGAGTGGTCCAAAGTCATGTTCTCTGATGAAAGTAAATTTTGCATTTCCTTTGGAAATCAAGGTCCCAGAGTCTGGAGGAAAAGAAGAGAGGCACTTCATCCACGTTGCTTGAAGTCCAGTGTAAAGTTTCCACAGTCAGTGATGGTTTGGGGTGCCATGTCATCTGCTGGTGTTGGTCCATTGTGTTTTCTGAGGTCCAGGGTCAACGCAGCCACATACCAGGAAGTTTTAGAGCACTTCATGCTTCCTGCAGCTGACCAACTTTTTGGAGATGCAGATTTCATTTTCCAACAGGACTTGGCACCTGCACACAGTGCCAAAGCTACCAGTACCTGGTTGAAGGACCATGGTATCCCTGTTCTTAATTGGCCAGCAAACTCTCCTGACCTTAACCCCATAGAAAATCTATGGGGTATTGTGAAGAAGAAGATCAATACACCAGACCCAACAATTCAGAAGAGCTAAAAGCCACTATTAGAGCAACCTGGGCTATCATAACACCTGAGCAGTGCCACAGACTGATCGACTCCATGCCACGCCGCATTGCTGCAGTAATACAGGCCAAAGGAGGCCCAACTAAATACTGAGTGCTGTACATGCTCATACTTTTCATGTTCATACTTTTCAGTTGGCCAACATTTCTATAAATCCTTTGTTTTTATTGGTCTTCAGTAATATTCTAATTTTCTGATATGATGAATTTGAGATTTTCATTTGTTGTCATTTGTAATCATCAAAATTAAACAAAATAAACATCTGAAATATATGAGTTTGTATGTAATGTATGAATATAATATACAAGTTTCACTTTTTAAATGGAATTACTGAAATCAATCTACTTTTTCATGATATTCTAATTTTATGACCAGCACCTGTATATGATATATATTTTATCCAGAGATGGCAAAAGTACTCACTTTCCGTACTTGAGTAAAAGTACAGATACTTGTGTTAAAAAATACTCTGGTAAAAGTGGAAGTACTGATTAAACTTCTTTACTCAAGTAAAATTAACAAAGTACAGGCTTGTAAATTTACTTAAAGTATAAAAGTAAAAGTAGAAACCACTTTTTTCATGCCGTTGCCTACATTTTAAATGGATGTCTGCCAATAGGACTAGATCTCCGTTGTGTTCATTTTCAATCATCTCGTCGTCCATGCTACTATGCTAACGCCACCGCCACCAAGCTGCAATGATTTGCCGCCAATGAATACCGCCGAATCTGTCGATTCATCTTGTAGTGGTGCGTCAAATGCAACGTAGATTCCAATCCAATTAGATTGAATTTGGTATTGATGACGTGAAAAATAATAACGGTAACTCCATTGAAATGATTCAAAACTAAAGTAACGAGACAATTTTTTAAAATGTAAGGAGTAGAAAGTACAGATATTTGTGTAAAAATGTAAGGAGTAGAAGTAAAAAGTCGCCATAAAAATAAGTAGTGAAGTAAAGTAAAAATATCAGAAAAATCTACTTGAGTACAGTAAGGAAGTATTTGTACTTCGTTACTTCCCATCTCTGCTTTTTATTTTTAGGATGCCATCCTAAAGATAAAACCTCCAGACCTAATCTGAGCAGAGTGTCTGCAGGTCAATGCAGTGAGGAATCCTCTGATCTTTATATTGGAAAAACCAAACAACCTCTCCACAGACGCATGGCCCAACACAGGAGAGCGCCCTCCTCTGGACAAGACTCTGCCTTACATCTACACCACATGATGTGAATTGGAGCTATAGAAATAAACTTGAACTGAACTGATTAATGTTGCTGGTGATTTTGAGCACTTTATAAAAGAGGCATTAAAATGTAAGATTTTTTTTTTAACTATTTTTCAAGGCTGAACTTTTAAAAAAGAAATTGTCCAGAGAGCTGTTTCCAAACGAAATTTCTTTTTGTTTTACACTCGTGTAAACAAAATCTGTCGAAGTCCAAGATACCCAATTAAAATATGTCTGTAATTATAAATGTTAATGCATTTTGAACTGTTCTCAACAACAGGGAAGCATTAAATAGAAATATGGCATCGCCATTTATGCTGCCGCTAATTTTGAGCAAAATATCAAAACCTAACTGAAGCCTTTAGGTTCCTGCAGCTGCAGCAGCGACTTTAATCCCAAAGTTAAACCTTTGATCTAAACGATTTATAGATTGAGAAAAGGTGGAATAATCAAGCTGACTAGATGACGGGAATTTAGATTTGGATTTTCTTCATAAAAAAAACTAAATTTTTTGTTTTATTTGAGCAATTTTGACGTAATTTTTTCAGTTTAAAAAAAACTTAACCAGTCATGTTTTTTAAATGTTAAAGTTTCTGTCAGCATTTAGAATATGAGATGAACGGTTCATTGATAAAAGCAAAACGCTCCATTTCTAAAGCTTTATTGTAAACTAGTCTCTGTAGAACAGTTCAGACTTATTCTCACAGTGTTCAGGTATAATATGGAGCCGTCCATTTCTATCATTAAACAGTAGCTCCACCCCCCCCGTGTGAAAACATCTGCTTCAGTAAACATCTGTCTGTAGAACATCTGTCTCCTTACATAGAAAAGTCCAAAGATTGAAGAGAAAACAGAGGAAACCCTAAAGCTGCAGGCCAGACGGGAGAAAGTTCCTCCACTCAGTAAAGCAGTTTCAGTGTTTGTCATCAGAGCCACCAGAAGCGCACATAGATGATGAAGGTGATGAAGACGAGCGCAGCAGCAGCCACTTTAGCGTAGGCGGAGCGGGTGTTCAGGAACTTGGCGTCGCTGCGGTATTTCTTGGCCAGACTGGAGAGATTGCTGGCTTTGGTGTCTAGAGCTGTTGGAGAAAGAACATCCGGGGTTAAGATGGAGAACCGCTGTAGAAACGCAGGAATAGATTAAAAACGGGTTCTAGACCAGATAGAGCTTCTCCTCGCTGCAGGACGTCCTCCATGTTAGCCACCATGATTCTCTGGACGTCCTGCAGCTCTGCGTTGATGCTGCTCAGGTTCCGCCGGGCCCTGCTGTCAACGTACGACCTCTTCGTTTTCTGGATGTATGTGTCTAGATTAGAAATACAAGTTATAGATTAATGATTCAATCAGTTTATTACTATAGCAGCAATCCCCAACATGTCATCTCAGTTTTCTATCTAAGGAAAACCAGCTGATTGCATCGACTCATTGACTCTTCAGCAATCCCTCACACTAAGCATGCTTGTAGCGACAGTGGAGAGGAAAAACTCCCTTTGAACAGGAAGAAACCTTCGAACATTTAATAGATATTTTGACATTTTCTTAAAAATCCCAAATCATAAAATGATATTTGTTGACAAAATGCCGAGTTGAAAAGCAAAAGTAGTACATTATAATAGTTTATTGTTCCAGCTGTATTAAATACTGAATAAATAAACCCCCAAAAAACGTTTTCTTGCACAGTTATTAAATGTATTCATAAAATATAACAAAACAGCCACCTATTAGGTTACTGAATAAATAGGATTAAAATACTGTGTGAAGGGAGATGTAAAACCATCATTAACAGACGGGGGGGGGGGGGGGGGGGGGGGGGGGGGGGGGGGGGTCTAACATACTGACTATTTTACCACTTTGCTTCTATAAGCGGATGCTAACGGTTATAGAGCACTCAGTTTTTATTGTAATCCAGCAATAATTTCTGGGAAAGATGATTTCTGGTGCATCTATAAGTGAAGCAGAATGATGAAAAGTGATCCCTAGGCCCTCCAGCAGTCTAAGTCTATAGCAGCATATCTATCGATGCCTCTGCTCTGATCTACGGTAGTTTTCTTGGAGAATACAAGTGAGACTCTGCGAAATAATAACAGTGGCACAGTCAAATACTTGACATGTTGAGCTTAAAAACAGTTTAGTGACCATTAGTGACAAAAAATATTTTTTTATTTTTTGACACAATTTAAGACCCCCTTTTAATTTTGCTTTTGAGGCTTTCAGGGGGTCTCATGGGTTAATCAGGGTGGCATCTAGCCCCCCCAGACCCCCCCATATTTCGCACTCTGGACACAACGCGCTATTATCCAAGTCATCTTGAAAACATTCTTCTTCCAAATGTTGGCTACATATTACGGGTTTTTTCTCTGGCCAGAAGTTCGATGGCAAATCCTCCCTCTTCAAGTTGGCGATCCAACGACCAACCCGTCCGTGGAGGATCAGGAATCAGAAAGGTGGAATAACTCTTTTTTCCACTTTTCCCCGATGTATTCCAGCATCCAGCTGCCATGCACGTGGGCATTGTCAGTTTCACTATAGCTCTGGTGAATTTCAATGGTGAAGTCCTCTGGAAATCTTCAATAATTGTTGTTGATTGCAGATGTGTCTAGTAGTTCCCATTGATTTAGCTTGGAAAGCGGGGAGAATGGCGCTAGGCTTACCGCACCGTGACGTCACTGCTGGAAGATGGCAGGAGGGAGGGGCTACTATATTTGGGCAAAGATGGCCGCTCCCAGACTCAGTGTTTTTATTGTTTTAGTGATTAACACTAAATTCATTAAATGACTGCGAACTTATCAGTTTTAGGTATAAATAATGATCCATTGATTATTCCTGCTGAATGAACTTTTCCTCTAAGATCTGGAATCTTATTGGTGGACGAACCAAAACATTTTCTTACCAAACTCTATGAAGGAGTACGGCCTCGTCACCGCAGGTACTCTCCTGCCATACTGCTCGAAAAATTCCTTGTGGATTTCCTCTATGTAGCCAAAGGCCATCTTTTTAGGAAAGGAGTCGTCACAGAGACACAGGCAGCAAACATTCTGGGCTATGAAGTAACTGAGAAACAAAGTGATTCAGATCGGAGCAGCTTTCCATTTCTGCTCAGATCTACTAAGAAATTATCGTTTCAGTCCAACTTTTCTGTCAAATATGGTGTCCTTTTGGACGTTTGTGTTTCCTTACTAGAAGTTCATGTTCCCAGCCTCCAGCATGCAGCGGTCCGGGCTCTGAGCGTTCAGTTTACGGAGCAGCTGCTTGGCCTGACTCTGGTACTGCTGAAGGTCTCTGCCTGACTGAAAGCAAACAAAGAAAAAACGTGTTTGGAAGCTGCAGGACGGGCTGCGGGACGACGGGCTGCGGGACGACGGGCTGCGGGACGACGGGCTGCGGGACGACGGGCTGCGGGACGACGGGCTGCGGGACGACGAGCTGCGGGACGACGAGCTGCGGGACGACGAGCTGCAGGACGACGAGCTGCAGGATGACGAGCTGCTGGACAACGAGCTGCGGGACGACGAGCTGCGGGACGACGGGCTGCGGGACGACGGGCTGCGGGACGACGAGCTGCAGGACGAGCTGCGGGACGACGAGCTGCAGGACGACGAGCTGCGGGACGACGAGCTGCGGGACGACGAGCTGCGGGACGACGAGCTGCGGGACGACGGGCTGCGGGACGACGAGCTGCGGGACGACGAGCTGCAGGACGAGCTGCAGGATGACGAGCTGCGGGACAACGGGCTGCAGGACGACGAGCTGCAGGACGAGCTGCAGGACGCGCTGCGGGACGAGCTGCAGGATGACGAGCTGCGGGATGACGAGCTGCAGGATGACGAGCTGCGGGATGACGAGCTGCGGGATGACGAGCTGCAGGATGACGAGCTGCAGGATGACGAGCTGCAGGACGCGCTGCGGGACGCGCTGCAGGATGACGAGCTACAGGATGACGAGCTGCGGGACAACGGGCTGCAGGACGACGAGCTGCGGGACGACGGGCTGCGGGACGACGGGCTGCGGGACGACGGGCTGCGGGACGACGGGCTGCGGGACGACGAGCTGCAGGACGACGAGCTGCAGGACGACGAGCTGCGGGACGACGAGCTGCGGGACGACGAGCTGCGGGACGACGAGCTGCGGGACGACGAGCTGCAGGACGAGCTGCAGGATGACGAGCTGCGGGACGACGAGCTGCAGGACGAGCTGCAGGACGCGCTACGGGACGCGCTGCAGGATGACGAGCTGCAGGACGACGAGCTGCGGGACGACGAGCTGCGGGACGACGAGCTGCAGGATGACGAGCTGCGGGACGACGAGCTGCGGGACAACGGGCTGCAGGACGACGAGCTGCAGGACGAGCTGCAGGACGCGCTGCGGGACGCGCTGCAGGATGACGAGCTGCAGGACGCGCTGCAGGATGACGAGCTGCGGGACAACGGGCTGCAGGATGACGAGCTGCAGGACGAGCTGCAGGACGCGCTGCAGGATGACGAGCTGCAGGACGAGCTGCAGGACGCGCTGCGGGACGCGCTGCAGGATGACGAGCTGCGGGACAACGGGCTGCAGGATGACGAGCTGCAGGACGCGCTGCGGGACGCGCTGCAGGATGACGAGCTGCGGGACAATGGGCTGCGGGACGACGAGCTGCGGGACGACGGGCTGCGGGACGACGGGCTGCGGGACGACGAGCTGCAGGATGATGAGCTGCGGGACGACGAGCTGCGGGATGACGAGCTGCAGGACGAGCTGCAGGATGACGAGCTGCGGGACGACGGGCTGCAGGACGACGAGCTGCAGGACGAGCTGCAGGACGCGCTGCGGGACGCGCTGCAGGATGATGAGCTGCAGGACGAGCTGCGGGACGCGCTGCGGGACGCGCTGCGGGATGACGAGCTGCGGGATGACGAGCTGCAGGATGACGAGCTGCGGGACAACGGGCTGCAGGATGACGAGTTGCAGGACGAGCTGCAGGACGCGCTGCGGGACGCGCTGCAGGATGACGAGCTGCGGGACGACGGGCTGCGGGACGACGAGCTGCGGGACGACGGGCTGCGGGACGACGAGCTGCAGGATGACGAGCTGCGGGACGACGAGCTGCAGGACGAGCTGCAGGATGACGAGCTGCAGGATGACGCGCTGCGGGACGAGCTGCAGGATGACGAGCTGCGGGACGACGGACTGCGGGACGACGAGCTGCAGGACGAGCTGCAGGATGACGAGCTGCAGGATGACGCGCTGCGGGACGAGCTGCAGGATGACGAGCTGCAGGATGACGAGCTGCAGGACGAGCTGCGGGACGCGCTGCGGGATGACGAGCTGCGGGATGACGAGCTGCAGGATGACGAGCTGCAGGACGAGCTGCAGGACGCGCTGCGGGACGCGCTGCGGGATGACGAGCTGCAGGATGACGAGCTGCGGGATGACGAGCTGCAGGATGACGAGCTGCGGGATGACGAGCTGCGGGATGACGAGCTGCGGGATGACGAGCTGCAGGATGACGAGCTGCAGGATGACGAGCTGCAGGATGACGAGCTGCGGGACAACGGGCTGCAGGATGACGAGCTGCAGGACGAGCTGCGGGACGCGCTGCGGGACGCGCTGCAGGATGACGAGCTGCGGGACAACGGGCTGCGGGACGACGAGCTGCGGGACCACGGGCTGCGGGACGACGGGCTGCGGGACGACGAGCTGCAGGACGAGCTGCAGGATGACGAGCTGCAGGATGACGCGCTGCGGGACGAGCTGCAGGATGACGAGCTGCAGGATGACGCGCTGAGAACATGGTCTGTGCCGTCAGTTCATCCAGATTACCATCCTGCCTTCAAAGATTAGGGCCACTGAAAAAAAAAGTTAACTGACTTTTAAATATTATTTCTGTTTAATGTGGGGAAAGGGTCTGAATTCTGACTTTAATCCCAGAATTCTGACAGCTAACCAACATGTTAGCATCCAGCCGTAGCCGTGTCTGTTACAGAGTCCATCTCTCCTGTTTTAATCACCTTCTTCTCTTCCATTAATCAAACAGCATCAGCAGGGATCCTTAGGGACAGAAAAACTCTCCTAATTCCATAATTTTCCACCAATATGTTCCTGTTTCTCCCAAACAGCTGAAGCTGAGTTCTCCACATTTCTGCCTCCATGGAGACCATCAGCATTAGGATCCACTATTCTCAGATTAAAGTCAGAATTCTGACTTTTTTCCACATTAAACTAAAACATTAAGTAAACTTTTTTCAGTGGCCCTACTTCCCTTCCATAGGCAGCCCGCTGAGGGAGGAGTGAAGGTCTTTAAACCCACTCGTGGGGAGTGTCTCGCTCACACCTGCTCGTCCTCCTGGATGGACGCAGCCAGCGGAAGTCCATCCGCCACGCGCGCGATCATCGTCAGGTAGATCATCGCAGCGTCCAGCTGTGAAGCAGCTGCTGCTGTTTGGGGCGGAAGTGGTCGGTGCACCTCGGAATGAGGTCCGACTGGAAACAAACGGTGACGACGCATTCCAGAGGTTCGCTGCGGAGGTTTTCTGTCTGTAAAAGAAAAGAATCGATTCATTGAAGGATTCTGTGGTTGCGGAAACATTTCTTTGGCCTTTGGTGTGACACGCTCCCTCGCGCTGTTTCGTCACAGTGACGGAGGGCTCGTGCGGTGGGAGCGGAGCTGAGCAGCAGATGCAGGACTGAGAGCAGAGGAAGGAGCCCTCAGCCATGGATTCACCAGAGAGGTAAAACTCCTCCATTCTTCATCTCCTTCCGCTGGAAGAACAGATCATTCCGCCTGTTTCCATAGATTAATGAATCCCTTCATCCTAAAACCAGCCGCCTGGCTGCAGGTTCTAACCTTCCTCACCACCTGAGATCACGCACTGACTCACATTATTGATACTTTTCATGCGTGGATTAAACCCCGCAGCCTGCATGGGGATGGATGTATGGATGGATGTATGGATGGATGGATGGATGGATGGATGGATGGATGGATGGATGGATGCATCAGACCTCCTGTGCAGCATGAGGAGGTTTATCCTTCCATCCCTGCAGCCTGATGCTCCATCCATCCTGATCCTCCTGCAGCTCAGAGGCCTGATTGCTGCAGCTCCTGGTGAATCACTGCCAGCTCTCTACTCTCCACTCAGGAACCTAGATTGGGCTTTAAATCCCAGGGTGGGGCACTTCATGACTAATTGATTATATAAAAAAATAGATTTTATTGCCATGCTGCTGTCTGGGACTTCAACTATTTTAATGTTGTGTTTTTGCCAATTTCAGCTCAGGGAATAAATGTCCCAGAGATGGATGATGTCTGCTGGTATAAGGCTCTGATTGATGCTTTTTCATCAAACTTTATTGACATTTTTTTAGGAAGTAAAATCAAATGCAATGGAGACAGAAAGGGAGGAGATAAATAAAGAGGGGATGAGAATGAAGCAGAGGGAGAGAAAGAGTGCAGCAAACAATTCAGCTAAAATAGACACAGAAAATCTACAGTAACTCCTAGAAATCTGCTTCCATAACTGGATGAAACCAGAGGAACAGAAAACAGAGAATATTACAGCAAAAAGACGACAACAGAAAACCAAAATAAAGATAAAAAAAATATGTTTCAGATCAGCAGGTTTCCCTTAGATCTCCATGTAAGGAAAGCTAAACCTGAGATGATTCCACAATATTGATCAGGGTGGGCAGGGGCGGATGTAGGAAATCTGGGGCCTTAGGCAAAGACAGGCAGGGGCCCCTCTGAATGGAGAAGAACACATGAAACAGCCCCATTCTCCAGATAGAGAAATGTTAATAGAATAGACATCCATTACCTGTTCTAGGTTGTGTCCCTCTCTTCTTGTCCCTTTTCTTCTTGTTTTCCTCTCTATGTTTTGTACTCAGCTGACTTTTCATGCTGTCTCTAAAGGAATGAAAGATTTTTTCCAAGCACTAAGCTCACTTAGCTGATTGCTCCTTCCTGTGTTTCCAAAAAGGCCAAAGTAAATAACCCAGTCCTTCTTTTCACTGTAGACAAGCCATGATCTGCTTATCTGTTCTCCATTTGTCATTTGGATGAAATAATAGCTGCATGAATCATGACAGCAGACAAGATAGAGGAGAGCAGGAGGCGGGGTTACCAATCTACTCGCTCTGGAGAGCAGAGTTCGCTGCTTTTAGATGTTGTCTCCAAAGTCTCCAGTAGCAGAAAAAAGTCTCTAGATTTGGCGCTAGGAGCTTTTTAGAAATCAAAGTGCTAGAGGGGTCTGAAAAGTGGCTAAATATAGCGACTAAAGCGCTAAGTTGGCAACACTGCTCTTTGCATGGTTTGTTTTCAAATGGTTTGCTGCTGTCTGTTTGGACCTTTCTGAACATGTGCAGCAAATGGACTGATCCAAGATGGCGGACACTGAAGGGGGGGGGGCTGAGACACACTTAATATTATCAGCGTTCTGATGGCATTTTATCAAAAACATCATTAATGAGCAGAAATAAGGAATAGTTGTGTTAACCATTAGTGGAAACAGAGTTTTATGCCTGGAAAATGTTAATGATGAAGTGGTTTAAATTGTTTCTATACGCTCTAGTTCTATTTATTGATTTATTTAATCCTAATTAGACCTGAATTGGTCCATTAGTGAAGGCAGAGAAATCTTTATTTCCAGAAGCATCTCTGGTCTGATTGGTGCTGAGAGATAAAGTCCATCCATGTTCGTCTGGATTGTTGCTCATTGTTTCCTGTTTTCCTGACAGCTTTGGCTCATTCAGCGCCTCGGCGTCCAGAACACTCTGCTCCTAACCGCAGACGGCCTGTCCTCCGAGGTTTACAAGGAATAAAGCAACACCATGAAGTTTATAGATGTAAAGTGGAAAAAATATATTTTTTAACACTTTTTTATCTTAAAGGTGGGCTGTGTGTTTGTAACAGGAGCTGAGTTCCCATTTGGTAAACTAGGTGGTTTCCTGAGGCGGCGAGTTACTCCTCATACACCAACATAGGGCTGCAGCTAATGATCACTTTGCAAATCAATTAATCTGTTGATCATTTTTTCAATTGATTAATAATCGGATATTCAAAGGTTCATTAAAGAAAACTTTTTATGAAATTAAACCAGATGAAACTAAAACATTTCCACATGAGGAGTTCTGGATACAGCAGATTGACAGTTTTTGTTTTTAATCATAAATGCAAAATGTTTATATATTTTTTTATATAATCTTGGTATAATTCCTGCTCTAAGTGGGTCTCTGTCAGCTAAAGGCATGTTTCAGATTCTCTATACTCCAGTTAACCATGAAACAATTTCTAAATTAATGGACGATTATTTCAATAATTGATTAATGTGATTAATTGTTTCAGCCCTAATTTAAAGTTTCTGTATAATTAGCTGGAAAACGGACGTTTCAGACTGGAGTCAGAAACCAGTTTAAAAAAAATACATATTTATTTTAAAAACCAGCTTTGATTTCAATCTGAGGCGTCCTCAGCAGATGGCCGCTCACACTGAGCCTGGTTCTGCTGGAGGTTTCTTCCTGTTCAAAGGGAGTTTTTCCTCTCCACTGTCGCTACAAGCATGCTTAGTGTGAGGGATTGCTGAAGAGTCAATGAGTCGATGCAATCAGCTGGTTTTCCTTAGATAGAAAACTTTGAATCAATCTGACTGGATGATCTGGTGAACTGGAAAGTGACCTGAGATGACATGATGTGAATTGGAGCTATAGAAATAAACTGAATAGAATTGAACCTTCATTTAAAAGGCGATGACATTCCACTTGTGAAACTTGCTATAAAACAATCGTGTATCACAGATAGAAATGTCTGCAGCTGGCAGCATCACACAGATCATTTATGATCAGTTATGAGCAGAAACTGCTGGTGAACTGATTTCACTCTGAGCCCTTCTTCTGACATCAGACACACTTTGATAGAGCTGACCCCTAATCCAGAGGTCACGGATTAGCGGTCCGGATCCTGACCCATCTGCTGGCTAATCTGGACCCAACCTGATTTAAAACATTTAAAAATTGACGACAGTGTCTAACTTCCCTTGCTCCTCTTCTCCTGTTAATACGGTAAAGCCCTGGGGAGCGTCCGGCTCCAGGCTGCACGTGATCCAAATGAGCCAATGAGCTGTCAGTCTGGGTTGCTGCTGCTGCTACTTCTAGACACAGCAGGCAAACCTGTGGCAAGCCGGGCGATGGGAAAGAAGGAGAAGACCATGAGAAAAAGAGAGCAGAGAAAGTGTGGACTGCTGGAAGAACTGCGGTGAACTGGTGAAAGAAAAGTGAAATGGCGTGCTCAAAGATGACCCTGCACATTTAGAGGATGTTTGGCTCAACCTGCTGCTGTGAAGCAGGATTCTCCACCATGAACAGAATCAACAATAAATCTGGATCCAGGCTCAGAATGAGCTCCTTGATATGTGCTTGAGAATGGCTTAGTCTCCGGTTAAACCCAGGTTTAAAGCCTTGCAGGGCAGCCTAAAGCCCACTGCCAACATTAAGACAGAAAAAAGAAAGAAAATAACAAACGCTCAGTTCAGGGGTTTGAGAAAATATGGTGAAATATTGAGAAAAAAATTGTCTCCGGACTTTAAGTGGTTGATAAATTTGTTTATTGGGAGCCCACTGATTTTTAATTGGTTACCCCTGATCTACACCATCACTTTCCTCCCCCCCCCCCCCCCCCCCAGGTGTGCCTGTAATGCTTCGGGCTGAGGAGGAGAGCCGTTCAGGAGGAGATGGGCTGCACCTCTGCCAAGCAGGTGTCATCGGTTCCCAGCGACGAGGAGAGTCAGAGCAAAGCCCACAGCAACGGGGACCTGGTCTCTGGTCAGTCTGACTACTGCATAGAGTCAATATAAGAAAAAAAAAGACTGAGATAAAAAAAAATTTTTGCAGTTCAGGCGTCTTTCCTCATGTGTCATTCAGTTCATTTGTTCATTAGATCTGAAATTAGACAGAATTTCTAACAGAATCTCCGTGCAAAGCATTCTGGGATATATCTGCCTCTTCTGACGCCTTTCTTTTTTCTCTTCCGACCGTCGGCCATTTTCAAAGAGCCGCTGTGAGAAAGCTGAGCTTCAATGACTGAAACCGTAGCTCACCACAGATATACGCCTGAAAGAAAACGCTAGCTAACGGGGGCTAGCATGTAGGACGGCCTTACGTAAACACATCACCAGAATGATTGACAGTTAGGAGGACCACTGATTGAGATGATCCACCTGGAAATAAAAGATTAGCCCTTTTTCTTCTACTTTTTTTTTCACCATGTGTGGAAAAAAAAGAAAGTACATAACTCTTGAAATTGTAGTTTTCCTGTTTGTGGCTAGTAGCATTAGCATGCTTCGGGCTAATCTCTCTTTAACATTAGTTGAGTCATTAAATAACTTAGTTTATCACAGTCATCAATGTTTTCTGTCAGTATTTGCTCTAAAGAGATGATTAGTGTTAAATTTGGAACATGAGCTAAACTAACATTAGCTTAATCGAGGAAAGTGATGTTTGAACGCAGATATTTATGTTTGTTATCAGTTAGCAGCGAATGTTAAGACTTTTCCTTTTATAAAGTTGATGACAGATGGCTTTGGGATATTAACTCCTGATCAGAGCAGCTATTAGCTTGAAAATGCTTTGCTAACGTTACTAGCCACAACCATGAAGGAAATGCCACCGTCTCAAGAGGTGGGACTTCCTGAAAACTATCCAATCACAGTAAGCGGTCCATGTGTGGTTAAAAAAAAAAGGCTACATGCACTTAAAATAAAAAAAAAAATTGTTAGAACTGTAAAATTAACATTTAAATTTAACATATAATAAATTTAAATAAGTAATTTTTTTTAAATAACCCACCCCCCCCCCCCCCCCAGTCTTTTTTTTTTAAATAAGTAATTTTTGTCTTAAAACAAGTAATTTTTCCACAAAAATAAGTCATTTTTTCGTGGAATTGAGGAGGTAAGTGAGACACTCTGGAAATGGATCCAGACATTTACATTTAAAATAAGAAAAAACGATTTAATTTCAAGTGCAAAAATACTGATTCCATTGAGCACACTATCTTATTTACCGACTCTAATTAAATACACTTAATTTAAGAAATATGGACTTATTTACACAGGGGAGTGGTGTTCTAGTGGTTAGAGCATAGAGCTCAGAATCCAGACGTTACCCTTAACCCTACATGCTCCCTAGGCGCCGCACGATGGCAGCCCCCTGCTCCCCAAAGGGAGGGGTTAAATGCAGAGAGGGAATTTTGTTGCTCTGGTGACGGTGGAATGAGAATAAAAATCTGGAAATAAGTAAATGAATTTTGAAGTTTTTTGCCTGCTGAGCAGAAGCTCAGTTTCTCCTTCCTCTCTTTGGGCTCAGCTTTCTGCAGCAGCTGCTCCCTGACCTCCTCACATCTTTGCCGGGTTAGGGGTTAGGGGTAGGGTAGGGTTAGGCTCCTTCCATCCCAGCCAGCAGCTTCTCTGCAGAATCAACCTGGTTTTATTGAACTTTAGAGGCTGCTGACGTAAAAATCCCTGGAAATCTGCAAACACAGACCCGCCCATCTGCAGCTGATAATCAATGAAATCATCTCCTCACACAATGAGCTCCTGACATGACTTTGCTGTCGTCTGATTGGCTACTTGAATATAGAGCTATACTAATGTTCTTATAAACCACATCCATCAATGGACTCTGCGTTCTCACAGTGTGGGACAAACCAGCGACTATCAGGACAGGATTCGTTCTGAGGGAAAGAGTTTAAGCTCGTCATTAATGAGAGAATTACTGAACTGTGAGAACTATTAACCTCAGAGGATCAGAGCGGCGCGTCCTCAATCGTCCCATCGCCGCTCCTGCTGCTGTCATGTGTTAATAAGAGGGGACGGGGGGGGGGGTGTATGCTGCTCATTGTGTCTTTCTGTCGACCTCACAGATGAGCAGAAGATGAGAGGAGGGGAGAAAGACAAAGAGTACATCAGCGGCGAAGAGTCGGGAGAGGACGGCCATGACGGCACGGTGCGTGATTCAACTGCTGCTCTGTCTGTTCCAGCAGAGGGATGGTGTTACCGCCACGGAGTTAGAAACACACAATAAAAAGGTTTTCATTTGAACCTGAGATATTTATGCTCTACTGACGGATTAAAGCCATCAGGAGGGTTCAATTTTTTATATACGTAAGAGACCCAAAATCAGATGAAGTGGTTACAACCAGCTTATTTATTTATATAAACATAGGATTACTTGGAGATGGTCTTATAACCTTTAACATGATTGTATAATTTTCTTTCTAATCTCCTGAAACTCTTTCCTTTATTATCCATGTTGGGTGTGGTAAACACCAGGTCAGCACAGTGACTACCTGTAGCTCTATATAATTGGCAGCTGGTGGAGTGTTTTTCCAGGGGGCGCGTTAACTTCAAATTAGACTTATACCAAAAACCAATCAAACATTTACTGCAGTTAGCCTCGCTGCACGCAGTTAGCCTCGCTGCACGCAGTTAGCCTCGCTCCACGCAGTTATTCTCGCTGCACGCAGTTAGCCTCGCTGCACGCAGTTAGCCTCGCTGCACGCAGTTAGCCTCGCTGCATGCAGTTAGCCTCGCTCCACGCAGTTATTCTCGCTGCACGCAGTTAGCCTCGCTGCACGCAGTTAGCACACAGTTAGCCTCGCTGCACGCAGTTAGCCTCGCTCCACGCAGTTATTCTCGCTGCACGCAGTTAGCCTCGCTGCACGCAGTTAGCCTCGCTGCACGCAGTTAGCCTCGCTGCACGCAGTTAGCCTCGCTGCACGCAGTTAGCCTCGCTCCACGCAGTTATTCTCGCTGCACGCAGTTAGCCTCGCTGCACACAGTTAGCCTCGCTGCACGCAGTTAGCCTCGCTGCACGCAGTTAGCCTCGCTGCACGCAGTTAGCCTCGCTGCACGCAGTTATTCTCGCTGCACGAAGTTAGCCTCGCTGCACGCAGTTAGCCTCGCTGCACGCAGTTAGCCTCGCTGCACGCAGTTAGCCTCGCTCCACGCAGTTAGCCTCGCTCCACGCAGTTATTCTCGCTCCACGCAGTTATTCTCGCTGCACGCAGTTAGCCTCGCTGCCTGCAGTTAGCCTCACTGCATGCAGTTAGCTTTGCTACACGCAGTTAGCCTCGCTGCATGCAGTTAGCTTTGCTACACGCAGTTAGCCTCGCTGCATGCAGTTAGCCTCGCTACATGCAGTTAGCCAAGCTGCACGCAGTTAGCCTCGCTGCATGCAGTTAGCCTGGCTGCACGCAGTTAGCCTCGCTGCATGCAGTTAGCTTTGCTACACGCAGTTAGCCTCGCTGCATGCAGTTAGCCTCGCTACATGCAGTTAGCCAAGCTGCACGCAGTTAGCCTCGCTGCATGCAGTTAGCCTGGCTGCACGCAGTTAGCCTCGCTGCGTGCAGTTAGCCTCGCTGCATGCAGTTAGCCTCGCTGCATGCAGTTAGCCTCGCTACACGCAGTTAGCCTTGCTACACGCAGTTAGCCTCGCTGCGTGCAGTTAGCCTCGCTACACGCAGTTAGCCTCGCTGCATGCAGTTAGCCTCGCTACACGCAGTTAGCCTTGCTACACGCAGTTAGCCTCGCTGCGTGCAGTTAGCCTCGCTGCACGCAGTTAGCCTCGCTGCATGCAGTTAGCCTTGCTACACGCAGTTAGCCTCGCTGCATGCAGTTAGCCTCGCTGCATGCAGTCAGCCTCGCTGCATGCAGTTAGCCTCGCTGCATGCAGTTAGCCTTGCTACACGCAGTTAGCCTCGCTGCGTGCAGTTAGCCTCGCTGCACGCAGTTAGCCTCGCTGCATGCAGTTAGCCTTGCTACACGCAGTTAGCCTCGCTGCATGCAGTTAGCCTTGCTACACGCAGTTAGCCTCGCTGCATGCAGTTAGCCTCGCTGCATGCAGTTAGCCTCGCTGCATGCAGTTAGCCTCGCTACACGCAGTTAGCCTCGCTGCGTGCAGTTAGCCTCGCTGCGTGCAGTTAGCCTCGCTGCGTGCAGTTAGCCTCGCTACACGCAGTTAGCCTCGCTGCATGCAGTTAGCCTCGCTACACGCAGTTAGCCTCGCTACACGCAGTTAGCCTCGCTGCGTGCAGTTAGCCTCCCTGCACGCAGTTAGCCTCGCTGCATGGAGTTAGCCTTGCTACACGCAGTTAGCCTCGCTGCATGCAGTTAGCCTCGCTGCATGCAGTTAGCTTCGCTGCACGGAGTTAGCCTCGCTGCGTGCAGTTAGCCTCGCTACATAAAAAGATGAAACGGATGAAAATGACTCTGAATTTAAAACACTGATGATTTATTGAAAAGTATTTAATAATTTCATATTTTGAATTCTGAATTCTGACCTGAATATATAAAATGCTAATTCTTGTAGCAGCATCCTTTCTTCCATTCAAACATACCGGTAGTTGTTTGAACAATAATTTCAAAGTTCTAATCCTGATAATATTTCCTTATTAATCAAACCGAAGCTTCTTTGAAGAATCGTCATAAAATACAACTTGGTTCTAGTATAAAAAAATGTCTAACCTCAAAACTAGTAGTTTGTTGCAGCCTTATCTCAAACATGCAAACATTTCTTTATCTATGAGGCCTAACTGAGCTGGACTCACTGGAAAAAATCTAAATCTAGATACGTCACTTAAAATAACTGCATTAGTTCTTGAATTGTGGAGGTAAAAGATGCATATTATAAGAAAGTTAAAATAAGATATTTAGATAAAATGCATTTGCAAATAAGTCTACATTTGAGTAGCTAAATGAGATGATTTGCCAATGGAATTAGTATTTTAAGGGTAAATACACTTCATTTAAGACATTTTTTACCAATTTCAAGATTTTTTTTCCAGTGCAGGTTTGGACACGAAAAAAAAAAAAACAATCTAAAAATGTCTCAAATAGTGTTTTTATCCTTCATAAGATGATTTGTCAATGGAATGGAATGAGTATTTCTACTCTAAAAAATAAGATAATTAGATAAAATGCACTTGAAACAAGACAATTTAATGTTTTTTCTTATTTTAAATGTAAATTGTCTTGTTCCATCGACAGTGTTTCACTTCCCTCCTTAATTCAAGCAAAAATGCACTAATTTTAATAAATATTAGATTATAATTATCGAGATTTAAGTGTTTTGCAGTGGAAAAGTGTTTGTTGCTCTGAATCAAACCAAATCGCAGCTTTTTTACTTTTAAACATATGTGAAATGTTAGAAAATGATATTTTTAATATCAGTTATAGACATTTTTATCAGTTCATTAAATTAAGACAGTGATATTCCTGGTTGTGATTTGGTAAAAGTCTGAGAAAGTTCCAGAAGGTTGAATACTTTTAAATGGAGGCAGATGTTGTGGATGTTTGTTAGTCAGCGATGGAGGCTGCAGTAACGATGGTTCCTGATTCTCCCGCAGGAGAAAAGTTCTCTCCTCGGCGTCGGACAACCCTCCAGCCAATCAGGAGCGAACGGAAAGATTCTGTGAGTCTGAACGCCGCCGCCGCTGCTGCTTGATATGCTGCAGGTGTGAGGCTCTAACTGGCCGTCTGCCCCTCCCCCACAGGAGCGTCCACTCCTCAGAGAGTCAGCAGGAATTCTTCCGAATGCTGGATGAGAAGATCGAGAAGGTAAAGCATGAAAATCCAGCGCTGCAGCGTCGCTTCTCTATGCAGAAGTTAAAATCAATCCGTTTCTCTTCCATCGTTTCTCTTCCATCCAGGAAGATTTTTCAATTCCAAATGTCAGAAATAGCGTTTAGTTCCAGGTTTTATCCAGCAGCCCAACAAAGAAAACATGCAGATAGAAACGGATGAACGGGTCCCCCCCTCTGTTTAAGGTGGTTTTTCTTTCTTTTTTTTATTCAAAGCTTTTTATAAAAAAAGTCAGAGGTAGAAACAATAGATCATCTTCATGGTTATAAAAGACTTTCCGTTTTTCAAATTTTATACACATTCAGAAAAACCCCACCCAGACTGGACCCAAAAATAATTACAATAATTGTGATTGTAATGAATCAAAAAACAAAACAACACTGCACCGACAGTAGACTTCAGTTTTTATTTGTTAAATGTGGGCAGGCATCAGAATAAACCAATTAAAACAGTGAGTGAATAGCTCCATCTGCGTTCCAAGGTCCTCTTGGCCAACAAAGTGTTCCTTTGAGTTTGCTCAGCTTTTTAATTGAAACCATAGAATCTTTCAATCTAATGCAGTTAGAGAAAGTTCTTGGAGGCCACCTAAGTATGAGAGGAAGGTTCCCAAACAGATTGAAATTAGTCTGAGCGCCTTATAGCAAATTTCATTTTTTCCAAGTGCAAAGATAACATTACATCTTTCAGCCACTGAGCGACAGTAGGTGGCGCACTTGACTTCCAGTGGAGTAGAATTGGCCTTCGTACGAGCAGAGAAACTAATGCTAGAATGTTCTGTTGGTTCTTAGTTAAATTAGCTTCATCAGGGCTGTAAAGTGACTCCTAAGACTTCTGACATCAAATATATCGACCAATAGCCTAACAACAGATGGCAAGACCAGAACATATGAGTCAAAGCTGCAATATTAATATGACATCTGATACAGTTGCTGTCAATATTTGGGTTTATGGAGTAGATCCTTGCTCTGCTGCAGTGCAAGGATCTCTTCTTAACATAGATGGCTTCCTTCCTCTCAAACCACCTGTCTTCTTTGACCAAAATGTGAACATTCTGCTCCTCCAAAGAATGTCCTTTGTCCATCAGGTGTAGATGTAGTGCAGAGTCTTGTCCAGAGGAGGGCGCTCTTCTGTGTTGGGCCATGCGCCTGTGGAGAGGTTGTTTGGTTTCTCCAATATAAGATCAGAGCATTCCTCGCTGCATTGACCTGCAGACACTCTGCTCAGATTAGGATGAACTGGTCTCTGTTTCAGGGTCGGTTTGGTTTGAAAGGTTCTGGGATTTTATGTTTAGTATATTTACTCTTAAAATAAGATAACTGAGTAAAAAGCACTTGAAATGAGTCAATGCAATTGAGTTTTCTTGTTTTAAGTGTAAAATGTCTTGTTCTATTTGCAAAATTTCTCCTTCACCTCCTGAATCCAAGAACAAATTAAACTTATTTTAAGAAAAAACATACCGGTAACATAACACAGCCGGGGGGGGCAGCTGATGAGCCAGCCTCCCTGTCATCAGGTGGAGCCGATGGCTCCAGACAGGATTACTAAACGAAGCCCAAATCCGCTCCAACCTTCTGCATCCAAAACTCGGCCGTATTTTTTCACTGCTAAAGCTTCATATAAAGAATCGGATTCCTGCTAAATCTGGTTAACTTTACGCCTGGTTAGAGCTACTAGTTACTTCTTCAAAGTATTGCAGTTAGTAACTAGTTACCAGTAGAAAGCAAGTAAGAACTAAAACGTGGAAGAATTTGAATAATTTTTCTGTTATCAGTTATCAGAGCTTTAGGATTAGGACTTCAATTATTATGGAGAGAAATTCGTCCCAATATTGTTAAACCAAACAGAAGCTAATCTTAATCCCAAAAACAAACTGTGGTCAAAACTTTTGGATTGTAAAATGTTAACAAAACACTTTCCGTACCCACTGTATACTTGATAATAAATGTTTGTTTTAACAATTTATCTGTTGATAAATCCTATTTAATTTTTCTCTTAAAACACCCTAAATAACCATAAAAAATGCTTCTAATTTTTGACTGCTTAATTTTACAAACTTTGCCCCATATAATAAGAAAAATCAACCTTAGATGAATTCATTAAACGATAAACTTGCATCTCAAATGAGGACATCAGAGGGTCTGACAGACCGTGTGTTTCCGTTAGTGGCACACATGGACACAGATGTCGACAATGTCGTTTTTCAGAATCTGGAGGAAGCGGCCATCTTCTTAACTCGGTCGCTAACGACCGCCATGAAGTTGGTTGGAAGCTGGATGTTGGATATTCAAGCTTCGCAGAGTCAGCGTCATCCAGCAAACGGCTGATCCGCCTGACAAGATAGAGGAGAGCAGGAGGCGGGGTTACCAATCTACTCGCTCTGGAGAGCAGAGTTCGCTGCTTTTAGATGTTGTCTCCAAAGTCTCCAGTAGCAGAAAAAAGTCTCTAGATTTGGCGCTAGGAGCTTTTTAGAAATCAAAGTGCTAGAGGGGTCTGAAAAGTGGCTAAATATAGCGACTAAAGCGCTAAGTTGGCAACACTGCTCTTTGCATGGTTTGTTTTCAAATGGTTTGCTGCTGTCTGTTTGGACCTTTCTGAACATGTGCAGCAAATGGACTGATCCAATATGGTGGACACTGATGGGGGGGGCTGAGACGCACTTAATATTATCAGCGTTCTGATGGCATTTTAGCCAAAGGATCTTTATCAAAAACATAATTAATGAGCAGAAACAAGGAATAGTTGTATTAACCAAACATGGAAACAGAGTTTTATGGGGCCCCTAGGAACTTGGGGCCCTAGGCAGCTGCCTAGTATTGCCTGATGGTAAATCCCCCCCCTTCATGTGTTTTATCCAGGGCCGGGACTACTGCTCAGAAGAAGACGACATGACATAGCCTCCTGGTTCCAAGATGGAAGACGGCGGGAGAACTTCTGGTTTTAACTGAACTCTGCATGAGGAGGGAGGATGCCCCCCCATCCCACAACCAGACAGTCTAATGAGCTCCGACAGCAGATGGTCTCCTCCTGAAACTAGACGTCCAGGATCCACCCCGGACGGCTCCCAGCAGCAGCGTTTTGGGGCCCCGTGTTTGTCCGTCCGTCCTCGCCGTGCGAAACGAGGCTCAGGGTTAAAGGTGTTGAAGCGTCACTGTATCTCTCATGTAGTTCAGTCCTTTCTTCTTCTGCTCCTTGAAGCGAACGCAGCAGAGCCGGTCCCGTTTCCTGCTCCACGTGAAGACGAGGCTCACGCCGCCGCCGCCGCACTCGGAGGGCTCCGCCCATGTCCGTCACTGTCCTCTCTTCATGTTCTAATCTTTCACTCTTTGTTTTTTTTAGGGAAATTAAAATATTTACAGGAATTCCTCTTCGCCCGGCTGGTTTGTTTTTGAGAACATGAAAAGAAAGAACATCGGCTACGGAGTGAAATTTGGTCCTTTATTGTTGCAAAGAACAGGTTTTATGAATGGAAATAATTTATTTGAGAAATAATCTATTTAATAAAAACAATAAAGTCTTTAGGGCCACTACTTCTTTTTCAAATTTTACTTAGTAGTTTACTTTAGTTTTGTTTTTTCATTTTCTTTGGGGATTTTTGATGGACTTTTTTTCCATTTCTAAATTTCTGTTTTTCAAAACTGAATTTCACAAACTGCTTTTTCCTGATCAAAATCTCTCGACTTCTGTGGGCGTGGCTGAGAAGCTCATTCCTATTGGTCCGCTGGAAAAGGAACGCAGTTTTTCCCGTATTACTGTGAGAGTAAAAAATAGTCAGTAAAAACTAATGGAAAATGAAGAACAAGTGCACCTTAGATACCAAACTTACGGTAAACTTGTTCCCGTCCCTGTCCTGCATTGTGACCAATGAACTGACAGCATGTTTGTTACGATCCAGAATCCCCTCATCCCATTGGTCGAGACAAAACATGTTCTTTGCAACAATAATGGAACAAATTTCTCTCCATAGAATTAAACCGTACATTCCTAAAGATATTTTTTATGATAAAAACTTTTCCATACAGAGCTGAGAACATTTGTGCTGCAGAAGCTGCAGATCTGTTGTGTTTTGATAAAACCTGAACAGCTCCCAGTTTTTATGAGCTCTTACTCGCCGCCTCCGCCATCTTTGTTATTGGGCGGCTGTGACAGCAAATCCCATAATGCATTGCGGGAAGAGTTCTCTGCACATTCTGGGATATATCTGCTCCTCCAGTGACCAGGGAGGATCAGTACCTTTCAAAGTGCATTGTGGGAAATTTTGATTCCACTACTTTTTTTTGGACGCCATTTAAAATGGAGTAACCAGTGAATATTGGTTCGGTCAGTAGTTCAGACTCAGCCTAAGAATCTCTAAAGTACGGCGGCGGATTAGGGCCATTAAAAGACGGAGAAAAAATATACTGGAATTTAACTTTTTTGGGTTTAAAGTGGCATGTTTACGAGAATAAACACGCAGATTAAGAAGGAAACAAGTAGCAAATATACGAGAATAAACACGCAAATTTATAAGAAAAAGAACTTACAAAGTAACAATTATAAAAGTGCCAATTTAGAAGGGAAAAGAAAAACATTTAAGCATGCACATTTGCAAGAAAAATGTAACTAATTTACGAAATAAAGACATGCAAATTTATTGTATTATTCATTTTTACTTTCATAACTTCCATGAGGCCATTTTAGCAGCTGATGCATTTTTATAGCTTTATGGAGTTCAGTTTAACCTGGATTTTAACCTTGAATTGTTCTGCAAATGAGCATGTGTAAAATTAGGCAAATTTGCTACTTTCTCCTCAGTTTGTGTTTTTTTTCTTAGTAATTTGATTCTTTTTCTCTTATATTTGTACGTTTTAATTTCATAAATGTGTTTCTACTCATAAGAATGTCACTTTAAACTCCAAAATGCTGAATCATTTTTCTCTTTGAATGGTCCTAATGTCGTCCTAACGTTCAGTTTTTGGTAATGATATTTTAGATGCTTCATGCTATGGAGTCATATTGATCACATTTATCTCACAGCATCAAGCTGCTTCTAATAGATTCAGGAAATAAAATTGTTGTTTTTGTTAAAACATGTTTGAAAAAAACAAAAAGCAGAAGGAATGTTTGTGTGAAAAATCCCCTTCAAGCTTTAAATCTTTTTATTGAAATGTTCACCCGGCCTTCATGTGATGCAGCGAGCCGCCTGCTGGCGGCAGCACTTCCTGGCTGCCGCCATGCGGAGGCGCTCCGCACGCAGCCTGGAGGAAGCCCGCGTTAAGGTGCGGAGGATGCCAGGAAGGCGGCGCCGTTCTCCGCGCCGCCGGCCCGGATTAGAAGACGGACGTCTCTGCTTCAGGTCTCAGCGCCGCTGCCGCCTCTTCCGGTGCTGCCTCCGCCCCACGTCCTCGAAGGGTCCGGCAGGCGGGTCAGGGGTCACCAGCCCGTCGCTCATCCTCTGGTAGACCAGGGTAGAGTCGGGCGCCACGGCGCACAGCAGCAGAGGGAGGCCCCGGTCCAACAGCAGGCGGATGCTGCAGGGCAGAGGGGAACCGACCTGACATCAGCAACCAGTGGGGGAGGGGGGGTCACCGTGTATATCTGACCTCCTGTGGCTCAGACGCCGGTCTACAGGCAGCGGCAGGACGGTGTGAGGAGCAGCTCCATCCTTCTCTCTGGCCTCCAGCAGAACCAGCTGCAGCTCTGGACTTCTGACGCAGGAGACGTCCTTCCAGCGCCGCACTGCGGGACAAACAGCAGCCGTTACTCACTAGGTGTACGTGCGTGTCCTCGTGAAACACCATCATCCTCAGCTCTAGCACTGTTCCAGTTCACTAGAACAGCAGACAGAGAACAGACAGAGTCCCCGGATGTTGTTCTGGCCCCTCCCTCTTTACCCAGCATGCATCAGAGCAGACTCTCCAGACTGACAGCTGTCCCAGCATGCACTGCAGCAGCAGCTTCCAGGTTAGCGCTCACAGAGCTCAGAGGATTAAATTAAAACTTCTCTTTTCTGTTGCTGTTGTTCAATAAAAGTACGTTTTAAGATCATTTGAGGCAAGAAAATTATACTTTAAGCTTCACTATATGGAACATTTACTGATTTAATGCAGAATTTAAAAAAAATAGTTCAGAATTTGAGAGGACCGTGGCGACCAGCTGAGCTCTGAGGCTAACCGCACCCAGGGCTAACGTTAGCCCGTCAACACCTTTGTTTCTAGATGTTGGAGCTTGGCCTGTTTTCCAGTGTAGTCCTGTTTCTCTGACTGTGACTAACTGGATGTGCTCTCTTCATCCTCTGACATGGGAGCTGGCTCGGAGCTCGTCTGCCTGGCTGTGTGTTTCCTGGACGGGGCCGCCTGTGGAGCTGGTTGACAGTTGCCTTTTGTATCTATGCTTCTTTTTCTATGTCTGCTTCTGTCTCCTTGAACCCCAGTCGGCCTCAGCAGATGGCCGCTCACACTGAGCCTGGTTCTGCTGGAGGTTTCTTCCTGTTCAAAGGGAGTTTTTCCTCTCCACTGTCGCTACAAGCATGCTTAGTGTGAGGGATTGCTGAAGAGTCAATGAGTCGATGCAATCAGCTGGTTTTCCTTAGATAGAAAACTTTGAATCAATCTGACTGGATGATCTGGTGAACTGGAAAGTGACCTGAGATGACATGATGTGAATTGGAGCTATAGAAATAAACTGAATTGAATTCCTACTAGTAGAAATGACGTCACGTGACCCCATTCATGTGTATTGGGCTTTTACTTCCGGATCTGTAAAGTAAAACTCACCCTCAGTGAGATCCATGTAGACCAGGAAAGCTGCGTGGATCTGCTCCCCGTCCTCCACCTGCAGCTCCTTCATCTGTTCATACTAAGACAAGAAAACACGCGGGTCACTGTGAAGGTCCCGCAGAGCTGTGGGCCCCCGGTCCCGCAGGGCTGTGGGCCCCCGGTCCCGCGTGGGTTCCTCTCACCGTGGGATGCCGCTGGATCCAGTTTAAAGGCGGCTCTGCTCCGCCTGCAGCTCCGGACATTTCCTGCTCATCAGTCTGCAGCTGAACCGCTGCTGGTTTAGTTACAGGTGTTTTACAACAAAGGCGGCCCGGGTGGAAACAGGGGCAACAACGTTTGGATCCGCTGCATGGTCGCTCAATCCGGTTGATTCTTGTTGAAAAAAATGTTTTTAAATAAAATTTAGTTTGAAGAAAATTACTCAATCCAGAAAGGAAAGTAAAAAAAACCACCTTTTCGATCAAGAGTTTTTTTTTTTTTTTTGTGATAGAGCCTTTCCCACAGCAGTGCTTTATTCATTATATCTTAAAAGCTAAAGCAGCAAAAATAAGTTTTAACGGAAAAAAATTTAGCACAGACGAAGCACTAATGTCTACAAACGCAGAGCACGTTGGTTGAACTCGGAGGGCGGTGGCAGCTGGTGGGGTTTTCTCCACCAGGGGGAGCCAGACATAGTAAATAGACCAAAAACAAACTATACAGCATGCTCACAAATGATTCATTTGTTCCCAATTCTTTTGAACGTGTGTGTGAAGGGGGTGGGGGGGATTCACACACTGCGTTCTGATGCATTTTAGCAAAACGATTTTTATAAAAAAAAAAAAAACACATAATTAATGTGCACAAATAAGGAATAGCTGTATTAATCATAAATAGAAACAGAGTTTTATGAGCCCCCCAGGACCCTGGGCAGCTAACCTAACCTAATGGTAACCCCCCCCCCCCCTGCCTGGGGGCCCCGGTACTGCAGCCGGTCAGACTGAGGGCGTTCAGTGAGGTAGTTGATGGTCCAGATGTTTGTCCTCCAGCAGCTCTGGTCTGATGGTGCTGAAAGCGCTGGAAACGTATTCGGTCTCTTTGACATCCCTTTGGTTTTTCTTTTTCTGTCACTTATATAAATATATATATTTACTGATTAATGCTAAATTCATTAAATCACTGCAAACTTATTAGTTTTAGGTATAAATAATGATCCATTGATTATTCCTGCTGATCAGAGTTTTCCTTTAAGAGAAGCTGTTGCGTTTTGGAGCTAAATAAGTAAACTGAATATTTTGGTCATCTGATAGCGAAATGCTTTCTATTCGTTTATCTGAAGCAGAGAAGCTTCTTATGCCGTCAGAAGGGGGGGGGGGATCATATATGACGAATTATTTTATTGGCCTTTTGTCATAATAGCATTATTATTATTATTATTATCAATTTCAGCTGAAATGTTCATATCTGTGTCGCTACCCAAAACATTTAAGTCATTCTTTTACATTCTGCACGCTGAAAATAAGATGTAATTTATCTTAATCTAAATAACTGCTTTTGATAATCCTGATGGAACACAAACAAAAGATTACCGTCATAAAATAATAAAATAGACCAATTAATTATGCATTAATTAATGCATTAATTATCAAGTATAACATCAGCTCCAGGTAAATACTTCTAATGATCCTGCCTGTTATCACCGACGCAAAGGAAAGAAAACACAAAACATCATTATCTTCAGTATTTTTATTTAAAAACAAAAAAAGTCAAACAAAAATCAAAACAAAATACTATTAGTACTGTCCCTTAGTACAAAATGAGTTATGAAAAGAACAATTAAACCACATAAATGATGCTTCTTTGATATGCAATAAATTAATCGGCAAAAGAAAAGTAATAAAATGCTTCGGCGTTAGCGATGCACAGGAAAACTGAAACTCCAATGCTTAGAATTTAAGACACCTGAGAATATAAATATCAAAAACCGAGCAATCATTTAATTCAACAACTCCTATAAAATCATCTCAACTAAAGCTTTAAGAGAGATCTTTAAAAAATACATAGTAGAAAAAAATCAGCCATAAAAAAAAGAATAAAATTACAGCACATCCAACTCCTGTACAGTGTGCATTACTGAATTAGTGTGGTTAGGATCCATGTACACTGGATCCCACTCCGCTGTTCTGTCAGGCTAGCATACCCCGTCAGGCTAGCATACCCCGTCAGGCTAGCATACCCCGTCAGGCTAGCATACCCCGTCAGGCTAGCATACCCCGTCAGGCCAGCATACCCCGTCAGGCCAGCATACCCCGTCAGGCCAGCATACCCCGTCAGGCCAGCATACCCTGTCCTGTCAGGCCAGCATACCCCGTCAGGCCAGCATACCCCGTCAGGCCAGCATACCCTGTCCTGTCAGGCCAGCATACCCTGTCAGGCCAGCATACCCCGTCAGGCCAGCATACCCCGTCAGGCCAGCATACCCTGTCCTGTCAGGCCAGCATACCCCGTCAGGCCAGCATACCCCGTCAGGCCAGCATACCCCGTCAGGCCAGCATACCCTGTCCTGTCAGGCCAGCATACCCCGTCAGGCCAGCATACCCTGTCCTGTCAGGCCAGCATACCCCGTCAGGCCAGCATACCCCGTCAGGCCAGCATACCCCGTCAGGCCAGCATACCCTGTCCTGTCAGGCCAGCATACCCTGTCAGGCCAGCATACCCCGTCAGGCCAGCATACCCTGTCCTGTCAGGCCAGCATACCCCGTCAGGCCAGCAATACCGCAAGGCTGATTCCAGAGCAGTAACGTCTGTATAATGAACTATTCTCTCTTTGCAAAGATTATAAAGTGCCGACTGAGTGAAATCCTTCGATCTCCGTTTATTTAACTGGGATGAACGGTTGAATACTTTTTTTTCCCACTACAGCTGGATAAGAAGGAAATAAAAAGAACCAGAAATGTTTTAGAGCCATTTTCCTTTGAATTATCTTGGAATTTATGTGTTTTAATATTATTTGAAAAACTAAAAATATGTAGATTATTGGTTGTTTAAGATGGAAACAGATTTCCTATTAAGAGATAAAAAAAAAACAAATAGGTGTTTGTTCTGAAAAGTATAAATCTACGTTAGAGCTTAAAATAACTTTTAATTGGTGGGACTCTGAAAGGTTGCAGACCGCTGGGCGCTCCTTAAAGCCAACTTAGTTGGATTTTTGTCGTAGTTTAACGCATAAAGCAACATAAAGTCCTTCACTACGTCCACTGGATACATTAGCTTTAAAAAAACAAAACATTGAATGTTTGTTTGATGAGGATCTTATTAAAGAATAATTGGAATCATTACAGAAATATTTATAGGGACAGGATTCTACTCCTGAGCTGACAGGATATGAGATTTATTCACTCGCTGCCTACTGGCACAATCTGAAGCCCTGGGTTAGGGTTAGCAGGCGTATGCTGAGCTGACAGAACTCCGCATCCTGTAACATGAACAGATGGACATTTTCCATCGACATCATCTGAGAACTGACTGGGTTTCCAGCAATGCCCCATTTTGGTCACTATGGTAACCAGTAGTTTGGTTAAACCCTTTATTACAAAAAATACAATAAAATCCCCAAAACAAGCAGCTGAGAGCAGGTCAGCTGATGTCATGGCGTTGCATACAGACCCAGAGACCCCCGCCGATGGGATCGCACTGCAGACGCCAAAAGCTAAACAGCGTCCTGGAAAGAAAAGCGTGCAGGAAATCTGCAGAGATGCTGCAAAAACAAAGTAAAAACTGTGAGGTATGTTCTTGTGATTTTATAGCTGTGAGAGTCGGCTGGTCCCCCCTCCCCCCCTGAAGGTAGGAGGACGGGTTTCCACCCAGAAAGCAGAAGTAGGTTGTGTTTGTTCCTTAGTTACAGAGTCCATGTGTTCCAGGGTTACTGCCAGCAGCGAACCCCCATGTCAGCAAAAAAAAAAAAGACGAGTATAAAAATGTTTTACTTCAATGGACTCCCACTGAACCGATGGTGAACGGCTGCCGTTTGTGAAAATAAGTCCTCGTGAGAGGAAGACATCTTGAATAGTCAGAGGATGGAAGGAACAGCAGAAGATGGCGTCCACAGGAGATGGCGTCCACAGAAGATGGCGTGGACGTCTGAAGCAAACTAAAGGAAGAACCCAAAGGACGCCTAAAAGCCGCGACCTTCCCGTTCACTTTTAAAACAAACTTTTACACAAATGATCCGTTATGAAGATTATTAACGTTTCCACAGTGTTTGCATGTAGAGACTCAGTAACAGCGCCGCCATGTGCACCTTTCAGGAAAAAAAAAGAAAAAGTGCCTCATTTTGCGTTTTCAGGAGGAATATCCGCCGTTATGACGATGATGCAGCGATGGATGGGTTGCTATGACGATGGTTAAGGCTTTCCAACATCTGTGTTTGCTAACATGAAAGTAATGTGAGCGATGGTGAGCGAGGAAAATCACGCCTGGGCTTAAAAATGATGGACGACTGAGGTTCATCGATTTGGAGTTTCACTCCACTGAGATTTTAGCATAATAAAGACGTTTTAGATAGAAGCACGTTTCTAGAGAGCGTATTTAACCTCTATAGACTACATAACAGGGCAGCACCTCCCCAACCTGTTGCTGGTTGACAGATAATATCCTTCCCTTTCCTTACCAGAAGCTGGAAAGTCCTGAAATAGGAGCTAAATAAGCTCCACCCACACAGACGACTCCAGAGAATAAACTGACTCACTAATCGTTCACTTTACCATTTTTTCCGGGACAATAAGGAAACAAAAACATCTAACTTTTCTTTTTCCGCTTTTTTTACCAGCTCAACGTCGCCCCCTGATGAGACCTCAGAGTGAAAATGTGCTTTTTAAACATCATAGGTAACATTGAAACAAATGTTTTTACAATTATTTCAAAACCTTTGGTACCTTATTAAAATTTAACTTTTTTTTGTGGGAAAAAAAATCCTATTACAAATGAATTTTTTTAATATTTTGAAAGGTTTGGAAGGATTTATGCAACATATTACTTTTTCTGCTTGCAGGGAATTTGAGTAAACACTAGCATTTTGACATTACGTCAAAATAACGCCACAGAAACCTGACAGTGGGTCATAGTTACAGACCCCGTTTTATCCCAAGAAGGATGAAAACAGCTGAAAGTGAGCAGCATCTGTCCAAACCAGTCAGATTTATCAGGCTAATAAAGGCCGCTGTCCTTTTATTTAACATCCTCTTCAGCTCTGATGATCCAAAACGCCCCAAAAAGCAACTCTGAATTCCCCAAAGCAACAAAAAGTGTTGCACCAGATCTTTCTTCCTGATCCCAGGCGGTTGGACACGTTCTGCTCCCACAACTCAGACAATGGCGAGGTTTTCCCCTGAAGGCAGCCGAGCTAAAAGCACTTCCACCCTCTGCCAGAAAAGTCCAAACTTTACACACTGTTGCACAACAGCCTTACAATTTCAATCACTATCCTTTAAAAAGAAAACACACACACACACACACCACCTCTCACTGGCAAAGCCATCCTATCGAGCATAACGTTACCCCTAATATAAGGACTACAATGCATTACGTGTATCATTTCTGCTGCTAGTAGCATTACCACTTACTCTACAGTAAAAGCTTAAAACTTATATACATTTGCATCAATATTAGACATAATACTGCAGCGTATTATGTGCAGGTAATTCATCGAGCCTTCAGAGTGGTGTGCAAACTGCTCATCTACTGGGAGGTTTGTTCAGCTTTCCGTTAAAAATCAGATCTGATATGAAAACGACGGGTTATGATGATGGAGAAACATGAATGGTTCACATCTAAAAACAAAAACACGGCTAAAGCAAAGATTAAACCTAGCTACGTCGCCTATTGTTCAAGAAATGATGCTAAGGATGAATGAGGAGGAATTAACAGCTTTTGTTTTTTTCTTACATAAATCAAAAAGGTGAAGAAAATCCCTGCCACTTGAAATCTGAGAGGTTGAGTTTGTTCGGAGTCTTTTATGGCTTAAGTTTTACTCCACTGTTCTTGTCGCAGTCAAAGAGAAAGAAGAATCGGGACACAAAGCGATTTGCGGCGCCGTGGATCCGTTTGAACCGTGAGGTATTCAGAGTCATTTGGTTAAAAACAAACCAAAGCCTGGAAATCATGGATGTCATCGCATCACATCCTGCTGCGGGATCGGGAATGTTTTTTTTGGTATGTGTGGATTTCATCGACTCTTTTCAGCTGTTTAAGCGCCAGGGTGGGGGTGGGGGGGCAGTTTAACCATCCGTCTCTGTGGTGAATAACGGCCTCATCCACCCTGAAGGCTCCGTCCGATCTGAGTTTGTAAACTTTACAGGCATGTGCAGCAGTAGGGTTGATTTTAGGAAAGGAGAAACTGAAACGGGGAGATTTCTTCTAGGAGATTGCTGGAGGCTGCGTTCAGAGGAAGCAGAAGAACATCTGTGTGAGACAGAGAGCCTCTGACATCCAGCTCTGCACCTGTGGGATTAACAGGAAACCAGTTTCGCTCCGACGCCTCCTTAGGTGTGGGCGGCGGGCGGGGCCTTGCAGCGGGCCAGCATGGAGGGCTGGAAGTTTGGGTGGCGGCGGGCGTGCTTGATCAGGTGGTCGCTGCGCATGAAGCGCTTGTCGCACAGCGGGCACAGGAAGCGCTTCTCCCCGGTGTGGGTGCGGGTGTGGCGGGCCAGCTCGTCGGAGCGGGCGAACTTCTTCTCGCATTTGGGCCAGGTGCAGGGGAATGGCCGCTCGCCTGCAGCGGAGCACAAACATCAGTCAGACGGAAAGGAAGAGCTTCATAGACAGAATTAACCCCATTAATCATTTATTAATTAATCATTAATTTACAAATAGATTCATCTCTGGATTATTATTAATCTGACAGCCAAAGGTTCCCTAGGGAATATTAAACCAGCTGAAACTAAAACTTTTCCACTGGGGGGGGGGGTTCTGGATGGAGCAGACTGACAGACAAAATAAAAACATTTTAATCTTAAAGGAGAAGTTCGGTTTTTTACACTTTAAGCCCATTTTCTGTAGTGTCCAGGATGAAATCGAATGATCGACACCAAAAGTTTGACAATTGCTCCTGTCTCTGCTTTTTGGCTCATTTAGAATCCCCCCCTGGCTGCTTTAGAATGGCTAGCATAGAGCATGTCCGATAATGTCCTTAAAACAACCTTAAACGTTCTTTTTTTAAAATATGCTACTCACCGTGTCGTCAGCGCTGTTCAATGACGTTCCAAAAAAAGTTTCGTGAAGAAAAAACGTTCCTGTAGTGTTTTATTTAGCATTTTGTAAATCCCATTGAGTTCTGTAGGAATAGTCAATATTCCCCTGCCACCGGAAACGGAAACGGGGCCTGTTTACACAGTTGTAGTCTTTTCGCTTCACTCTGTGTACTCCGACGTCGAGGTGCTAACGTCTCTGTTAAACACTTTAAAAAACTCTGAAAATGGAATACGAAAGGTGGATTCTTGATTCTCGACGTCGGAGTACACAGAGTGAAGCGAAAAGACTACAACTGTGTAAACAGGCCCCATTTCCGTTTCCGGTGGCAGCGGAATATTGACTATTCCTACAGAACTCAATGGGATTTACAAAATGCTAAATAAAACACTACAGGAACGGTTTTTCTTCACGAAACTTTTTTTGGAACGTCATTGAACAGCGCTGACGACACGGTGAGTAGCATATTTTAAAAAAAGAACGTTTAAGGTTGTTTTAAGGACATTATCGGACATGCTCTATGCTAGCCATTCTAAAGCAGCCAGGGGGGGATTCTAAATGAGCCAAAAAGCAGAGACAGGAGCAATTGTCAAACTTTTGGTGTCGATCACTCGATTTCATCCTGGACACTACAGAAAATGGGCTTAAAGTGTAAAAAACCGAACTTCTCCTTTAAATGTAAAATATTGATATTTTTACAGTTTTCTTACAGTTTCTGCTCTAAGTGAGTCACTCTGTCAGGTTTACAGTCTCTAATCTCCAGATAATTATTATTTTAATAATCAATTAATCCAATTAACTGTTTCATCTCTATTTAATATTTCTCTGTTTTCTCCCTTTCATCTCTAACGGCCCCAGTTTGCATTTCTAACTTGCCCTTTAAAGGCTCAGCGCTGAATCTGGATTAGGACTAACGTATTAATCTCCTTCTGGGTCCAACGATGCAGGGTTCTGCATGTCGTCTTTGTTCCCGTACAATCATGTATTGTACGGAGGAAAATTAGTGGAAAATCTCTCTGCATCCTAAAAGCAAGCTGGGATTAAAGATGAACGGCCCCATCTGGGATTAGGACCCCCGTGACAGGCCTTTCTCTGCACATTCTGCCATCGTTAATCTCCTGAGTCGACGCCCGTCAGGATGCTCTCTGCTGCCTCGCCCAATATACAGAATGTATATTTACAATAAAATAACAGGCGCAAATAGCTCCTTCTCTAGATTTTTCAACATAGATTAATAAATGTAAGTTTTCATAATTCCAAGCCAGCGTCTCTGGTTTAAAGCAAAGGCTTCCTGGATTATCTGCGGCGCCCAGTCGGCTCATCCTCCTCCATGTTTTGGTTTTATTCATGAGGCCTGCAGACGGAGCAGAGAGCCGTCAGCATTTCCTCAACGGAGGAAAGATTAAGAGCTGAAAAACCACCAACAAAATACCTGATGCCAACAGGGACAGGTGTGGTTAGATGCGTGATAAATGACTACCAGCAGGTGGCGCCAGTTTACATCAGATGTGGCTTGGTTTTGGTCGTGAACCAGTTTAGCTGCTACGCTTCTGCACCGTCGGTCTGGAATTTCTAGGGACGCTCAGCAGCTTCCTGCCAAAGCGTAGGAGGAGCCTATTAGAGAGCTTCAATGGATGGTCACGAGAACTTTGATGGCGCTGGCGGGAGCGTTTATTTCCCAAAACCTCAATGGCGCGTCTGGAAGATATCACGCTGATGGAGATGGATCTAGAGATGCTAGACGTGGAGGAGGAACAGGTTCTGTTAATGGAGCGAACCTCCTCGATTAACCTTTTATCACAGTTTTCTATTGTTCCTCGGTTTTTAAAAATGGCGCGCCCCGGCACCGAATCAAGAAGGACGACCACACAGACAGCTGGAGAGGCATAGCAAGGACCAACGGCTGCTTTTTGTCTGCGTACTTCTGCGATGTGTGGTCAGGTTTTTTTTTAGGTTGCGACGACGGTTGTAGAGCATCTACACGGGGGGCGTGGTCGCACTCAGGGACAGATTTGACGGTTTCAGAGGCTACGAGTCAGAACCTTAAACTGGCCTTAATGCTGAGTTCACGCCAAAGGCGTTAAGGGCGTCAAAAACATGCAAACGCAGAAATCTGTACTGTGTTTCTGCGTTCTGGCAGCGATGTTTGATTGTAATCGTTTTTCCCATAGTGCTCGATCGGCCTTTTTCACAAAGTTTCAGTTGTGTTTTTTTTCTGTGTTAAATGTCTATCCGGCCAAAAATGGCATCCCTATTTTAAATCGATTAAAATAATCCTTTGAAAAAAAATAAAAAAGTTCAATTAATTGCAGATTTGATATCTAATTAGGGCTGAATCAATTAATCGGATTGATCCATTACTGAAATAATCGTTAATCGAGTTTAGAGATGGTAAAACGTGCCTTTAGCTGACAGAGCGACTCACTTAGAGCAGGAATTATATCAAGATTGTAAACGAATATATAAAACTTTTGGCATTTAAGATAAAAAATATCTTTTTCATCTGTCAATCTGCTTTATCCAGAACTCCTCCAGTGGAAAAGTTTTAGCTTTAGCTGATTTAATTTAGCTAAAAATCTTCTTTAAGGAACCTTTGGCTGTTTGTTTATTAATCGATCAATCATAAAATAACCAACAGATTAATAGATTTGAAAAATATCCGTTAGTTGCAGCCAAAGACGTCATTTTGTGTCAAAGATTTCTGTTAAAGGAAAATTCCGGTTTTTAACACTTTTAGCCCATTTTCTGTAGTGTCCAGGATGAAATCGAATGATCGACACCAAAATTTTGACGATCGGTCCTGTCTCTGCTATTTGGCTCATGCAGAATCCCCCCCTGGCTGCTTCAGAATGGCTTCCATTAGGGCTGGGCGATATAGAAAAAAAGCTTATCGATAAAAAAAAAATGCATATTGATCGATATCGATAATTATTGAAAAGATTTGAAACCATATTTTATGTGCAGCTCTGCCTGGACTTTTTATAATATTGCTAAATGATTTAATTTTAATAAAAAACACAAACACAGACTTCGAATTCAATCTTTATTTAACCAACTTCTTTAACCATAACAGAATTGTTTTAAAGAAAAATAACTTAAGAGACCTGAGTTATGTTATTAAATACTGACAAAGAATAAACTAAAGTGACCAGAAAAGTGACCAAAATAGATATAACAAATAAATAAATGCCCCCCCACCGCCGCCCCCGTTTCCTGCTTTAACCTGAGTTATTACTTTGAAGTTTCTGCCCCCTCAGCATTTTTCTCTCAATTGTTAGAACTACGTGGGAAACTGCCCAGAACTGAACATATATATATATATATTTTCCCGAAATTTCCGAAGATTCCTGGGAGGAGAGCCGCGTCGGGGCCTACACAGCTCGTACTCCTGCGGCTGTGAGCGGCTGAGATGATAAAAAAAAAAAAAGTTGGTTGTGTTATCAGACTGGTTTTCACTGGTTCCCGACACATTTTCCAGATGACTGTGGTTTGTTTTTGGTCCGACTTGCCATGACCGAAATACTGCCAGACTGGCGAACTACAAAAACCCTTCTTTGGAACAATTTCCTCCGCCTCTCCTTGCTGCACAGCTTCATGTGCTCTGTGTTGTGGTTTGAGAGGGCGGCGCTTTGTGACGGCGTGCCTGGGTCCGCGATTGTGATTGGTTGGGAGGAAGCAGTGACTAGCATAAACCTACATGCTAGGCTACAATGAGAAGGAAGGAAAACTGTGTTTCTTTTTTATCAAACTTTTATCGACCCTCTTTTTTTCTATTGCGCCACACGTCTATCGATCGATATATATCGTTATTGAATTATTGCCCAGCCCTAGCTTCCATAGTGCATGTCCGATAATGTCCTTAAAACAACCTTAAATGTTCTTTTTTTTAAATATGCTACTCACCGGGTCGTCAGCGCTGTTCAATGACGTTCAAAAACAAGTTTCGTAAAGAAAAAACGTTCCTGTAGTGTTTTATTTAGCATTTTGTAAATCCCATTGAGTTCTGTTGGAATAGTCAATATCCCTCCGCCACCGGAAACGGAAATGGGGCCTGTTTACACAGTTGTAGTCTTTTCGCAAGGCCCAAGTGTTTCTGCTTCACTCTGTGTACTCCGACGTCGAGGTGCTAACGTCTCTGTTAAACACTTTTAAAAACTCTGAAAATGGAATACGAAAGGTGGATTCTTGAGGAGGACATATTGGACTTTGAGTTTGACGGTAGAGGATTCGAACGGGAAGCGGAAGTTTATAAGCGGTTGTGATGTATCGGAAAAAATAGTTCTGGGATTTACAAAATGCTAAATAAAACAAGACAGGAACGGTTTTTCTTCACGAAACTATTTTTGGAACGTCATTGAACAGCGCTGACGACCCGGTGAGTAGCATATTTTTTAAAAAGAATGTTTAAGGTTGTTTTAAGGACATTATCGGACATGCACTATGGCAGCCATTATGAAGCAGCCAGGGGGGGATTCTGCATGAGCCAAATAGCCGAGACAGGACCAATCGTCAAAATTTTGGTGTTGATCATTCGATTTCATCCTGGACACTACAGAAAAGGGGCTAAAAGTGTTAAAAACCGGAATTTTCCTTTAATTCAAAAGAGAAAAAGTACAGATAATCTATTTATTACAACCTCCCATAATATGCAGGACCATGAGAGTCAGTGGAAAAGAAATAAAATTTTAGATCTAACATTTTAAATTAGGGATGCACCCGAAAATGACAATTCTTGGCCAAAAAAGTAAAAAATTAGGAAGCGAAGCCTGAAACTCAAAATACTGAAGTTATGCTGAATATTAAAATCTGAGTTTTTTTGGTTCTCAATACATTTCAATAAGTTCTAAACTATTCAATAACAAAAGTACCAAAATATTTACCACTTTGCCATTTAGCTCAACAGAATCACTGCAAAATGGTTTTAAACGTCTATTGGGCAAAAAATGTCTTCCCTATTTTAAATCGATTAAAATAATCCTGTTTTAAAAAAAAAAAAAGTTTTGTAATTGCAGATTTTATATGTAATTAGTGCTGAATCAATTAACTGGATTAATCGATTATTAAAATAGTGAACTAATTTAGTAATTGATTAATCGTTAACTGAAGTATAGAGACGGTAAAACCTGACGGAGCGACCCGCTGAGAGCAGATTGTTAAAAATTAACTCAGGTGGGAAACTTTTAATTTCACTAAAATGTCCTTTAAGGAACCTTTGGCTCAAAGTCGAAAAAATAATCAAGAGATTAATTGATTTGGAAAATGATCGTTAGTTGCAGCCCTATATATGATATCAAAGAGGAATTGAAACTATATTACAACATTTTTAAATGTATTTTTGAATTAAATGTGTAAATGGTGTTTAACAAACCATAATTCCTAAATCCGCTTAAACATACATTTACTTTAAAATTACTTTTAAAAATTTAAGAAGGTAATTTATTTTTTCCAATTCCTTTTTTTTTATTGCATTACTCTCTTTAAACTTCATGGATTCTAATGATGGTTAATGAGGCAGCTCTACTGACCCCTGCTGGACATTTAAAGACACTACAGGCAGCTGATTGGACAGAATAAACTGAACGGATCTGATGACCTGGAACAATGATAGCGTTGCAGTTATTGGAGGTTATATTCTATTATTTCATATCTATGTTTAAATTTAAACTATAAACATATAAGGTGAACATTTAGGGGAAAATGTTAATGGGGATGCTGGTGGATTAGGATTTTAAATCGTAATTTTAAAACAGTAAAAACAGTAGATATGTAAATTGATAACTGAGAGGAAAAGTGAGACGAGAAAAATAAAAACGCAACGGCTGAAACGTTCCTATTCCTTTTAGACGCAGAAATTCTGGATCATTTTAATGCTAAACATTTTTTAGCATCATGTTGACAGACACGTTTTAAACATAGTTTAGTGAGTCAGTCAGTAACCCCCACATCCTCCATCTCCGCTCCGCTCACGTACGTCAGAGATCCGCGATTCCAATCACAGCAAACAGGAAAAACAACATCGAGAAGATCCGGTTTTTCAAATAAAAATATAGCGACGACGGATCGGTAATTACAAATTACAGCATAATTCTTAGATATTCCCGAAAACTCAGTTTAATTAATGATTGGATGCAAAGTTTTGGTGCTTCAACAAACCAGGAAGCAGATTTCTCATCTAAATCAGATTATTGATTTTATACCGAGAGGATTAAAATGATTTAATCTAATCCAGTCAAAATAAACTTCTTATCGCAGGCCTGGATGAAGAGATGCTGCGTTTGGAAGCAGAGAACAAACAGTTCATTAAAAAAATAATAGTTTGAAATTAAAAAAATCCACAACAAAAAGTAAATATTTGGGCAGAAACCAAACATCTGCTGGATGCTGATTTTTTGAATATGTCATATTAAATTAATCGTTCATTCCTGCATGTTTTGCTCCCATCAATGTAATGATAATATAGCGCCTGCTCTCCTCGAGCTCCGAGGAGGTCGGAGGACGGGAGGAGCAGCGGCGGTTCTGCTTGGAGCAGGCGGTCTGCAGCGCAGCGGGACGGAGGCGGTGGGATTTTAAGGTTAGAAACAACTCCTGGATCGGTCATATGACTTTCTGTAAAACGCCACACGCAGCGATTAGCTCTATGCGCTCCACGCCTCCACCCACGCGTTGGTGCTACCGCACCCTGAACTGGTGGCCTCCCTTTAGCTTTAGCGCGACATCGTTAATAAGCCGTTACTAACCTGCTTATAAACTTTGGCTGAACGGTTAATAAAGCTGTTTTTGGGTCAATATGAAGGGCGAAATAATGAAATTACAACATTTAAAAATGCAAAGTCATAAAAAACAAAAAAGGGAAATACCTTTTTAAATGTTTATCTAGGAAAAATGTTTATAAGATTCATTCATTGTGCTTTTAAATTTCCATTTTATAAAATTTCTTTTAATCAAGCACTTTTTGTTTCTTTGTTACATAACTTTATGTCAGTGAACTGAGACACAAATTATTTTTAATATTTCAGACTTTAAAAAGCTATAATTAGTTTTTTGTACCTACATCCCCTAACTTGATTTAAATCCATCTTTGATTTTTTAAGGAAAAGTCCGCTCTTATTCAGAATACAAACTTCAGAAAGTACTTTAAATATGAAATATATATTACACTTTATTCTTTTAACTTTACCACTTTATTCTCATGATTTTACCACTTTATTCTCATGATTTTACGATTTTATTCTCGTAAAATTACGAATTAATTCTGGTAATATTATGGTTTTATTCTTGTAACGTTACCTCCTTATTCTCTGAATTTTATGAATTTATTCTTTTAATATTACCAAATCATTTTCGCAATATTGCAACATTATTCTCAAAATAAAAAAAATAATCTCTAGCCTGTGTCTAATCCTCCACGGGGGCGGGGGGCTTGCCCAGGACCCAGTTCATGCCAGAAACGCCTCTTATGTTCAGTTTTAACGCAGTAGATGTAAAAAAAAAAAATAGATCATCTATCAGTGCCCATGAGGGAGCGCGTGCAGCTGATGGTGGGATGAATAATTGAGTTACAGCAGAGCGTTGGTGGTGAACGATGGTGAATAACGGTGAACGATGGTGAGCCGCCCCCATCGCGCACTTGCTGTCAGAAACGTGTCTGCTGGTGAACTCCGTGTCCCTGACGTTCAGGTTTCATCTTACGTTCATTTCATATGCAAATCACGCGGGGAGGAAAAGTTTCGTCACAGCTTTTAACGTCCAGCCCTGTTCTTTTGTTACTTTCCTTCTTTGTCACTTTTTCTCCTTTTTATTCTCGTCTTTCTTTGTTTGATTCCGTTTATCGAACAAACCCGATAAATGAATCAAACATGGAGTCACGCTAATAAAACTTTGGCTCGCGCGGCTGTTTGTCTGTCTGTTAGCGGGGGGAACAATGGAGGCAGGCAGCCTGATGTAACCGGCGGCTCGTGCCTACCTGTGTGCGTCCGGATGTGCGCCTTCAGGTGCGATGATTTCCCGTAAACCCTGTCGCATCCGTCAAAGGTGCAATGGTGCCGCTTGACGGGGGAGCGCGGAGGCCCGGCTCCCCGCTGCTGCTGTCCGGGGATGGGCGTCGCTGAGGGAGTCATGGTCGGGGTGGTGGGGTCGGACAACGTGGTGTAGCCGCTCTCCCCACCGCACGAGGAGTTGCTGCTCTCCGAGTAGGCCGACATCGGGCGGAACTTGCTGTGCAGGTCGGTGAGGATCCCCGCCACCGTGATGATGTTGGAGCCCTCCAGCCTTAAAGTCTCTCGAACTTCCCGGTCCTCGCTGGAGCCGTCGGGCTCCCCGGGGTGAAGGCCCACCGGGGCGGGCAGGCTGGCCGGGGCCACCGGGGTGGGTCTGTGCAGCACCGGACCGCTGGAGATCGACACCAGACACTCGGCGGCGAAGTAATCAGACGAAGCGGGTAGCGACATGGTTCCTCCTCCGCTTTGGATCTTTCTTTGGAAAAGTCTATCTCGGACGAACTGTGACGTTGATCCGATCCTGACCTCCTCCTCCTCAAAGTCGGGGGCCAACCTGCTTTACGGCGGATGTCGTTTGGGTCCTCCGATGCGTCAGAAGTTTGAAAACACGCTAATAAAACCAAATCAAGGAACAATAAGAAGAATAAAGCTGTAAAATCATGCTAACGGCCCGGGCCCAGCGCGCGCGCCCCTCTCCGCCTGACGGCTCATTGTGTCTGAGCTTCAGAGAAAGCCGGTCAGCCACGCCCCCTGGGTCGCACGGTGCGTTCACGTACAGTCGGATTAAAAAGTGCCCATCTTCAATTTCGTTTTAAAATGTCATTAAAAGCTATACGCTCAGTTTTAAAGCCATTAAATTTTAATAAATAACAAAATATATATCTGTCAAGCGTTTATTCACACCTGTGTTAAGTTTTTATCCCTTTTTTACACAGCATTTGAACTAATGCCACTAATTCATGATTCAACACATAAATATTCCAATTTGACCATAATATAGAGGCGCACCGCTAAGAGGTCTGCTACTCACCACATTTAGAAATATCAAGTAGGCTAAAATGCTATAACATTTCTACACCAACCGTATAAATAGTTTTCTTTTTCGTATTCCTGTTATGGTGCATGAACGACACGCAGATCACGGGCGTGGACCACGCTGGCGGTTTAGTCGTGGAAAGAATGGGTGGCAGGCTATGGGTTTAATGATGGGGGAAGGAGACTTGGACGGAGGATCTCATGGGAACTTTTTCACAACGACGGACGTGGCTGATTGTTCCTAATGTTCCCAACAGAGCACCTCGCTCTCAATCTGCAGGTTTACTAGTGGTTCCTAGAACTTCTACAAGTGTGTATATATATATATATATATATATATATATATATATATATATATATATATATATATATATATATATATATATATATATATATATAAAAATTAGGCACTTTCCAGTTCACCAGATCCTCCAGTCAGATCGATTCAAAGTTTTCTATCTAAGGAAAACCAGCTGATTGCATCGACTCATTGACCCTTCAGCAATCCCTCACACTTAGCATGCTTGTAGCGACAGTGGAGAGGAAAAACTCCCTTTGAACAGGAAGAAACCTCCAGCAGAACCAGGCTCAGTGTGAGCGGCCATCTGCTGAGGCCCACTGGGGTTCAAGGAGACAGAAGCAGACATAGAAAAAGAAGCATAGATACAAAAGGCAACTGTCAACCAGCTCAACAGGCGGCCCCGTCCAGGAAACACACAGCCAGGCAGACGAGCTCCGAGCCAGCTCCCATGTCAGAGGATGAAGAGAGCACATCCAGTTAGTCACAGTCAGAGAAACAGGACTACACTGGAAAACAGGCCAAGCTCCAACATCTAGAAACAAAGGTGTTGATGGCAGCAGCACAGCTGATATTTCTCTCCAGGATGGAGAAAATTTAGAAATTCTGAATTTCAGAAAGTCTAAAGTTCAACATTTTCCAGGGGAGGATCCACCAATATGTTGGGCAAAGCCTAAAGATGTGATACACCAGGGTGGACACTGTAAAATATTCCTCGCTAAAAGCCTGAAGTTTGGTAAAGAGGAAGGATGTTGCTTTGCTTTCAGCACATATAAATATATGCAAACAGTACAATACCTGTAAATGATGTAGGAGCCAATTATTTTTGTTTATTATTAACAAAAATAAATATTTTTGTGGACAATGTAGTTTATTCTACTTTATTGTTTGATATCTGTTATGGGATTATGTTTTTTTGGTTATTTAGCTGTGTTTCTTTGTGTCTGGTTAGTTATGATTAATTTGGGTGAATAATTTTTTTATTAATGGTAGGACCAGCATGCATCTGGGTGGGTGTATTTTTTGTTGTTTTTTTACCAGCGCAGGAGAAGCATGGAGGAAATGTTTGACCTTTTCTGTTTGCTTGCCTGAGGAGAAACAAACAAAGAAAACTGAAGGAGTTTACTTGGAACGGTTTTTCTTTTTCCTGCGTAAATTACCTGTCCATGGTGCATCTGTGGCATTTTTGGACCTTTTTTTGTGTCATCAAAGCTGGACCACGACAGATGTATTAAAGGAGCAAAAAAAAACCATGAAATAAACAAAAACATTTTCTATTTGTCTCCTAGTGATGATCACTGGAAAAAATCCAGTGATCATCCATCCATCCATCCATCCATCATCCATCCATCCATCATCCATCCATCCATCATCCATCCATCCATCCATCCATCCATCATCCACCCATCATCCACCCATCATCCATCCATCCATCATCCACCCATCATCCATCCATCCATCATCCATCCATCATCCATCCATCCATCATCCATCATCCATCCATCATCCATCCATCCATCATCCATCCATCATCCATCCATCATCCACCCATCATCCATCCATCCATCATCCATCCATCATCCATCCATCCATCCATCATCCATCCATCATCCATCCATCCATCATCCATCCATCATCCATCCATCATCCACCCATCATCCATCCATCCATCATCCATCCATCCATCATCCATCCATCATCCATCCATCATCCACCCATCATCCATCCATCCATCATCCATCCATCATCCACCCATCATCCATCCATCATCCATCCATCATCCATCCATCCATCATCCATCCATCCATCGTCCATCATCCATCCATCATCCACCCATCATCCATCCATCCATCCATCCATCATCCATCCATCCATCATCCATCCATCCATCCATCCATCATCCATCCATCATCCATCCATCATCCATCCATCCATCATCCATCCATCATCCACCCATCATCCATCCATCCATCCATCCATCATCCATCATCCATCCATCATCCATCCATCATCCACCCATCCATCATCCATCCATCATCCATCCATCCATCATCCACCCATCATCCATCCATCATCCATCCATCCATCGTCCATCATCCATCCATCATCCATCCATCATCCACCCATCATCCATCCATCCATCCATCATCCATCCATCCATCATCCATCCACCCATCATCCATCCATCCATCATCCATCCATCCATCATCCACCCATCATCCACCCATCATCCACCCATCATCCACCCATCCATCATCCATCCATCATCCACCCATCATCCATCCATCCATCATCCATCCATCCATCCATCCATCCATCCATCATCCATCCATCATCCATCCATCATCCATCCATCCATCATCCATCATCCATCCATCCATCGTCCATCATCCACCCATCATCCATCCATCATCCATCCATCCATCGTCCATCATCCATCCATCATCCATCCATCATCCACCCATCATCCATCCATCCATCCATCCATCCATCATCCACCCATCATCCATCCATCCATCATCCATCCACCCATCATCCATCCATCCATCCATCCATCCATCCATCCATCATCCATCCATCCATCATCCACCCATCATCCATCCATCATCCACCCATCATCCATCCATCATCCACCCATCATCCACCCATCATCCATCCATCATCCACCCATCATCCATCCATCCATCATCCATACATCCATCCATCCATCCATCCATCATCCATCCATCATCCATCCATCATCCACCCATCATCCATCCATCCATCATCCATCCATCATCCACCCATCATCCATCCATCATCCACCCATCATCCATCCATCCATCATCCATCCATCATCCACCCATCATCCCTCCATCCATCATCCATCCATCATCCACCCATCATCCATCCATCCATCATCCATCCATCCATCATCCATCCATCATCCATCCATCATCCATCCATCATCCATCCACCCATCATCCATCCATCCATCCATCATCCATCCATCCATCATCCATCCATCATCCATCCAGCCATCATCCATCCATCCATCCATCATCCATCCATCATCCATCCATCCATCCATCCATCATCCATCCATCATCCATCCAGCCATCATCCATCCATCATCCATCCATCCATCATCCATCATCCATCCATCATCCATCCATCCATCCATCCATCCATCCATCCATCCATCATCTATCATCCATCCATCCATCCATCCATCATCCATCCATCCATCATCCATCATCCATCATCCATCCATCATCCATCCATCCATCATCCATCCATCATCGATCCATCCATCATCCATCCATCATCCATCCATCCATCCATCATCCATCCATCCATCCATCATCCATCCATCATCGATCCATCCATCATCGATCCATCCATCATCCATCCATCCATCATCCATCCATCCATCATCCATCCATCTATCCATCCATCCATCCATCCATCCATCATCCATCCATCATCGATCCATCCATCATTCATCCATCCATCCATCATCCATCCATCCATCCATCCATCCATCATCCATCCATCCATCCATCATCCATCCATCCATCATCCACCCATCATCCATCCATCCATCCATCATCCATCCATCATCCATCCATCCATCATCCATCCATCCATCCATCCATCATCCATCCATCCATCATCCATCCATCCATCCATCATCCATCCATCCATCATCCATCCATCCATCATCCATCCATCATCCATCCATCCATCCATCCATCCATCCATCATCCATCCATCCATCCATCCATCCATCCATCCATCATCCATCCATCCATCCATCCATCATCCATCCATCCATCATCCACCCATCATCCATCCATCCATCATCCATCCATCCATCCATCATCCACCCATCATCCATCCATCCATCCATCCATCCATCCATCCATCCATCATCCATCCATCCATCATCCATCCATCCATCCATCCATCCATCATCCATCCATCCATCCATCCATCCATCCATCCATCCATCCATCCATCCATCATCCATCATCCATCATCCATCCATCCATCCATCCATCCATCCATCCATCATCCATCCATCCATCATCCATCCATCCATCATCCATCCATCCATCCATCCATCCATCCATCATCCATCCATCCATCATCCATCCATCCATCATCCATCATCCACCCATCATCCATCCATCCATCCATCATCCATCCATCCATCCATCATCCATCCATCCATCCATCCATCATCCATCCATCCATCCATCCATCCACCATCCATCCATCCATCCATCCATCCATCCATCCATCCATCCATCATCCATCCATCCATCCATCCATCCATCCAAGCAGAGGTATATGGATACTTTAGGTTTTTAAACATAATCCTCCATTTTCTCCATGTCTCTAATTTAAACCATACTTCTTCGTGTGTTTTTAGTGTCAAGGCTTTGCCAAGTGATTCGCCCATCAAGTGTTTGTAGCTTTAGCTTGGGAGCTGCTTCCTGATATGCTGCTGGGAGCAGTACGGGTCACAGTAGATGTCGGCGTACAAGCCGGCTCATTCAGTTAAAGGAACAGAGCTCGGCTTTCATCTCACACACATGTTGAGCTTCTGAGGGACCTGCTCTGATCCCCGGGTGCCATGGCCGGATCTGTGTCGCTGCTCGGTTACAAACAGGTTATCCTCATTTTTTCACTTCTCTCTGGTAAGTGTTCACATTTCTTCTCAATATGTCAGTGGAGAGATTAGAATTTCCAGTGGGATCAGAGGTTTTACTGGACCTTATGTTTAGCAGGTGGCTGTCGTCTGGTGGAAGCAACTCGCTGTGACTCAAGTTGTTCTGGTGAGATTTTGAGATTTTTTTTTTACTGCACAAAATAAACCCTCAAATATTAAGAAAAACAAGTCAAATCATTTGAAGACTGGCAACAAGGATTGGATGTGTTGATCTCTACACCTTCAGGATCTCCACACGCTGACCTCTCAGGTCAGAAAGGTGTGAGATACACCTACAGGTACAGCACATCTATCACCACCACCCTCCATGGCTCAAACGGTGGCAGGAACGGCCTGGCCCTGGACTGCCTGGTGGATATCCAGGTCGTCTCCAACTGTCACCTAATGATGCAGGTCGGCTTTGGCTCCAAGCTGTTCTTTGGTTTTCTACACTGGAAAAAACATCTAGAGATTAGTAAAAATGTCTTAAATTAAGTGTATTTATCCTTAATTTGAGGTAAATTAGGTAGTTTTCCAATGGAATGAGTATTTTTACTCTTAAAATAAGATAATAAGATAACATGCATAATATAATGCAATTGTGTTTTCTTATTTTAAGTATAAATTGTCTTGTTCCATTGGAAAAAATGTCTTTTACTTCCTCAATCCAAGAACAAATGCACTTATTTTAAGAAAAAAGGACTTATCTAGATTTGGATTTTTTCCGGTGTAAAAAGCACAGAGTGGTGGATTTAAGCGTCTGCTTTTCCGACAGATAAGGAGCTCCCAGATAAAGCGTCTCTCCCCTCAGAGGGAACACTCTGTCCTGCATTTAAAAACTTTGAGGTAACACCCTGTCAACGTTTCGGTTGCTGCGTACAACTGGCAACTTTACATCCTTCTGATTTCTATCCTTTATTGGTTCAGATGTGGCTCCTCTGTTTGTTCTCTTGTCTTGGGAGGAAGGATGAGGGGGGGGGGAACTGCTCATCTGGTGTTTTTGTTTCCCAGGGAGTCACTGGAGAAAACACGCCTCAAGTTCTCCCTCCAGGGGGGGAAGGTCACAGCCGTCTGTCATCAGGAGGGGGAGCAGATGTGGGCCCTGAACATTAAAAGGGCTCTGCTGAGCATGCTCCAGACCTCCCCAAAGGTCTCCAAATTCAAAGACGAGACTGAGGTGAGACAATATTCAACCTGCTACACTGGAAAAAATCACAATCTAGATAAGTCATTTTTTTCTTAAAATAGGTGCTAAAAAACAAAAAAAAAAACAAATGCATTGTCTTATTTCAAGTGCATATTATCTAATTATCTTATTTCAAGAGTAAAAATACTCATTTACCTGCTCAAATTAAGGGTAAATACACTTAATTTAAGACATTTTTACTTGTTTCCAGTGTGTCTGGCCAGACAAGATTAAGTTTACTGTTTTATAATATATATATATATTATTTTTTTTTTATTTTTTTTTTCCAGTTTTCGTGTTTTTTTATTAACTGCCTCCAGAGATGGGAAGTAACGAAGTACAAATACTTCGTTACTGTACTCAAGTAGATTTTTCTGATATTTTTACTTTACTTTACTACTTATTTTTATGGCAACTTTTTACTTCTACTCCTTACATTTTTACACAAATATCTGTACTTTCTACTCCTTACATTTTAAAAAATTGGCTCGTTACTTTAGTTTTGAATCATTTCAATGGAGTTACCGTTATTATTTTTCACGTCATCAATACCAAATTCAATCTAATTGGATGGGAATCTACGTTGCATTTGACGCACCACTACAAGATGAATCGACAGATTCGGCGGTATTCATTGGCGGCAAATCATTGCAGCTTGGTGGCGGTGGCGTTAGCATAGTAGCATGGACGACGAGATGATTGAAAATGAACACAACGGAGATCTAGTCCTATTGGCAGACATCCATTTAAAATGTAGGCAACAGCATGAAAAAAGTGGTTTCTACTTTTACTTTTATACTTTAAGTAAATTTACAAGCCTGTACTTTGTTACTTTTACTTGAGTAAAGAAGTTTAATCAGTACTTCCACTTTTACCAGAGTATTTTTTGACATAAGTATCTGTACTTTTACTCAAGTACGGAAAGTGAGTACTTTTGCCATCTCTGACTGCCTCCATCATTCACTAATGCATCCTATCTGAGACGTGAGCCAAAAACCTGACAAGCAAAGCAAAAAGCTGCATTTTTTAGAAGAAGATTCCAACCAATTAAAGCTTTTAAATCAACTCATTTCATGGAAACCTCTGAATCCGTTTTTACGAAATTAGTTTTCTCTTTTGTGTACCAAAAAGGAAAAACTGTTAATTGGATGAACTGGTGAACTGGAAGGTGACTTGAGATGACACGTGTTGTAAATTGGTGCCATAGAAATAAACTGAATAGAATTGAACTGAAAATTACTTCCATGATATATGTAAAATAATCTACTGAATTAAATGGTTTTCTTTGCCAGTTTAACAACTGCTGCTACTCCGTCTGTTTTCTTACACTAAATAAGTCTTTTTTTTTTTTATTAAGTGCATTTGTTCTTGAATTAAGGAGGTAAGTCGGACATTTTTCCAATGGAACAAGACAATTTACATTTACAACAATAAAACACAATCACATTGTCTTATTTCAAGTGCATTTTATCTAATTATCTTATTTTAAGAGTAAAAATACTAAAAATCATCTAATTTACCAACTCAAATTAAGGGTAAATACACCTAATTTAAAAAATTTTCGCTGATTTCTACAGCATGAACTAGCATTTAACATGTCAAACCTTTAGACTTAGACATGTTTTATTGTCAACTCGTATACACAGAGTGAAAACAAAATGAAATTTGATGCATAAAGCTTTTTAACAGTGACTGAGCGGCTTACAACAGAGAGAAACATTTCCATTTTAAGGTGCAGCAGAGATCGACAATGTAGACGGTGCAGGAGGAAAGTCATGCACTGCAAAATCAATCTAGAAATAAGTAAGAATTTCTTAAATTAAGTGTAGTTACCCTTAATTTTAACAGGTAAATGAGGTAGTTTGCCAATGGAATGAATATTTTTACTCTTGAAATAAGATAATTAGATAATAAGCACTTGAAATGCGATTGTGTTTTTTATTTTAAATGTAAATTGTCTTGTTCAGTTGGCAAAGTGTCTCACTTACCTCCTCAATCCAAGAACAAATGCACTTAATTTAAGAAAAAGTGGCTTATCTACATTTCTATTTTTTCCAGTGCATTGGGTTTGCTCTTATTCTCCTGTTGTTTTTAATGACCTGCTTTCCCTCAGACCGACGTCCACGGAACGTGCACCAGCAGATATGAGAGACAAGGAGCTGCGCTGCTGAAGAGCAGGGATCTAAAACGGTGCCATCGCTCCAGACTGGCCGAACTCTGGCCTCACTCCGTAGCTCTGACTGAAGATACTGTAAGTTCTGATCCTACAAGGGATTATTTCAGGGTTTAGGTTGAGCTAAAAGATTGTTTCCTCTTCACTAGATGGTGCAGATGGAGCTGCACTGCATTCAGCGCCCTGGAGAGACGATGATGGAAGAAGCAAACTGCACTGAAGTGGTGACACTGGAAGCTTCAGGGCCCGTTAGGACCAAGAGTGTGTCTGTGTTGATGCTGCTCAAAGCGCAGTCAGGAGCCTCTTTAGGAGCAGGTCAGGCTAACATTTCTACCATCATGCTTTAGTAGCACTGCTTCCTAACAGCCATGCAGCCAATCCTTATATCCCTCTGTCTTTTTAGGGCCCCTAAATCCTGCTGTACTTACTGACCTGCAGTTTGAGGATGACGACGCCTCGAGGCTGCGAAAAGCCAGGCTGACAACGCCGCAGAAAGTTATCCAGACCGTCAGATCGTTATGCAGGACGGCCTCAGATCCACAGCTGGTAACCTGCAAACATAAGAGCCTCCCGTCTATTTTAACCATGTTTTCTGGTCTATACTATAGCTTATATTAAGGTCAGTCACTATGGAGCGAATTTTGTTCCTTTATTGTTGTAAACATTGGATATTAATATAAAAAAAGCACATTTTATTAACAGAAATAAAATCCAGATGTGAAAAATTGCTTTGAAATCTATTAAAAAGAAGGCCTTTTGTAAAACTCAGAAATATGAAAAAGTGAAAATATAAAATCTCTAAAGGAACATGTTTACAACAATGTGAAATAGAAATTTTTTAAGTATTTTTTTTTAAATAAAACATGAAAACAAAAGTATAAAACAAAATTTGAGAGAGAAAAATCGGTGAAAAAAGAAAAAATCTGAGAAAACAGGAACGTTCAACCCAAAAACTTTTATTGATTGAGAAGTTTTTCCAAAGTTTAATATTAGACTCAAAAACAATAGAGTAACAAAGTACAAATACTTTACTTAAGTAGCAATATTGGCTGTCTATATTTTACTTGAGTAATTATTTAATTAACTTTTTACCTCGACTGCCTTCATTTTAAAAATAGAGTCATTAGTTTTGTTTCAGTTTAGCTCATTTTCATTCTGGCCTGTTGCTATTAAAAACAAAAAACAAAAAAAAAAAACATCAAAATAATTTATTTCACATTGACAATTACCGTATTCTCCAGACTATAAGTCGCTACTTTTTCCCACGCTTTGAACCATGCAGTTTATAAGAAGCTGCAGCTTTTCTGTGGATTTTTTTCTTACACTACAAAAAATTTAAATCTCGATAAGTAATTTTTTCTTAAAATAAGTGCATTTGTTCTTGGATTGAGGAGGTAAAAAAAATTGTGCCAATGGAACAAGACAATTTACACTTAAAATAAGAAAACACAATTGCGTCGTCTTATTTCAAGGGCATTTCATCTAATTATCTTATTTTAAGAGTAAAAAAAAACTAATTCCATTGGCAAACTATCTCATTTACCGACTCAAATTAAGGATAAATACACTTAATTTAAGAAATTTTTACTTATTTCTAGATAGTTTTTCCAGTGTACAGTCAGAGGAAGTCACACTTTCTTAAATTTCTTAAATTAAGTGTATTTACCCTTAATTTGAGTCGGTAAATGAGATAGTTTGCCAATGGAATGAGTTTTTTTTTACTCTTAAAATAAGATAATTAGATGAAATGCCCTTGAAATAAGACGACGCAATTGTGTTTTCTTATTTTGAGTGTAAATTATATTGGTCCATTGGCAAAATGTCTCTTTTACCTCCTCAATTCAAGAACAAATACACTTATTTTAAGAAAAAATTACTTTTCTAGATTAATTTTTTTTATTCCAGTGCAAAGCTGGAAATTACAGAATAATGGGCTAATTTTTTTTTAGCATAACATGCTATCAGCGGTACGATGGAGAACAAATGTCCTGAATTCACACATTTTAACATTTATTTGCTGCGTTTAAGCTGCTGAACCAATGAAGAGACTGAGCTCAACTCCTGCAGAGCTGAAATAAAGAGCTGATGAAGCTCCATCTTTCAGTAGAAGCTCTAACTGCTGTGAGCTAACAAGCTAACGGAGGCTAGCATTCTTCCTCCCTACTCCAGGGGATATAAATAGAGCGCCCCCTACAGGTTTGGTGGGAGACAGTTCAGTAGATATCAGCTTATAGCCGGTGCGCTCTATAGTTCAGTAAATACGGTAGTTTCTCTGTAGTTGGACTCGGTGCTGCCCCAACTTGTTGCTCACCACATACCAAAGTAAATCATGTTATCAAGATGATGCAAAGTTAAATGTGACGATGGTACCATTAGTTATAAAACTAAGAAAATGAAGTCTAAGGGTCTTCTGGCTTTAACAGTTTTACCTGCATTACTTTTACTTTTATACTTTAAGTAGTTTTTAAAATGGTACTTTTACACTTTAACTGGAGTAAAAAGCTTAAATTGATCCTCTGACTTCTACAAAAGTCTTTTTAAACAGCAGGATTTATACGTCTACTGCAGTAATAAACATTAAAGGACAGCTCTGAACACCAGTGACCCCCCCAGCAGTTACTGCAAATTACAAAATGGATTCTTATGCTTGTATTTCTAAAGGAACAAAATCCTGCAGATAAATATTGCTCCTCCTCTGTGTGGTCCATGAGAACATGTTTGTATTTGTGAGTCATGTCGCCCCCTGGTTGCCCCGCTGGGGTTAACCACGTTCTCTCTCTGTCTGTGAAACTGCTGTGTTTATATGGTTTTATTTCAGAGAGTCTGACCTTACTCCCCTTTCATTGGCATTTAATTCCCACCCTGGAGAAACCATAGACGAGTAATACCATGAAAACAATGCAAATTCATCGGTTTGAATCATTTTTGGATCATCTTTAAGGTTTCACAAGAGCTCCTGCAGCTGGTGTTCCAGCTTAAAGACATGACGCTGCCTCAGCTCAAGATACTTTGGCAAGAGGCTTCTTTCAAGTGCAGAAATGACTGGTCAGTACCCACCTGTTCTCTAATGGTTGTTGTTTCATGCTTGTTACACTAGAAAAATGATCTAGAAATAAGTAAAATCTTCTTAAATTAAGTTTATTTTCCCTTAATTTCAGTAGGTAAATGGGATAGTTTGCCAATGGAATGAATATTTTTACTTTTAAAATAAGATAATTAGATAATATGCACTTGAAATAAGACAATGCAGTTGTGTTTTCCTATTTTAAGAGTAAATTGTCTTCCATTGGCAAAATGTCACTTTTTCCTACTCAATCCAAGAACATTTTAAGATTATTTTAAGAAAAAATGACTTATCTAGATTAGGTTTTTTCCAGTGTTGTACCTGTTTCCCACTGGCTGAAAAAACCTGGGAACAATGGCTGATGAAGATTCTCAGTCATCCAGGTCATAGTCATTCCGTAAAAGTTCAGAAAAATCCACTGGACTTGGTTTCCAAGGCTTGAAGACGTTTCTCCACTGAGTCTTTATAGACAAAGCCTTGTATCGCTTGGAAACATGCAAATGGAACCGATGAGTGGGTCGTTTGGTTCCATCGTTAGCCTGTAATATCTAAGGAGGTATTGTTCACCCGCTGGAGCTGGTAGGTCGGTAACGACCGACTCTTAACAATCATAGACATCCCCCCCCTTTAACGACCGACCTTCAGAATCATAGACCCGTTTCAGATATTACAGGCTAACAATGGAACCAAACGACCCATTCATCGGTTACAATTTGCATGTTTCCAAGCAATACAAGGCTTTGTCTATATAAGACTCAAACTCACTGCGGACATTTGAATTGGGAAAGCTTCCTGGAGAGGTGGAGAAACGTCTTCAAATCTTGGAAACCAAGTCCAGTGGATTGTTTTTTACATTTTTACAGAACCTGGGAACAATGGGCTTTTAGTTGCCACGGTAACAGCTCACTGACGCATGTCTATCCAGGTCAAACGACTCGGCAAGCGACCGGTGTTAAAATCTCCTCTGCTATGATAGGCACTAACTTACGTGACACCCTTGAACGCATCGTACAGACGTGAACACGCACTGCATGAAAAGTGGGATTTTCGTCAATATACGGCACTGTAGATTGTCGTGGAACTTCAGGTTAGCGGCAGTATACGGCAATTTGCAGGCTTCGCCGAAAACTCCCGTAAATTGTCAGAAATTGAATTTCTTAGGCAGTGTTCCCCCCATGCCTCCCCCCCATGGAATTCTAGGGGAGGCTTTAACATGTAAATGAACATGCTGTGAGCTATACAAATGCAAACCAGGGTTGCAGGGGGGGTTTTATCCCCCCTGCAACCCTGGGTAAGAAAATCTCTGATACAAAGAGATCAGGTATAGCCTCTTACATTTTAGCTTGAATTGATTTATTTAATTAAAGTATAGAGACCAAAACAGATCTTTAGCTGACAGAGCAATACATTTAGAGCAGTAATTATTTTTTTTTAAATTTGCATTTAAGATAAAAAATAAAATGTTGTCTGTCAATATGCTCAATTCACAATTACTTAAGTGGAAAAGTTTCAAGAAATGATTCTGAGATGATTCACTTTATAACATGGCGCATTATCCTGTTGGAAGTAGCCATCAGAAGATTGGTACACTGTGGTCATAAGGTCATAGGTCAGCATGCTAAATTGGTTTTAAGTGGCCCAAAGTGTGGCAATAAATATCCCCCAAATAGATGGTAGAAATAGATCAGGCCCAGTATAGCCTAATTATAGACTCTTACATTTTAGCTTGAATTGATTTATTTAATTAAAGTACGCTAGATTACTGTGTATGCAAATGTTATGTAAAAAAAATACACAAAATAATTTACTTCAAAAATTAGTTTTAATCAGAATCAGTTGGCTGTAATGGTTAATTTTTTTTTTTAGATTTCCACTTTTTTTTTTTTTTTTGTTATTGAATATATAAGAAAACAATAACAATCTCAAATAAGTCAATAACAAATATTTCAATACAAGAAGAAATATCACAACTCCTGCTTTTGAAAAATAAAATTAAATGCACAGGCTGGAACAAAGTATAAAATTAAATAAAATAAATAAAATAATAATAGTAGTTAAAGTAAATTAATCAGTGGGGACTACCAACTGAAATTCTTCAATTAACTCAAACAATTTAATTGCATTTAAATTCTGCATCTTTCTCAGACATCTTTTGAAAAGGGAAAGTTCATTTTTGAGAGCAGAGATTGAGAGGGAGCATTTTGCATAGCGACATTTATGGATATAATACTTTGTTACAATTATTAGAATATTGATTAAAAATTCCAAATTTTTTTTCTTTAATGGATAAACCGAATTGAATGTTTTGCCAGGAAATAAAATCTAAATTTATTGTTTTAGAAGACAGAAAGGTTCGAAGTTGATCCCATAAGTTTAATACTTCTTTACATTCATAAAAAAGATGTTTAGTTGTTTCCAATTGAGTTGTACAAAAGCCACAATTCTCAACATTAAACTTAAATCTCTCTCTTAAAAACTCATTTGAAGGATATATGTTATTTATTATTTTAAATTGTAATTCTTTATATTTAGGAGGAATTGGGAATTTCAAATAATTTGTCCTAATTTTGACTATCATAGATTTCTTAAAAGTTTGTAAGAGAGCTGTGCTTTTTGTTCTTCCTGGGTACATATTATTTATAGAATATTGATTCAAAAACTTGTTGTTGCATTTATTATCTCTAATGTCCACCTGCTCAAATTCAATCTTATGGAGACAAACAATTGCAATTGCAAACAATTTATAGGTGCATTACCGCCACCTTCCAGAATGGAGCGACGCGAGCTCTTCTCGCGAGTCCTTCCGTATAACAATGACGTCGTATGTGATTGGAGGAGCCTGATGAGCCTTCGGCCCCATCGTCCAATCACGTGTGAGCTTTTGTGCACTACGACTTCTCGCGAGACCAGCATATTAGCAGACATGTTTGTGTTGTGAACTTAATCTCCATTTACCGTGTTTGTATTTTGTTGTTACGTGAACAATGGCTGCACGACGTCTCGCGTTCAACTCGCCTCCAACTGCTCTTAGTCCACAACTTTCGGCCAGCCCGCAGACTGACGAGAAGAAACTGCTGATTGCTATCAGCGGACTGTCTCGTCAGCTTGCCCAACATACTGCCGACATGAATGAGCGCCTCACTCAGCTGGAGAATTCGATGCTACGAACTCGAGGAAGAGAGGACGGGTGCACAACGCCACGCTAGCGGTAAATATATGTTCGATTACTGGTAGCTATGCTAAAAGCAGCCTAGCTTAGCTAGGCAAGCTAAAGACAACCTAGCCTAGCTAGGTAAGCTAAAAGCAGCCTAGCCTAAAGCTTTATTAAAGTGTATTTTTTGTGATTCACAGGAAGCAATATGCCGTCTTAACAACTCGGAGACTAATTGCAGGCGCTATGAACCGGAGCAGGGGTAAGGTTTAAAGAATATGCTTTCATTCTGCGGAAAAAGGACATGGATACGGATGGATACCGACCATAGCTGTACTTTTTTTTTTTTTTTCACAGACTACAGTCGCCTCACAATGAGGCGGTGACCTCCTATTTGCTCGGATTTGCACGATGTTGATAAAGACGACATTGTGTGGAAGTGACTCGTTTTAATGTTTTCTCCTTCCTTGTTACTGTGACTTGCGTTTGATTTTTTTTTTTTTTATTCATACCACTCTCATTTAATTGTTTTCCAGCTGCCTGTAAGACGTATTATGAGACGGTATGCAGGAGCTTCAGATACACGCTGCCAGCCAGCACGCTGCGTGCGGAGGCTGCCAGGCTATCTGCTCGGAGTCGGGCCAGAAGAAAGAGGGTAAGACTTTATTTGGTGACTATTTTTCAGGTGCATTGATAGATGTGTTGTGTCCATACGCAGTGCGCTGATTCATTGTTTTTTTTTCAGCTGCTGAAGGCGAGGCAGAGTGTGCTGGCAGATGAGGAAGTGGAACTCTGGAAGTCCGCCACCGTCGACCTCATGTCCGACGAAGAAGATGGCGTCGTCGGCGGTGTCTCTGGATGGATTGTACGGTCGCCGCCATTTCGTAGGCCGGATCTCACTGAACTCTGTGTTAAGCTGCAGTCCCGGTTAGAAGCGATGCCGAAGTACAGGGCCACGCACAGTAGGCGTCTGCACATCGGACCTGCCTCGGAGGGAATGCTGCCAGTTACCTCCAACCCCGAGGAAGCAAACGGACCGTTCACGGAGTTGTAATTTTTAGATACGCATGTGTTTGGATACGCGTTGTATATAGTTGTGTGTGTTTTAATAAAGCTCTTTCTTTGCATAAACAGCTTCCTGGCAAATCTTCATTTCCTGTATAAATTCATTCATGTCCTTGATGGTAGCATAATAATTGTGTAGTAGTGTAGGATAACATAAATACACAGCATATGAATGAACAAATATATGAATGAATAAATATATGAATATATATATATATATATATATATATATATATATATATATATATGAATGAATAAATATATATATGTAAATATATATATATATGCCAACCAATCACGAGCGACTTTACTTGTTTAAAAAGAAGTGGTTCCGTCCAATACTCAGTAAGAAAATTAAAGCCTGGCGTGGCCACGTGTGGTTTTGCTGCCAATCACGAGCGATTTCACTTGTTTGAGAATAGTGGTTTCAGCCAATACTGAGAAGTTTATTCAAGCCAGACCTGGCCAGCCGCGCGGGTTTGCTGCATTCATATGCTAATTAGGGCCATTAGTACAGCTGATCGCTCTCCACATACGTCAGAGTCCGTTTCCGACAATTTGTGGCACGACAAACGCGGACAAGCACGAGTTGCAAATTGTCGGAAACTGACGAAAATCAGGCAGATCTGCGGGAGTTTACGGGGGTTTACGGGGACGAAAATCTCACTTTTCATGCAGTGACGCAGCACCAGTCGCTCCTGATCTAACAACCACAGTCATCTCTGTTTCCATTGGATAAACATGGAGCAGCTCTGAGGGATTCAGACAGATAAATAAGAGAAACAATAAAGCTCAGTGACTACACCCTGGCTTCCTTCCATGTTGCTCTCCATTGTTTACGTCCCTGATTGGTGTCGCACTGCCGACATCATCAATGCTTTCGGCCAGTGAGAAATGGGTCAAAAACAGGCGTTAACCTACTTTCAGTGGGAAAGAGGTTTTATTCAGTCCTTCATTGACTGTTCTGTTCCAATAATCTAACAGAGTTCTTCTGATGTTTTTTTTCATATATTGTGTATTTTTAACCATATTTCAGATTATCAAACTGTTTTTTTTTTCATCAGGCAAAAATAACCTGGATTATATGATTTAAATTTTTTAAACAACTACTTGATTTATTGAAAGCATAAAAAGGGAATTTCCTCCTGAGTCTTACTGTTTTGTGTATTTGATCTCTACTTCATGTTGTCAAGTGAGTTCAGTTGAACCGCGTTTATTTCTGGATGTGTTGCTCAGCGTTTTTAAGCCTGTCCTGTTTGGTCCGATGTTCTTCCATCATCCATCATATTTAGGCCTACTCCACAGATATGAGGCATGAAAACAGAAAAGTTTATTTTACAGGTGCTGGTCATAAAATTAGAATATCATGAAAAAGTAGATTGATTTCAGTAATTCCATTTAAAAAGTGAAACTTGTATATTATATTCATACATTACATACAAACTCATATATTTCAGATGGTTATTTTGTTTAATTTTGATGATTACAAATGACAACAAATGAAAATCTCAAATTCATCATATCAGAAAATTAGAATATTGTGAAAAGGTTCAAAATTGATGGCCCCTGGTGCCACACTCTAATCAGCTAATTAACTCAAACCACCTGCAAAAGCCTTTAAATGGTCTTTCAGTCTAGTTCTATAGGCTACACAATCATGGGGAAGACTGCTGACTTGACAGTTGTCCAAAAGACGACCATCGACACCTTGCACAAGGAGGGCAAGACACAAAAGGTCATCGCTAAAGAGGCTGGCTGTTCACAGAGCTCAGTGTCCAAGCACATTAATAGAGAGGCGAAGGGAAGGAAAAGATGTGGTCGAAAAAAGTGTACAAGCAAGAGAGATAACCGCACCCTGGAGAGGATTGTGAAACAAAACCCATTCAAAAATGTGGGGGAGATTCACAAAGAGTGGACTGCAGCTGGAGTGAGTGCTTCAAGAACCACCACACACAGACGTATGAAAGACATGGGTTTCTGCTGTCGCATTCCTTGTGTCAAGCCACTCTTGAACCACAGACAGCGTCAGAAGCGTCTTGCCTGGGCTAAAGAGAAACAGGACTGGACTGCTGGTGAGTGGTCCAAAGTCATGTTCTCTGATGAAAGTAAATTTTGCATTTCCTTTGGAAATCAAGGTCCCAGAGTCTGGAGGAAAAGAAGAGAGGCACTTCATCCACGTTGCTTGAAGTCCAGTGTAAAGTTTCCACAGTCAGTGATGGTTTGGGGTGCCATGTCATCTGCTGGTGTTGGTCCATTGTGTTTTCTGAGGTCCAGGGTCAACGCAGCCACATACCAGGAAGTTTTAGAGCACTTCATGCTTCCTGCAGCTGACCAACTTTTTGGAGATGCAGATTTCATTTTCCAACAGGACTTGGCACCTGCACACAGTGCCAAAGCTACCAGTACCTGGTTGAAGGACCATGGTATCCCTGTTCTTAATTGGCCAGCAAACTCTCCTGACCTTAACCCCATAGAAAATCTATGGGGTATTGTGAAGAAGAAGATGCAATACACCAGACCCAACAATTCAGAAGAGCTAAAAGCCACTATTAGAGCAACCTGGGCTATCATAACACCTGAGCAGTGCCACAGACTGATCGACTCCATGCCACGCCGCATTGCTGCAGTAATACAGGCCAAAGGAGGCCCAACTAAATACTGAGTGCTGTACATGCTCATACTTTTCATGTTCATACTTTTCAGTTGGCCAACATTTCTATAAATCCTTTGTTTTTATTGGTCTTCAGTAATATTCTAATTTTCTGATATGATGAATTGGAGATTTTCATTTGTTGTCATTTGTAATCATCAAAATTAAACAAAATAAACATCTGAAATATATGAGTTTGTATGTAATGTATGAATATAATATACAAGTTTCACTTTTTAAATGGAATTACTGAAATCAATCTATTTTTTCATGATATTCTAATTTTATGACCAGCACCTGTATACGTTAAAAAACTCATAGATTTCCTTTCAATGCGGAGGGATTTATCTTCCATTATTGCTGCAAGCAAAGACATTTTTTTCGATTTTTAGGACTTTTTGTCCTTTAAAGAAAACAAAACCAACCCAGTTTTCTGTTTGAAGTTTGTGAAGTTAGGAAGATGAGGCGGAGGCATTTCTTGCAAGAAATAAGGTTCAAATTTATTTAACATCCTCAGAGAGAGAGATAGAGCTCTGACTGAGGCATTTCACTACATTCCTTACAAAATCACACACACTCCCCCCAGGGGAACTAACCCACCCGCTGCATAAAGAACTTTCTCACACTTAAACATTTGGTTACTACGGAAGAGGATTAGGGCCACTGAAAAAAAAAAAAAGTTAACCCTTTCATGCATGAATTACGATAGTATATGTTATGATTTTTTTACCAAGTGTTTTTATTACTCTTTATGAATGAAAAAAACATTTTCATAAATTTTTTAAAAAAATATACTTTCTTTAGGGAGTTGGTAACATGTCCACTTGGGTGGACAATGCGCATTTGTGCAACTGATATAACCTTGTTTTGTTTTGTTTTAAAGAAAACTATTGTTACTTGATGGCCCCATATTTTTTTTACCTGCAAGGATCGCCTAGAATAGAAGGAATGAGCAGATATTCCTCTCCCTCACAACCCATGTGCTCCTCTGTCAGCCATTTTGTTTTTTTTGAGGAAAAAAAAGTCACTTGCAAAGGCTGAGGAGTAGGTGGCAGTTTGACAAGTGGCAGGATGATACATTAGCGTCCACTGTAGTAACATATGTGCAAATGTGACATTAAAACATGTTCATTTAAGAGAAAACAACCATTTAATAACTGTCCACTGTAGTGACCACTATGCATGAAAGGGTTAACTGATTTTTAAATTTTATTTCAGTTTAACATGGGAATCGCAAAATTCTGACTTTAATCTCCGAATTCTGACTGAATTCTGACTTTTTTTAATTGTCAGAATTCAGAGAAAAAAAGTCAGAATTCTGAGAAAAAAGTCAGAATTCTGACTTTTTTCCCATACTATACTGAAATAATATAAAATAAAAAAAATCAGTTAACATTTTTTTTTCATTGGCCCTAATTCTCTTCCGTAGGTTACTCCCAAAAAAACAAAAAAAACCACTTCAATTCTTCAAGGACATACATTTTATCCAGATTAACTCAGAACAGGTCTCCTGTTGACGGCATGAAGGAGGCTGATTGAATCTCTCATCACCTCCACCCTTGTCTAGAGTCGGGAGGCAGCTGCTTTCTGTCGTCCTCAATCTTAACTCCGTAACTTAACTCCAGCTTACAGACTGGAACAAGACCTCTAAGCAATCACCCCTATTTAGGCAGAGGAAAGGCCCCCTCCTGGTTCCAGGCATGTCCCATTGGGAGGAGGCCTGGTGGACGGCCCAGGAGGGACTATGTCTCTGAGCCGGCCTAGTGTCACCTCAGGGTCCAGAGCAGCTGGAGGAAGTGTGCGTCGATTGGGGAGTTTGGGCATCTTTGCTTAGACTGTTCCCTCCGTGAGCCGGCCGCGGATAAGCGGAACAAAATGGATGGATGGATAGAAACACAACTATTTTATGTCACAAATAGGCCAAAATATGCTTCCACAAGTTCCTCTGGGCTGAAAACAGATTTTCCTTGAAATGTGGTTGAGATGCTGATAATGATGTTAATAATGATAATAATCTGTTCTGACAGGCAGCCCCTGCTGGACGCCTTACCAGCATGCGGATCTGAAAACTGCATTCTGCTGCTGACCCACCTGATCCAGAATGAGGAGCTGGAGGAGGGGCAGGTTAACTCTTTCCTCACTGCCTTAGCCCTCACCCCGCATCCGTCTCCTCAGATCATTGGATTCATCAACGTAGGAACTTATCTCTGAAACTCTTCTTTTCTCTGATGCACTATTTCAGTTGAACTGATCTAATGTCTTTATTGAAGGGTTTTCTGGAGAGGCCGCAGCTACGGTCCAAGGCCATGCTGGTTGGATCGTCTCTGATCCACCAGCTGTGCAAAAGGTCTGAAGCTTCCTGTGGTGAAACCCCTCAGGTTCAGGCTTTCATGCGAACGCTTCAGGAAACCCTGACTGCAGGCTGCGAGGAAAAGGAACCTCATCAAGTCAGAGAGGTAAAACTCTCTCGTTTCTGCCGTTCATGTAAATGAATCAGGGAATATTTACAGATATTATCTTGTGTCCAATCAACAGCTGTTCTATGCTCTGAAATCCATTGGAAACGTTGGTTTGACTGCAGCTTTTATTCCACTGCTGAACGGCTGCGTGCTGAACCTCAAAGCTGAGCTGAAGCTCAGACTCGCTGCCGTCCAAGCTTTCAGGCGCCTGCCCTGCTCAGCTGACGTGAGTTTAAAAGTCCAGTCATTAAGGAATGATCATTATTTATACCTAAAACTAATAAGTAATTTAATTAATTTAGTGTTAATCAGCAAAAAAAACTTTTCCTTTAATGGGAAAAATATGGTTAAAAAAACTGGACCAAATAGGATCCATTTTGAATGTTTGTCTGAGTTGGACAACATCTGGATTCTTTGGCCTGATAGTCTAAAGCAGGGGTCACCAACGCGGTGCCCTCAGGGGGCCACATGGGGGGCCCTCAGAGTCTTCTAAATAAAGAACAACAAAGTTTGAAATTTTATTTTATTCTGTTGCTCTTCTTTTTAATCATTTATAGAGATTTCAAAATGACAATGTCTAAATAAACTTAGAAATTAACAGAAACAATAAAAATATGTTGATAATGAACTAAGTTTAGGCTAACGCTAACCCTTGCAGCTCATGGGTCAGTAATGGTCGCCCTTCCTACGTCTCCTAAGTAAAAAGGTTGGTGACTCCTGGTCTAAAGCAACAATTTCCAATTAAAACAGAACAAAAGAAAATCCCATTAAGGCCTGTTCAAAAAGGGATAATTGATTCACCATCAGCACCTGTGATGACATCATTAATAACACCTGCAGAGGCGCCAGGTAACAAAGTACAAATAATTTGTTACTTTACTTAAAGTGGAACGCCGTTTTTTTCCATTGGTCCTTGATTTTCCGTTATTCCATCATGTTCTACTCTCCCATCTGAGTTTAGTGTCATTTGGAGCCGTTCTGAAGATATTCCGTTAGGTTATATCCAGTAACGTCTTCCTATGGGCAACGACTTGAAGGCACAAACTAAACTGTTCATTATTTATTCTTTATGGTACGCCAGCATTCAGAACATGGAGGCCAATCACTGTCCCCCAGACATCCACCGTTATATTTTATATATTTATATCTTTTAAAAACAAAGCGGCGCGTGTATGACATCACCGGACTGGATTTGTGACAGGCAGCCCGGGCCGCAGGCGGCTACGCTCTACCCAGTGGCGGATCTAGACCAAAATGTACCAGGGGGCAAGGAGGGGGCCAGTGTTGCTTTCATGGGGGCACAGAAAAGAATTAAATAAAAAATAGGGCAAGGGATTTAAATATATTAAGAGAACTGCATGAAGTTAAACTTCTATTCAATTAGGTGTAATTAAAATTCTACGTCTTATTAGGTCAATATATATTCATAATTTAGGAATTTTACTTATTTTTGACTTTATTTAAGTTAAAATGACCATTTTCTATCAAATCTGAAGTAGAACTCAAGAAAAACTAATAAATGCAGCTGTAAAAATTTAAGTATTTGTTGTTTTTTTTTGTTTTGAAAAAAATAGGAATAATGTTTAGTAATTAATAAGTAAAACAGAATTTGTAAAGAAAAAAATGAAATCGATCCAGAGGACGTATCAGTAACTGCGTCTGTTCCAGCGCAGATCATCATTAGAACTTTTTTGAGTATCATGTCTTCAGCACAGGGGCCATAAAAGGGGCCAGGACATGATCTACAGGGGCTCTGGCCCCCGTTGGCCCCTGTCTAGAACCGCCCATGGCTCTACCCCCTTCTATTCATTCTAGCTCATCCGAATCGTTCATCTGGAGAGCGAGATCATCTGTGGCGCAAGCACTAGACATCTTCCAGGCATGGGAGGAAAACTAGCAGCAGTTCAGCGGACAGGATGGATGAAGGGTAGCCGGCGCACGCTGATGATGTCATCATCAGCGTGATGATGATGATGTCATCATCAGCGTGCCGCTTTGTTTTTAGAAAATATAAATAATCTAACGGTGGATGTCTGGGGGACAGTGATGGCCTCCATGTTCTGAATGCTGGCGTACCATAAAGAATAAATAATGAACAGTTTAGTTTGTGCCTTCAAGTCGTTGCCCATAGGAAGACGTTACTGGATATAACCTAACGGAATATCTTCAGAACGGCTCCAGATGACACTAAACTCATATGGGAGAGTAGAACATGATGGAATAACGGAAAATCAAGGACCCAATGTAAAAAAACAGAAGTTCCCCTTTAAGTAGAAATGTTGGCTATCTATACTCTACAGGAGTCATTATTTTTCCAACAACTTCTTACTTTCTACTCCTTACATTTTTTTAAATAGACTAGATTAGTTTTGTTTTATTTAAGTTCCTTTTTTTTGTTCTGGCCTGTTGGTATTTGAAAAAAATAAAATAAAATAAAAACCATCAAAATAATTAGTTTCATCCAGACAATTAATTTCTCTGTAGTTGGACTCGGTGCTGCCCCAAGTTGTTGCTCACCACATACCAAAATATGTAGTTTATCAAGATGATGCAAAGTTAAATGTGACTCTGTTACCATTAGTTATAAAACTAAGAAAATGAATTCTAAGGAAGTTATCATCCAGAATTGTAGAAAAATGTTCCTTTAATAGAGTAGAGCAGTAAAGCTTTTGGCCTTAACAGTTTTTTCTTCATTACTTTTATTTTAAACTTTAAGTAGTTTTAAAAATGGTACCCAGTAAATTCCACAGTGTTAAATATGTCGTGTCAAAGTACACTGACTCTTTAAGAGTTATTACAACAACAACTGGAGTAAGATATACACTACATAGAGTTCTAACACTAATTCTGAGTGGGACCAATTGCACTCTTAAAGTGTTACTTTAACACTGCAAAATTGACTGTGTACTTTTACACTTTTACTGGAGTTAAAAGCTGAAGTTGATCCTCTAACTTCTATAAAAGTGTTTTTAAACAGCTGGATTTATACAGGAGGATTAACATGAACGGACAACCTGAACAGCAGTGACTGACGGCCGTTTGCTTCCCTCAGCGCTCGGTGCTGTTGCAGCTGTACGGATCGTCCCCGGAGGATCCGGAGGTCAGGATCGCTGCGTACCAGCAGCTCATGCTCTGCCCCCACCAGGGACTGTTTGAAGCGGTGAAGACCACTCTGAGCAGCGAGACGTCCAACCAAGGTCTACTGTTACGGAATGACTTCTGTCCCGTTATTCCTGCAAGCAAAGAACACATTTTGTACATTGAAATTTGCGGAAAATTATTTGAAAAATATAATCGGCCCCCTATCGGTATCGGCCTTAATACTGAATATCGGACATCGGCCCCCTCACCGATATTTAACCCGATATTTGATCAGCTTCTGAGTTTCTAAAGTCTAAAAAAAAAAACAAAAAAAAAACTTCTTTTTTACAGACTTAAAAACTTCTAAAGACGAGGGAAAAATATTGATCCATTAAAATTTCCCAATATCTTCATATGCTGATATATTGCCATTTAAAAACACCATATCAATCTCTTTTACTAATGAAATATTGCTATATGTCATCGTTATGCTACGAAATCCCCCGAAAATTCACCAAATGTTGCCATATTTTTATATGTTGATATATTGATATTTTTGTCCAGCTTTAACATCGGTATCGATATCGGTTATCGGCTACATGAGTTTTAAAATATCGGCATATCGGCCAAAATCCCAAAATCGTGCATCCCTAGTTTTATGAATAGAATTCTTTTCACATCACTTTTCACACACACACTGACCAAGACAACGATGTGGCTACTTTCCGGCCGACTAACAGAAACGTGGCTCTGCTGAAGAGAATGCGATCTATAAATCACAATTGGAAAAAAAAAATCAGCTGGAAAAACTAAATCTGAAAAAGAGAAATAAAAAAAAACATGAAAACAAGAAATCTAATTAACTAAACAAAATCAAATTTCAGAGTTCTTTGCTGGCAACAATAATAGAACAAAAATAACTCCATCTCTGTATCCTTAGACAGGAAACCCAGAAAACTGAGTACAAGTGTAAATATTAGCTGAGTTCCAATCCGGCGGCTGCGTCCTCCGAAGGCCAGATTCATCGGTCGGTTACATCATAGCGCAGAGGCCTGTTCGGATCGGAAGACTCTTCGTTATGCGGCCGACAAATGCGTCCTTCTTTTTACCCGTTTTGAAGTACAGGTCAGCTGTATCCTCTCTATCTTTGGGTATCCCAGGATTCATTGCGAGATGAAGCCAGCTGCTCCGTGCTCAGAGGAAAAGCGGAAATGGCGCCGAATAGTGGTGAATATTGGAAGTTCAGTTTAATATAATCCAGTCTGTGAATAGTTCCGTCTGAAATGAATGAAAATAGTTGTTTTAATGGTTATAGAGTCAGATATGTGGCGGTAATGTTTGGTTTATCTAAGGTTTTATCTGTTACTGTGTAAATGAGTTTGGCTGGAATTTAAGCTCAGATTCTAATAGATCTGCAGGGTGGGGGGGGGGACTATAAATCTGATATCTGAGACGACGGTTCTGCTGCTGAAGCTCCTCAGAAATATTATTAGCACCCAGAACAGCAGTGAGACGTTCAGCATCCATTATTTTCCTGCTTTGTGCGACAACTGTCATGGTTCCCCAGGCAACAGAGGGAGGCAACAATGCTAGTGTGAGGGATTGCTGAAGAGTCAATGAGTCGATGCAATCAGCTGGTTTTCCTTAGATAGAAAACTTTGAATCAATCTGACTGGATGATCTGGTGAACTGGAAAGTGACCTGAAATGACCTGATGTGAATTGGAGCTATAGAAATAAACTGAATAGAACTGAACAGAGCATATGGGTGGTGAAAGCCATAGAGGGCTGGACCTGTTTGAATCCATATTTCCAATATTTTCACGGACCTGGAAGGATCTAGTCCAGATAGACCGGGTCCTTGGAGGACGCAGCCTTGGAAACTGAACACACCTTCTGAGTATTTGAATCTTTTTATGTAAAACAGCAGAAAGCAGTTAGTCTCGGTTGAACATGTTTTTATTGTTTTTAGCTCCTCATCTTGAAGGTTTTTGTATCGTATCTTTTTTATTGGTCATTTCTTGACTTTCTTCCTTTGTCTTTTGTCTCTAGTGGGCTCATTTGTGTGGAGCCATCTCACTAACATCCTGCGGAGTGAGGATCCCATGAAGCAGAGCTTCATCGAGTCAATGCCTGATGACATCATAAGCAGAGATTTTGAAGCAGAATTCTGGAAATATTCCTCTTATTCAGATCATACTTTTGTTTCAGGTAACTATCATCCCAGAATGTTCATTAAAGACGGAAATCCATCTTAACTTAGCTAATACGTTTGCGCTAATTTAATGAATTTAGCATTAATCAGTTAAAAAATTAAAACAATAATTTTCATGGCGATCACTGAGTCTGGGAGCGGCCATTTTTGCCCAAATATAGTAGCCCCTCCCTCCTGCCATCTTCCAGCAGTGACGTCACGGTGCGGTAAGCCTAGCGCCATTCTCCCCGCTTTCCAAGCTAAATCAATGGGAACTACTAGACACATCTGCAATCAACAACAATTATTGAAGATTTCCAGAGGACTTCACCATTGAAATTCACCAGAGCTATAGTGAAACTGACAATGCCCACGTGCATGGCAGCTGGATGCTGGAATACATCGGGTAAAAGTGAAAAAAAGCTGTCTGTGCAAAGGCTCAAAAGCAAACTGTTAACTCTCGCTTAAGGTTACTGCAATACAAATGGTTAATGCGAATCTATATTACACCAGTCAATTTAAATAGGTACAACCCTAATATACCAGATGTATGCACAAAATGTTTAGAAGAAAAGGGGACTTTGTTTCATTGTATTTGGAAATGTACGGAAATTCAAAACTTTTGGAAAGCCATAAGAAGAACTTTGGAACACCTTGTCTCTAAAGTTGTTGCACTTGATCCTGCTTTTCTAATTTTAGGTTTGTACCCTAAAAATACTTTGTTTACCAAAAGTGAACAATTGTTGATTGATATATGTCTACTACAGGCTAAAAGGCTGATAGCACTACCCTGGAAGAGAACAACACTTCCAGGTATCAACCAATGGATTAAGCAAATGCTGAAGACTTTACCTCTGGAACGCATAACGTATCTCCAGAAAGGGAAAAGCGATCTATTTGAAAACATTTGGAGACCCTTCCTGAATTTTGTTGAAAGAGTGGACATATCTCACAATGACGAAACCAGTTAGAGACAAGTTTATTGTCAAAACACAATGTGCAACAAGGGAGCCTCAACAGTGGACTATTTTCTCCTGTATACTTAGAGGAGTCTGTGCAGATATGTAGCTAAGAGGGTGTTCGTAGGTCCTGTTTACTGTACTGGTTATGTGGCAGGTGTATCTGTAAAAAAAAAAAATAATACAATAAAAATTTTTGTTGGAAAAAAAAAAAAGTGAAAAAAAGAGTTATTCCACCTTTCTGATTCCTGATCCTCCACGGACGGGTTGGTCGTTGGACGGGCATACATTGCGATTTTTTCAATCGTTGCACGTAGCTACAGCTCAAACTGTGCGATGAAACCTGCAGGGTTTAAATCGCAAAATTCTCGCACAAAATCCTACAGTGTACGCCCGGCTTAAAGCACATTCAAATGAAAATGACTCCTAATTAAAAACTCTGATCATTTGTTGAACAGGATGTAATGATTTCATATTTAAAGGACTTCCAGAAGTTATTATTCTGAATATTACAGGACTTTTCGTTAAACAAATCTGTGAAGATTCTTAGTTCACCAGGTCAAGCTTCAAAAAGTTCAGTTTAGGCAACTGGACCTGAAGGTTTTCAGAAGGCGTTTCTTGCAAGGGTGTAACTTAGTGATGAGTGGGTGGGGGCGCTCTAAGGGTGGGGGCTGATGGACCTACAGTTACTCCACCCGAACACTTTCCCAATGTTGAGAACACAAGAGAACCATAATACACTGATATTTATATTTATAGATAGTTAGAGAGATGCCTTTTAGTGCATTATATATATATATATATATATATATATATATATATATATATATATATATATATATACCAAAATCAGTAAATCATTCATCCCTAGAAGCACAATTTTATTGCTTCTAGAGGTAGTGACAGTCCATGGCACAAATAATCCTCAGTGATTAGTCAACCAGCCGCAGGTGTGTGACTGGATTCCTAACAAATTTCAATTCCATCCATCCAGAAAAATCTGGATAAGCTGCATTTTTAATATAGCGTAGCATATTTTTGTACTTAAACACCAAAGTAGCTGCTGGTTAATGTTCACTGAGTGCTGCTGTGTGTCTCTCCTCCTCCATGTAGCGACTTTGTGCAGTAAAAATGCAGTGAAATGCGCAAATAAGATGTCTCAAAGCGACAGATCCGATGATGTCACATCGAGAGGCGGGACAAGGGAGCAGCGTGAGAGAGGAAAACTAACATGGAGTCAAAACACCCTGAACACAGATAGCTGCAGCCTACCTCTGTTAGCTCTGGCTAAAGGAAATGCGTGTAAAGGGGAAAAAAAGCAGAAATGATTGGTGGGGACATGAACATGTCCACATCAGTCCTTCAGAAAGTCCCGCCTGTGGTTTCTCCTCTCATCCGAGAGGCTTCTTCCGTTTTAATGATCATTAACCCCCCAGGTGACCTCCTTGGCCAATCCATTGGAGGGATCAGAACCTCCTTTGGTTCCTCCTAATTCTTTGTTCCTCCTCCAGTATATTAATCCCAGTAGTTAGACCTGAGGAAGCATCTTGGATGAGATGAGAAACTGAACCTTTTCAAGCTACTTAAACGATGTCAAATAAGCTCTTTCTGTGTCAATAATAATGAAACGATCATGATGTGGAGGCGGAGGATGACTGAGCTGCTCTTTTCTTTTGTATTTCAGGCCTTGGAATAAAAAATCTAGAAACATCCGTGGTTTTCTCTCCAAAGTCCTTTCTGCCCAGATCTGTTTCAGCCAACTTTACAACTTATTTACACGGTAGAGCACACAACCTGTTAGAGGTGAGTTTTAAAAGAATTTGGGTGTTAAAAACAGGTAGAGATATAAAGTAAACATCATCCTTTGTTTCTGCTCCAGGTAGATCTACACATGGAGAACTTTGAGCCCCTGTTGAGGAGCGCTTTCAGTCACAAGGCAGACAGTGAGCCGGCTGCTGAAACCAGAAAACAGGAGGCAAGAAAGAGCAGAAGAGGAGCAGATGATGGAAATGCAAAAGAGAAAGAAAGGTGTTTGTCCAGCGCAGACGGTTATCTGAAGCAGGCCAGGGCCATGGTAAGGCTGATCAACTCTGAGGGCTTTATACATCACCACACCCAGTAGCGGAAAGTAACATTTGCTTGATTACTGTACTTAAAGTTTAGGGAAGTCGTATCTAAATGTTAAATCATTCTGGCTCAAACATCTATATAAATGTTTTCTTTATCAGACCTTTTTATCCCAAAATTTAGAACATTTTTATTAAAAAAAATAAAAATCCTGTCTTAAAATCTGTTTTTCCCGTTATCTTCTGCAGGCCAGTTAATTCTACGTCAGCCTGAACACCTAAATTCAGCCAATCATATATCAACGGTCATCTGTCAATCAAATGTTTTCGGTCATAGCATCTTGATTCATGTCGCAGCTAATATACGCAACGGTTGAAATCAGAATCCTTTCCTTTCCCATTGAGTTGCGTCCCAGTGTTCACGCGGATGCATGTTTTCTAAACTAAAACCAGGCTTTGTTGGTCCGCTCTATAAAACCTGGAACTAAACGCTATTTCTGATATTTTAAATTGAAAAATCTTCCTGGATGGAAGAGAAACGTCTTCAGACTCTGACCTGGATGACAGAGAATCACCAGCATTATTAAAAACGGCGACAAGAAAACAATATATTGTTATATATATCTTCCTAATTTATTCAGCATATGATAAACTTTTCTTAACCAATTTATCACTTTCAGGTTTGGTTTCTTCACACCTTTGTGTTTATTTTGTTTATTTATTTATTTATTTTTACAGCTGTTTGGGAAAAGGAAAGATGATGCTGGAAGGCCACAGTGTTGGGTTGGTGTAAAAATCTTTGGAAATGAGCTCAGTGTGTTCACGTGCAACGACATCTATGACCAAGTCCACCAGGTGTCCCTCAGCATGGCGGGGCTAGCTGTCAAGCTGCTCAAGGTAACATGACATCATCGGGTGCTGCTGTAACTAACGCTCAATTAAATTAAATTCACTTTAGTTTATTAATATAACCGCAGTTCACAACACGTCATCAACACGAGTCGGGATGGGAAGTACAAATACTTCGTTACTGTACTCAAGTAGATTTTTCTGATATTTTTACTTTACTACTTATTTTTATGGCGACTTTTTACTTCTACTCCTTACATTTTTACACAAATATCTGTACTTTCTACTCCTTACATTGTAAAAAATTAGCTCGTTACTTTAGTTTTGAATCATTTCAATGGAGTTACCGTTATTATTTTTCACGTCATCAATACCAAATTCAATCTAATTGGATGGGAATCTACGTTGCATTTGACGCACCACTACAAGATGAATCGACAGATTCGGCGGTATTCATTGGCGGCAAATCATTGCAGCTGGTGGCGGTGGCGTTAGCATAGTAGCATGGACGACGAGATGATTGAAAATGAACACAACAGAGATCTAGTCCTATTGGCAGACATCCATTTAAAATGTAGGCAACGGCATGAAAAAAGTGGTTTCTACTTTTACTTTTACATAGGGCTGCAACTAACGATTATTTTAAAAATCGATGAATCGGCCGATTATTTTTTCGATTAATCGATGAATCGGACACAAAATATTTTTTTTATATTAACCTCTTTATTCCAAAATAAACATTTTAGACAGAACAAACAAGCACACACGTACAGGTTTCTCATTAACTGTACTGGTGCAATATGAAAAATAAATGTTTCTGTTAAAACTACGCCAACTTACATGAGAAATGTAGCTGTACATCCACAAAATATAGGATACTTTGTTTCATAAAGCGCAAAAAAAGACATTTTTGTTTTTAAAAGCCCCTAAGGGGTTCAAACAATAGGCCCCCCCATTTCAACAAATGAGTTTTTTTAGACTAGAAGAGTTCTGCCTTTTAAGACAGGAAAGTATAGCAGTTAAAGTTGCTACTTGAGAAAATACTAAACCATAGAGATAAAAATAGCCCTGTGATTCTAATTATAAATTGTATTTGGAATAAAAATGAGAGAACTAGGGGTGCTAAAAAACACATCCTCCAAAGACAGATATTTACATGGGAATGTGGCAGATATTTAATTGACATATTACTGATCTTGCTGGATTTTATTCTGCTTTACTTCCATAAATTGCAGGATCTTCTTTACTTTATCTTTGCCAGAAGATTTAAACTTTAAAAGCCTTGCCCTCATAATTTGCAAATTAATTTATTTATAAAGAAAATATAAACGCTGCTTAAGCTAATTCAAATGAAATTAAAAGTAAAATAAGAAGCCAACCTTATCACTGTCTGTAACCTACTAACAAGCTAAGGAAAGCATCAGATGAGCTACCTGTAACTTACGTTTCCCCACTTTAAAATGAAACAAACATGGTTACTCATCCTGCTGATCAGCTCTCTTCACTGCCATCGAGGCTCCAACGTGTTTTCTTTTCAGGTGCTGCGTCATAACAGTGGTGCTTCCGTGCCATGTTCATTTGTTTTTTACAAAAGTTGCATGTTACGACTTTTTTCACTTTACAAAGCGCAGGCTATTTTAATTATTGTGATCAATTTGCGCCGTCAATCCCGGGGCATGCGCGCTTCATTTGCAGTCTGGACGCTGAGGGTAAACTCCTCACTAAAATCCTGCGGCTCGGACTGCAGCGCTGAGAGGGATTCCTGTGGGAGAGGGAGAAAGGCGTTGGGATGGGGGAGGCGCCCCACGGCAGCAGCTGCCGCTGGAGGACAAGAGTAGGAACGATACATGCTTTCACGTAAGAGTCTCCAAAAGCCGCCAGTGACACCGTAAAAAGTCGCCAGATTTGTCGCTAGTCGCTTTTTAAAAAAAATAGTCGCTGGAGGGGTCTGAAAAGTCGCTGAGTTGGCAACACTGCACCTGCGGCGCTGACTCGCTCCGCCATATTTTTTTTTCTTCCCCGGGATGACGGCGGCGGCGGATGACGCATTAATCGCGCGACACAACTAATCGATGATTAAATTCGTTGCCAACGCTTTTAAAAGTCGATTTTTATCGATTTTATCGATTCGTTGTTGCAGCCCTACTTTTACACTTTAAGTAAATTTACAAGCCTGTACTTTGTTACTTTTACTTGAGTAAAGAAGTTTAATCAGTACTTCCACTTTTACCAGAGTATTTTTTAACACAAGTATCTGTACTTTTACTCAAGTACGGAAAGTGAGTACTTTTGCCATCTCTGCTTACAGGAGACGCTCCTTCTGGATGAGCACTGGCGAAAATAGCCATCTGCAATCACTGTGTCATTAACTACAGCAATCCCTCACACTGAGCATGCATACAGCAACAGTGGAGAGAAAAAAACTCTGTTTTAACAGAAAAAAACCTCTGAGTTAGAAAAGGGTACGGTGAGCTCCCTCCATATGGGGGTCTATCCAGGAAAGAATCTCTAAAGCCGGGCATACACTGCGATTTACTTTTAAATATAACGGCGGATGTCTGGGGGACAGTGATTGGCCTCCATGTTCTGAATGCTGGCGTACCATAAAGAATAAATGATGAACAGTTTAGTTTGTGCCCATAGGAAGACGTTACTGGATATAACCTAACGGAATATCTTCAGAACGGCTCCAAATGACACTAAACTCAGATGGGAGAGTAGAACATGACGTACTCGTCGTCTCCCGCTTTATCCAGAACCGGGTCGCGGGGGCAGCAGACTAAGCAGAGACTCCCAGACTTCCCTCTCCGCTGACACCTCCTCCAGCTCTGTTGGGGGAATCCCAAGGCGCGCCCAGGCCAGTCGAGAGACATAGTCCCTCCAGCGTGTCCTGGGTCGTCCCCTGGGCCTCCTCCCGGTGGGACGTGCCTGGAACAGGGAGGCGTCCAGGGGGCATCCGAAAAAGATGTCACCTCAACTGACTCCTCTCTAGAACATGATGCAATAACGTAAAATCAAGGGTCCCATGTAGAAAAAAAAAAACGGCGTTCCCCTTTAAGCTGAGATAAAAAAGATTTATATAACATAGATTTATTTATTTTGATAAAAGGAGCTGAGAACCATTAGTACCCAGTGAGACATTATCTTTGTATTCAGTATTTCACACCAGTTAACTCATATGTCCTCTCAAATTGTTTTTTATATAGATCTGCAGGCAAGAAAACGTAATGTTTATATTTGTTTAAAGAGCGAAAATTCAGTTTAATCCTGAAGCATAAATAAAGATGAACATTATTTATTCTACTCAAAGTAATTTCTAAAGTTTGTCAACAAAAAAAGACCAAAACTATGAGGACAGCAACTTGATTGAATTGTTAATAACTTTATTGTATTCGAAGGACAAAGCTGAGTGGAATCTACGTTAGATTGGAACCTGCTGTTAAACACTGGCTGGAACGGTCTGTGGTTCATTCATCATTTACGACCCCCCACCCCCACTATTTCCCTTCCTCCTGCTTTGTCCTGCAGGGTCATGAGGTTCAGCTGAGCCATAGGGGCGTGCTGATGGCTGAGGAGTTGGCTTTGCCCTCCCTGTCTGGTGTCCCCATCAAGCTGGGCGCCAATGTGACCTCTCTTCTTTCCCTGCACCTGAAAGGCAGCATTAACTACAAGGATGCTTCTCACTTCTCCCTGAGCGGATACGTTCGCCCCAGGTAGTTCAGGCTTTACGCTCTGAAACCAGCGTCCATGGGCCCGGTCAGCAGAGTGTAACTGGTGTCTTTGTTCCCAGTGCCTATGTGGGCCTGTCAGCCAGGATGGGGGTGGATGGTGCTTTGGGTCAGGCTGCGGTTGAATGGCTTGCTGAGCTCCAGAGCTCCCCCAGTCTGGATGGGAGCATCCAGCTACAGGAGGGGCGGGACATCCGGGTCACTTTGAACACGCCGCAGGATGTGATCGACATCATCTCTCTCAGGTAAGCGTTGGTATTTATAACCACTAAAGATTAACTTTTCTTTTTTTTTTATTCACTGATTCGTTTATCAATGAAGTAAAAGTAAAACCATCAATCTGATTGGCAATTTTTTCCCAGATTTCCTCGTCTTTCCACGTGATTTACACTGCAAAAAAAATGAAATCTAAATAAGTCATTTCTTCTTATAATAAGTGCGTTTTTTCTTGAATTAAGGATTTAAGTGAGACACTTTGCCAATAGAACAAAACAATTTACGCTTAAAATAAGAAAAAAACAATTGCATTGTCTTATTTCAAGTGCATAATATCTGGATACCTTATTTTAAGAGTAAAAGTATTAATTCCATTGGCAAATCATCTTATTCACCTGCTCAAATTAAGGCTAAATACCCTTAATTTAAGATATTTTTACTCATTTTGAGATCATTTTTTGCAGTGTAGTCGACCAAAATCCCAGAAGATTTAGAAATTCCGCCCGGACATTTTTTTAGTTATGAAAAGTAGGACATGTCCGGGAAAAGGAGGACGTCTGGTCCCCCTACCATATCAACAATCTGATGTTTCAGTGAGTGAGTGCTTGTTGCTATGATGCGTCTTTGCTCAGCAGCTTCGCTCGTTGTAAACCAACCAATCAGAGCACAGCTCATCTACACTGCAAAAATGATCTCAAAATGAGTAAAAATGTCTTAAATTAAGGGTGAATACTATGGGGCCAAAATGGTAGCTTTAATATTAGCAAATGTGTGTGGAGAGTTGTGTGTCTGTATCTCGATTTGTGTGTGTGCAGTGGGATTTGAAAATGTGTAAATAAATCTGTAAATGTGTGAGGAGATTTGTGTGTCTGTACAACAATCTGCAAATGTGTAAAACTACTTGTGTGTAATCCGTTTTGCAAATGTGTAAAAAATCCACAAATCTGTATTCAGATCTGCAAATGTGTACTGAGACTTGCAAATGTGTAGATCAATCTGTAAGCACACACAGAGACACTTGTGTCTGAAGTATTTTCGCTTCAAGGCCCAGAAATACAGACAAATCATTGGTTACAAGTCAAGCGGTTTTTCGGTTGGCTCTCTTTACACACGTGATTTTTGCTACTCTTCTGCCGCGTGAGATGCACAAATGCGTAGAAGGATTTGTATGTGTATTTTCGCGATTTGTAACCCCTTGCGCAGGCTCGCAGGCTCACATGCTGCCCTGACCGCAGGCTCGCAGGCTCACAGACAGCCTCTACCTTTTTTTTTCCTCCGCTGCGGGAGTTGACGTGACAAGGATGATATATAGATACCATTCAGTAAGGAAAAAATTTAATCTATTATTAAACAAAAGGTTACGGAAAGATGGCAGAAGCTGTGGGAAGAGCATAGAACTGGAAGTTGGCTTTATAGTATTCAAAGGAAGATTGGTGAAATGAGGAGAACGGAAAGGAATAAAAAAGAGGTTATATCTAGATTAAGTTTCGGAAACACGGGGTTAAATGGAAACTTATTTAGAATGGGAACAGGAGGTTGTGGTTTTTGTTATCAAGGGGAGACGGTGGAGCATGTTTTGTTGTTTTGTTATAAATATTCTATGGAGAGAAGGGTTACAAGAAAATAAATGACAGTTAAATATACAAGATATTTTGGGGGGAAAAAAATCTACTTATGATTATTTTTGTAATTTGATAAACAATCTTGAAAAAAAGAAATTGGTAGAAAGGATATAAGTTTATTTATGTAAATATTGTAAATATTAATTTTTATTTTTCAGTGGGAAAATACATAGCATCCCGATCCACACTCCACTGAAGTAGATGGTGGTAATGCACATCATAAAGTTGCTTGCCAGCCGCCATAAAACAGAAGCAGAAGAAACAGTTTTACTAATGCAAACTATAGAAAAAATTAAAGAAATATACTTACAGAAAGCTGACGGGATTCCATTGCTCTCAACTTAGCAGGTACAACCCCTAGGACCCCAGTAACGTCACGAACTGTACAATACCGCCAACTGGTGGTATGTGGCTGTATGTGAAGCAAGATGTGCTGAACTGCCGCAGCAGAGAGAGGCTGTCTGTGAGCCTGTGAGCCTGCGAGCCTGCGGTCAGGGCAGCATGTGAGCCTGCGAGCCTGCGCAAGGGGTTACAAATCGCGAAAATACAGGTGCTGGTCATAAAATTAGAATATCATGAAAAAGTAGATTGATTTCAGTAATTCCATTTAAAAAGTGAAAGTTGTATATTATATTCATACATTACATACAAACTCATATATTTCAGATGTTTATTTTGTTTAATTTTGATGATTACAAATGACAACAAATGAAAATCTCAAATTCATCATATCAGAAAATTAGAATATTACTGAAGACCAATAAAAACAAAGGATTTATAGAAATGTTGGCCAACTGAAAAGTATGAACATGAAAAGTATGAGCATGTACAGCACTCAGTATTTAGTTGGGCCTCCTTTGGCCTGTATTACTGCAGCAATGCGGCGTGGCATGGAGTCGATCAGTCTGTGGCACTGCTCAGGTGTTATGATAGCCCAGGTTGCTCTAATAGTGGCTTTTAGCTCTTCTGAATTGTTGGGTCTGGTGTATTGCATCTTCTTCTTCACAATACCCCATAGATTTTCTATGGGGTTAAGGTCAGGAGAGTTTGCTGGCCAATTAAGAACAGGGATACCATGGTCCTTCAACCAGGTACTGGTAGCTTTGGCACTGTGTGCAGGTGCCAAGTCCTGTTGGAAAATGAAATCTGCATCTCCAAAAAGTTGGTCAGCTGCAGGAAGCATGAAGTGCTCTAAAACTTCCTGGTATGTGGCTGCGTTGACCCTGGACCTCAGAAAACACAATGGACCAACACCAGCAGATGACATGGCACCCCAAACCATCACTGACTGTGGAAACTTTACACTGGACTTCAAGCAACGTGGATGAAGTGCCTCTCTTCTTTTCCTCCAGACTCTGGGACCTTGATTTCCAAAGGAAATGCAAAATTTACTTTCATCAGAGAACATGACTTTGGACCACTCACCAGCAGTCCAGTCCTGTTTCTCTTTAGCCCAGGCAAGACGCTTCTGACGCTGTCTGTGGTTCAAGAGTGGCTTGACACAAGGAATGCGACAGCAGAAACCCATGTCTTTCATACGTCTGTGTGTGGTGGTTCTTGAAGCACTCACTCCAGCTGCAGTCCACTCTTTGTGAATCTCCCCCACATTTTTGAATGGGTTTTGTTTCACAATCCTCTCCAGGGTGCGGTTATCTCTCTTGCTTGTACACTTTTTTCGACCACATCTTTTCCTTCCCTTCGCCTCTCTATTAATGTGCTTGGACACTGAGCTCTGTGAACAGCCAGCCTCTTTAGCGATGACCTTTTGTGTCTTGCCCTCCTTGTGCAAGGTGTCGATGGTCGTCTTTTGGACAACTGTCAAGTCAGCAGTCTTCCCCATGATTGTGTAGCCTATAGAACTAGACTGAAAGACCATTTAAAGGCTTTTGCAGGTGGTTTGAGTTAATTAGCTGATTAGAGTGTGGCACCAGGGGCCATCAATTTTGAACCTTTTCACAATATTCTAATTTTCTGATATGATGAATTTGAGATTTTCATTTGTTGTCATTTGTAATCATCAAAATTAAACAAAATAAACATCTGAAATATATGAGTTTGTATGTAATGTATGAATATAATATACAAGTTTCACTTTTTAAATGGAATTACTGAAATCAATCTACTTTTTCATGATATTCTAATTTTATGACCAGCACCTGTACACATACAAATCCTTCTAGCATTTGTGCATCTCACCCAGCAGAAGAGTAGCAAAAATCACGTGTGTAAAGAGAGCCAACCGAAAAACCGCTTGACTTGTAACCAATGATTTGTCTGTATTTCTGGGCCTTGAAGCGAAAATACTTCAGACACAAGTGTCTCTGTGTGTGCTTACAGATTGATCTACACATTTGCAAGTCTCAGTACACATTTGCAGATCTGAATACAGATTTGTGGATTTTTTACACATTTGCAAAACGGATTACACACAAGTAGTTTTACACATTTGCAGATTGTTGTACAGACACACAAATCTCCTCACACATTTACAGATTTATTTACACATTTTCAAATCCCACTGCACACACACAAATCGAGATACAGACACACAACTCTCCACACACACTTGCTAATATTAAAGCTACCATTTTGGCCCCATAGTATTCACCCTTAATTTGAGCAGATAAATAAGATGATTTACCAATGAAATTAGTATTTTTACTCTTAAAATAAAATGAACTTGAAATAAGACAATGCAATTGTGTTTTTCTTATTTTAAGTGTAAATTGTCTTGTTCTATTGGCAAAGAGTCTCACTTAAATACTTAATTCAAGAAAAAATGCACTTATTTTAAGAAGCAATTACTTATTTAGATTTGATTTTTTTGCAGTGTAAATATTCATGATCAATGTTAAACACCTTATTCAGAGAGCTTAAGGACCAGCAGCAAACACCCGGTATAATCATTCTGTCCCCTTTAAGGACCCCCGTTATCTGTTGCCATGGCAAACAGCCCTGCTTCCTGGGGTCCACATTAAAAACATACAATAATTAAAGCAGTCAAAAATATTACATTTCCTAAAACTTTATTTCTTAACACACAGTAGTAAAGAAGTGATCAAAGAATACACAAAAAAACCAAATAAATTAGAACTAAAACACTTCAGGGCATCAAATGGAGTCTAGATAATTTGCAGCAGATGTATTAAGGTAGATTATTTCAAAGATGCAATGATCTATTAAAAAAGATCTCTTTGTTTTTTGGAGCTGGTAAAACTAGCTGCCCATTAATGGAACCTCTGGTCTTGTTATCATGAACAGAATGACTTAAAACAATTCATAATGTCTGTGTTCTTCAGCTCTGGAGTATTTCAGCTGAGTGGAAACCACAGAGATGAGATAAAGGGAGCAAAGAGTCGGATCCAGAGGACCACCTGCACACCAAAGAGCTGTGAGTTTGGTTTATTCCTCATTTCTCTGGAGTTCTGCTGAGTTTATTTAAAATGAGTCCTCAGTGTTTCCTTCTGTACCTCGTTAGAAAGACTGATAGTTAGTCCTGAAGGGTGGAAAAAAAAATTTGATTTGGCGATAAATCATGACTTTTGGGTGCCTGATTTAATATCTTTTCCTAATATCGATTTAAAAAAACAAAACAATTAACCTAAAACAATGAGGGAAAATGGGCTCCCTCTGCACAGCCACTCTGGCAGATAAAGCTCTGCTTTGGCTATAAGGCAGAGACATATCTGTAGCTGAGGCGGCCGCTGTGGAAGACGGGGACTGACTCAAAACCCAAACATGGACGCTGAGGAGTAAAACATGTTGAGGTTTGTCTGTTCTTAGCCTCACAGGCTCCAAATGAAGGTCATGAGAGAGAAGAATGAGTCTCAGCCTCCTTCATGGGATGAAGGGGAGGACTGATGTTATTAGGAGATCCATCTGACCAGAGATAGATTAATCTGACAGGAAACGGCCTTAATGAACTAAAGTTGTTTCTCCTCAAAATGTTCAAGTGTGAGAAAGTTCTTTATGCAGGGGGTGGGTTGGTTCCTGTGTGTTGGGATGTTTGTAAGGTATAAATTTCATTTCATTTATTGTTTATTTGAAAGGGGACAGTGTACATTAATCAACATTAAAACAATGTAAATATACCCGAGTTAGCTAAGGAGTGCTAATTGTCATCGGTAGTCAACCTTAAAAATAAACACAAGTATAAAATCACAAGATAAAATTACAATACCAATTACATAAAAAACATTATGTACTGTAAATGTACTGAGGTAGCCTGAGTCAGAGCTCTATCTCTCCGTCTGAGGATGTAATGATCTTGGTTCTGTTGTTTTTCTGTCAAGATTTGGTTTTAAGGTTGTTGATTGGACCCAAAAGCAGAAGCTGAGAGGCATAGGCGAGTTCTTGGAGGGTTTAATCAGAGATCAGGCAACAAAAACAGGAATCCAAAAATCCGACATAAAAATCAAACACTAACCAGAACCATGGAGACATCAGGGAAAACCATCAAGGAGCCAGGGTGAGAAAAGGTAAGACGAGGAACAAGCAAAGAGGGACTGCAGAGGGAGTGTATTTATGGCCGACTGAACAAAGGTAGGACTAACGAGCTGATAGGGAGCAGGTGTGATTAGAGCTGACGAGGAGGCCAAGGGAAACGAACACAAGGGGGCAGCAGAGGACAGACAGAAAAACCTAAGCAACTTAAATGAATCCAGACACACCAATAAAGCTAGAAAACAATGAAAAAACTGGCTAAACTTGAAACTGAAAACTTAAAGAAAAACAACAGAACCAAGATCATTACAGAGGATGTTAAATAAATGTGAACCTTTTTTCTTGCAAGAAATGCCTCTGCCTCCGCTTCCTAACTTAACAAAACCAAAATAACTAAATTATCAATATTTTCTCATGAAAATATACAGATCTTTTTTAACACGCTTTTTTATCTAAACATTTAATTTTGGTAGCTGCGAAAAACATCACAATAATAGTGATATCGCAATAACGTGATAATATCGTTTTGTGACTAGTGTTGCGCCGATGCCATTTTTGGCCCCGATATCAATACCCGATACCTGGCTGTGCAGTATCGGCTGATACCGATACCATCTGTTTGAAATTGATGTGTGTGTATCTATGAAGAACTGCAGACTACTAGGATGTAAAATAATCACCATCATGGCTTCATGTCAAGCTGCTGCCTTCCTTTGTGAAGCAGGAAAAAGACTAAAACAAAGTGAATCCAGTAGAACTTTTATTGCCGACCTGGAATGGGCGACAATAGTTGAAGAAACTTTTGGCTCTCTAAATGGTATCGGTGCCCTATTGGTTGGTACTCACTGATATGATATCACCGTTTCAATCTGAAAAACTCGCAGAGAAAAAAAGACGCAATTAGAAGAGTTTTATTGATACAATAGTTTGAACTTTGGCGCTCAGGCCTCGGCAGGAAACAAACGCTGATTTATACTTTAATGCAGATAAACTGATGTATGAGAATAAGGATATTCCCCCCGGGCCTGAAACTGGTGGTGGAGTTTAGATAGATGAAGTTTGGTTAATCCATAGAGGCTGGTATACAGGGTGATGCTTGAGTTAGATGTCACTGAATGAACAAAGTTGCATAGACTGTCCATGAAGAGCAAGCATGAAGCGACTGTGGAGAGAAAAAACTCCCCTGTGGGAAGAAACCTCTGGCAGAACCAGGCTCAACGTGGCGGTCTTCTTCTGGACCGTTTAAAGTGACAGGGAACTCCATGAAAGTCTGGAGGGAGTACGCACTGAAGGTGAGGTTGAAGGAGCATCGAGGAGGAGTCGGATGAGCTCACTACGATGGTGGAGAAGGGGATGGAGGTGGGTTGTCTGAATCAAAGTCCGACATGGGAGCGACGGCGCTTGCGCTTGTTGAAGAGCAGGTCTAGAGATGATTTGGAGCGGCTTTTAAGGAGAGTGCTGGAATATGATTGGGCATCGAGGAGGTGTAGCTTGAAGCGGATTGGCTGCATCGGAGGCGGATCAGCCTCTGATTGGATGATCGTGATCACTTATCATATTGCAACAGCCATGCAAATATTCACCCCTATTTCTGACTCAGAGAGCGTATAGAGAGGGGGTGGAGCCTGGAATCCAGAGCTTCTGAGTTCAAGCCCCACTCCCATTGCCACTCTGGGTGTCTGATCAAGACCCTAAACCCCACACTGTTCCACGGGGCGCCACACAATGGCAGCCCACTGCTCCCCAAGTGTGTCTTGTTTTAATAAACGTTTTGAACTTTCGTACCGACTGTCTCCCCTTGAATACTGGGTCCATCTGTTCCGTTTATGACTGTTTCTCTATGTTATCTGAATCTCTCTCACCAGAGCTGCTCCATGTTTATCGAATGTAAACAGAGTCGTTTTAGTTTGTTAAATCAGGAGGGGCGGCGCGGTAATCATCAATACAATCAAATGTTTTTATTTTCACATCTGCTTTCATCCTTTTTTATTTAGTCTATTGTAACTAAGCTGTGGTTTGATGCAGGGTCTAAAATGATTGGCTGGCAGCTGTGCTCCAATGTCTCTTATCCATCTGCTCCTGGTCCTACCCTCCCCCCTGCTGGACCGGTCCATCTCTCACTCAGGCTGCTGAAGCTGGACAGAGGCCTCCATTATTACCTGCTGGAGGCGGCTTACTCATTCCGTTATCAGGTATCTATTGAATATCCTGGTGAGCATGCATGCTTGCAGAAGGGCTTCTTTGAATAGAAACATGTCTTTATGCTATGATGTAACCCAGTGACCCAGTGAAAAAAAAGAAGAAAAAAGCCAAAAAGGCGGTAAAAGAATCCTTTTTGTTTTGTCTTTAAAGGCACGCCGAGGACTCAGTGACCTAAAGAGTTAACGTATATGAGTTATTCTAAATGATTCCTCAGGCCAACATACAGCACTTGACATTATCAATGCAACCGGTGGGGCTCCCCTCTTCAAATACTAACACGGCATCGTTTGCCAGGTCATGTGACCTGGAAGAACGTGTCGCTTTACGGCCACAGGCTCTTATATAATCATGGAGCTAAGGCTTTACTATTTTTCCGCCTGCTCGACTTTGGGCATGGCGGACTACTGTTCATGGCTGAGGCAAGGAAAAAAAGCTTAGACCTTGTGAGGAGGCTAAAAAGAGAAAAACAAGAGTCGATGTTGGAAAGGAGTTTGTTTGTTGGCGCAGCCTGAAAGAAGAAGCTGGATGTAAAACCGATTTGCTTCTAGTTTACAGTCATAAATCTTTATTAATCTCCATGTCTAGTAGAAGCAAAATATGGGCAGAGAAAGCTAGCAGGCTACAAACAAAAGCCCCATCTAACCCGAGAAGCTGTTCACTGGAGCTCTGCCGCTGTTCCTCGGCGCCACGCCGTGCCACGCCGTGCCACACCGTGCGCCGGCAGCATTTCTCACACCTCCAGGCTGAACCCAGACACCTAACGCACTTCCCAATCAAAAGTTACTGGAGGCTGGCTGGCTGACTGTTTGATGACTTTTGCAACAGTGCTGCATGTCTTTTGGCCACTAGGGGGTGGTAGACTACAAAGTTATAGGTCTAGCGCACCTAGTGACAGAAAATTAGCCTGGGTGCCATTCCGAACTTGGTCCCGCCCACAACGTTTGAGGTCGGGAAGTTCAGTCTGGCATTGCTCAATAGTAGCGCGAGTATGCTCGCACAATGTCTGGCGGGCCAATCAAACTGTCAGGGCGGGCTTTATACGATGATGGACAGATGATCAACAGTAACGTAATCAACCACGTGACCAAAGCGCGCTTGGGTGACAACAACAATGGCTGCCGCTGGAGAGTTGAGGTGAGTAGATTCTGCTATTAGGTCTGTTCTAGAAGATATCGACAGCAAATTAATTTTAAAAGAGGAACAGAGAAATGCCATCAAGTCTCATCTTCTTATTCTAGGCGTGCAACTGCACGCTTTGATTTTTGTGGACAACAACTATGAGTCGCTTAACATACGTCACGCACTCCGTTGCTCTTATTGGTTGTAGGTCTATCCAGTTGAGTGCAGAGGCATTTTTTTTCTGGTTCGTTCGAAACACGCCCCATAATCACAGCTCTATGGAGCAGCATCAGACTCATTCTGACTAGAATGGAGTAGGACTACGTCAGGCTAGCAGAAAATGTTTTTAAAGAAAAAATATGGAACAACCAGAATGCTTATGAGGGGCAATGTGGGGCAGACGCTACTTTTGTCAGGGTTGATGGATGGTTGTAGAGGAAATGCAGAGTAGAGGAGGCTGGGATGATTTCTTGCAGATTTAATGAAGATGTTTATTGTAAAGAAGCAAATAATCCAGAAACGACAGGCAAAGAACTCAGGAATCAAAATCTATGAGATGCTCAGTGAATCATAAGGAGTAAAGTAATGAAGAGAAAGAATGGGCTAATCAGCTAACAGGGAACAGGAGTCCATAGAAGTAACTAGAAGGGAGCTAGGGGAAAAGAGACTGGCACAAAGGGGGCAACAAAGAGTAACTGAAAAAAATACAACACTGCTTAAAGCTGCAGTCTGTAACATTGAGGAGAGAGCAGACTTCGACTGAAAATTTGAAGAACAACAGGTTTCACGCCACTCCCCCACCCTCTCTGCTTCACTCATGCCCCACCTCCAAGCTCCACCCCTCTCACAGCACCTGCGCGGCTACCGCATGCGACCAGAAGCGTCCAAGCAGCGTACGCGGCATGGAGTGTGAACCGGTGAGAGCGATAACACTCACCTCCAAGCAGCTAGATATAAGATGGTGGTTATAAGTTTGCCGTGGAAGCAGTTGTCGGCAGGGGCAGTAAGGGCAGTTTCTCTTTCGCTGGTGGCTGTCGCTCCGCCATGACTTTCACGCGTGTCCTCCTGACTGCGGCAGCCGGGCGGCAGCGGCAGGTTGAGCGGTGAGGGGGGGGCGGGATTCAGCGTGTGTGAGCTGTGATTGACACTCCATCAGACGCTCCTCTGGCTGTGATTGGTTGTTTTGACTCGTCCCGAATTATTCTTTCCAGATTGAAATACAGGCAGTAGGCGGGACCAATTGAAGCAGTTTTTTTCACAGGTTACATATCACATGTACTGCTGTCTGGGCATAGGGACAGTTTTAGCCAATATGACAAAAAAGTGATTTTAAAAACTTACAGACTTCAGCTTTAAATACAACTAAAATACAAGTAGAATTAAACAAAATGCAAAAGAAACCAGTGACCAAAGAAACACAGAGGCAGCGTCTGAACTTCTCTCCTAACCCCTAAATCCCTCAATCCCTTTAAAGAGCGGAGTCTATATAGTGGACGAACTGGCCGTGAGCTGAGCCTAATGCTGGGTGCGATGGTTGAAATCAAAGGTGAGATGAGATACCTTGAATGTGCAGACGCGCTTCAAGGCGGATAAGCCCAAATAATTCCCAATATCAGATTCGCCATGTAGAGCCCAGCGACAATAGACCCTAAGGCTGACGAATAATCCTGTGCAGTGTGGGGTTAAGGGTCTTGCTCAGGGACCCAGAGTGGCAGTCTGTGGGAGTGGGGGATCAAACTCACAACCTCAGGATTCAAAGCCCTATGCCCCAACCACTAGGCCGCCACTCCCTGATGTAATCATGGCACTAAAATCACTTATTTCTATCTTTAACTCACTACAGAATGCTAATGCATATCGTTAAAAGATGTTTTATGACTTTTATGAGACAGTTTTGCTGCTTTTTACATTTTCTTCGTTAGAACTGCTCAGAGCAGTCGGGCTAAACATAATTAAACCTTGTTTATCTGCATTCTAGTTGTTTCTTTCTTTAGATAACGCACTATATAACATAATGTTAACACGAAAGGAAAACACAAAACTCAAAAAGGCTAGATTTATGTTTAAATCCAAAGATGATAAAGTTAGCTTCTGGAAGTAGTGTAGCATCCTATTTCCTGTACAGATCAGGAACAGAGGATAAAACAGAAAGGATTTTAATGCATTTATTTTCTCAGGAAATACATAATTAACCTTTGACACGTTATATTTTATTACGCTTGCTATTTTTTTGGAGGGAAAATGTCATTTAGGTCTCTTTAACTAAATAAAATTGAGGGTGACCCGGATGTATATCTGGCTGCACAGATTGAGCTTCCAGGACGGATCAGGGAGCGACACAGCTTGCTCTCAAAAGTGTATTTTGTATTTCATCCTCCCCCTTATCAAAACTCCCCTGGATGTTATGCTCATCTGTTCTCCATTTTTCATTTCAGGGTGTTTTCATGGGGGAACAGAAAAGCATGAAATAAAAAAAAACAGGACAAGGGATTCAAATAAATTAAGATGGCTGCATGAAGTGAATTCCTATTAACAAACTAAAGGTTTAATTAAAATTCTATGCCTTATTAGGTCAATATACATTAATTATTTAGGAGTTTTACATATTTTTGAATTAATTTAAGTCAAAAATACTGTTTTCTGAATTAGAACTCAAGAAAAACGGATAAATTCAGTATTTTGTTTTGTTTGTTTTGAAAAAAACATTTAGGAGATAAAAACTGGGATCCTATCTCAATCTGAAGCTATCACCTTATTGTTCTTAAATAATTAGTAAAACAGAATTTATAAAGAAAGAAAATGCAATAGATCCAAAGGACCAATCAGTAACCGTCTGTTCCAGCGCAGATCATCTTTAGAATTTCTTTGAGTATTATGTCTTCAGTACAGGGCATGATCTAGAGGGGCACTGGCCCCCGTTGGCCCCTGTCTAGAACTGCCCATGGTTCTAATGGCATTTTAGCTAAAAGAGTTTCACCAAAAACATAATTATAGACTCAAATAAGGAATAGTTGTATCAACCATACATGTAAACAGTTTTATGGGCCCCCAGGAACTTGGGGCCCTAAGCGTCTCCCTAGTATTGCCTGATGGTGAACCCCCCCCCCCCCCCCCCGCCTGTGAACGTAACAGACCTCAACAGGGAGTTTAATTTTTCATCTACAGGGCGGCGCCTGGTTTCCCAGAGACGCCTCCATCCACCTCCTGCTGGCCACGCCTCAGTCCTCCATCCCCAGGGACGTGTCTCTGGACCTGACCTTTGACCCCCACAGAGTCCTGCTGAGAGTCAAACATCCACTGAAAACCATCATTCTACAAGGTGAGGCTGAGAGGAGCTCCTTAACAGGCCGAGCATCACCTCAGATGGTTTAAAGCTCGTTCTTCTGTTCTTTAGGACAATTGGAGCAAGAGAGGAGAGTCAAATCAGGGCTGCTGGAACTCACAGTGGACAGCGTTCAATATTACATCATGGTAAGTTTTTAATGATTAAATTATATCTTAATAAAAGCTGGAGCAGATTACTAAACTCATCTCAAACAATATTAATATAAAAAAAAAACAGGCAAATTCAATGTAATATTTTTCACCGCATACATTATATCCCATATAGGTTGAATAAGTTGAGCATCACTGATAAATGCCAGAGGTGTAGGACGTCTTTTAACATCAGCAGTTTCTGGGTTTTCTTTAGATACGGAGCCCAGGATATGGATACTTGGAGATGTTATGTTCTGGAAATTAAATCCTTGCAAGAAATACTTTGTTTTGTTAGCATCATCTGTAGCGAAAAAATAAAATTATACTTCAAAACTGGAATTGAATCAACCAACTGTTGTTATTCTGCACTCCTGAAAAAAATTCTCCATTCGGTCTGTGGGACATTGGCTAAATATGGAGTCTCTTCCTGGACATTCTAATCAGATTAGACCAGAGAGACGGATAAATATTAATCTTTACTGTGTTTTAATTATTCCAAGTTTCCTTTTCTATTAATTATGACCTTTTAGAAATATGGTTAAAGTCGTAGAGAAGCGGCTGTTCCAACCTTTGCATTTCCAAATTCTCCCAATTGGTCGATTATTTAGGATGCCTCCTGGACGCCTCCCTGGTGAGGTGTTCCGGGCACATCCCACTGGGGGGAGGCCCAGGGGGAGACCCAGGACACGCTGGAGAGACTATGTTTCTCGGCTGGCCTGGGAACGCCTTGGGGTTCCTCATGAAGAGCTGGAAGAAGTGGCTGGGGAGAGGGAAGTCTGGGCCTCCCTTCTCAAGCTGCTGCCCCCGCGACCCGACCCCGGATAAGCGGAGGAAGATGGATGGATGGATGGTCGATTATCAAGGGGGCGGGATTGTTGTAGTGGAAGGTTCACAAGCATGTTTGGTTGTGGCCGGTTTGTCGGAAGCATCTTGCTAACCAGTTAGCAACTTAGTGCTAGCAGGTTCCCAATGGGAAATTCCATCCACTTTTCCATCTTTGTTCCATTTCTCTGCATTTCACCACATGGAGGGACCGCTTGCAAACAAGTGTCATCTTAAATCAGACTTCTAATTATGAGTTCTACACAGCATCCCTCCAATGTATTTTAATATTTAAAGTCGTAGTCGTAGTCGTAAAGTCGTATATATATATATATATATATATATATATATATATATATATATATATATATATATATATATATATATTATGATTATTTAGCAGTTTTTTCTGTTGCCGCCCACTTTAACCTGCAGGGTTTGATGGACAGCAGCAGCCTTCAGTCTGAGCAGAGGACACGCTACCACCTGGAAGCTAAGACGGCCGCCTATGAACACCCCATGATTCTGTCCGCTAACGTTAGCCGTGGACCGGGACCAAGGAGCAGCTTCTCTGCTTCCATGAAGAACGTCTTCAGAGAAACTGCTTCCCTCTCAGGTGACACTCATTGGTTCCTTGTTTCTCCATTCAAACCTTCTTTGTTCGCATGTAGCATAGCGCAGACTCCTGTCTTCATGCAGTGGCCCTGGAGCGGAGGCGGGACCTCAGCAGCAGCCAATACTCAGTGGAGGCGGAGCTCTTCTTACCTGGACTGGTGGGCAGCAGGATGCTGGGACTGATGGAGCAGAAGGGGGCGCTGTGGAGCTCTTTGCTTAGGGTCAAATACGGCCTGAGAGGTCAGCCAGAACCATGGAACTGCTGTTCTGCTCTAATACCTCATCAATAAACATTTCAATTATAGGTCTCAATCGGTTTGGTTTGCATTAGAAACTGGCTGGAAATGAAATAAAATGTCGAGGATTTCAGAATCAAAGATGTTGGCTTCATAGTTCGAACATTTGCAGACCAGAGTTTAAGGAAACATGCCTTCCCTCTGCAGGCAACTCCAGGAACCTGCTTCAGGAGTGCTTCACGTCCCAGAGACTGAGGAGCGGGAGGGACTCTAACCTCACTTACATCATGAGAGCCGACCATGAGTTCTTCTGCACTGACACTGCATCCATCAACCATAAGGTGACCCTGAAGCTCCAGGTGGATTTAATGGGAATAAAGCAGGAATATAATGAGAATAAACTCACTCCCACTTTTAAACATGGTGGAGAACCTGTGATGATGTGGGCCATTTTCTCTCCAACGACTTTTAAACCTTAAGTAGCTTTTTTCTGGTATCTGTACTTAACTTAAATGTGTTTTTGCTGATGAGTTTATACTTTTACCACATTTGAGCAGAAATATCTGTACTTTCTACTCCTTACTTCCTCCAAAATGGCGTCTTACTACAACAGATATATTGATAACGCCGCTGTTCTGTCAGATGAGCATACGCAGTCAGGGCAGCATACCCATAGTTAATACCCGTTTATCCCTTAAGTTTATAAACTTAGTTTATCCCTTTAGTTTTGTTTGAAAAATTTACTTTAAACTTCCTCCACAGGCGTGAATCCCTTTAGTCATGTACAAAAAACTTTTTTAATTACTTAGTTTTTGTTGTTTTTTGAACCGTATGGCGATCTGACCTTAAACTGTCTTTTTTGTACATGACTAAAGGGATTCACGCCTGTGGAGGAAGTTTAAAGTTTATTTTTCCTACAAAACTAAAGGGATAAATGCAAATCTGACGTCTTGCGCTGAGTATTGACTGTAGGTATGCTGGTCTGATGGGGTATGCTGGTCTGATGGGGTATGCTGGTCTGACAGCTGCAACAAAACAGGGAAAATCAGGAAGAGAATCTGTTCAGTTGGAGTAAAGTTTATAGACATGGAAGAAGGGGGAGGGGCTGACCCCCCCTTTAGATTTAAAATTTACGTTATGATCATATTTCAAGTTGTATTTCAGTTGCTGAATTTTTGAATTGGTTAGTTAACTTTTATTAATTCTATTCAGTTTATTTCTATAGCTCCAATTCACATCATGTCATCTCAGGTCACTTTATAGATCCAGATCAACCAGATCATCCAGTCAGATTGATTCAAAGTTTTCTATCTAAGGAAAACCAGCTGATTGCATCGACTCATTGACTCTTCAGCAATCCCTCACACTAAGCATGCTTGTAGCGACAGTGGAGAGGAAAAACTCCCTTTGAACAGGAAGAAACCTCCAGCAGAACCAGGCTCAGTGTGAGCGGCCATCTGCTGAGGCCCACTGGGGTTCAAGGAGACAGAAGCAGACATAGAAAAAGAAGCATAGATATAGATAGATTGAACTAACAGATTCTGCAGAGTGGGAGAATAGAGATAGAATGAAGCAGAATGATGAAAAAGGGGTCCCTATGTCCTCCAGCAGTCTAAGCCTATAGCAGCAGAACTATAGAGATAGATCAGGATAACCTGAGCCACTCTAACTAGAAGCTTTATCAAAAAGGAAAGTTTTAAGCCTAGCCTTAAATTTTTTATCGCCAATCTAAGCCTTGAATCCCAGTGATCTGATTAAGCCTTCAAACTGCCACCAATCCATTGCTGATGGTTGCTGTTCTTTCCCTTCCTTATTGCAATGAGTCTTGACCCAGATGTGTGTGACAGATCCACGCGAGGCATGAGGAAGGACCGGCGCACGTTAAATCCCTGCTGGATTTAAGCTATGGCAAACGCTGGGACCAGAACAACAACAAGCACACTCTTCTCCTCAGTCAGTCATTTAAAAACCAGTCTGCACAAAACCACACCAGTTACGTTCTGGAGGTAAAGTCCCGCCTGTCTTTTCTTTTAATCAGTTCTGCAAACACCGGCAGGGATGTTTGATGTTCAGGATGGTGACTGATTTCCTTCCCTGTGTTTCCAGTTCAATCTCCAGGTAACAGAGAAGAATCTGAACTACAGGACGCAGCTGATGCACTCTCTCCTCACGCAGCATGGCTCGCAGAGCAGCACCCACTTAAAAATCAATTACAACGACCTGATGCCTCTGGTGGCTGGATTACACTGGAAAAGCCCCCCCCAAAACTCTCAGCATAAGAAATGGGAAGGTATGAGAATAAAGTTGGAGAAACCAAACACCTGTATCCAAACCCTGACTATGAGCGCTCGTTTCCATCCAGGAACGCTGAACATGGACACACCGGGGCTGTACGTCTACACCTCCCACAAGCTGAGCCAGACGCACCCCCGCACCCTGCAGCTCACCTCCGAGCTGACGGCCAGCAAGTGGCTGAGCGTCCATAATCTGGTCCTGGACGCTTTCTACAGAGAGAGAGGCAGAGAGAAGGAAGCCCGTTTGGAGGTCTCCTCACCGGCTGCCAACTACATCCAGGTAAACAACAAAAACAGACTGAGAGTTAAAAATAAAATAAAGTGAGGAATAAAAGGGGCCCTAAAATGGACCCTTTGGGAACGCCACATGTTTTACGGCCTCTAATCTAAAGTTCCCTAATGACACAAAAAGTCCCTGTCCTAAATAGGGTTTAAACCAGTCCAGTTCCAGAAAGGCCGACCCAGTTGTTTAGACGCTCCAATAAAATGAAGCAGGGTATAATCTGGTAAAAACTCTCAGTCATCCAGGCCATAGTCTTTGCAAAAAAAGTTAAAAACAATCCACTGGACTTTGTTTCCAAGTTTGAAGATGTTTCTCTTGAGGTTTTGAATTTTTCAGTTCAAAATTCTGTCATGATGGGTTTTCTCTGAGTAAAGCCCAAGATGCAGAACACACACGGAGAGACAGGTAAAAGTCCAAAGAGTTTATTAAAGGAGCACAAGCACATGAATATGAAACCGGAAAAGTTCAGGCAGGAGGTTGGTTCACTGGGGTCTGTGCAGGGAACGGGAGATGGCTGGATTACTGAGATAATGAGGTGCTTAGCCTCTAGCTGTAAGCTAGCTAGGACGGCTTGGATCTGAGCTTCCAGCTCAACGCAGAGAACAACAGGGGATAATCCACATGGTAACCTCTGGGGAACTCCTCAAAGAAGTCCTCAGGTTTCTTCCACGTAGGGATCTGCGGGTTGGCTCACCAGGGCTGATTGCAGGTTGGGCTTTCCAAGAGCTTCAGGCTGGAGACTGGTTTCCTATGACGCAGCTCTCCCAGAGCTGCAGACTAGAGACAGGGTTCCAATGAGGGAGCTGCACAAGGAGACAGGAGGCTAAGCTCATCCAGAGCTTTCACGAGGGACAGGATTCCAACTAAGATCAACACTGCGGCGTGGGATCAAGGTCAGGCAGGAGCTCATAAAGGAGAGGTCTTCTAATGAGAGGATTAGGAACAGGTGTGCAGGAAGGTTCCAGCTCCAGAAGACCCACAGCGCATCCTGCTGGAGACAGAGGGTAATCTCCAGATCCCCGCAGTAACTCCAAACCTAAGGGAAAAACAAAGAGAGCAGAAGAGGATCCTCGGCGCCCTCTGGTGGGCAAGCCTGAGGATCCCAACAAATCTGAGGAATTCTGACATATAAAGCCTTAAATGGCCAAGCTCCATCTGATATCAGAGATCTGATTGTTCCTTATGTTCCTAACAGAGCACTTTGCTCTCAATCTGCAGGTTTACTAGTGGTTCCTAGAATTTCTAAAAGTAGAATGGGAGGCAGATCTTTTAGTTCTCAGGCTCCTCTCCTGTGGAACCAACTACCAGTTTTAGTCCGTGAGGCAGACACCCTGTCTACTTTTAAGGCTAGGCTTAAAACTTTCCTTTTTGATAAAGCTTCTAGTTAGAGTGGCTCAGGTTATCAGAGGATGGATTTTATGGAACCGTCAAAGTGGAGAATTTGTTCTATAATCCGCCCCTGCTTTAGACGCCTCCACATTTAAAAGCCAACCTGCTGTGTTCATTGCTTTTCATCAGGCTGTTTATTGATGAAGGTTCTGCAGCAAACATCTGAAACCTTCACAGAACAGTTGCGTTTTATTTAGTCGACCAGAATACTTGGAATTTATATCAAATGCACTGATGGTTTTTATTTTAACAGGACAAAATACGCAGAAATGGAAAAACAGTTCTATAGTTTTCCCATCTAAATAATTAAAGCTTTAATGATTCTATATTAGGTCTGCACCTAATGATTATTTTTTTGATTAATTGATTAAAAGTATAGTTACAAGGCAAGGGAGTATAAGGGCCAGGCTAGATATCTTTTTTTTATATATATAAGAATAAAGTCATAACATTATGAGAATATGTTGTAATATAAAGTGGTAATATTACAAGAATAAAGTTGCATCATAAAGAGAATAAAGTTGCAATAATACAAGAATAAAATCGTAATATTGCGAGAATAAAGTTGCAATAATACAAGAATAAAATCGTAATATTGCGAGAATAAAGTCATAATAGTATGAGAATAAAGTTATAATATTACGAGAATAAAATCGTAATTTTAGGAGAATGAAATCGTAATTTTACGAGAATTAAATCATAATATTACAAGAATAAAGTCGTAAATTTACAAGAATAAAGTCATAATATTACAAGAATAAAATCGAAATTTAACAAGAATAAAATTGTAATTTTACAAGAATAAAATTGTAATTTGCGAGAATAAAGTCATAATATTACGAGAATAAAGTTATAATATTACGAGAATAAAGTCATAATATTACGAGAATAAAGTTATAATATTAAGAGAATAAAGTCGTAATATTACAAGAATAAAATAGTAATTTGCGAGAATAAAGTCATAATATTACGAGAATAAAGTCATAACATTACGAGAATAAAGTCATAACATTACGAGAATAAAGTCGTAAATTTACAAAAATAAAATTGTAATATTACAAGAATAAAATCATAATTTGCGAGAATAGAGTCATAATATTACGAGAATAAAGTCCTAAATTTACAAGAATAAAGTCATAATATTACAAGAATAAAATCGAAATTTAACAAGAGAAAAATTTTAATATTACGAGAATAAAGTCGTAATATTACAAGAATAAAATCATAATTTGCGAGAATAAAGTCATAATATTACGAGAATAAAGTTATAATATTACGAGAATAAAGTTGCAATTTTACAAGAATAAAATCGTAATTTTACAACAATAAAATCGTAATATTACGAGAATAAAGTCATAATATTACGAGAATAAAGTTATAATATTACGAGAATAAAGTGGTAATCTTACAAGAATAAAATCGTAATATTAAGAGAATAAAGTTATAATATTACAAGAATGAAATCGTATTATTACAAGAATAAAATCATAATTTTACGAGAATGAAATCATAATATTCCGAGAATAAAGTCGTAAATTTACCAGAATAAAATTGAAATTTAACAAGAATAAAATTGTAATATTCCGAGAATAAAGTCGTAATATTACAAGAATAAAATCGTAATTTGCGAGAATAAAGTCATAATATTACAAGAATAAAGTTATAATATTACGAGAATAAAGTTATAATATTACGAGAATAATGTCGTAATTTTACGAGAATGAAATCATAATATTACGAGAATAAAGTCCTAAATTTACGAGAATAAAGTCATAATATGACAAGAATAAAATTTAAATTTAACAAGAATAAAATTGTAATATTACGAGAATAAAGTCGTAATATTACAAGAATAAAATCGTAATTTGCGAGAATAAAGTCATAATATTACGAGAATAAAGTTATAATATTACGAGAATAAAGTTATAATATTACGAGAATAAAGTCGTAATTTTACAAGAATAAAATCGTAATATTACGAGAATAAAGTCATAATATTATGAGAATAAAGTTATAATATTACGAGAATAAAATCAAAATTTAACAAGAATAAAATTGTAATATTACGAGAATAATTTATAATATTACAAGAATGAAATCGTATTATTAGAAGAATAAAATCATAATTTTACGAGAATGAAATCATAATATTCCGAGAATAAAGTCGTAAATTTACAAGAATAAAATCGTAATATTACGAGAATAAAGTTGCATTATTACGAGAATTAAGTCGTAATATTAGGAGAATAAAGTTGTATTTTATTTTAACTCTTCCAAGCAGCACCGTCTTCCCTAAAATGAGGAATGTGGAGCATTTTTTAAAGTTATATATCGGTTTGACTAATAAGGAAATATTACGTCTTTTAGCGTCAAATTATTATCAGTATCAGAACTTTGAAACAATTTTTCAAACGACTTTATCTGAATGGAAGAAAGGATGCTGGGAGCTTTTTTCTGAAACGGGTCGCGATATGATCACTTCATTCTGCTGATTTTATAACTTTATTCTTGTAATGTTACGATTTTATTCTCATAATATTACAACTTTATAATGTTACAACATTATTCTTTTAACGTTACGACTTTATTTTCTGTTCTTAAAAATAATCTAATTCTCCATCTTTGATAACAAAAGATATTTTACAGAATCAAACCGCCTGAAACTGAAACTTTTCCACTTGAGGAGTTCTAGGCAGAGCTTATTGATGGACGGAAACATTTTTCTAGATTTGAAATAAAAATGTTTATATATAAATATTTTTGTACACTTTTGTCGGTTAAGGACATGTTAACAATTAATCAATTACTTAATTACTCGACAATTATTTCAATATTCGATTAATCAAGATTAATCAGATTGTTTCAGCCTAATGATATACAGTCTATTTGAAAGGCTCCATATCTATTTTATTTTCAGAAAACTCGCATCTTTAATCCCCACCAAATGAATAATCTTATATTCTGTCCAGGCAGGTGTTCAGGCTGTGGTCGGGAAGCAGGCTCTAAAGGCCCACGGCTCCCTGGCTTCTCTGTGGACTCCTCCTCTGAAAGCAAACGTCTCTCTGGAGACGTCTAAAGCCAGCTGCTCCCTGCTGATGAGCTCCACATACGGAAGGCAAAATGTCAGCTTTGCTGCTGCAGTGAGCGCCACGGATAAGGTGGGTGGGGGCCGCCGGGCTGGGAGTGTTGGAGGCGCATCTGTCCATCGAACCAAGGTGTAAATCTGCTGCTGCTTCTATGTTTACGATCACCATGAAGAATCTGAAGAAGAAGCAGGCGGTTGTGAAGATCAGCTTCTCCCAGCCGAAGAGTCGAAGCATGGAGGTGGAGCTGGAGGGGGGGGTGGAGGAGCTGAGGAGGGACAGCAGGATGTATCAGAAAGCAGCTCTGCTCCACCTCAGGTCTGTGATTCAGACACTGAACCAGCATCAGATGAAGCCTCAGAGCTGGCATTTCTCTAAAGAGCAATTCCTCTGTTTTTAATAACTATAATCACATTTTATTCTTAAATATGAAACATTTAGATTGATTCGTCTCAAACAGTATAATTTTATTATTAACATTAAATCTGAAAGAAGTTTGATTTTAGAGCTTTATTGGCTTCATCTCCATCTTTGATCAGATCCACATAAATAACACCTGTTGGGGGGGGGGGGGGGAGTATTTACTCCTGTTAAATAAATTCTATTCAGTTTATTTCTATAGTGTCAATTCACAACACATGTAATCTCAAGGCACTTTACAGTTCAAAATGATTCAAAGTTTTCTATCCAAGGAAAACCAGCTGATTGCATCGACTCATTGACTCTTCAGCAATCCCTCACACTAAGCATGCTTGTAGCGACAGTGGAGAGGAAAAACTCCCTTTGAACAGGAAGAAACCTCCAGCAGAACCAGGCTCAGTGTGAGCGGCCATCTGCTGAGGCCCACTGGGGTTCAAGGAGACAGAAGCAGACATAGAAAAAGAAGCATAGATACAAAAGGAAACTGTCAACCAGCTCCACAGGCGAAGAAACTAGAAACAAAGGTGTTGATGGCAGCAGCACAGCTGATATTTCTCTCCAGGATGGAGTCACAGCCAAACAGGAACAGACCAGATGAAGCTACTATGAGAAAAAGCAGAGAGAGCAGAACGTTAGAGATTGAACTAACAGATTCTGCAGAGTGGGAGAATAGAGATAGAATGAAGCAGAATGATGAAAAAGGGGTCCCTATGTCCTCCAGCAGTCTAAGCCTATAGCAGCAGAACTATAGAGATAGATCAGGATAACCTGAGCCACTCTAACTAGAAGCTTTATCAAAAAGGAAAGTTTTAAGCCTAGCCTTAAAAGTAGACAGGGTGTCTGCCTCACGGACTAAAACTGTAAATAAACAGAGATCGATAAATTTCACTCAGTCTGCACTATATTTTATGTTTTAACAGTTCATTATACTATTGCATGGTAATCAGCCCTCGTCTGATCTGGGCTGCATTTATCCCCCCCCCCCTTTCAATATTGGAAAGTAGTCAGAGTCAAAACAAATTACAGACACCTCGGTCAAACAGCAACTTGCCATGAATAAACCTCAGAGAAAGAATCAGGTTTGCCATTGGAACAAGCATGTCTTGTCTGCAAACACCCCTCACTTAGGCATTGTGTGGCCTTGCAGGTGAAACTGACTAAATAGCACACATCACTACATGAAATAAAAGAAATCTAAATTTTCGGACCACGCAATACAGAGTTTTTCTACATCGTTTGTGGTTTTAGAGATGAAATAACCGCAGATAGTCCAAAGTCAAAGTTACATGCAGGGGCCAATCAGAAAGCTGGGATTCAGATGTTAAATTGTTAGCAGGAAGTAAATGTTCCAGCACTAATGATTGAACTAGCTACCGTCTCGCACAGACAGCCCTTCCAAACCTTCCCTCAGACCCTTTTTCTGCGGGAGACCTTCACAGTGGACCTCTTTGAGGGCTCCTACATTTTGGAGTCAAAGGCCGGCCTCGACACCAAGGAGATCATCCACACCCTGACTCTTGGCTACAAACCCCCAAATCCATTTGTAAGTTTGTTCATCGCTTCATTTCTAACCTTAAAGGAAAAGTTCGGTCAGCAGGAAGAATCAATGGATCATTATTTATACCTAAAACTAATATCTTCGCAGTGATTTAATTAATTTAGCGTTAATCAGTAAAACAATAAAAACAATAATTTTCGTGACAATCACTGAGTCTGAGAACAGCCATTTTTATAGTAGCCCCTCCCTCCTGCCATCTTCCAGCAGTGACGTCACGGTGCGGTAAGCCTAGCGCCATTCTCCCCGCTTTCCAAGCTAAATCAATGGGAACTACTAGACACATCTGCAATCAACAACAATTATTGAAGATTTCCAGAGGACTTCACCATTGAAATTCACCAGAGCTATAGTGAAACTGACAATGCCCACGTGCATGGCAGCTGGATGCTGGAATACATCGGGTAAAAGTGGAAAAAAGAGTTATTCCACCTTTCTGATTCCTGATCCTCCACGGACGGGTTGGTCGTTGGATCGCCAACTTGAAGAGGGAGGATTTGCCATCGAACTTCTGGCCAGAGAAAAAACCCGTAATATGTAGCCAACATTTGGAAGAAGAATGTTTTCAAGATGACTTGGATAATAGCGCGTTGTGACAAACACCAGATACAGCACTGGGACTTGATCAACAGCCGATACCGCACCGTGACGTCACTAACGGCTGGTTTATACTCAGAAACCAGGTCGTCTGTCCCAGTTAATGCAGATATGCCCCCCCCCCCATCATGCTCCTCTCCAAAACTGTAGGTGACCGCAGACAGGAGGCCTCTGATTGGTCAATTCTCCATCCACTCTACTCTATGCGTATTTCCTGTTCCTTTCCGGCTTGTTTTGGTTGTCTGGCCGCCATTGTGGAAAACGACTGGTGAAGATTGACCCGCTAGCAGGGCGAGGTGCGTGAGAACGCTGGGACCCTTTTTCCACCTGGATCCCCGCTCTTTTTGGCCCTCATGTCCCTCCGTTGTCGCACAAGCTTGCCCCCACTTCCTCACCGCCTCGGCCACATCTAGTTCCTGATTGGCGTTGTGGCGTGGAATAGCATAGCGCAGACCACGCTTCAATGTTGGGCAGAAATCAAAAATATCTGCGACAAACTCATTGCGACATAATTTCACATTTAAAGTACTTTCTGAATTTGACCGGACTTTTCCTTTAAGCGGTTGTCAATACTTTCTACGCCTGCCTTTAGGGAGTAAATGTTTCCATCTGATCTGCTGGGCAGGTTTGTTCTACACTCATTCACACCTTCAGCTCCGATGCTTTTCCATCAGACTGCGAGGTCTGCCTGACTCTCACCAACAACCAGGTAAGGTTTCTGTTTTTAACAGCCAGAAAATCTAATTTGTTGCAGGAGCTTTTGCTTCAATCAATCATCATTATATTTCAAAAAGCTGGCCTAAAAATAAGTAATTGTGTATTTGCTCTTCACTAGAGCAGCTATATCAGATGATCTGTTAATAGAAAGAATATTTCTGCCTTTAAAAGCGTAACATTAGATATTATGCATTGCAGAAAAAAAGACAACAGGCTTTTTTTCTCTTATTTTAAGCTTAAATCATCTTATTTTAGCTGCAAATTGTCTCACTTACCTGTTTAATTCAAGGGGAAAAAATACAATTATATAAAATTATATAAAGACAAACATGGCTTGTTTATGTTTTAAGTGTATTTAAGGTAAGAAGATCAGGATCAAGACATTGCAAATGGTGCAATGAGTAAACAAGGAGGTAATGGAGCTAAAGGAATCAGCATTTCCTCTGAAAAGGTGTAAAAAAACGATTAATGGCGTGAAAATGACCAACCAATATTTGATGCTAACTGAATATAATATGACTGTTGGTGCTGCTAAGTTGAATGACGCTAGAATAAGGTCTGCCAGCAGATGGCGACAGAGTAAAACGTTTAAGTCTTCTTAACCATAACAGGAACAGGTGATTTATGGTGTTGGCAAGTATGTGACCTTTACTCTTTTTAAAGATTATTGACCATATTGTGTGATTTGTGGTGCAGCACCAATCCATCAGATATCAGTTTAAGGAAGAATGATTATTATTGTTTACTGCTGGTTCTTTATAAGGAAAATATTGTGAAAAGTCAACTTTCTATGTTCTTCTTCAGACACACAGACGTATCCGAGGGGAGTTACTGGTTAACAGTGAGGAGAAACTGAACTTCGTTGGGCAGCTTCAACGGAGCCATTCGCATTCAGACCAACAAGCAATAAAAGTTAGAGCCAACTTCAGTCAGCAGCTGCAGGTCAGCCTCTCCTCACCCTGCAACACTGTTCTATGTCTCACTGCAGTTCCCAGAAAACCAGCAGCACATCTGTACTAACTTCGATTAAAGGACATTTTCTCAGGTGGTCCTACAGGTCTTTAAAGTTGTAGGGAAATTATATTTAAAATTCAAATCATTCTGGCTTAAACATGTATATAAATGTTCTCTTTATCAGACTTTATTGTCCCAAAGTTATGAAATTTATATAAAAAAAAAAAAATCCTTTCTTAAAATCTGTTTTTTTCCGTTATCTTCTGCAGGCCAGTTAGTTCTACGTCAGCCTGAACACCGAAATTCAGCCAATCATATATCGACCATCATCTGTCAATCAAATGTTTTCGGTCATAGCATCTTGATTCATGTGTCGCAGCTAATATACGCAACGGTTGAAACCAGAATCCTTTCCTTTCCCATTGAGTTGCGTCCCAGTGTTCACGGGGATGGACGTCTGTGTCTTCGGCAGGCGTAGAGCTAACAGAACTGGCAGCGTTGCGAGGCAAGGGCTCAAACATGTACGGCTGGAAGCCTTCTACACCAAACCAAGCTTCTGCCGCCCTGGCGTCCTCTTCCACAACATCTTCGTCCCCGCTTTCCTCCTCTAAATAAAAAATGGATGACGGAGGAGACTCATCCACGACCTCCGACACTAAACTCTCCTCCTCTTGCATGTTTCCGCTGTCCATAGCGTTCCTTGACAGCGTCGTTTCTAAGTCACCAATTTAGTGGTACTTGGTCCTAATGGAATTTCCCATTGGGAACCTGCTAGCACTAAGATGCTAACTGGTTAGCAAGATGCTTCTGACAAACCGGCCACAACCAAACATGCTTGCAAACCTTCCGCCACAACAATCCCGCCCCCTTGGTAAACGACCAATCACATTCACATTATTCACTCGTGTAAAGTCGGGCACCACTTGGTAGAATTCGGAAATGCAACGGTTGGAACAGCCGCTTTCCTACAACTTTTAACCCACTTAACCTACTTCCTATTGCTTCAGGATTAGGGCTCAAAATGTCCCCTTTAGATGTGGTCACACAGATCAAACATGGTGAGCCATGAACTAGCCTACTTCAGGTGGTCAGACAGGTACCATTCAGGTGGTTTCTTGACTGTATGAAGGCCAGAAAACACCATTTCCAAACAACTTTTTAATCTCTGATCTGATGTCACACTAACTGCGTATAGAGAGGCTCCAACTAGGCAGGGTGAGCAGATCTGAGCCACATTGAAAGAATTTCCCACGTTTGACTGGAACAGATTATGAAAAGTTAATAAAAAATAAAAACCAGCTGTGCTTTCTATAAAGAAAAGCTCTACTTAACAAGCATGCTTAGTGTGAGGGATTGCTGAAGAGTCAATGAGTCGATGCAATCAGCTGGTTTTCCTTAGATAGAAAACTTTGAATCAATCTGACTGGATGATCTGGTGAACTGGAAAGTGACCTGAGATGACATGATGTGAATTGGAGCTATAGAAATAAACTGAATAGAAATCCGTCATCATTCCTTTATTTTGCTGCTTCTGTTACAGCTGCAGCTGCCCTCCTCTGCCCTGCTGGAGGGAGACTTTTACTGGATCCCTAAACACAACAACAGGTTTGACTATCAGGCCAGAGGGAAGCTGAGAATAGAGCATCAGGAGAGCATAGTGAGCGTTAATAAACAAACATTCACATTACTGTCTGTTAAATCTCTACAAACATTCTGGTTTTTTAGCTTTCAGTGCAGCTTAACGGAACAGCAGGAAGAATCAGCTTCCGTTCGTCTGTCAGGCATCCCTTCAAATCAAAGATCCCCCGATCGCTGGAGGTGGGCGCTTAGATACCGCAGCTATTCTAATCTGTTCCTCATATCTTCTGCTTGACAGTGAAACTGCGTGTTTTCTCCAGGTGAAAGCTGCTGTAGACGCTTCAGTGACTGGAAAAGGAAGCAGTTGGTTGCGCGTGACGGCTAATGGGAAGAACAGGGCGGCTCTTAGCGGCCGGGTGTCCCACCTGCTGCAGAACCGAACCAGAGCAGCGACCCTGAACCTGAACGTGTCCCAGAGCCTTCTACCTGCAGCCACTGACCTGCAGCTGGACGTGGCAGCCAACATGTCAGCAGACGGGTCTGTCTGCCACTATCTGGGAATCTGAACAGATGTTTTATGCACATCGGAAATGTCTTTATTCTCTTGTCTCCTTATCCCCCCCCCCACCAGTGTGTCTCTGAGTGGCTCCTTCATGCAGGGACAGGAGGCATTCATGGTGCAGGTCAAAGGATCTGGACAAACCTCTCCGGGTCTCCAGCTTTCCTTCACCGGGAACGTTCACCATTCAGTGTCTGCAGAGGAAGTTCTGCCTCCAGTTCTGCATCTGGATGGAAAGTTGGAGCATTCAGATACTTTAACAGAAGGTAGAGCTTATGCTTCCTGACTAAAAACACCTTTAGCATTCCCATGTCTGTTCAATACCACCATCCTGACCAGTGGCGTGCACAGCAATGTTTCGCGGCAGGGGCTTAGGTTGGAAAAATGGCCCCTGCATACGGACAGACACCGTCTGATGCTAACGTTTAACCATCTTCCACTGTCCAAAGGTAGAAAAGCCACATTAGTGTCACTTAAATAACAATTTCAAATCCACTAATGTAAAACCCAGGGTCCCAGAATATTATTGAGTTTATTTAGATTTACATTTAAAATAATAATAAAAAATAAAAATAAATGGAACTTTTTTAAAGTTATTTTTACTAACTGTGATCATTTGGCCTTATGTTTGCTTTAAAATGAAATGTTTAATAGACCAAACCTGTAGTTTTCATAATAAAGTCCAATAGATGTGATCAGGAAGGAATTACAGGAACCATCACATCAAATCAATAATTACATCTAAAAGATGCTTTAAAGCTACAGTGTGTAATAATTACAGGCATATAAAGTCAGAAATTTAATATATTATACATAACTATGTTATTTATCATCACCTATGAGCTCAGCCTTTTAACCATAATATTTGCGCTGCCTTAGAATTCGTTATTTATAATTACATAGGAGCGGGTCTCGCAGCCATGGAGGCTGACATCTTTGCGCTACGGCAAGCGCAGAGGCAACAAACTAGCGATTGCGAGATCTCCCATGACGCTCAAAAATAACTACGGCAAGTTGAGAGAGATGAACTGAGACGGTACTGAACAATAGATGGCAGTATTATGCCTGAGAAGCGTTTAGTCTGCCTGAAACCAAAGAAGAAGAAGAAGCAGGTATACTGCGCCTCAGTAACAAGAAAGGTGAACAAGGCGGCAGGCGTGAGTGACTTTGCAAACTGTTTGGCACTGTGCGGCCAAACATCAGACGAATGGAGGATCATGCCTACTCTGTATCACAACGAAAAGCGGCGGACACCGAACCCCCGTCATCTAAGAAGCGGAAACACGACGAGAATAAACGCAAGCGTGACAAGAAACGACAAAAAACACGGATCAACATTGGCACGGCATTTACACGATGGAAGTCACTGGTGGAGGAAAAAGGTTTTCAAAGTGACGCTCAAGTTGCCAGTTTTCTCTTGGACAGGTAATTAATCCTACACACACAATTGTCTAATATCACTGCAGTTTTTGGAGTACAGGATGCTCAGACCTGTCTAAAACAATAACATGCTGCGTGATGATGCTGTTACTCTCCAGTATACTTATTCAGCAACGTCCCTGACGTTTCACAGGTAATGATTCAGTAATTTTCTGTAAAATTATTTTCTGGATATATACCTCGGTTACTTCTCTCCGGCTCCTTTGGAGATCTTCAAGCGTTTCCTCCTCTGCTCTCACCCTGCTGGCTCCCCTCTCTCGCCTGGCCCTAGCTGCACGCCCACCCCGGCCTCTCTGCCCTCTTCCTCTCCCTCTTCCTCGCCTTGTAACCCCCGTGCCACAAACATGACTTGGACTCTGTAAACGGGGAATATATATTCTTCTAGCGAACACAATCTCGCCGTTAAACTAATGACTACAATTACTTCGTCTGTTTATATCACCATGCAAAGCAGCTCACCAAAACGTCACAACGACGTAGAAAAAATAACGGGTATATTTATTATCTTAAGTCTACATGAAATCTATACCCTACACAGACTAATGAAATACTATCTGTAAAATTATCTATGTAAACAAACCTCATCACTTGAGAAGGTAGGTGATTCCGACGTCGTGGAAGACATTTTGTCCCGTAACGCTCGCCGTACTGTTGGGGGGGAGAAGCGGTGGGGGGGAGACGTTCATGTTGCTGCAGTCTGCAGTCTGACCGCTAGATGTCGCTGAAAATTACACACTGTAGCTTTAAGTTGCACTTTTTCTAAACTAATCAAATAATTGCTTTAAACCGTTCCTTGGGGCCATTAAAGACGTTATGCTGTGGTCTCACCGGTTGATGAAGGAGGTAAATACGCTTGTTTAGTTACCTGGACGGTTAGCTGGTGCTTCACCATGGCAACGCTCTAAGGAGGCGGAGCTACATGTCTCATGGAGCAAAATGACTAAAATCTAAACTCTGGGTTTCATCGGCTTTAAATTTCATAAATGCTATTTTGGGCGGACGACTAAAGAAAGTAAAAAACAGAAACATCTTTTTTGTCCAGTGGGGAAAAGGAGCAGCTGCTCTAGCGCCACCTAGTTGATATCTGTGCTAATCACTGATCCTGACGGTAATTTATTGGGATTTTATCTCAGACTGAAACAATCAATCAGCTTAATCAGATTATTGAAATAATCTCCAGCTAATTTAGTAATTAATAATCATTAACTGGAGTATAGGGAATCTAAAACATTTCTTTAGCTGACAGAGCGAATACTTAGAGCAGGAATTATACCAAGATTATAATAAAATATGTAAACATTTTGCGCTTACAATAAAAAACTCTTTCAATTCAATTCAATTCAGTTTATTTATATAGCGCCAAATTCACAACACATGTCATCTCAAGGCACTTTACAGTTCAACCAGATCATACAATCAAATTGATACAAAGTTTTCTATCTAAGGAAAACCAGTTGATTGCATCGACTCATTGACTCAAATACAATCCCTCACACTAAGCATGCTTGTAGCGACAGTGGAGAGGAAAAACTCCCTTTTAACAGGAAGAAACCTCCAGCAGAACCAGGCTCAGTGTGAGCGGCCATCTGCTGAGGCCCACTGGGGTTCAAGGAGACAGAAGCAGAGATACAAAAAGCAGCTGTAAAAGGCGGCCCCGTCCAGGAAACACACAGCCAGGCAGACGAGCTCCAAGGCAGCTCCCATGCCAGAGGACGAAGAGAGCACATCCACTCAGTCACGGTCAGAGAAACAGGACCACACTGGAAAACAGGCCGATCTCCAACATCTATTAACAAGGGTGTTGATAGAAGCAGCACAGCTGATGTTTCTTTCCAGGATGACGTCACAGCCAAACAGGAACAGACGAGGCAAAGCTACTCTGAGGAAAAGCAGAGAGAGCAGAAGGTTAGAGATTGAACTAACAGATTCTGCAGAATAGGAGAACAGAGAGAGAATGAAGCAGAATGATGAAATGGGGGTCCCTATGTCCTCCAGCAGTCTAAGCCTATAGCAGCATAACTATAGAGATAGCTCAGGATAACCTGAGCCACCCTAACTATAAGCTTTATCAAAAATGAAAGTTTTAAGCCTAGCCTTAAAAGTAGACAGGGTGTCTGCCTCACGGACTAAAACTGGTAGTTGGTTCCACAGGAGAGGAGCCTGATAACTAAAAGATCTGCCTCCCATTCTACTTTTAGAAATTCTAGGAACCACTAGTAAACCTGCAGATTGAGAGCGAAGTGCTCTGTTAGGAACATAAGGAACAATCAGATCTCTGATATCAGATGGAGCTTGGCCATTTAAGGCTTTATATGTGAGAAGGAGGATTTTAAATTCTATTCTTGATTTAACAGGAAGCCAATGAAGAGAAGCCAGGATAGGAGAGATATGATCTCTCTTTTTCATTTTCATCAGAACTCTGGCTGCAGCATTTTGGATCAGCTGAAGGCTTTTAACTACAGTTTGTGGACTTCCTGATAGTAAAGAATTACAATAGTCCAGCCTTGAAGTAACAAATGCATGGACTAGTTTCTCAGCATCACCCCTGGACAGGAGATTTCTAATTTTTGTAATGTTCCTCAGATGAAAGAAGGAAATTCTAGAAACCTCTTTGATCTGGGATTTAAATGACAGATCCTGATCAAAAATAACACCAAGATTTTTTACTTTATTATCTGAAATCAGTTTAATCCCATCCAAATGAAGTGACTGGCTAATCAGCTTCTTTTTCAGAGACTCTGGTCCAAAGACTATAACTTCTGTTTTGTCTGCATTCAGAAGCAGAAAGTTAAGAGTCATCCAGGTTTTTATGTCTTCAGACATGCCTGTAATCTATGTAATGGGTTAGCTTCATCTGGATTTATAGACAGATATAGCTGGGTATCATCAGCATAACAGTGGAAATTAATCCCATGCTGTCTAATAACTCTACCGATTGGGAGCATGTATAAAGTAAAGAGAATTGGTCCTAGCACTGATCCCTGTGGTACTCCACAGGTAACCTTTGAGCGTGTTGAAGATCTATCATTAACATGAACAAACTGAATTCGATCAGATAGATAAGATTTAAACCAGTCTAGTGCTGTTCCTTTAATTCCAACAAAATATTCAAGTCTTTCTAAAAGAATATTATGGTCAACTGTATCAAATGCAGCACTAAGATCCAACAGGACGAGCACAGATACAAGTCCATTATCTGAGGCCATGAGAATATCATTAGTGACTTTCACCAGAGCTGTTTCAGTGCTATGATGAGCTCTAAAGCCAGACTGAAACTCTTCAAAAAGTTCATTATGGTGGAAGTGATCGCAAACTTGTTTGGCAACTACTTTCTCAAGAATTTTGGATAAGAAAGGAAGATTGGATATAGGTCTATAATTGACCAAGTCATCTGGGTCAAGAGACGGTTTCTTAAGCAGAGGTTTAATTCCAGCAACCTTAAAAGCTTTAGGTACATATCCCTGTAACAGAGATAGATTAATCACATCTAAAATGGAGGAGGAGATCAAAGGGAATACCTCCTTAAATAACCTGGTTGGAACTGGATCTAACATACAAGTTGAAGGCCTAGATGAAGACAATAATTTTGCTAATTCAGAAAGTTCAACTGGATCAAAGCAGTCTAAACCCGGTTCAGATTCCATGACTACCTCAGGTACAATCGCGGATAGAGGAGTGCTTATGATCTTATTTTTAATAAGATCAATCTTATTTATAAAGAATCCCATAAAATCATTGCTGCTAAGAGCAGGTGGAATGGACGGTTCAACAGAGCTTTGGCTCTGGGTGAGTTTGGCAACTGTATTAAAAAGAAATCTAGGATTATTCTTATTCTCCTCTATTAATGAGGAGAAGTATGCTGCTCTTGCTTTACAAAGAGTCCTCTTATACTTTATATTTTCTTATTTCAATCTGCTCTATCGGAGCTCCTCAAGTGGAAAGTTTCAGTTTTATCTGGTTTAATTTGGTAAAAATCTTCTTTAAGGAACCTTCAGCTATCTGATTATTAATCAATTAATCAATAAAAAAATATATATATTTTCCAAGGTCGCTGGAAGTAATTTTAAACAGGAGGTGCTGTGAAAATTGTTATGTTTTGATTTGGACAAAATAACGATGAGCCTATAGGCCGATTTAAAATACAATAAAAACACAAAAATACAGGCAGGTTACCATGGTTACAGGTGTCTAAACGTTCAGGTTTCACTCTAAGGTCATGGAGATAAAAGTCTCTCATGAGCAGACGAATTTGAAATGTGCGTCTTTGCCATATTTCCTCCTCCTTTCTGTCATTAGACTGTTTGAATTTACTACTAGCCGCTGCGAGATGTCAGGATACCACACACATGCTGGACGTTGCCATGACAACGTAACTTCCATGAACTTGTGTTAATTAGGCCTCAAAATAATTAAATAAAAATCCAAATACATGTAATAGTAAAATAAGAAAAGTCAAAATCATTTCCCAAAATATTCATAGGAAATTTATATATTGGGCAAAGTAGTTTTAATACTTTTTTTTTTTAATCTCCCTCTTGCCACTAGGGGGTGCTGCAGCAACCCCAGCACCCCCACTTCCCGCGGCCATGGCAGATTAATCGTTTTGTAAAATAATAAATAAGCCCTAGATTTACCCACTAAGCAGTACATTTCCTTTCGAAGTGGAAGGAAAAGAATAAAGTAGAAGACAATGAAGAGTGAGAAATATTATAACACAGAAGCGACAGCTGGTTGTTCTAAACAGAAAGGGATGCTACACGCCGCTCTCCTCACACATAAATAGGTGGAAGTTTATGGCTTTGAGGCAACATGTTGACCCAGATTAAATTAACTTTTCGCTGTTTGGTATCATTTCTGCCTGTGCGTTCTGATGCAGGACATCTGAGAATCAACGTGATGGGAACTGGACACGGCGTAGAGCTCAGACACCAGCTGGATGCAGCAGACAGTCTGGTCAAAGAGACGGGAATGATGGGAGATGGACGCCGACGGACACATATCTGGCTTCATGTTCGCTCCGGGCTCCAGAAGCTGTGTGTTAATGTCAGCCGCCGGCTGGAGGAGCAGAGAAAGGGAGAAATATTCCTTCAGCTTTCGCACACTTTTCACCTGCTCGACACGACAGGTGAGCTTTTAAGGTTCTACAGTGAGTATTATTTTAGAATCGATTTATCATTGGAAGGATCTACTGAGCAAACTTTCTTTACGAATTACATTTTGCAACTATCCCATTTATCAATTATGAGTTTTCTTTAAATGATAATATAAAACTAACCTGACTCCACCAGATGGATTTGCTCCGCATATCCATCTGGAAACCTTCTGTTGAAGTAATTTTGGGAAGGGGGGGAAATACTGGTTAACTGATTGGCCTATGTTGGTGATAGACGGGCCAAATAAACCAATCAGATCAACGAAGCATATGACGTACTAACAGAGCGACGACAAAGAGGAGCCAATTGATAGATCAAACTCTTGCCGAAACCAGTCGGGAGAAGAGCAAAAACATCTTTTCCTCTGAGAAAAGCCTCCAGAGCAGTGTTTTGCTCTTCTTTCAGTGAAGAAATACTCTGTAATTCCGATAAAACTTGCTCGATAGCCACGCTAACGCTAGTTTCATCGGCTGAAGCCGCCATGCTCTTTAGACTGAACTGTCGCGCTTCTCGTTGCGTCACACCTCAACCCGCCTCAAAGCCAACGCTGATTGGACGTTCGTTTGGTGAACGGCTCCACATTTTCTTTAACGGTGAGTCTCCAGACTGATCTGCGAGTGAAACCTTGAAAGCTCGCGAGATCAGGATGGTCTCACGAGGCTAATATAAAACTATATCCAAGAGACAATTACAGTATTTTCCGGACTATAGAGCGCACCTCACTATAAGCCACGCCCACGCCCTTCTAGCGTGGCTTATAGTGAGGTGCGCTCTATAGTCTGGATAATACAGTATTTAAAGTCTATTTCCTGGACTACGTCACCTGAATGTGGATATATATTATGGATGAAACAATTAATCGTACTAATCATGATTAATGGATTGTTGAAATAATCCTCAGCTAATTTAGTAATTGATTATTTAGTATAGATACTCTAAAACACGCATTTAGCTGACAGAGCGACCCACCTAGAGCTGTAAAAAGTTTGGTAGCTGTGCTGCTGCCATCAACACCTTTGTTTCTAGATGTTAGATGTTGGAGCTTGGCCTGTTTTCCAGTGTAGTCCTGTTTCTCTGACTGTGACTAACTGGATGTGCTCTCTTCATCCTCTGACATGGGAGCTGGCTCGGAGCTCGTCTGCCTGGCTGTGTGTTTCCTGGACGGGGCCGCCTGTGGAGCTGGTTGACAGTTGCCTTTTGTATCTATGCTTCTTTTTCTATGTCTGCTTCTGTCTCCTTGAACCCCAGTGGGCCTCAGCAGATGGCCGCTCACACTGAGCCTGGTTCTGCTGGAGGTTTCTTCCTGTTCAAAGGGAGTTTTTCCTCTCCACTGTCGCTACAAGCATGCTTAGTGTGAGGGATTGCTGAAGAGTCAATGAGTCGATGCAATCAGCTGGTTTTCCTTAGATAGAAAACTTTGAATCAATCTGACTGGATGATCTGGTGAACTGGAAAGTGACCTGAGATGACATGATGGGAATTGGAGCTATAGAAATAAACTGAATAGAATTGTTTCCAAGTTTGATGATGTTTGCTTCCCATCCACAGACATCTCAAGTTCCAAAAACTAATTTCAAGGAGATGCTCATCGAACACCCTGAACAACCCACGCCCCGTCAAAGTACACCAACCCTTACAAGCGCACTTGATTGCATATAGTGTACCTTCACTACATGTGGATATACTTTAGTATATTCTGCTGTAAAATTAGTCCTATATTTTTGTTTTTTACTCGTTTCACAGGTTGCACAACTTCGAGTGTTAACCAGGTGACTGCAGATAGTGAACCGAAACTTATTGGCTTATTTTTCTGACTGGTCCTATCAGATCAACCAGTCGCCTGGATCACTGGTTGATCAGAGCATCACTTTGGACAGATACGCTACACAGGTTTCACTAGGAACCTCCTCCCTTCACCCTGCTCTCTCTTGTTGTCTGTGCAATCGAACAACTATCTATATCAAGGAGATTCCCGGGACTTCTGGGAGGCTTGGGATCTCTGTTAACCAGGAGGCTTTGTAAATTCAAAATGTCACAATTAGCGTTGAGTTCCAGGATTTCTAGAGTAACCCCATTAAAGCTTTTGGCTTAGAAAAAATGTAAATTGAACTGGAAAGAACAGACCCGCCTCTTTGGAACGGGGTCCCTGAGGTCTGCGTTAGCCTGCAATACCCACTACTGGTCTATGCCTCTGAGAGGGGGCAGTCGTTAGAGGCATTGTTGGCCTGGATGACCATGCCAGATATCAAAAATAAAATACTCATGTAAAGTAAACATAGTACTTAAGTACAGTAATCCGATAAATTAACTTTGATACTTTCCACCATTGGTGAATGCAGCATTGCAGTAACAGCAAACTGCAGATAGTTTGATAAAGTCTCACCTGATGACTCTGGGTTCTGGTTGCAGGCGTACCTGCTGACAGCAGTGCTAAAGCACAGTGGACCTTGGATGAAGTTGGGCTGGCAGTCCTCGCAGAGCTGCAGGCCGGGACCGAACATGTCAAAGCTGAGTTTCATAGAAGCGGGACAGACCTGGAAGGGCAATACTTCTGCAAGTTACAGCTTCAAGTTAAAGCCCTGCAGAAAAGAGGCCTGGCAAGCTCTCTCCAAGCCAGAGCCTCTTACCAGGTGAAGGAATGACGGATACTTTTTCTCTCTGATTATTTTAGCTGGAATCCTTTACAGCGTTCTCTGCCTCTGGATTTAGATCCATTCTAATATATCAACAGTTCCTTTCTTTGTTTTTGCTTTTTTTCCTCTTCAGTTAGAATTAAATGGACTTAACACAAGCTTGGTTCTTCATGTGGAAGATGAGAAAGCTGCAGATATCCATCTCATAGTGGGGTCTGAAAACGAAACAGATGCTATGGCTGTGATGCTTTGGCAAGACATGAAGCTACTCCCAGGCTTCATACCAAACTACTTACAGGTACATTTTACATCATAACTGTTAAAACTTCATCACATCTCTTGTTTGGACAAATGTTGAACTAATGATAGATAGAACTACTAAAAACACTTTAAAATGTTGGTAGACTGATGCAGCATATCAAAGATTAAAGAGACCAGTTTGTCTATGTACTTCAAAGTTTCAGGTCTTTTTTAGAGTGACAGCAAGAGCCCAATGTGGAATCTGGCATGCCAGTTTTGAATGAATGACATATGTCAGTTGGGAACCAACATTTGAAAGTTGGAAACCGACAGTTAGCTTTGGGTCATCATTTGGAAAGGCAGTGTTAGGGTTAGATGATAATAACCTAGAACCTATTGTTCTAGAAATAACCAACACAAAGTTTCAAGTTACTTTTCTGCAGAAGAGGAGACAGATGGAGAATTTTCACTCCCTGAAATGTCTGTGGTCAGCTCTGTTGGGACCTCTCTGTCCCCTGCCTTTATTATCAGACTAAATTCCCGGCCAATGCACCAACTGCTGAGGCTCATAATGGTTGAATTCAGGAAACGATTTACTCAACTTTGTCCTCCAGAGGGGGGAAAACATTTATTGATAAATCGAATTCCAAACAGCTGTGTAAAACACTTCCTAAAGTCAGCGCTACATCTCGCCATGGTCGTAGGTTTGCATAGGGACCATAGGGACATGTCCCTACCAAAGTTCAAATGAAACCTACGCCCTTGCATCTCGCAGACATCTTAGCTTTTCCCCCCCGAATATGACGCACCCATCTCAGTGTATTTCTACCCTTCCTGAAGCATGTGTGCTAAATATATGTGTGTCTGTTTTGGCTCTGATTCTTAAACAGGAAAGGGATTTTTCCTGTTTTTTCCAAGATCTGTTGGCTTAAAATCCTAAGTGCAGGTCACCAGTTAGGATCTTGATTTTGCCAAGATTCGTAGGTGACCTCTGTGTGCTAGGGTTTAAACACCCTGTCCACTTCTGTGTTGCTAACTAAGTATAAGACCTTTTTAGATATTTATATAATTTAATTGTTTCTGCAAAAGGAGTAACAGGAGGAGTCAGAAGTTTACACATGATAAAGCATGACAGTGGTGCAGTTTTATTGCGGTGATCGTCACTCACCTGAAACAGCATTTGCTCTCCATGTTTGAAGTTAAAACAGCAGAACATTCCTAGCAGCCCAAATGCCTATAACTTAATACAAATAAAATGATGACATTTACATTTTTCTAACAGGGATCTAAGCTCCACATCATATTTTTTAAATTACTCTTACCTCAAAATAATCTCAGCTCAGATGTGGAGCTGGAAGTGGAAGCTCTCGAAGAGACACTGGCAGGTTCTTAATGCCAATCCGTCTGTGTCTGGCCCATTGTCAGGTCTAAGCACCTAAAATATCATACATACATACAGGGAAAGAAAGAAGGCACAGAGACATTTAATTTAGTTTTACTCATAAGGAGAGTAGGAAGAGACTGCGGAGTTTACAATCTCCAACCCACTCTGCCGGTCTTCAGCTTTCTCCTCGTTATTTATTGAAGTCAGGGGATGTCCCTAATTACACAAGCTGAGGTTTAACTAAGGGGAAGGGAAACAAAATTATCTTACTTTAAACCTCAGCACATACACTCACCGGCCACTTTATTAGGTACACCTGTCCAACTGCTCATTAACACTTAATTTCGAAGCAGCCAATCGCATGGCGGCAACTCAGTGCATTTAGGCATGTAGACATGGTCAAGACAATCTCCTGCAGTTCAAAGCGAGCATCAGTATGGGGAAGAAAGGTGATTTGAGTGACTTTGAACGTGGCATGATTGTTGGTGCCAGAAGGGCTGGTCTGAGTATTTCAGAAACTGCTGATCTACTGGGATTTTCACGCACAACCATCTCTAGGGTTTACAGAGAATGGTCCGAAAAAGAAAAAAACATCCAGTGAGCGGCAGTTCTGTGGGCGGAAATGCCTTGTTGATGCCAGAGGTCAGAGGAGAATGGCCAGACTGGTTCGAGCTGATAGAAGGGCAACAGTGACTCAAATAACCACCCGCTACAACCAAGGTGGGCAGAAGAGCATCTCTGAACGCACAGTATGTGGAACTTTGAGGCAGATGGGCTACAGCAGCAGAAGACCACACCGGGTGCCACTCCTTTCAGCTAAGAACAGGAAACTGAGGCTACAATTTGCACAAGCTCATGGAAATTGGACAATAGAAGATTGGAAAAACGTTGCCTGGTCTGATGAGTCTCGATTTCTGCTGCGACATTCGGATGGTAGGGTCAGAATTTGGCGTCTACAACATGAAAGCATGGATCCATCCTGCCTTGTATCAACGGTTCAGGCTGGTGGTGGTGGTGTCATGGTGTGGGGAATATTTTCTTGGCACTCTTTGGGCCCCTTGGTACCAATTGAGCATCGTTGCAACGCCACAGCCTGAGTATTGTTGCTGACCATGTCCATCCCTTTATGACCACAATGTACCCAACTTCTGATGGCTACTTTCAGCAGGATAATGCGCCATGTCATAAAGCTGGAATCATCTCAGACTGGTTTCTTGAACATGACAATGAGTTCACTGTACTCAAATGGCCTCCACAGTCACCAGATCTCAATCCAATAGAGCATCTTTGGGATGTGGTGGAACGGGAGATTCGCATCATGGATGTGCAGCCGACAAATCTGCGGCAACTGTGTGATGCCATCATGTCAATATGGACCAAACTCCCTGAGGAATGCTTCCAGCACCTTGTTGAATCTATGCCACCAAGAATTGAGGCAGTTCTGAAGGCAAAAGGGGGTCCAACCCGTTACTAGCATGGGGTACCTAATAAAGTGGCCGGTGAGTGTATGTTAAAACAAAGCATGTGGTTGTTTTACAATTGAATTGTTTAGAAGAAACATGTGATAGAGGATGATCAGGCCTCTTTCACAACCCGTCCGTTACATGACCTTCATCTGGAACGATCTTAAGCAAGAGTTAATAAAAGATGAATCACACATTATACATCGTAATAGTTCATTAGTACACAACCCATGAAACACAAACGGAGTATAAATAAAATATTTCTAACACCCATAGACTGGTTAACTTTCTCTCCCAGAGGGGGAGGGGGGGGGGGGGGTGCCGTAGGTATGGCTATAAGCAGATGCTCACTGTAGATTTTCCCTGAATAACCAAGCAAGTCTTTCATGACAGAACAAAATAAAAATACATGCTTCTCAAAATGTCCCAATTACAGAAGAGGCGCAGTGGACTGCTCCAACTTTTCCCCATCTTGTCTGACCTGCTTCACCAAATTTGAAAGCAGCTCATGATCCTTAGGAAACTTAAGCTAACAATAAGCTAACTCCATCCTTATGAGGGTTGAAGCAAAAATCTTGGACCCTAAGCGAAAGCATAGCTTTAATCTTAATTTATAAACAACAGTCCTTAACAAAATCACTGTTCCAGCTCTCAGTCAGTCCTCTCAAGGGCAGAAGTATGTTGATAAAAACTATTTTATGTGGGTGCCCTAAAAATGATCACATTAATCATCCATATTATCATGATGGTCTACAAAAAAGTTCTAGAAAATGTCTATCACGTCATCAGCTTGAATGTACATCTTTAACGTTGTTATAAGTCTATAATTTCCTGTCCTTGTCACAAAGCTGTGGACATTGTAGTTCCCTCTTCTCTTGTCGAATTCACACTTGAAAACAAGACTCTAACCATGAATGTAGTTTGGGGGGAGGGACACGGGGGAAATGTCCCCTTCACTTTTTCAAAAATCCGTTTTGGTCTCCTGCTGTTCAAAAACAATATTATGCTCCTGTACGCTGACATTCGTCCAGCTCTAGGACCAAGCAGAAATCCACAACTCAAGCTGAAGCCCCTTTCTGAGTTTAGACCGCCCACAAGCCCCTTATTGGCCCTCCATCTTTTCTTCTGTGACTGGCTGTCATCGCTGTCACTCCTGAAAAGCTCACTTTATGCACCATTGAACTGGGTCTGTGGTTGGATGGTCTCAGCGCTGCAGATGTCCGATGTGCTACCATAACTAGAACTGTAGCATCGTAAGTATTTTTCTCTGCCTTCTGGTACATTTTGGATTTTTGAGATAACTTAAATGGTCATCTTATGGCTAGAAAACAAAGGTCCACCACTATGTAGTGGGGAGCACAACGACCTCAATGACTCCCCATTGCAAAGGGGTGGACCTTTTTTCTGTGCAATTTTCAGCTCGATAGTCGGCGCTCGTCTGGAACACGTCAGATACGTTGATATGCAGTGGAGAGAAGTTCTGGATAAGTTATGCACAAGTTACTCAGAGGTTTAGGATCAGCTAGACGCCACGACTGATGAGGAACTGACACTGAACATATGTCAACCATCAGATAACTGACCTGGAACTGATGGACCACGGATGAGCAGACGCTGGGATATGGTGGGAAATTTTAAGCATCTTCAGAACTTCTCGCCGTATGTCGACGTGTGCCAGCGTGTTTTAACGTGGTTCAGCGTGCTCATAACTTATTCAACATATGCCACCAGTTGTCATGACGTTACAAAGTTCAGATCCAAATGCAGAAAACCGAAACAGAGAGACCAGGGAATAAGGTTTAACAGGTTTTATTGGAGAAGTTAAACAGACGGAGAAGTGTTGCTCTGAACACAGCTCAACCGGAACTGTAAAGTGGGGGGAAGACACAGCGGTTAGTTCAGGCTCAGTGGGGAATTTGACTCGTGAAACTTGGAGAAGAGGATTTGGTTGCTGACTCACGTTTCCAGAGAAGTTGTTGAATTCTTGACTCCTGTCTGTGTGCCGTGGTTCCAGTGTTTGTTTGATTCGCTGGAGGGCGGAACAGGTTTTACCCGGAATGCGGTCAATAGTTGGTGAACGGAGTAACTGACTGCCACTCAGATTTCCTGCGGTCCTTGAACGGGTCGTAGTGGAGAATAATCCCTTTCTCATTGAGAAGCTCAAACAATCTCTTGGGGAAAGTGGATCCAAACCTCCTGTTTGAACCCCGGCTCAGTTTGAAGCTCAGTTTATCCTTCCAGGGAGAGAAGGTCCGAGAAAACCAGTTTGCAGGATGACTTCCTGCCAAGAGGCAAAGACAAAAAAACAAAGTTAAACTCTGGTTGACTCAGCACACTCAGCTTGGCCAGAGTACCAAACACTCTGGCGTCGAGGTAGTGGCAGTCAGCAGCTTAAGAGCGCTCCGTTAACGAGGAAACCATCAGCAGGTGTGTGAGGAGGCGGACCAGAACCTGGCGCCTCCTGGTGGAGGAAGGGAGACAAACACAGAAACACAAAAACAGGAGTCCTGACAGCGGTTTTGCCAGATTTTTCATATGTCAGGCATATGCTGGTCTAAATGGTCAAGGTGTGACAGGGGCTTAAAGAACAATGCTGGTGATGAAGGAGGAATGAAAGGTTTTAATATTGTTTTACCAAAGTCATGATTCATGGAAAGCAAATGTTTATCTGGTTTGAAGGAGCAGTAAAACCAACCCACATTTTAACAACAGGATGCTTTGTTTTCACAGATGAACTGCAGAAGGGTTACCAGCAAAGGCCGACACTCAGCTCACTGCTCTGGAAACATTAAAAACCATCCCTTGCAGGTACGAACATCATGCTGTGACAGATCACACAACAGGCTCTGCTATAAGCTGTCAATCATGTTAGCCACCTGGGCTCCAGGTTAAATGTTAAAATTAGGATAAAATGTTTTCCCCCTCTGGACATTACCCAGAAGGCCTTTTGGCTACTCCAGCCTCACAGGACAGTACGATTACTGCCTGAGGCTCCACAAATAGTAATCCACCTATTTGTTTTCTTCTGCTCCCACAGACTGTAACTGGTCCACAGGCCTCAGCCAACATCTCCATCACCCATTCTGGATGTGTCACAAACCTTAGTGCAGTTCTGCAGACTGAAGAGGCACAGAAAGGCGCTTTGTTTCTGTCCCTAACCCTCAATCCTCACCTTAGTCTACATGCTTCTGTTCTGTACTTTATAAATGCACTGAAGACATTGTCGCTTCCTGAAAGCGGAGCCTCGACACTGAATGTCCCTGGTGGATATTTTCCTCGAGCGGATTTTAGCTTTGAGCTCGGTCAGTGTTTTATGAGGGGACATTTGGGCAATGCCACAGCTTCACAGGAAGACACTGTGCAGCCTTCTCTGGCTTTGAACGTTACCAGCTACTGTCCTCTGCTTCAGGTAAAAGCATTGAAAGAAACCATCTCTGTGTTAAAACCTTTCTGTAAACCGGGGAGTGGTGGCCTAGTGGTTAAAACGGTGCGCTTGTGCTCTGAGAAGGTTGCCAGTACCCGGTTTGATCCCCACAGCCTGCACTCTGGGTCCCTGAGCAAGACCCTTAACCCCACACTGCTCCTGGTGCGCCACACAATGGCAGCCCACTGCTCCCCAAGGGGAGGGGTTAAATGCAGAGAGTTCATGTCGCCATTGTGGAACAATAAAGGGATTTACATTTTATTTTTATATTACATAAACTGAGAAAAACACAAGTTAGAAAGAAAACAAACACATTGGCCGTTTCTCAATGTGTACTTGTGCGTTCTCGTGTCCTCGTGAAACGTCATCACCCTCAGCCTTAGCACTGTTCCAATTCACTAGAACAGCAGACTGAGAACATTCAAATTCCCCGGATGTTGTTCTGGCCCCTCCCTCTTTACCCAGCATGCATCAGAGGAGACTTGTCCGTTCTCCAGACTGACAGCTGTCCCAGCATGCACTGCGGCAGCAGCAGCTTAGGTTAGCGCGTTAGGTCAGGTTAGCGCTCACAGAGCTCAGTGTATTAAGTTAAAAGTTCTCTTTAATGATGCTGTTGTTCAATAAAAATACGTTTTAAGAACATTTGAGGAGAGAATATTATACTTTAAGCTTTACTATATGGAACATTTACTGATTTAGTGCATAATTTGAAAAAAAAAGTTTAGATGTTGAGAGGACCGTGGCAACCAGCGGAGCTTCGAGGCTAACAGCCGCCAAGGCTAACGTTAGCCCGTCTGTGGCAGCCAGGGCTAACGTAAGCACGTCTGCGGCAGCCAGGGCTAACGTTAGCACGTCTGTGGCAGCCAGGGCTAACGTTAGCCGGTCTGCAGCAGCCAGGGCTAATGTTAGCACGCCTGCGGCAGCCAGGGCTAACGTTAGCCGGTCTGCAGCAGCCAGGGCTAATGTTAGCCGTTTGCAGCAGCCAGGGCTAACGTTAGCCCGTCTGCAGCAGCCAGGGCTAACATTAGCCCGTTTGCAGCAGCCAGGGCTAATGTTAGCACGTCTGCGGCAGCCAGGGCTAACGTTAGCCTGTCTGAAGCAGTCCTCTCTCTGCATAGCCGTGTGTAAAGGACCGCTGGCTCTGATGATGATTTTAATTTTTTTTATTTGGTAAAACCTCATTTGAACTGTGTTTATCTGACTGTGTTCATTATTATTCCTCCACTAAATGAAAAAAGTCATAATTTATTATAATCTAGAGACTATTAATTACAGGAGGTGAAATGCAGCTCCAGACGAGCTTTAAATGTGGTGATGTCATCAGTACGCTAATGTTCCAGTTGACCCAGATTTATTCTGCGTGCTCCCGTTCTCCCCGAGTCCTGACTTTCCTGGGTTTTTCCCAGGAACATACTTGGCGAGGACAGGAGTCCGTACTCGTGTTTTTGTGAATTGAGAAACGGCCTTAGTGTTTTTTTATTTTTTTTTATCTTTGGGAAGTGGCAAAGGCAGAAGCAGATAGACTGCCACTGATGAACAGCCAAAACAATGGTGCTTCTACTACCTTTCTTTACTGCATGTTGCTTCTGGTTTGTTTTGCACACTTTCATGAACGTCCTGCACTTCTGCTTTTTTTGCCATAGGGGACGATCGTCCCTCGGTCTCTAAGGCTCTGGGGCCTCCTGTCGGTTACCCCCTGCCAGGTAACAGTGTCATCCTCTGTAAGGGCTAATGAGGAGGATGTGTCTTTAAAGCTAAGTCAGTCCTGCATAGCTCCGCATATTTCGGGGACCATCACTCATTCTTTCTTCGGGCTGAAGAGTCGAGGTCTGCCGCAGATGATGGCTTTTGAGGCTACAGGTCTGAAAGCCTCAGACCAGGAAGGGGCCGTGGTTGTTACAATTGGAGGGTGTCAGATTAGAGCCAGGAGAACGACTAAGGATAGAGGACTGGGACATTGGGTCTTGGAGACAGACTGCCCCATGTTACAGGTAAGTGTTTATCTAACATTTTATCCCTTTGAATATCTTATTTCTACCCTGTCAGACTTATAAGAGCTGAGGTCAAAGAGACGACTCTACAGGAAATCCAGATATGGATAATAAGTTAAATGTAAGAATGACACCTGAATGTGTAATCCAACAAAGGCTCACGCGAACGCCTCAATGGGGACGCACCCCGGAGGCAAGTGGACGGCTACAATGGAGACTGATCTAAAGGGCGGAGGAGTTTTTCTCAGACTGGAGGCTAAACCCTGGCCAGAGCTGAGTCTGGACAGCGTGCTGGATCATGACAGTCCTGCCCTCAGAGCTCTGCCAAGAAGAAGCAGGCTGAGATTAAGCAGCAGCTCTGGAGGAAACCATGGAGAGGTTCTGGTTCAGAAGGAGCAGTGTCATCTCAGAGCCGGCTGGAATGTGACATCATATCCCGGGCTGGTGATGTCACTGCTGTACGACAACAACTGCAAGGCTATTCAGGTACGGTTACACACAGGGAAGGTATAACTCCAGCAATAACACTGAGTTAATGGATAATTTTCCTGCTTGGCCTAAAGGAGTGGGGCGGTCCGAACAGCATCCAGGCCTCCGGCTCACTCCTCCACTCACCACATTCTTTGAACACGCACATCTTCATGGTGATTGACGACAAAGTGTTTCACACTGTGCTAACAGCAACGCAGGCAAAGGTATGAAAATAGAAATGTTTTTAGATGAACTCAAAATCCATCTCGCATCGTGACATCATGTGCCCCATTTCTACTACCCACTGAAAGCCGTATGTGCTGAGTTCGGACTGAGCTTGGATCAGTTAAGCGTGCGTTAAGCTTGGTTCTTACGACCATTTAGATCTCACAATAGCACGGTTCCTTCATCCATCCATTTTCTTCCTCTTTATCCGGGGCCGGCTCGCGGAGGCAGCAGTCTAAGCAGAGATGCCCCGATTTCCCGATCCACACTCACCTCCTCCAGCTGCTCTGGGGGGGCCCCAGGCCACACCAGTCCAGCTCAGAGACATAGTCCCTTCAGTGTGTCCTGGGCCTTCCATGAGGCCTCCTCCCAATAGGACCGCAGTTCTCAAAGTGTGTGGCGCGACCCACTGGTGGGGAATTGAGACGTGACAGGTGGGGCGCGCCAAGTTCCGGTGTGTGTGTGTGTGTGTGTGTGACTATAACGTGTGAGAGAAAACTGTCCTTATAGCTGTATGTTGCCGCATTTTAGACTAATCAAACCCACAAAGTAATCATTACTAGCCTACATGCAGTCTAATTAAAAGAACATTAGATATGAGAAAAATTTCCCCTGGAACTGAAGTACCAAAATGATGATTGACATGACGTCGGCATATTATTTGTAACGGAATAAACTTTCGCGCCCCAGTGTTGCCAACTCAGCGACTTTGACGCCATATTTCAGACCCCTCCAGCGACTCTTTTTCAAAAAAGCGACTAGCGACAAATCTAGCGACTTTTGGAGAACATACTCCGTCAGCGCTCCGCCCCGCTGCGCTCCAGACCGCCTACACAAAGCAAAGCCTACAGCCGCCGCTGTCCCCTCCGCTCCGCTCTGAGTTCCTTGGAGATCGTAGAGGGCATGCGCCAGATGAACCAGGGTTTCCGCGGATCATTAAAAATAATTACAATTCATAATTCTTTTTTTAATCAAGCCCTTAATTGGCACTAAAATTAATTAAATATGTTTATCGTTGCATTTATGATTCTTTAATAAAAATGCTTCTAAAAACAATTTTGTCAGATATATTATATCGCTATTAATTTGCGTGGAACTGTTTATAAAGCCGTATGTTCGGAAAGGAAGCTCGAGGCGGAGAAAAAGCTAGAGAATATATATACGTATATATATGTGTGTGTGTGTGTTTTTACATACATACAGGAGTCATGGAACTGTGCTTACAGCTCCATATTTCATGTACACTAATAACTTGTGTACATGGTTCTTGTTGATGGCATTAAAATCATTTCAAATAGCATTAAAATAGCATTAAATTAGAGTCACTCATTCCTGTATGAACCCTGTGAGCGCTTAATTTAGTATGACATATTAAAAAAATCCCACCATCATCCAGCATATGTTCAGTTTCTGCCCAAATATATATATATATATATATATATTTTTTTTTGTAGATTTTTGTAACAGAGATAAGGATAATTCAAAACTGCTTTTTTTTTTTTATGAACTTGTTCTCTACAACTCAGCATCTCTTTTCATTCATGTAATAAGAAGTTTCTTTTGAATGGATTTGATTAAACTTTAAGTCCCTCGGTATAAAATAAATATTTTAATGGAGATGAGAAATCTGCTTCCTGGTTGGTGAATAACCAATAGTTTGGATCCAATCATTTAAATAAACGGTGTTAGTTTTTTTTATTTTTTAGATATTTATAAGAATTGTGCTATAATTTCTAGTCACCAATCTGTTGCTACTATATTTTAATTTGACGAACCGGAATTTGTCGAGGTTCTTTTTCCTGTTTGGTGCGATTGCAATTGCGGATCTTGACCTGGCCGGACCGGAGCGGAGCAAAAAATAGCTCGGCTCCGTAATTTGTCGGTGACGGACGGAGAAGACGTACGTGGACGGAGACGTGCGGAGGAGTAGCGGTGGATGTGGAACAGCTCTCATTGATTTCCATGAAAGACAAGCGCTCCGCACGACGTACGTCAGCGGGGCGGAGCGGAGCGGAGCGCTGACGGAGTATGTGGAATCTGGGGGTTACGGGAAAGCACGTATCGTTCCTTTTCTTGTCCTGCTGCCGTGGGGCGCCTCCTCCCTCCCAACCCCGTTCTCCCCCACTATGTGTGCTGTGTGCATTCTTCTTCCCTTTGCCACATCATATCTCTGTGAGATGGGCTTTTCAGCTGCTGCTTCACTGAAAACAAAGCATGACTTGAGAGTGGCAGTATCAAGCCTGCAACCCCGTTTTGAGAAACTGTGCAATGCAAAACAGGCTCATTGAAGCCACTAATGCAGGGATAAATAGACCTGTATTGCCAGATGGATTTCACTTATTTTCTTTTATTAACAGATTGCAGAGTGGCACTTTAATTTTTTCTATCTTTGAGCTTGATACAAATTTTGACACAGCTGCATTTTTATTTTCTTTATTTTTGAGCTTGCTGTTATTTGATGTAGATAGTTTGTATTTAGATACTACTTGTTACTTCAATAAAATTGGAACATTTTAAGATTGTTTCATATTTCATTAGCATTGTGTTGGGGCGATGGGGACAGGCGGGGCTTGAAAATTCCCCCTTGTCCAAAGTGGGGAATGACAGAAAAAGTTTGAGAACCACTGCAATAGGACATGCCTGGAACACCTCCAGAGAGAGGAGACCAGGAGGCATTTGGAACAGATGCAAGAGCCACCTCAGCTATACAGTACTAGCCATTCACAGTTTCCCCACTTTCCTTGGTTGCCCCTTGGCTGGTCCTTGGTTGGCCCTTGGTTGGCCCTTGGCTGGCCCTTGGCCGGTCCTTGGTTGGCCCTTGGTTGGTCTCCTTTAATTCCTTTTTAACATCAATCTTGGTACTAAAATATTCTGTAGTCATGATTTCTGGACATTAAGATCTAAAGAGAAGCGCCATCTCCTGGTCAGACCCTGTAATTCAGTGAAAGGGTGGAGTCAGAGTAAAAAAAAATTCACACCGAGGAGTAGGAAAGTGGCTGGACGTTGGAGGGGATTTGGCTGGGAGTTGAAGGGGAGTAAAGTCCCATTCATTTGGCGTTTGACTGGGCAGGCCGACGATGAGGCGGTCTGCTCATGAGCTCTTTGTTATCAGAGAACCACAGATGAACCACACCGAGCCCTACTGATGAACTAGTACTAGGTCTAGAGCGGTTCGGTTGTTTCTGGCACGATCCGGTTCAGTTGCGTTCCATTTACACTCAACAGTTACCTCGGTTACTGTGCTCGGACCATTCATTCTCTGCATGGTTTCAGACGGCTAGTGTAAATGGGGTAATGCTGTGCTTTTCTGCTGCTGCAGGGTCAAAAGGAAGCATTTCTTCATCTAAACCATTCAATGCCGCTGCTGAAGAAATTTGGCCTTCCCACCAAGGGTTCACTTCATATAAAGTCTGTGAATCATGAGAAGGATTCATACTCATTTGAAGTCCACAGCAGTGCAGGAACTAAAAAGGTAAATTAACTCTATAATGCATACTTAAAAATGTTCACCTAAACAGATGTCTGTGCAAATCCAGCAATGAAATATTTCTCAGAATTTATATCAATAAAGTTTTAAAGCAGAATAAAGTCATTTGCTTCTAGTGTCTCAGCTATGAGGAGACTACAGAATGCTCTTGAAACCTGGCTTGGATTCAAGGAAGTAGTGTCTGGAAGCCTTTGACTGACAGCTTGACATCCATAAGTGAAGATGGCGGCTGGGGGCGGGACAGTGGCGTAGGCTTTTCCAGTGTTTGCGGTATGTGGGGTAAGCGTCAGTCAAAGGCTTCCTGACACTACTTCCTGTGTGATGGTGTCTGCAAGGCCCAATCAGGAGGATGCTTACAGAAGAGGATTGTCTCCGCCCCAACCTTTAAAAACACATTTTGAAAATCAGTCCGAGGCCAGAGATGTTTTTGAGAGCGCAGCAATCCTCGAGCATGGCTGCTGGATGGAAAATCGTGCGCGGTGAGATCCTGAGCACGATCCTGAGTGCGCATGGGAGGAGCGATTTTCTCCTCCCGGAGCAGCAGTTTCTCACGCATGTGGTGGTAGATAATAAACAAGGCACAGAAGTAGTTTAACATACATGCAAGTTTGTTTATTTTGCTCGCAGGCCTTTTGAAATAAACGTGACGCCATTAGACTTGGCTTGTTTTAGAAGAAAAAAAATGAAAATATAGCCAAAACTTCCAACTGGGTCATCACCAGTCATCCCAAACATGGCAGCAAATCTTCAACAGAATGGCTAAAAGACAAACTAATGAAGGTGTTGGATTGTTCTGGTTGATCTTCCTCCTGTGGAATCGTTGACTTTCGACCTTCAGGAAAGAAATGCAAGATCAAACCAATTGAAGCAAAGCAGTGAAGAATATCGATCATTTGATTCCTGAATGAAGTCTTTAAGGCTACGTTCACACAGCAGCCTGAAGCCACCGGTGGTTGGAAAGTTTAGATTTCTCTAACTTCATATATTAATTTATGCTATTTACTCACTATAACATTTTTCATTCAGTCTGTTTCACCTGCAAGGCAACACAATGCGTCAGTGAGGGTGTTTGTAGAGCAGACATATTCATAACATGTTACTGTTTATCCAAAGTGTCTGTAATTAGTTTTGACTCTGACTACTTTCCGTTATTTGTAAATGAAGGAAACACACTCTGCCCAGGCACAACAGGACGGAATACCAAGCGATAAGTCCGGTAAATAATTTTTTGCCCATATGCGACCTGGATCGGATCTTTTAATGGCAGTCTGAACAACAGATCCGATTTTTTCCAATGCGATCCAGGCCACTTGGCTCTGTGGTCCTGAATCCGATACGAATCTGATCTTTTCAAATGCGACCTGCGTCTGAACGGTCAGATCGTATTCATCCGACCTGAACGGCATTAATACTCAACAAAGGTCACTATTCTGCTTCTGGCTACGCAGAAGTGCGAAGATAATGCGGAGAGCAGTCTTTTTTTTTTTTTAACCATCTTAAAAAGATTGAGTTTTTAAGGTTGGGAAAGGTCGCTAGATGCGCTCCAGAGCATGCTGGCTTGTGATGTCATTGCATCCTCTACTGCGCATGCGGGACAATTAAGCTGTAAGAATGCAATTCACACAGGAGATCATATACACTCACCGGCCACTTTATTAGGTACCCCATGCTAGTAACGGGTTGGACCCCCTTTTGCCTTCAGAACTGCCCTAATTCTTGGTGGCATAGATTCAACAAGGTGCTGGAAGCATTCCTCAGGGAGTTTGGTCCATATTGACATGATGGCATCACACAGTTGCCGCAGATTTGTCGGCTGCACATCCATGATGCGATCTCCCGTTCCACCACATCCCAAAGATGCTCTATTGGATTGAGATCTGGTGACTGTGGAGGCCATTTGAGTACAGTGAACTCATTGTCATGTTCAAGAAACCAGTCTGAGATGATTCCAGCTTTATGACATGGCGCATTATCCTGCTGAAAGTAGCCATCAGAAGTTGGGTACATTGTGGTCATAAAGGGATGGACATGGTAAGCAACAATACTCAGGTAGGCTGTGGCGTTGCAACGATGCTCAATTGGTACCAAGGGGCCCAAAGAGCGCCAAGAAAATATTCCCCACACCATGACACCACCACCACCAGCCTGAACCGTTGATACAAGGCAGGATGGATCCATGCTTTCATGTTGTAGACGCCAAATTCTGACCCTACCATCCGAATGTCGCAGCAGAAATCGAGACTCATCAGACCAGGCAACGTTTTTCCAATCTTCTATTGTCCAATTTCCATGAGCTTGTGCAAATTGTAGCCTCAGTTTCCTGTTCTTAGCTGAAAGGAGTGGCACCCGGTGTGGTCTTCTGCTGCTGTAGCCCATCTGCCTCAAAGTTCCACGTACTGTGCGTTCAGAGATGCTCTTCTGCCCACCTTGGTTGTAACGGGTGGTTATTTGAGTCACTGTTGCCCTTCTATCAGCTCCAACCAGTCTGGCCATTCTCCTCTGACCTCTGGCATCAACAAGGCATTTCCGCCCACAGAACTGCCGCTCACTGGATGTTTTTTCTTTTTCGGACCATTCTCTGTAAACCCTAGAGATGGTTGTGCGTGAAAATCCCAGTAGATCAGCAGTTTCTGAAATACTCAGACCAGCCCTTCTGGCACCAACAATCATGCCACGTTCAAAGTCACTCAAATCACCTTTCTTCCCCATACTGATGCTCGCTTTGAACTGCAGGAGATTGTCTTGACCATGTCTACATGCCTAAATGCACTGAGTTGCCGCCATGTGATTGGCTGCTTAGAAATTAAGTGTTAACGAGCAGTTGGACAGGTGTACCTAATAAAGTGGCCGGTGAGTGTACAAATTGCAAAAATTGAAATAAATATTTCACACAAAAATTGCAAATGAGCATTAAGGTCTGCAGTGTGTTTTTGCCAACTACTGTACATAGAATAATAATAGTACGATTTCTTTTGTTGCATTTGTTTTCTTTTTATGAATCCGTTAAACACATAGCTATGAGTCTAAATGTAGTTTTTCTTTTTGTTTAAATGCTGTTGTTCTACAGTTGTCCCAAGAGCTGAAAATGGAAAAAACATCTGAGGGCGTGCGGTTGCAGGGTCAATTTAAGCATGTGGTAAATTACCTGAAAAAACTGGGAATCCCTGAAAACAGCAGCATCAAGGTGAGAGACAGGTTTATGGCTGAAAGGAAACGTCCGCTCAGAACGGAATAATCAATGGATCATTATTTAAACCTAAAACTAATACGTTCCTGGTGGTTTAATGAATTTAGCGTCAATCAGTAAAAAAAAAAAATAATAATTTTTGTCACGATCACAGAGTCTGGGAGCGGCCATTTTTGCCCAAATATAGTAGCCCCTCCCTCCTGCCATCTTCCAGCAGTGACGTCACGGTGCGGTAAGCCTAGCGCCATTCTCCCCGCTTTCCAAGCTAAATCAATGGGAACTACTAGACACATCTGCAATCAACAACAATTATTGAAGATTTCCAGAGGACTTCACCATTGAAATTCACCAGAGCTATAGTGAAACTGACAATGCCCACGTGCATGGCAGCTGGATGCTGGAATAAATCGGGTAAATGTGAAAAAAGAGTTATTCCACCTTTCTGATTCCTGATCCTCCACGGACGGGTTGGTCGTTGGATCGCCAACTTGAAGAGGGAGGATTTGCCATCGAACTTCTGGCCAGAGAAAAAACCCGTAATATGTAGCCAACATTTGGAAGAAGAATGTTTTCAAGATGACTTGGATAATAGCGCGTTGTGACAAACACCAGATACAGCACTGGGACTTGATCAACAGCCGATACCGCACCGTGACAATGTCACTAACCAGTAGGTGGCAGTAGTGTTCTTTGACAAACATGGATGCCTCCAGTAAAGCACATTCACATGAAAATGACTCTGAATTAAAAACACTGATCATTTATTGAACAGGATGGAATCATTTCAGATTTAAAGAACTTTCAGAAGTTTGAATTCTGAATATGAGCGACTTTTCCTTTAAATACCGAGTTTTCTTGAGGAGGGACGTTCTAACATCAGACTGTTTTACAGGTAGAGCTTTGTTCTGCTGACATAAAGACGTTCAGCCTCCAGTCTCAGTGTGGAGATCCACAGATGAGCCTCAGACTTCAGCTGAAGACTCTTCCTGCTCTCACAGACATAAAGGGAACCATGTGGCACAGCTCATCATGGCTGCATCGCCAAGGACTGCCACGGAAAATACAAGTACTGTTCGTGTTGACATGTTTTTATTACTCAGTGGAGACACTGATCTAATTCTATTATTAATTGGCCAAGAATAAAAATAATTTCTTTGCTCGCTTTAAGGGGCTCTGTTCCATTAAGGGAGGAACGTCTCAGATTTGGTCCAGGGCTCAGCTCAGCGTGGACGGACACAGACTGCTCACATCTGGGCTGAATGTCAGCGGTGCTGATGGTCGCCTGGATGTCCTCCTGTCCTACTCTCCTCAAGCTCTCAACCAAACATGGATGCAGCACCAGCTGGACACCGCTCTAGCTGTTCAGTTCAAAGGTCGGGGCATTGTGTCGGCTTCAATGCCTTTTATCCTTTTAAGAAAAGTTCTTTAAAGAATCTTTTTTTCTCTGAGATCATCTGAGAAAAAAACATGAATAATGCTTGTGAATTATTTGCCTTAGTCGACAGGCCATCACAGCCTCCTGTAAACGTAGCATCTGAGAGAGAAACCATAGACATGCTAAGCTAGTACTAGCCTAAGCTAGCTACTCCTTACTAACCTGACTTTGTTCCGCATATCCATCTGGAAACCTTCCGTTGAAGTAATTTTGGGAAGGGGCGAAAATCCTGGCTAGCTGATTGGCCTATGTTGGTGATAGACGGGCCGAATAAACCAATCAGATCAACGAAGCATATGACGTACTAACAGAGCGACGACGAAGAGGAGCCAATTGATAGATCAAACTCTTGCCGAAACCAGTCGGGAGAAGAGCAAAAACATCTTTTCCTCTGAGAAAAGCCTCCAGAGCAGTGTTTTGCTCTTCTTTCAGTGAAGAAATACTCTGTAATTCCGATAGAACTTGCTCGATAGCCACGCTAACGCTAGTTTCATCGGCTGAAGCCGCCATGTTCTTTAGACTGAACGGTCGCGTTTCTCGTTGCGTCACACCTCAACCCGCCTCAAAGCCAACGCTGATTGGACGTTCGTTTGGTGAACGGCTCCAAATTTTCTTTAACGGAGAGTCTCCAGACTGATCTGCGAGTGAAACCTTGAAAGCTCGTGAGTTCAGGATGGTCTCACCAGGCTAACTCCTTACTACCAGAAATAAAACCGTATGAAAACAAGTGCCCAGTAGAAAAGTGCAGCAGTAGAAGCTGTGTTTTAAAAGAGCTTCTGGACAGTTAGTGACTTAAATACAGCGATATCACTTTTTTTATCATTTACTTTTTTATTAAAAAATAAAAAAATACATTCCTGAGCAACAATCTTCTCCCTCACCATCTTCCTCTCCTTTGCAGCTGTAGAACTTTTTGTCTATTAAACAGATTCTCATGTTTTTTTAATTCATTCATTAAAATCTCTAGTTCCAGCTGAGTGAAATAAGCCCTTAATGTCGTCATGGTGACTCGTATAATCTGGGCTCCACTGATAATGGCTTTTCATACTTGTTACGCACGCGCTCAACTCTGAGTGGACCTAGTTAGAGTTGATTGAATTTATTCATAGCAGCCGTTGGGAACCTGAAAACTCAGAGTTCCTGACCTTAGGCTAGATCAATTTAGAGCTGAGTTTGATAAAAATGCTTCATGAAATGGACCCCAGGAAAAAAAAGAACTTAATTCAGCCGGAGATAGCCTGATGGAGATAGCCTGAACAGCACCAGAACGTAGGTCTGCAGTAAAAAAAAGGAGCTGAAAACGATATGTCAAAGCAGCGGTAGCAGAAAAAAAAAAGACACAAGTGCACGGAAACAGGTCCACATGCGTTAAGGAAAGAAACCTGGAAAACAAGTCAGAGTGTGATATATTCCACTCATGATGCTGAATGTGCAAACATACAATGGTCAAAATGTGTATGGAGAGTGGTTTACATGGAGTTTTTCCTCTCCACTGTCGTCACAAGCATGCTTAGTGTGAGGGATTGCTGAAGAGTCAATGAGTCGATGCAATCAGCTGGTTTTCCTTAGATAGAAAACTTTGAATCAATCTGACTGGATGATCTGGTTTATGTGGATCTATAAAGTGACATGATGTGAATTGGAGCTATAGAAATAAAATAGAATGTGTGTTTTAAATACTCCTTATATTTATTGTGCCTGTGCACTTTTGGCAGAATATTGACTTCATAGTTTACTGTAATTCTGCTTTTTCACATCTCTGTCTACTTGTGAGTCCATTGTGAGTTTATTGTGTTGCATTATTTATATCAGACGATGCTCACAGCTATAATATCATAACTGTATCAGAAATGAAAAATTAAATGTATTAAATGTGATTTCTGTCCATTAGATAACACTGTTAGGTTATCAAAGGTTTTGGATAAATTTCTACTCAAATAAAAAAACGAGAATATGTTCAAGTCTGTAATTTAGTTTTTATCTTCCTAACATAAAATCAAAAGACAACAAGATAGATTGCAATGATGAGCATTTACAGGTGCTGGTCATAAAATTAGAATATCATGAAAAAGTAGATTGATTTCAGTAATTCCATTTAAAAAGTGAAACTTGTATATTATATTCATACATTACATACAAACTCATATATTTCAGATGTTTATTTTGTTTAATTTTGATGATTACAAATGACAACAAATGAAAATCTCAAATTCATCATATCAGAAAATTAGAATATTACTGAAGACCAATAAAAACAAAGGATTTATAGAAATGTTGGCCAACTGAAAAGTATGAACATGAAAAGTATGAGCATGTACAGCACTCAGTATTTAGTTGGGCGTCCTTTGGCCTGTATTACTGCAGCAATGCGGCGTGGCATGGAGTCGATCAGTCTGTGGCACTGCTCAGGTGTTATGATAGCCCAGGTTGCTCTAATAGTGGCTTTTAGCTCTTCTGAATTGTTGGGTCTGGTGTATTGCATCTTCTTCTTCACAATACCCCATAGATTTTCTATGGGGTTAAGGTCAGGAGAGTTTGCTGGCCAATTAAGAACAGGGATACCATGGTCCTTCAACCAGGTACTGGTAGCTTTGGCACTGTGTGCAGGTGCCAAGTCCTGTTGGAAAATGAAATCTGCATCTCCAAAAAGTTGGTCAGCTGCAGGAAGCATGAAGTGCTCTAAAACTTCCTGGTATGTGGCTGCGTTGACCCTGGACCTCAGAAAACACAATGGACCAACACCAGCAGATGACATGGCACCCCAAACCATCACTGACTGTGGAAACTTTACACTGGACTTCAAGCAACGTGGATGAAGTGCCTCTCTTCTTTTCCTCCAGACTCTGGGACCTTGATTTCCAAAGGAAATGCAAAATTTACTTTCATCAGAGAACATGACTTTGGACCACTCACCAGCAGTCCAGTCCTGTTTCTCTTTAGCCCAGGCAAGACGCTTCTGACGCTGTCTGTGGTTCAAGAGTGGCTTGACACAAGGAATGCGACAGCAGAAACCCATGTCTTTCATACGTCTGTGTGTGGTGGTTCTTGAAGCACTCACTCCAGCTGCAGTCCACTCTTTGTGAATCTCCCCCACATTTTTGAATGGGTTTTGTTTCACAATCCTCTCCAGGGTGCGGTTATCTCTCTTGCTTGTACACTTTTTTCGACCACATCTTTTCCTTCCCTTCGCCTCTCTATTAATGTGCTTGGACACTGAGCTCTGTGAACAGCCAGCCTCTTTAGCGATGACCTTTTGTGTCTTGCCCTCCTTGTGCAAGGTGTCGATGGTCGTCTTTTGGACAACTGTCAAGTCAGCAGTCTTCCCCATGATTGTGTAGCCTATAGAACTAGACTGAAAGACCATTTAAAGGCTTTTGCAGGTGGTTTGAGTTAATTAGCTGATTAGAGTGTGGCACCAGGGGCCATCAATTTTGAACCTTTTCACAATATTCTAATTTTCTGATATGATGAATTTGAGATTTTCATTTGTTGTCATTTGTAATCATCAAAATTAAACAAAATAAACATCTGAAATATATGAGTTTGTATGTAATGTATGAATATAATATACAAGTTTCACTTTTTAAATGGAATTACTGAAATCAATCTACTTTTTCATGATATTCTAATTTTATGACCAGTACCTGTATGTTGCATCTGAGAATTCTGGTTTTGATTCCACTTGCTGTGAACTTCTCTTTAGGTCCTCTGAGGAGCACTTCGTTGGACGTTCACCATCAGGACTGGAAGTTTTGGCTGGAGGGGGAGGCTGGGGACTGGGGGGCACCTGGAGGTTCCAAGGAGGCCAGGTTCACACTGAGGCACATCGAACGAGGAGAAAATGTCCCCACCTTCCAGGTCAAAGTCTAAATATCTCGACTGTCTCCTTCAGGAGAAGAGTGTCAGTTTAACACCATCACACGATGCAATTAGTCATTTTACACAGAGACATAAAAAAATACACTACCGCATTTTCCGGAATATATGCTGCTACTTTTTTCCCACGCTTTGAACCATGCAGCTTATAAGAAGGTGCATTAGGGTAACCCTAACCCAGAAAAGAGCCAAAGGGGGAAATCAAAGTGTGAAATGAAAGAATAATGGACTAAATTTCATTTAGTAAGAACAGCAGAACTAGCAGCAGACACAACGGAGAACAAATGTCCCGAATTCACACATTTTGACAATTATTTGCTGCATTAAAGCTGCTGAACAAATAAAGGGACTGAGCTCAACTTCTGCAGAGCTGAAATAAAGAGCTGATGAAGACTTGACGAGAACGCGAGCACGCAAGCACGTATGCGTATTGGAGCAGAAGCGTACTCGTGACGTCATCACCTGCAACGTTGTTTAGCATTTCTTTAACAGTCAAAACTATTTATTCCCTACACAAAATATTTTGAAAACAATATTTTTAATTTCTAAAGCTTAAAAAACATTAAAAAAATTACCGAACCGCAAAAAAAACGCCATCAGAACGAGCGGTAGTTCACACATAACTAGACCGAGAGAAGTGCACTACAGACGGGGTAAATTTAGCCCTAGCTGCGGTTACCCTCGGAGGTCTGCTGGTCACGCTGGTCCGCTCAACGTCGGACTTTTTTTTAACATTTCGCACTAACTCTGTAAACAGGCCACACAGGGAGGCTTCAATGTATAATGTTATCGCCTCAAACGATTTCAAAACGTACTTTTGAAGAACAACAGCAGCAGAAAAGGGAATGTTTAACTTACCACTGTGAGCGCTGTCTGGAATCAAGCTGCGGCCGCGGGGCATTCTGGGGAAGCGGTCAGTCTGAAGAACGCACAAGTCTGCTCTGATGCATGCTCGATAAAGAGGGCGGGGTGAGAACAACATCCGGGGATTTAGTGCGTTCTCGATCTGGCGTTCTCGAGAATTGGAACGGTACTCGGGCTGAGGCTGATGACGTGTCACGAGCACACGAGAACGCTCAAGAACGCACATTGAGAAACGCCCCATCTTTCAGTCGAAGCTCTTACTGCTGTAAGCTAACTAGCTGCGAGCTAGCTGGCTGGGAGCTCGTCTGCCTGGCTGTGTGTTTCCTGGACGGGGCCGCCTGTGGAGCTGGTTGACAGTTGCCTTTTGTATCTATGCTTCTTTTTCTATGTCTGCTTCTGTCTCCTTGAACCCCAGTGGGCCTCAGCAGATGGCCGCTCACACTGAGCCTGGTTCTGCTGGAGGTTTCTTCCTGTTCAAAGGGAGTTTTTCCTCTCCACTGTCGCTACAAGCATGCTTAGTGTGAGGGATTGCTGAAGAGTCAATGAGTCGATGCAATCAGCTGGTTTTCCTTAGATAGAAAACTTTGAATCAATCTGACTGGATGATCTGGTGAACTGGAAAGTGACCTGAGATGACATGATGGGAATTGGAGCTATAGAAATACACTGAATAGAATTGAAGTGGATTAGATTGTAAACCAACTGGTGATGTCATAGCGTAATATTTTAAAAGAGCAACATCAACCCCGGGCACTCAGAGGCTTTTGGGAATGTGTAGATGCCAGTGGATCCTGCAGGGTTTAACAGCTGAACGTATTATTAATGTCAACTTCTAGGTTGAATAATGTGGTGGTCCGTCCAGTAAGGCACAAGGACAAAGGCATATAAAAAAGTATTTCCTATTTATTTTCCAAAAATAATCTTCACAAAAAAAGGACTTACATCAAATCTCAAATAAATATAACAAAATGTGCCCAAATGAAATCAACTAAGGCATACCTCACACAATGAACACACAGGGGAATTTATACACAAAGGCTAGCCTACACAAACGAGGAGGGGTGGGAGATGAGACAAAGATGATCAATGCATAAACATAAATAACTAATTCAAACTAACACCTTTTGACTATAACACAACTATCAAAAGAAAACAACATAACACCAAAAATGCTTTAACAGTTATGCCATAAGTGGAGAGAAAGAAGCAGACTCTAACATCCAGTCCCCTGCTTCCAGCAGCCTGATGGTATGTCCCACTTCCTGGTTTGCCTTTCAACCAGTCCTCTCCACTAAGCCAGTCCTTCAACTCAACAAAAAAAGTAGTTAATTCAATTCAAATAAACAAAAGGTGTTTACTAAATGTGTGCACCCATAATAGTAAACAACCTAATGCAAAACTAACACCACAAAAGTGAAATTATAAATGTACTGTGTGAAGACCTTTAAATAAATACTAACACTGAAGAAAAGATGGAGGAACCTCCACAAATAACATTCCCTAAATGTTGTTCCTTCCTGCTAACAATCTCTACATGTTTTAGGTGGAGTCCTGGGGAAGAATTACTGACTCCCAACTAAGAGGTTCCGTGGCTGTAAACCCTGAACTGAGCTCTTCTTTTGCTCTTATTGTCCAAGGAAACAGCGCCCCTACTGGGTATAACTGATACTACAAATTATGGATGATAAAAATCATCACCTGAAAACTTCCAGCTGATGTTGATTGTGTTTCTAGAAAGGAGCTGGTGTTGAACGTGGCCCACAACGTCCCCCGGATGTTGGTCTACCTGCCCTCCCAGTTTGGGCTCCGGTCTCAGGTGGCTTCCTTTCCCCTTTCTGACAGACAGGAGGTTGTAGATGCGTGGTGGTCACATGCTTCCTCTCTTCCCAGTTGAACCAGTCCCAGTCCAGTGGGGCAGCGATGCTGGAGGTGTTGTCAGGCAGGAGGAAGCTCTGGGCTGTGGGGGAGCTGGCAGCCACAGAGGGGGGATATAGGCAGGCTTTGGAGGTCAAACACTCCTGGCCACAGGTATGATGATCTCTTTGATTTCAATGCACACTGTAAATAAATTATTTCTGTTCCATTAAGGGAGGGGGGGCTTAACTTCAAAATAGACACATCCCAAAAACCAATCAAATGTATAATAAGGTATTTTACTTTTCACCCGGCTGCTGTATTTGTATGAATTAATGATTTATTCTGGGTTCATGAGGTCATAATCATTCCAAAATATAGTAAAAAAAAAAAAAAAACAACTGGTCTGTTTTCTAATTTTGAAGACGTTTCTCTTCCCATCCAGGCAGCTTTTTCAATTTAAAATGTCTGGATTAGTGTTGAGTTTAAGGCGTTTGTAGAAAAGCTCAACAAAATCCTTGTAATGGTTTTAGAAAACATACAAATTGAAGCAGGAAAACCTGCTTGATAACGAACAAAGGTGATATGAAAGGTGGTTGAAGGAAGTTATTTATGTTAACTCTTAACATCCACCTCATTTTGAAGTAATCTCCACCTATTTTTCATACCCAAATGGAAAGCAAATAACTGAGGAACGTAAGTCCATGTATGTTACATCATTTGAAAGCGAACAATTCTTAGTTTCTGAAAATATAAATGAAAATTGGGTGAGTAAAACACAACCTAAGCTGCATCAGTTCAGACATGACTCAAAGTAGTACTCGAAAATAATAGCAGTGATAAAGAAATGCTTGAGAAAAGGCAGGATTTATTGTATTATATTTGTTCTACATCATGTCAGCAACAAATGCAGGAAATTTCAGACCTCCAGCTCCAACAGTTCCAGAGCTGCGAGGCTTTGAACCTTTGGAGTCACCAGCATCTCCAAACATCTCCCAAGTTGTTCCAAATGCTTTTACTCAATTATTTGATCCACAGAATAACGCTGAAGCATTTTGATGGCAACAAAACATTGATGAAGCAAATATTTTCCACTTTTTTTCAGAATCAGTGCATAAAACAAAATCTAACATTTTTACACCTACAATAACATAAAAAATCTATAAAAAATAGTAAAACTGCAGCTTTTCAAGCTAAAATCAGCCTCAGTGCCTTTTCTGAGCTGTGTTTTTATTTTCTACCACCGTTGCATGACAGTTTGCAGTAAACAGAGCTAAGCATCTAATTTCTTCAATGTTCCAAATGCACATACTTAACTTTATAATCATCATTGAATAAACCTGACATCCAGCCTTAGGCATCGTAATAAAACAAAATTAGCGTGCAAACTCCAAAACTACCAGAGCGTTGTTGGTAAACGGTTTTAAGCTGCTTACATTGATCCAGTCACCCCTTAAACAAGTCGGTAACTCGGCTCTGCGTTATATAACTCTGCCATATCTAGCCTTGTTTCAAACCTTATTTAATTGGCTGCAAACAGCCCAGGTGGTCTCAACCAATAACAGCAGGACTCTATGAGGCGTAATACTCGGTGCGTCATTGGAAAACAGGCCGGGAGAGTTTGTGAGACTTCAGCAACTGTCTCTGACTCAAATCGCGTCATAAGAAGAACCACACCAAACATTGTGGGCTAACAACCGAGGGAATAAGTATTAGGAAGTAAATATTAGCAAGATGCTGAGCATTATTATGACCAGCTAACTGATCTGATGTGAAATTCCGGACATTATGGGCGATTTTTTTCATCATGGAACTTTTTATAATGAATATTCTGGATTACTTTTAATCTGTGAACCCTAAGTACGGTGGCTGAGAAGTGCAAAACACATTTACAATTCAAAAACACATTAACAAATAAAAAACAAAATAACATTTGAAGAAACAAAATTATATTTTATGAAACAAATGTATTTTTGAAAAAAAAAGTTAAAATTTTTAAAAACAAATTGACATTTTAGGAAACAAATTCACATTTTAAACAAGTTAGATTTTAGGTGAGAGAAAGTTTCATTTTAGAGAAAAAAAAATACATTATAGGGAAACAAATTTACATCTAAACAAAAATTGACCGTTCGGAAACACTTGTACAAGTGCAAAGAGAAAACTGCAAGCGGCAAAACACAGTTACATAGCCAAAAACAAATGAACAAAAGACGGCTACACGGAAAGGGAATGTCCCAGTGGCCGGATGTGACGTCACCATTACCCTGACTTGTAGTACAAACAGCTCAATCTGTAGTCCTCCTGCTTCACGTGAAAAGTCAGCAGTGATTTTATTATTGTGGAGCAAATTTCAGCCAATTTACACCATTTTGTTCTTCGTGCGGACTGTCTCTGGAACTTTTACGGGTCACGGACCAGGTGGCAGGACCACCGGAACTGCTGCAACGCAGCCACTGCCACGAATTGGTCCTGCCACCTGGTCCCGTAAAAGTCCGTAAAAGTTCCAGAGACCACAATAAGGGCAAAACATTGTTCGGTTAGCGTAAACTTAAGAAAAACAGCTTCAGTGCAATTCTTTCCATCTAAAATCACCACTGACTTTTCACGTGAAGCAGGAGGACTACAGATTGAGCTGTTTGTACTACAAGTCAGGGTAATGGTGACGTCACATCCGGCCACTGGGACGTTCCCTTTCCGTGTAGCCGTCTTTTGTTCATTTGTTTTTGGCTATGTAACTGTGTTTTGCCACTTGCAGTTTTCTCTTTGCACTTGTACAAGTGTTTCCGAACGGTCAAATTTTGTTTAGATGTAAATTTGTTTCCCTATAATGTATTTTTTTTTTCTCTAAAATGAAACTTTCTCTCACCTAAAATCTAACTTGTTTAAAATGTGAATTTGCTAAAATGTAAATTTGTTTTTAAAAATGCAAACTTTTTTTTCAAAAATACATTTGTTTCATAAAATATAATTTTGTTTCTTCAAATGTTATTTTGTTTTTTATTTGTTAATGTGTTTTTGAATGAATGGAGTATAAAGAATTGAAGATTGGATTTATAAAACGGCTTCTGGACGCCGTCAAACGGACGTAGCTGTGGGTTAGGGTGGGGGGGGGGCTCATGTTTCAGCGCTCAAAAACCTACAACGCAGCAATAGAGTCGATTCCTTCCTAATCCCAGCTCTACCCCATCGCTAAGCAACAACATATCTCGGCAGGTTGTTTTTTAACTTAAACTTTTTGGAATATTTTGAGTTTCTTCTCCTTTTGGAACATAAAGTTCCTTTATTGTCTTAAAGCTGAAGTGTCTCTGTGTCGCAGCTAAAGCCTTTTCCCAGGATCATGGCAGTCAGAACGTCCTACGAGCTCCAGAGGTGGAGCTACGCCCTCCAGCAGGCCACCGTGTGGGGCAATGATGAGTTCAGCCTGTCTGCTCTGTACTGCAGCCCTCCTGGCCTGGAGGGGGCCAATCACACCCTGAAGGGTAAATCTCTCACATTCACAGATCAGCAGGAGAATTCATGGCCGCTTTGGTTGGAGGTTATGAATTTAAAAACACAAACTTTACCATAAGATGTTTTATTTTAATGATCAGTCTAATTACTGCATCATTTTATTGGTTGTTAAACAACAGGGACCTGATGGTGTCCTGCCCCCCCCCAACTAATTCAGTAATTGATTAATTAGAAACTGTAAAACAGGCCTTTAGCAGACAGAGCGACCCGCTTAGAGCAGGAATTATACCAAGACTGTTTAAAAAGAAAGTCAAGATTTGGCATTAATTTATAATTAATTGCGCCCAGCCAGCCTGCGAGGTGCCACCTTAACGTGGTGGGATTGTTTGAGTGCCCGAAAAGGGGAAAAGGAGAAAAGTGGGGGTTGCACAAAGTATTAACACCAGGGGTGCCAATAGTTGTGGGACACATGGACAAATGTGTGATTTATTTATTTTTTTACTTCCAAAGTAATGTACTAAAAGAGAAGGTTGGATTTTTCTCTTTTTTTTTTTTTTTTTTTTTTTTTGCATTTGGGTTCTATGTTGTTTAAGACGAAGGACTTTTTTTTAGAAGTCATCGCTCAGATCTTAATCAAGAGTGCAAATAATTATGGAGGGCACTTTAGTAACAGCCTTTCTGTTAGACTCAGTGAAATATAAACTATATTTTAATCTATATAAAATGCTGATCTAATTAAGTTATTTTCTGGTAGCATGATATTGACGGCTGCAGATTGTTAATCTCTGATTATTCTCCGTCATCAGTTCAGATCAGCGGCGTTCCCCGCTCTACCAGCATGGAGGTTTTACACGACCGTTCTTTACATGGAAACCTAGACAGGATATCACTGGGCTGGAAGAGAAACGGCCAAACAGAGAAGGTGAGAAAGATCAAACTAAAAAAATAAAATGCTTTTCTTTCTGTGCTGCACAAATATTTAAAGTGTATTTACTACATAGAATGTCAATAGCATTTAATGTGATAAATGAATACTTGTTCAACGCACTGTAACTCTAAAACAGTAATCATTGTCTAAGAGTTAATTGTGGTCGAAAAATTAAGATTTCTCTAATTTCATATATTAATTTATCCTATTTACTCACTATAAAACTTTTCACTCAGCCTGTTTCACCTGCAAGGCCAAACAATGCCTGAGTGAGGATGTTTGTAGACAAGATAAACCTTCTTCCCAATATAAACTAGATTATTTCTCCAAAGTGTCTGTAACTTGTTTTAAATCTGACTACTTTCCATTATTATAAGTAAGGAGGAACGAACGCTGCCCAGGTAGAACAGGGTTGATTACTGTGCAATAAGGACCGCATCCTGAACCGTTCTCTCTTAATAAAATAAATAAATGAAATAAAGTGCCGACTGAGTGAAATCCATCGATCTCCGTTTATTTAACTGGAGTCAATAATAAAAAATTTTTTACACCACATTAGTCTATTTCCATTCTTATTATTTCCCGTTGGGCCGTTTTTCTGCTGCAGGTCCAAGTTCTACGTTCATGGAGTCAGTCTGAGGATTTCAAGGAGACCAAGATGGAGCTTAAGCATCCGTTCTGCTCCGCTCTAAGCCAGCTGTCGCTGCGCATTCTGTCACCTGGCCTACGGAGGAAGAGAAGCAGCAGGCATCAGGTGCAGAGCAATGCCCAGGGTCTTCTGCTTTTGGTGCTCCTTCAGATTTCCTCCGTCTAAAGAAAAAACATTACATTCAATGCCAACTGGGGGGAGGGGGGGGAAATATGGTATGCAATTAAATTCTGTTCTAACTTTATTTTATTTATCGAGTAACCTTTGGCATGTCATAAGTTCTGTTAACCTGCCCAGCTGGCTTTGTGTTAGGAAAACTAATAAGTAAATTTTTTTAAATTGAGCTCCTATTATGGTCAAACGGTTCACTTCACTTTGCTAGCCTGGGTGCCATTCTGAACTTAGTCCCGCCCACAACGTTTGAGGTCAGGAAGGTCGGTCTGGCATTCCTCAATAGTAGCGCAAGTATGCTCGCACAATATCTGGCGGGCCAATCAAATTGTCAGGGCGGGCTTTATACGATGATGGATAGATGATCAACAGTAACGTAATCAACCACGTGACCAAAGCGCGCTTGGGTGACAACAACAATGGCTGCCGCTGGAGAGTTGAGGTGAGTAGATTCTGCTATTAGGTCTGTTCTAGAAGATATCGACAGCAAATTAATTTTAAAATAGGAACAGAGAAACGCGATCAAGGCTCATCTTCTTATTCTAGGCGTGAAACTGCACGCTTTGATTTTTGTTGACAACCACTATGCGTCGCTTAACATACGTCACGCACTCCGTTGCTCTTATTGGTTGTAGGTCTATCCAATTGAGTGCAGAGGCATTTTTTTTCTGGTTCGTTCGAAACACGCCCCATAATCACAGCTCTATGGAGCAGCATCAGACTCATTCTGACTAGAATGGAGTAGGACTACGTCAGGCTAGCACTTTGCAGACTTATGTTATAAATTCACCATAACATCCGTTCAAAATACAATTAAAGAACAATCTGACCCCCAGGTGGAACATATTTCAGTTAAAAACTGTTTTTCTAAATAAGTGAAACTATGTGCACAAAGAAAATAAATAAAAAGGATTTAAAACCATTATCAATAAAACCAGGCAATAATATAAAAGTTCTTGGTGAGGCTAGAAAACACGCATGAACATTGTTCCACTTGTGTCTAAATGGATTTCATGGCTTAGGTCACAATAACTTGAACACTGAACTCTGCAGCCTGTAAGACAAACGTTCAAGAAGTTCATTCCTGTGTATCCTGTAGACCCATCTGTCCTGGAACGGTGCGGTTCCGGTCAACATCTCTCTCAGCCTGTACAAACTGAACTCCAATGCTGGCAGGGCGTGTGTGCTGCTTTCAGCTCGGCAGGTTGGTAGAGCCTTTGTCTGTCTCTAACAGTTGTAGGTATGGACTCTATTGTGGAGCATATTGTGAAGGTCTTCTGTTGCAGACGTCGGTGTCCTCTGGGAGGGGCTGCGTATCGGTGGGTCATGGGGGAAACTTGTATTCACAAACTGCAGATGTAACATGGCACAACAAGAGCTTCAGACAAGGGATGACATACCAGGTATTCTGATTGATCTTTAATGTGATTCCCTTCAAAGATGCACGTCTAATGGCTGATGAAGGAAGAAAAACATTTTTCATATCTTGGTTTTCTTTCAGAAAAGTAACCAGGGACTACATGGCCTTCAGATATACATTGATTTGGACAGAGTGTCCCCTGGACCCTGTCACTCCCACATGTTCTTGGCTAAAGTTCAGACGAACCTCAGGGATCGTTTGGAGCACAGAGTGGAAGTTGGCATTTGTCCTGAACAGCCTGTGAGTTCACACAGCAGAGGAAGAAACTAGAAGTCCCAGTATATCTCCAAAGATTCCCTGATGGTCTCTGTGTTTGTCAGATCTCATGGTGGGCCGGATCTCACAGAGTGAACTCAGGAGATGAGCTGTTCTCCACTCGGTCTAACCTGTCAATAACTGGTCACCAGTCCAGCTTCACGCTGGTCCTCTCAAACTCCTCCACAGCCAAGGGAACCAATGTCTCTCTGTCTACTGAGGTAAAGGTAAATCAGGTAAACATTCAACAAATAAAACAAATAAAACAACTTTAATAAAAAAAACTTCATCCATCCATCCATTTTCTCCATCCATCCCTGCGGGGGTGGTGAGGAGTACTGGTGCCTATCTCCAGCTCTCTACGGACACAAATACATACAGTCACACCCTCAGACTTAAAAAGGGAAGCCAATTATCCTAAAAGTCCTGTTTTTGGACTGTGGGAGGAAGCCGGAGTACCCAAGGTAGGGCTGATGATAGCACCCGAAAGCCGACCCCCATGGGGCCAAAACCCAAAGGGGCCCAGTCCCTTAGGGGTGGACCCAAGAAAACATAACGCCATGGTGCCACAGGTCCCAAGTTTTTCCTCTCCACTGTCGCTCCATGCTTGCTCATCATGGACAGGTTCTCTCATCCTGTGTTATCCAGCTGGACTTCCATCTTCAGGTCCCTGAGTGAAGCTCTAGTATCAGCTCACGCAGTCCACTGGATCTCCCCATAAAGCTCAGCAGACCGTCTCACCAACTGGGGGGGTGGGGGTGGGGGGGAATCCCTATTCATGCATATCTATCAATATTCAGAGCCAAAGACCAACTAATCGTATCAAAACATTTCTTCTAATTGTCTTTTGTCTTTGTGTGAGTTTTTCAGATTGAAATAGGCAGGTATGGGGCATTGCAGGCTAACAAAGAAGCCAAACGACCCCCCCCCCTTTCAGAGACATAGACAGGTATGGGGCATTGCAGGCTAACAAAGAAGCCAAACGACCCCCATTCCAAAGGGGGGGACCCGTTCATCCGTTTCTATTTGCATGTTTTCTAAACTAAAACCAGGCTTTGTTGGGCTGCTGGATAAAACCTGGAACTAAACGCTATTTCTGACATTTTGGATTGAAAAATCTTCCTGGATGGAAGAGAAACGTCTTCAAGCCTGGAAACAAAGTCCAGTGGATTGATTTTGACTTTTTTTGGAATGACTATGACCTGGAAGACGGAGAATCCTCACCAACCTGAATCCTCACCTGAAGGCTAAAGGACACTCGTTTCAGGACAAAAATGTCCACATTCTGGCTAAGGAAGACAGATGGTTTGAAAGAGGGGTTAAGGAAGCCATCTTTGTTAACCTGGAACAACCTCAGGAGGTGGTCTTAGACATAACCTTTCACCTACTTCCAGAGCACTTTTAGGATCAATACCCAGAATATTCACCTCTCATCCGCCCTCACCTGACTCACACTTCAATGATGTGACTGAAACCACTCTAAGGAGGGAGTCAACGACCCTCTAACGACCTTTAACCCCCAGGTGACCTCCATCACCAATCCAGAAGAAAAGATCAGATCCACCTTTAGTTCCTCCTAATTCTTTGTTCCACTCCCAGTATTTTAATCCCAGTCCTCCCACTACTAGTTAGACCTGAAGCTTCTTGGATGAGAGAAGAAACTTTTTCTAGAAAACTTCACATCCAGTCGCCTAAACTGAACCTTTCTAGCTTCAACAGGACCTGAACGACCGAGAATCTTCAAAGAAACCTGTTTTTTGTATTAAGTTTTTGACTGTTTAAATTACGTATCCTTTTTTAAACTTTTCCAGTCGATGGTGGGTAACTGGAGCTTGGGGCTGGTGGGCAGCGCCCTGTCTTGGACCAGTGGATCGGGTCTCCAGGTGCAGGCCGCTATAGACGGTAGACAGAAGATTTGGCTCAATGGGACGATAGAGGGACGCTGTCTTCGGACTACAGCAGGTTACATCAACGGTAAATAAAGGACAACATCCCGCTAAACCCGCGGTTCTCAAAGTGTGTGGCGCGACCCACTGGTGGGGAATTGAGACGTGACAGGTGGGGCGCGCCAAGTTCCGGTGTGTGTGTGTGTGTGTGTGTGTGAGACTATAAATGTAGAACGTGTGAGAGTAAACTGTCCTTATAGCTGTATGTTGCCGCTTTTTAGACTAATCAAACCCACAAAGTAATCATTACTAGCCTACATGCAGTCTAATTAAAAGAACATTAGATATGAGAAAAATTTCACCTGGAACTGAAGTGCCAAAATAATGATTGACGTGACGTCGGCATATTATTTGTAACGGAATAAACTTTCGCGCCCCAGTGTTGCCAACTCAGCGACTTTGTCGCTATATTTCAGACCCCTCCAGCGACTCTTTTTCAAAAAAGGGACTAGCGACAAATTAGCGACTTTTGGAGACTCTTACGTGAAAGCACGTATCGTTCCTTTTCTTGTCCTCCAGCGGCAGCTGCTGCCGTGGGGCGCCTCCCCCGTCCCAACCCTGTTCTCCCCCGCTATCGCAGGAGTCCCTCTCAGCGCTGCAGAGACACAGCATGTTTACCCTCAGCGTCCAGACTGCAAATAAAGCGCACATGCGCCGGGATTGGCGGCGCAGGTTGATCATAAATAACTGAATTTGAAATATTTTATCTTAAATAAATAGGACCAGTTTATTGAAATGACGTCTGACTCCACCCTGAAGCTCAGGTTTAATGCTCAGACTAATAGTGAATTCTGGTTTGGAGTGGAGAGGGAGTATCCACTCATCGGGCAGAGAGCTGTGTGCATTCTTCTTCCCTTTGCCACATCATATCTCTGTGAGATGGGCTTTTCAACTGTTGCTTCAATGAAAACAAAATACAGATCTCAGCTGAACATTGAGCATGACTTGAGAGTGGCAGTATCAAGCCTGCAACCCCGTTTTGAGAAACTGTGCAATGCAAAACAGGCTCATTGCAGCCACTAATGCAGGGATAAATAGACCTGTATTGCCAGATGGATTTCACTTATTTTCTTTTATTAACAGATTGCAGAGTGGCACTTTAATTTTTTCTATCTTTGAGCTTGATACAAATTTTGACACAGCTGCATTTTTATTTTCTTTATTTTTGAGCTTGCTGTTATTTGATGTAGATAGTTTGTATTTAGATACTACTTGTTACTTCAATAAAATTGGAAAATTTTAATATTGTTGCATATTTCATTAGCATTGTGTTGGGGCGATGGGGACAGGCGGGGCTTGAAAATTCCCCCTTGTCCAAAGTGGGGAATGACAGAAAAAGTTTGAGAACCACTGCGCTAAACCAAGGCAGCGCCTATAGAGTGCAAATCTGAGCGTTTCTGTGTGTTACTGGGCAGGTTCAGACCTCTGTGAGGATCTGAGTGCAGTGGCGTGTGCAGGATTTAATCACAGCTTACGGGCAGATGTGCAGAGAAGAGAAGGCTGCAGAGAGTCTGAGACGCTGGGAAGTCTGTCCCTGGAAAAGGCCAATCAGAGGCTGATACTGACAGCGGAGGGCCGGATGGAAAGATTAACCGCAGCAGAGGTAACGGTAACTCTATCTACCAAGTTTCCATTCAGTTTGAAACTGTTTTACTCAGTTTACGCCTCTTTATCATTTCAAAGGAGCAGTTTGACTTCCTGAGCTCCCAGATAAAGAAGCATCTCATAGAGAAGATAAAGCCACTGCAGCATCTTCTCACAGAAATGCTAAAACAGGTCTGTTATGCATATCAAGTAACGTCTGGCTAGACCTTTCAATTTAAATTCAATTAACTTTATTTCTATAGCTCCAATTCACATCACGTCATTTCAGGTCACTTTCCAGTTCACCAGATCATCCAGTCAGATTGATTAAAAGTTTTCTATCTAAGGAAAACCAGCTGATTGCATCGACTCATTGACTCATCCAGTCAGAGAAACAGGACTACACTGGAAAACAGGCCAAGCTCCAACATCTAGAAACAAAGGTGTTGATGGCAGCAGCACAGCTGATATTTCTCTCCAGGATGGAGTCACAGCCAAACAGGAACAGACCAGATGAAGCTACTATGAGAAAAAGCAGAGAGAGCAGAACGTTAGAGATTGAACTAACAGATTCTGCAGAGTGGGAGAATAGAGATAGAATGAAGCAGAATGATGAAAAAGGGGTCCCTATGTCCTCCAGCAGTCTAAGCCTATAGCAGCATAGAGATAGCTCAGGATATTGATTCTTAGTTTTTCTTCTCTCCTTCTTCTTCAGCCTTCAGACCAGCAGCTGCTGCAGCAGAGAAGCTCTCTTCCTGTTCTTGTTTCACGGCAGGCGAAGGCCCCACTGGGCCGAGGAGACACAGGTCTGCTGTCTCTGTGGCTGAGGAGCTCCCTGCGACGTGCACTGACCAGCAGCTTGCCTGACTTTCTGGGTCGGCTTCATCAAGCCTCTCTGCTTGGACAGCAGGAGCTCAGACGTGAGCTTTTGTCAGTTCTGGACAAAATAGCTGTGATTATAAAGCACTATCAGCATGTTGGAACTTCTGTGTCCAGGGCCTCTGGCTACTCTAGCAGGTGTGTACCAGGACGTGAAGGGGCAGAGGCTGGAGGCAGCATGGAGGGAGGCTGTTGGGATATGGACGGACAGGCTGATGGATGTCCTACATGCAGAACTGGAGAACCCCCACCTCAGACTCCTGTCGGTAGCAGGACTGTCAGCCCTCAGAGCTGCTCTGGATGCGGTGAGAGAACGGTTCCTGCTGCTCAGGGGTCAAAGTAGATTTAAATTCACAGTAGTCTGATATAAATAAATACAGACAGAACCTCCATAACTGCCTTGTATCGCCATGGCAACCCAGACCTAAATTGCATGAATATGCAAACTAAAAGTTTTAAATATTTAAAGGAAACAGAGAAAATGTTTTAATGGCAATATAAGGAAACATTTACAGAACTATGAGAAATAAATATTCAAAGATCTACAGCAGGACCCTCTGCAGGAAGAAAACACAGGTTAGTGACCACGTCAATCTGGCAGAGGATGAGAAAGAATGTGTGAGTCACTAACCTGGAAGATCAGGTAGGTACCAGCCAGTCGGCTGCCAACGAGACCCAGCCCAGAGAATCCCAGACGCTTAAGCAGGACTTAAGCGTCCAGCTTAAGACAATCCAGGGGACACAGCCAAAGCTGGTGTCAAGGATGAGCTCGGTAGTCAGAGCCAGGAGATCAGAAGTCCGGAGAGGTTCCAAAGGTAAATCCAGAACAGTGTGAGTTACATGTTTGGTTAACAGGCAGAACCCAGCAGGAGTCCAAAGACAATTCAGAAAAACAGATCATAACAGAAACAGGAAGGCTAGATAGAAACGAGAACAATAAGAGAGAAATATTCAAAGATCTATGAACCTTTTCATCTGGATCTTCATTCAAAAATAAACAGAACGTAATGAAATATTTGCTTTGGATATAATTGTGGGATTCCTTTGGTAGAATTTAAAGAATGTTTAGCATTACCTCCTGTGAGCTGGAAGAAATAAAATATGGATACATCGACAAAGGGATTTATTATGCTTGGCAGAGGATGATCAGCCACATCTAGTTTATTAAGTAGCGAGAGCAGGAAGAGCCGTACTGCTGAGAGCGAACCATCAGAGTGGAGCATAAAGCGCAGACTCTGAGCTCAGCAACCAAAAGACAGTTCTTTATAAGCACAGAGGGAAGATCAGAGCTGAATTCGTCAGCTTTAAACAAGCAGAAAGGAGCTTCTGCTGCTTCATTTCTGATGCTCGTCCTCATTAAGGTCAGACGTCCAGTAAAGTGAGTCCAGATGCTTCTGCTGCTCCTGTGTTTAATGCCAGAGAGCAGCTTTGCTATATTAGCTGTGATCAGTTGGTAAAAGTACATGTTTTAAGATGGTGGCACCTATAGGCAGCAGCTCAGTTCAGCTCTCCACAACTCCAGAAAATATGCTGCCTAGAATGCTACAAACTAGCCATCGATCCTGTACCTCCGCCAGTGCCTGCTGGAGCTATGGTCATTGAAGATTTTTTCTGGACTCGTAAATACAGCCACTTTTGGCTGCTGAAAAAGCTTCCGAGTGCTTCGGGCTGAAGCACGTTCTAATGACTTCAGACTCTCCTCTCCGCCTGTAGATTCGGCGGATGCAGTAAAATGCTAACCAACCAATTAGCCCCTAAACTGGAGGAGTTACAGCAGATCCCTGGAAATAAATCAGACATCTCGGTCCAGAAGAGGAACAGCTAAGATACTGGCAGAACCCTCAGGCTCCCAGGACTCTGGTAGAGGAGCCCAGCTGGGAGGAAAAGGGGGGGAGACACCTCCCACGATGGGGGAGGAAGAGTTTTTTCTTTTGACTATTGATGCGATGTGAGAAAATGAATTCCTCCACTGTGAGATCAATAAAGTCTAGCTTATCTTATCTTAAGGGAACCAGGCCCAAAGAGACCACTTTTCAAATAGCAACCAGACCTTTTCTAAGCAGGTATCATAAACTGGAGAAAAGTAAAACAAGAATGCAAAATGATTATACCTAAAATGGATGTAAATGATATTTAAGGCAATGAAAACCTCTAAGAATGGTCAGCATGTCTTTGCTCTTTCCTTCAGGCAGGCCAGCAGACCTACCACTGGGTGGACACCAGGCTGGCCATGGCTTTGTCTGGGGTCGGGAAGAGGCTGGCTTCTTTCTTCAAATTCACCCCGAGGTAGGAGATACTGGAAGTGTGCTTTACAGCTGCGTTAGCTCCTTAGTTCATCTAGTGACGGAAATAAATGCATCGTTTATCAGAGCAAGAGGCGGCTAAACTTTTCTATGTTCATACCTAAAGACATAGGGCCCTAATTTTGCTCAACGCAGGACAAACCATTGTATTAAAAAAAAAGGCTTTTTACATGGAGTGAAGCTAGAAGGAGCGTTTCTATTGGTCTGGTCAAGAACAAGCGTTGCTATTGGGCTTGATGTGAAGAGAATGTGTCGGTTAGATGTAATTTGTAAACAATGCTATTAGTAACATATAATCTGAAATACAGAAATAAAAAAGGAACATTTTGAAAACAAAAATTGGAAATAAATAAGAATATAAAATATGGAAGAAAAAAAAAGGAAAACAAAATAATATTAAATTCATAGGGAAATCATCTTTAAATGTCAAATAATTCCGGCTTGAACATGTATATAAATTAGCGTGACCATATTTTCATTTGGGAAAACCAGGACACCTTTGAGCGGGGCGGGGGGTTTGATTGAAAGAACAAATGTCTCATCATCGGGATTTGCTCCGCGATGAGAGGAAATGTTACTTGTTACTAGTTGTTTTAATGGTTATAGAGTCAGATATGTGGCTGTAATGTTTGGTTTATCTAAAGGTTTTATCTGTTACTGTGTAAATGGGTTTGGCTGGAATTTAAGGACAGATTCTAATAAATTTGCAGAGTGGGAACTATAAATCTGATAGGAGTTTAATTTTTTAATTGTTTTTTTGCACAATATGCTTAACTAAGTATTTTTTGTTGTTGAATATTAGAGATTTTGCAGATACATTTTGTAGATGTTTTAACAATATAAAACTGTAGAATAAATAACCAATATGCAGCTATGGACATTTTTACAGTAATGGATATTTTAAAATAGCAGCAGCATCAGAGATGTGCAGAATGAAAGCAGCAGGTTATTTAACTGACTAAGGTTTCTATCATTACATTTGATTTGATTTGTTCCTGCTCCCGGTGGTTGGAACCTTTATTCCACTCTGGATTCTTGTGAGTGTAGTCTTTGTTCACTTTAACTTAAAAAAAAATAAATAAATAAACAAACAGTTTTGAAAACTTCGGTATTCATTCTTTTCCTGCTTTGTGTGTCAACTTTCACGGTTGCTAAGCAACAGAGCATACGGCGGTAAAACCCGCTGAAGGGAGGACCTGTTCAAATTTACAGCCAAAACTCTTCCAGTCTCCTTATTTTCAAGGACTTCGAAGGATCCAGTCTAGGTAGACCGCGTCCTTGGAAGGATCCAGTCTAGGTAGACCGCGTCCTTGGAAGGATCCAGTCTAGGTAGACCGCGTCCTTGGAGGATGCAGCCCAGGTTTTCGAACAGAGCCTCTGATTAAGAGCAGGGCTGCCCGCACTGACGCGGCTCAGGGATTACGTCACACGCAGCGTCGTGCGTAGTGAAATAGGGACATTTCCTCACTTTCTAAAAAAAACCCCGGGACACCCGGGACAGGACGTGAAATACGGATATGTCCCGGGAAATACGGACGTTTGGTCACCCTATATAAATGGACTCTTTATCAGATGATATTGTCCCAAAAGTTAGAAAATTTCTATAAAAAAAAAAATCCTGTCTTAAAATCTGTGTTTTTTTCCGTTATCTTCTGCAGGCCAGTTAGTTCTACGTCAGCCTAAACACCTAAATTCGCCCAATCATATATCAACGGCCATCTGTCAATCAAATGTTTTCGGTCATAGCATAGTTGAAACCAGAATCCTTTCCTTTCCCATTGAGTTGCGTCCCAGTGTTCACGGGGATGGACGTCTGTGTCTTCGGCAGGCGTAGAGCTAACAGAACTGGCAGCGTTGTGAGGCAAGGGCTCAAACATGTACGGCTGGAAGCCTTCTACACCAAACCAAGCTTCTGCCGCCCTGGCGTCCTCTTCCACAACATCTTCGTCCCCGCTTTCCTCCTCTAAATAAAAAATGGATGACTGAGGAGACTCATCCACGACCTCCGACACTAAACTCTCCTCCTCTTGCATGTTTCCGCTGTCCATAGCGTTCCTTGACAGCGTCGTTTCTAAGTCACCAATTTAGTGCTACTTGGTCCCAATGGAATTTCCCATTGGGAACCTGCTAGCACTAAGATGCTAACTGGTTAGCAAGATGCTTCCAACAAACCGGCCACAACCAAACTTGCTTGTGAACCTTCCACCACAACAATCCCGCCCCCTTGATAAACGACCAATCACTGTATTCACTGGTGTAAAGTCGGGCACCACTCGGGAGAATTCAGAAATGCAACGATAGGAACAGCTGCTTCCCTACGACTTTAAATATTAAAATACATTGGCGGTCCCTCCATGTGGTGAAATGCAGAGAAATGGAACAAAGATGGAAAAGTTTAGGACTTCAGCCCATGAACAGTCTTGCTGAGAATGTGCCGCTGCTACGATGTTCTGATAAAGTAACCTGGTCTAATATCTGCTCTTTCTTTCAGAGAAGGTGTAGTCAGCGTGTCGCTGCCGCTGCTAAATCTAAACTTATCAAGGGTTGCTGAAGTTGGGCAGTTGAAAGTGGTGCTGGAGGAATGGCTCCTGAGGCCCCTGCTGGCCCTGTTCTCCATCAGACCTTCTGCTGAGCTTTATCGCTTGAAGAGGAAAATCATGGACGGCCCATTCATACGTAAGCTAGTTATGTGTCAACATGTTCATGTCAGGCACAGCTTTCAGTTAGGTTTGTAATCGTCCAGATGTGTTGTGTTCCTTTTAAAGGAAAAGTCTAAGATCTTTATTTATTCCTAAAACTAATACATTCGCTGTGATTTATTTAATTTAGCGTTTATCAGTAAAAACATAAAAACAATATTTTGCATCGCGATCAGTGAGTCTGAGATCGGCCACCGGGATTAAAGTATTCCAGCCCCAGGCCGGATTTCCGGCTCGTAGTGATCGCCTGTGGGTAAAAAAAATCCCTCGATAATAAATTGACCCTTAATAAATAAAAAAAGGACAATAGAAATCCGTCTTGCGTTTCTCAGCCAATGGTAGCAAAGGAGCGCTCTGAAACTAACAGTATTAGCCAATGTGACACCCACTAAATGTGTGTTCACATTTATATAGATTTATTATGTATGATTCCCTTTAGATGTGAGTTCTCATAGACCCTAATTTTAAGGTTGTCAGTTTTAAGGCGTTGTTACCTATTCCCACCAGCAGGGGGGGGCAGCCTCCCAAGGCGACGCGTTTTGTCTTGTGGCTTTCTGAACGGTTCTCAGTCTGCTGAGAGAAGAAGTCAACGTAGAGGATACTTTAACTGTTGCACTCCACCCCACGCCTGGGGGGGGGGTGTAACACCAATCATATGAAGAAGGGGGCGGGTCTTAGGAAAGCATGTACCTCCTCCTCTATTTTCTTGCTCCAGTCACCAGATAGATTATGGTTCAGTGCTGAAGTTCTACGTGGAGAATCACCTGGCGCCGTTTATGGTTCCATTCAACGGAGAGACGTGTTAAAAGTTAAAAAATAAATAAATGAAACTTTGTGTTTGGAGAGAAAAACGAAGGAGAGAACGGAATGGAGTGGGAAGCATTTAGTTAATGAACTCCATGAAGATCCCACCCCCATTGATAAAGGTCGGATAGATAAATGGCGCTGGGCGTGGCTGGAGCAGATGGGGCCAGACGGCGTTTAGCAGCTGGAGCAGGAAGTTAGGTCAACCAGGCGCTCGCTTCATGCTGCAAGCTTGTTATGAATTTGATCTACCTTTGTAACAGTTCATCTTGTGAGTGTCGGTTAATCTATAACCTGTTAAAGAAAACGCAGTGGTAGATATAGACGCACTTATTGGATTCTCAAAAGTCAAATTTAGTCTTCAATCATTCTTGCCTTTTTTTTTACTTTAAAGCTACAGTGTGTAATAATTACAGGCATATAAAGTCAGAAATTTAATATATTATACATAACTATGTTATTTATCATCACCTATGAGCTCAGCCTTTTAACCATAATATTTGCGCTGCCTTAGAATTCGTTATTTATAATTACATAGGAGCGGGTCTCGCAGCCATGGAGGCAGACATCTTTGCGCTACGGCAAGCGCAGAGGCAACAAACTAGCGATTGCGAGATCTCCCATTACGCTCGAAAATAACTACGGCAAGTTGAGAGAGATGAACTGAGACGGTACTGAACAGTAGATGGCAGTATTATGCCTGAGAAGCGTTTAGTCTGCCTGAAACCAAAGAAGAAGAAGAAGCAGGTATACTGCGCCTCAGTAACAAGAAAGGTGAACAAGGCGGCAGGCGTGAGTGACTTTGCAAACTGTTTGGCCAAACATCAGACGAATGGAGGATCATGCCTACTCTGTATCACAACGAAAAGCGGCGGACACCGAACCCCCGTCATCTAAGAAGCGGAAACACGACGAGAATAAACGCAAGCGTGACAAGAAACGACAAAAAACACGGATCAACATTGGCACGGCATTTCCACGATGGAAGTCACTGATGGAGGAAAAAGGTTTTCAAAGTGACGCTCAAGTTGCCAGTTTTCTCTTGGACAGGTAATTAATCCTACACACACAATTGTCTAATATCACTGCAGTTTTTGGAGTACAGGATGCTCAGACCTGTCTAAAACAATAACATGCTGCGTGATGATGCTGTTACTCTCCAGTATACTTATTCAGCAACGTCCCTGACGTTTCACAGGTAATGATTCAGTAATTTTCTGTAAAATAATTTTCTGGATATATACCTCGGTTACTTCTCTCCGGCTCCTTTGGAGATCTTCAAGCCTTTCCTCCTCTGCTCTCACCCCGCTGGCACCCCTCTCTCGCCTGGCCCTAGCTGCATGCCCACCCCGGCCTCTCTGCCCTCTTCCTCTCCCTCTTCCTTGCCTTGTAACCCCCGTGCCACAAACATGACTTGGACTCTGTAAACGGGGAATATATATTCTTCCAGCGAACACAATCTCGCCGTTAAACTAATGACTACAATTACTTCGTCTGTTTATATCACCATGCAAAGCAGCTCACCAAAACGTCACAACGACGTAGAAAAAATAACGGGTATATTTATTATCTTAAGTCTACATGAAATCTATACCCTACACAGACTAATGAAATACTATCTGTAAAATGATCTATGTAAACAAACCTCATCACTTGAGAAGGTAGGTGATTCCGACGTCGTGGAAGACATTTTGTCCCGTAACGCTCGCCGTACTGTTGGGGGGGAGAAGCGGTGGGGGGGAGACGTTCATGTTGCTGCGGTCTGCAGTCTGACCGCTAGATGTCGCTGAAAATTACACACTGTAGCTTTAATCCCTGCGGCCATTTTTGCCCAAATATAGTAGCCCCTCCCTCCTGCCATCTTCCAGCAGTGACGTCACGGTGCGGTAAGCCTAGCGCCATTCTCCCCGCTTTCCAAGCTAAATCAATGGGAACTACTAGACACATCTGCAATCAACAACAATTATTGAAGATTTCCAGAGGACTTCACCATTGAAATTCACCAGAGCTATAGTGAAACTGACAATGCCCACGTGCATGGCAGCTGGATGCTGGAATACATCGGGTAAAAGGGAAAAAAAGAGTTATTCCACCTTTCTGATTCCTGATCCTCCACGGACGGGTTGGTCGTTGGATCGCCAACTTGAAGAGGGAGGATTTGCCATCGAACTTCTGGCCAGAGAAAAAACCCGTAATATGTAGCCAACATTTGGAAGAAGAATGTTTTCAAGATGACTTGGATAATAGCGCGTTGTGACAAACACCAGATACAGCACTGGGACTTGATCAACAGCCGATACCGCACCGTGACGTCACTAACCAGTAGGTGGCAGTAGTGTTCTTTGACAAACATGGATGCCTCCAGTAAAACACATTCACATGAAAATTACTCTGAATTAAAAACACTGATCATTTATTGAACAGGATGGAATCATTTCAGATTTTAAGAAGTTTTAATTCAAACGTTTTACTACAAAACATAATAAACATTGCAAATTGTAAGTGCAAAGAGACCCTTTACAGTCATTTTGATACATGTATGTTGCTGTTTTTCGTCTTTATTCCTAAAGACGAAGCTCTGCTGGTAGCAGACCAGTTTGTGGTGACCTTTGACGGTCACCTGTATGAGCTTCCTGGTTCGTGTCCGCTGCTTCTCTCCCAGGACGTCAGCAGTGAGTCCTTTACTCTGCTGCTTGGTACTGACCCGCAGAGCTCCCTGCTGATCCTAATGAACAACAGCACCATCAGCATTCAGCGCACTGGGCAGGTATGGTCACCGGAGAAGTCAGTGAATGTTTTTCACTGCATTTCTACAGCTGGAAACGATCTGTTCATTTGCTGCAGACCGATAAATATCTGTGTCACAGGTGAAAGCTGGCTGCCAAAGCATCGCCACACATGGGCATTACTCTGATCATGGGCTGAGTGTGAGAAAAGGCTCAAACCAAGTACAGGTGTCCAATCAGCATGGACGATCAGTGTCATGTGATCTGCAGCTGGAGTTGTGCAGCTTCACCCTGGATGGATGGTTTCATGGTACGAAGAAACCTCTTTGACTTTTTATTTAATGAAGGTACAATCATTAGAAACACCAAAGGCTGACATGAAAACAAACGTAATTTCACTTCGAGATCAGGTCGGTTACTGACTGTATTTGGCTGCTAAACAGCAGAAGAAGGACAAGAATCCAGCGACTGAGTATTTTTAGATCAGTTTTTGGGGTAACAAGCCCCTCAGGCATTCTGATAAACCTCCATTCGGGTTTGAGTTTCTTTTTTCCAAAGTTTTTTTTTCTTCTAGTGTTGAATGTTGGGAAATTGGACGGATTTTTACTGTTTTTTTGGTGTTTTTTTTCCTTTTTGAATATCATTTTATAGAGACAATTCAACCAGATCATCCAGTCAGATTGATTCAAAGTTTTCTATTTAAGAAAAACCAGCTGATTGCATCGACTCATTGACTCTTCAGCAATCCCTCACACTAAGCATGCTTGTAGCGACAGTGGAGAGGAAAAACTCCCTTTGAACAGGAAGAAACCTCCAGCAGAACCAGGCTCAGTGTGAGCGGCCATCTGCTGAGGCCCACTGGGGTTCAAGGAGACAGAAGCAGACATAGAAAAAGAAGCATAGATACAAAAGGCAACTGTCAACCAGCTCCACAGGCGGCCCCGTCCAGGAAACACACAGCCAGGCAGACGAGCTCCGAGCCAGCTCCCATGTCAGAGGATGAAGAGAGCACATCCAGTTAGTCACAGTCAGAGAAACAGGACTACACTGGAAAACAGGCCAAGCTCCAACATCTAGAAACAAAGGTGTTGATGGCAGCAGCACAGCTGATATTTCTCTCCAGGATGGAGTCACAGCCAAACAGGAACAGACCAGATGAAGCTACTATGAGAAAAAGCAGAGAGAGCAGAACGTTAGAGATTGAACTAACAGATTCTGCAGAGTGGGAGAATAGAGATAGAATGAAGCAGAATGATGAAAAAGGGGTCCCTATGTCCTCCAGCAGTCTAAGCCTATAGCAGCATAACTATAGAGATAGCTCAGGATAACCTGAGCCACTCTAACTAGAAGCTTTATCAAAAAGGAAAGTTTTAAGCCTAGCCTTAAAAGTAGACAGGGTGTCTGCCTCACGGACTAAAACTGGTAGTTGGTTCCACAGGAGAGGAGCCTGAGAACTAAAAGATCTGCCTCCCATTCTACTTTTAGAAATTCTAGGAACCACTAGTAAACCTGCAGATTGAGAGCGAAGTGCTCTGTTAGGAACATAAGGAACAATCAGATCTCTGATATCAGATGGAGCTTGGCCATTTAAGGCTTTATATGTGAGAAGGAGGATTTTACAACCCTAAGAAGATTAATTGCTGTTTTTATGTATAACACTTGTTTCCTTCAATGATCAAACACGTTAAACTCCACAGGAGCTTCAACCGGACTCCTGGGAACTAACACTAATGATGCAGGCGATGATTTTCCTCTACCTGATGGATCTCAAGCTCAGACACTGGAGGATTTCTTCAATGGCTGGAAGGTAGGATCGGTAAAACATGTTTTCTTCTATAGATCCTGGTTTTTGTGGAGTTTCGTTTATCCGTTGGTCTGTCCTGTTTGTTTGTGTCTTCAGCTAAATTCAAGCTGCACTAAATACACAGAAACAAAAGAGCGAAGTTCCCAAGCCGCCACGAGGGCTGCCAGCTGTGAATCTCTGTTTTCTTCCCCTGATTCTCTCCTCAGTTCCTGTTTCAGGGTGGTAAGTAAAAAAGGAAAATTTATTTCTTATTCTTAAGTTGCTTTCTAGCTTGTTGTTTTCTGATTGGATATTTCAAGTTTAGAGAATTCAAGTAAAATTTATCAAAATTCGAGAAGAATTCAATGTTAAAGAAAGGTAGATAATTTGCAAAGCACAAAGTGAATAAATGTGTTCTTCTGTCAGGATGTGTGGAAGATGGCGGCTGGAGTCAAAAAGCAGAAACGGAGGCAGAGATTAGTTCTGTTAGATTTAATGATGAAGGCAGCGGTAGTTTAAATCCAAAGTAATCAGGTAATGAAGACGGGATCACAACCAGAGAGGAGGCTGACAGGAACTGATGAGTACGCGAAATAAAATGACGATCCTGCAAAGACAAACTGCAGAGGAAGGGATAAATATACGCTGTCTAGGACAAAGATTGGAGTATGGATCTGTGTGGGAACAGGTGTACAGAGAAAGAACAAGAAAACCAATGAGAAGGAAGGCGACACTAGGGGGCGATGAAGGGTAACTGGGAAATTTAACCTCAATTCAATTCAGTTTATTTCTATAGCGCCAATTCACAACATGTCATCTCAAGGCACTTTACAATTTAACAACATAGACGTATACCAAAAAAACAATCAAATGTATACACTAAAAAAACGATCTAGAAATAAGTAAAAATGTCTTAAATTAATTTTATTTTCCCCTAATTTAAGTTGGTAAATGAGAGTTTGCCAATGGAACGAGCATCTCTACTCTTAAAATAAGGTAATTAGATAATATACACTTGAAATAAAACAATTCAATTGTCTTTTTCTTATTTTAAGTGTAAATTATCTTGTTCCATTGGCAAAGTGTCTCAAAGTTCCTCAATCCAAGAAAAAAAAATCACTTATTTTAAGAAAAAATGACTTATTTAGATTTTGATTTTTTCCAGTGTACTAAAGTATCACACCAGTATATTTACATGAACGCCAACAACAGAAAACAGCATCATAAAATGTTTTGCAAAGTGCTTTAAATCAGTCCTAGCTGTCTGTATCTATGCTGCCTCAGATCCTGACGTTTGAAAAAGGAGGCAGAGAAAGCAGGATAAAGCCTTAGCCTCGCTGCATGCAGTTAGCCTCGCTGCATGCAGTTAGCCTCGCTGCATGCAGTTAGCCTCGCCGCGTGCAGTTAGCCTCGCTGCATGCAGTTAGCCTCGCCGCGTGCAGTTAGCCTCGCTGCATACAGTTAGCCTCACTGCATGCAGTTAGCCTCGCCACATGCAGTTAGCCTCGCTGCATGCAGTTAGCCTCGCCGCGTGCAGTTAGCCTCGCTGCACGCAGTTACCCTCACTGCATGCAGTTAGCCTCGCCGCATGCAGTTAGCCTCGCTGCATGCAGTTAGCCTCGCCGCATGCAGTTAGCCTCGCCGCATGCAGTTAGCCTCGCTGCATGCAGTTAGCCTCGCTGCATACAGTTAGCCTCACTGCACGCAGTTAGCCTCGCCGCATGCAAGTAGCCTCGCCGCATGCAGTTAGCCTCGCTGCATGCAGTTAGCATCGCTGCACGCAGTTAGCCTCGCTGCATGCAGTTAGCCTAGCCTTGGAGCTAAATAATTCTATAAACCTGTCAATCAGGTTGTGACGTCAGCGCTGTGGAGGGAGGTGGGGAGCAAATAAAGCTATCAGCTATTGAAGCGTGGTCTGCGCTGTTATTCAACGTCACTAGCTAGGATTGTGGGTGTCCATGTGTCGGTTTGACAAGCTTATTCGCCGTCTACAACGCCTCATCCAACGTTGGACGGCACACAGTTCACCCGTCAGTAGTGTTGCACGGATACCAATATCCAGTATCGGGCGGGGCTCCGATCCAGCACTAAAATGGTGATATCAATATCTGCGAGTACCAACCAATAGGACATCGATACCATTTTGAGAGCCAAAAGTTTCTTCAATTATTGTCACCCATTCCAGGTCGGCAATAAAAAGTTCTACTGGATTCACTTTGTTTTAGTCTGTTTCCTGCTTCACAAATGTAGGCAGCAGCTTGAAGCCATGATGGAAATTATTTTACATCCAAGCAGGATGCAGTTCTTCATATAATCACACACATCAATTTCAAACAGATGGTATCGGGTATCGGGGCCAAAAGATGGCATCGGCGCAACACTACCTACTGGCCGTGGCGCTGCGTGTTTTGGCTTCAGGTGCGAACCAACAGAGCGTCGCTCAGAGCTACAAACTAGCGTCCAGAACGATGTCTGGGTTAGAGTCCGAGGTGAGCCAGGCCGGACGGCGCTACAGCCAGAGTCTCTGCCATTAGGGACCAAACAGGAAATACACATAATGTAGAGCGGAGAAGAACTGACCAATCAGAGGCCTCCTGTCTGCGATCACCTATAATGTTGGGGAGATGCACTAGAGCGTCTGCGTGAAGAGGCGGGGGGGCATTAAGGTGATAGGAAGCTAAAAAGCAGCTGAATCAGAGAAGATGTCTGATTTAACGTCTCGGTTTGTCTTCCTTCAGGTGGATCCTGATCAGTTCCTGTCTGTGTGTAAGCGGAGCTCCTCCAAAGCCCCCTGCAGGTTAGCGGCGGCGTTCGTTCATCTCTGCCAGGAAAACTACATTCCTCTGGAGATCCCAGGCCTGTGCGGTACGTACGCTAACTGATGGTAGATTTATACACGCGTCCGGAAATGAATCAGACTTTTTCTCTTTTGTTTCAGTGGAGACCTGAAGAACCCGACTGAAGGAGGATAATCTGCTACCTTCTGTACAGGAAAAATACATTTTATTTTATATTCAATTCAAAGTATTTTAATGTGCTGGTATATTTTATATGATGATCTTAACCAATATTGGAGAATAAAAGCATTTTGTCTTTTTTGAGTCTGCGTAATTTAACCCTTTATTGGACACTCAGTGAAATACAACATAACCTTAGAGGCATTAATGCTGATACTGCCACTGACATGTTTTAGTTTATAAACATAAATGTAATTATTAAGTAGGCTTATTAACTGTTTAACTTTACTTTTTTACTTTTTAATTAACTTTTCACCTTTTTTTCTTCACTTTTGAACCTTTTTTCCAACTTAATTTCCAGTAGGTAGTCTATCATTCAAGGTTCATCTAATTGGTCGAATGCCAAAATCTGATGTGCAGCCATGAAGCAGGATCTGCTGAATGGCTGGATGTAGATCTTGTGCTTGTAGATCTCGCTGAAGGACGGGGGGACTTTATTTGGAAGGCAATAAAGACATAAAGGGTTAATTGCTCCCATTTCCTTGTGTTGAAGGAAGTGTTGCTTATTGCTTTAGAGAGCAGCTCTACAGTGATGATGTAATTTTTATGCAATAGTTGTGGTGCACAGCGCCTAACCTAACCCTACTGAGTTGGTAAATGTGTCAAATGCTAAAAAAACAAAACAAATAAAGACAAAGATGAAAGAGGTAAAACGGATTGACAGCTATGCCGTTTCTAAAGGCTAAAACAAAATTAATTTTTTGTCCGATCACACAGAAATTGCTTCTTAAAGGTGGCAGTGTTTTGCGCTAATTGAAAGTCAATGCGGAGGATTTCCTGCAGGGGGCAGCGTAGCTCAGACTAAGATAGAGCCCAGGTCTATTTTAGTCGGACTACGCAGCAATTCAGCAGCAATTTCATGGGTCTGACAGGAAGAGAGACGCAGTTACAAAGTAAAACACATCCGCTTTGGAGGAAAATATTAAATTAAATCTGTTAATCTCACAGAGAAAGAGTCAGTCTGGAGTCACGCATCGAGTTTATAGTGAGCAGGACAGACGAGCAAAAAATTAAAATAGAAACTTTCCCCATGATGGGAGATCAGGACAGAAACGGATAAAGCAGTGATCCTCCAGAATCAGGAGGAGCAGATGGAGCAGCGTATCTCTCTCACCTCTTTATGGAAAAAAGAAAGAAAAACTGCGATAAACTTCCCAGATCTCTCTGAGAATCACCTCTCTGTCACCATGGAAACGGTCCCACAGAGTTTTTTTGCTGCGTTTCTGTTCTTTAGACGTAGATCTCATCATGTTTTTGATAGATGAACATTCTCTATCTGTTCTGGTTCTAGATGCTGCACAGACTCATTAAGTAGAGCTTTGCTTTATAGAATGAAGCTCTGTTTTTTATTTTTCATAACTTTTCATAATCTGTCCAAGTCAAGTGGGGTAAATTGTTTTAATGTGTTTATAGCACAGAGGCAGGTAAAAAGAATCTGCTCAGATCTGCTCATCCTGCCTAGTCGGAGCCTCTCTACACGCAGACAGTGGGACATGGAAAAAAAATCGGACATTACAAAGTCGGACGCAGACGGTGTGTTCAGGCCTTAAGACTAAATCCGGAATAAGAACTAAAACCAACACATAAAGAACAAGTAAACTATGTCCATCCATATGTGTCACCTGCTGGGGTGGCGAGGGGCGCTGCTGTCCATCTCCAGCTGTCTATGGGTGACAGGCGAAGTCCAACCTGGACAGGTCTCCAGTCCATCGCAGGACAACACAGAGACAAACAGGACAAACAACCAGTGGGAGGAAGCCAGAGGAGACCAGTGTAGTTTCTGACAGCCATCTTAGATTTAATCTATGAAAACTATTATTAGTTTCAGTTGCGTTTTAGTCATTATGATATGTAATGGTTTAGGTCGGCTTTAGTGGAAAAAACTATAAAAAATATTTTAGTCAGTTTTATGTTGCACAAAAGTTTACCTTTACAATTTCAAATGCCAGCCAGATTCTTTCCCAGACTGACAGATCTATCCTAGATGCTACCATAGCTGGGTATAGAATGCTGCCGTGCAGATCATCATTGCTGTTGGACAGAAAGCTTTTATTTATAGAATTCAAATTAACTTTTTTATGAATTAATGCCCTACATTATCAAAAAAGAGTCTCATTTTATAACTATTTTATTAACTTTCTCCAAGATTATACCATTTCACCTCTGAGTCCAGACAACCTGTGATCCTTTACAAGGATCGCATCCAGTTTATGGTTCTGCTCCCTTAAAGTCGTAGAGAAGCGGCCGTTCCAACCGTTGCATTTCCGAATTCTCCCGAGTGGTGCCCGACTTTACATGGTGAAAGTGAATGTGATTGGTCGATTATCAAGGGGGCGGGATTGTTGTGGCGGAAGGTTCGCAAGCAAGTTTGGTTGTAGCCGGTTTGTGGAAGCATCTTGCTAACCAGTTAGCATCTTAGCGCTAGCAGGTTCCCAATGGGAAATTCCATTGGGACCAAGTAGCACTAAATTGGTGACTTAGAAACGACGCTGTCAAGGAACGCTATGGACAGAGGAAACATGCAAGAGGAGGAGAGTTTAGTGTCGGAGGTCGTGGATGAGTCTCCTCCGTCATCCATTTTTTATTTAGAGGAGGAAAGCGGGGACGAAGATGTTGTTGAAGAGGACGCCAGGGCGGCAGAAGCTTGGTTTGGTGTAGAAGGCTTCCAGCCGTACATGTTTGAGCCCTCGCCTCGCAACGCTGCCAGTTCTGTTAGCTCTACGCCTGCTGAAGACACAGACGTCCATCCCCGTGAACACTGGGACGCAACTCAATGGGAAAGGAAAGGATTCTGGTTTCAACCGTTGCGTATATTAGCTGTGACACATGAATCAAGATGCTATGACCGAAAACATTTGATTGACAGATGACCGTCGATATATGATTGGCCGAATTTAGGTGTTCAGGCTGACGTAGAACTAACTGGCCTGCAGAAGATAACGGAAAAAACACAGATTCTTTTAAAAAGAAGTTTTCTAAATTTGGGGACAATCTGGTCTGATTAAGGGAACATTTATATCCATGTTAAAGCCATGTTAAAGCCAGAATGATTTAACATTTAAATATGATCTTTGAGTGTTGACAGCTCTTCAGATCTCCTCATAACAGCCCATGACATTTTCCATATTCCATGATGTCCGGGGTGGGGGCTCTGCATGGTGCGTACCGGCTGGCCAGCCAGGGTTTGCTCCTTTTTTTCTTTTCTTTTTTTAATGTCTCGTACCATGTCCGTTGGTTGTGCTGTTCTTTTTCCATCTCTTTGCAGGTGTTGAAGCAGACTGAAAAGGTTTTATAATTATATGTTTTTCCTTTCCTGTTCCTGTTTATGGATAGTATATAGAGCGCACCTTACCCTAATGCCACTGTGGGTCTGCTGATGGGTACATTCTGACACCAAAATCTGTGAGTGTCTGTTAGACGATATTCTATTCAATTTATTTCTATATCTCCAATTCCCATCATGTCATCTCAGGTCACTTTCCAGTTCACCAGATCATCCAGTCAGATTGATTCAAAGTTTTCTAAGGAAAACCAGCTGATTGCATCGACTCATTGACTCTTCAGCAATCCCTCACAGATTTTATGTTTATGCATTTCAGAAGTTTAATTTCTGAATAGATTTTTTTTATTTAAAGTTATAAAATGAATGTTTTCAAATTTTCATTTTTTCAAAACTTGCTTTTAACAACAAAATATTGAGAAAAAAAAGTATTCCATAAGCTTTAAAATGGTAAAATAAAACACTCTGATAGGTTGTTGCTGAAAAAAGTCTAAACTTTCTTAGACTTTAGTTTCAAATGTTTTTTTGTTGTTTTATCCTCACAGAAGATAAACACAGAACATCCAAAAGAAGAAAATAAGAAGTTAGAAGTTACTCCTTCTCAGATGTTGAGCGTTTTTTTTCTCTCGGTTTGATAGAAACTCTTTCCATCGGTGCCGTTCTGCTGCTCTGTTCTCGGTCTGCTCTGTTCCACACAGACCTCTGGATTCCAGGTCCTGGAAAACAGCTGGATGGACGGACGAGTCTGTCCACATCTCACTGCGTTTTAGTGCCTGGAAGCGTTTCGGCCTCAGCATCAAACTCAGTCAGGCAGCAGTAGAGCAACATCTGGGTGTATTTGGTAATAAGATCTGAAAAGGCAGAGAATAAAAGACGCGAGAAATATCTTTGGTCTAAAATAGTCTGAATATGTTCAGAGTTTAGTTAATCGCAATAAACATAAAAACAGTCAAAACTACTATATAGACGGACATAATTTACCTCCAAAATACTTAAAAATCAATCCTCTGGACTTTGTTTCCAAGTTTGAAGACGTTTCTCTTCCATCCAGGAAGATTTTTCAATTCAAAATGTCAGAAATAGCGTTTAGTTCCAGGTTATTTCTGACACTTTGAATTGAAAAAGCTTCCTGGATGGAAGAGGGACAAAACCTAGAACAAATAATGGATGTCTTTTTGGAATCAGAAGAAGCTTTTTGGAACCAGAAGAAGCTTTTTGGAACCAGAAGAAGCTTTTTGGAACCAGAAGAAGCTTTTTGGAATCAGAAGAAGCTTTTTGGAACCAGAAGAAGCTTTTTGGAATCAAAAGAAGCTTTTTGGAACCAGAAGAAGCTTTTTGGAACCAAAAGAAGCTTTTTGGAACCAGAAGAAGCTTTTTGGAATCAGAAGAAGCTTTTTGGAACCAGAAGAAGCTTTTTGGAACCAAAAGAAGCTTTTTGGAACCAGAAGAAGCTTTTTGGAATCAGAAGAAGCTTTTTGGAACCAGAAGAAGCTTTTTGGAACCAGAAGAAGCTTTTTGGAATCAGAAGAAGCTTTTTGGAACCAGAAGAAGCTTTTTGGAACCAAAAGAAGCTTTTTGGAACCAGAAGAAGCTTTTTGGAATCAGAAGAAGCTTTTTGGAACCAGAAGAAGCTTTTTGGAATCAGAAGAAGCTTTTTGGAACCAGAAGAAGCTTTTTGGAACCAGAAGACGCTTTTTGGAACCAAAAGAAGCTTTTTGGAACCAGAAGAAGCTTTTTGGAATCAGAAGAAGCTTTTTGGAACCAGAAGAAGCTTTTTGGAACCAGAAGAAGCTTTTTGGAATCAGAAGAAGCTTTTTGGAACCAGAAGAAGCTTTTTGGAATCAGAAGAAGCTTTTTGGAATCAGAAGAAGCTTTTTGGAACCAGAAGAAGCTTTTTGGAACCAGAAGAAGCTTTTTGGAACCAGAAGAAGCTTTTTGGAACCAGAATAAGCTTTTTGGAATCAGAAGAAGCTTTTTGGAATCAGAAGAAGCTTTTTGGAACCAGAAGAAGCTTTTTGGAATCAGAAGAAGCTTTTTGGAACCAGAAGAAGCTTTTTGGAACCAGAATAAGCTTTTTGGAATCAGAAGAAGCTTTTTGGAACCAGAAGAAGCTTTTTGGAATCAGAAGAAGCTTTTTGGAATCAGAAGAAGCTTTTTGGAACCAGAAGAAGCTTTTTGGAATCAGAAGAAGCTTTTTGGAACCAGAAGAAGCTTTTTGGAACCAGAAGAAGCTTTTTGGAACCAGAAGAAGCTTTTTGGAATCAGAAGAAGCTTTTTGGAACCAGAAGAAGCTTTTTGGAACCAAAAGAAGCTTTTTGGAACCAAAAGAAGCTTTTTGGAACCAAAAGAAGCTTTTTGGAACCAGAAGAAGCTTTTTGGAACCAGAATAAGCTTTTTGGAATCAGAAGAAGCTTTTTGGAACCAGAATAAGCTTTTTGGAACCAGAATAAGCTTTTTGGAATCAGAAGAAGCTTTTTGGAACCAGAAGAAGCTTTTTGGAATCAGAAGAAGCTTTTTGGAACCAGAAGAAGCTTTTTGGAATCAGAAGAAGCTTTTTGGAACCAGAAGAAGCTTTTTGGAACCAGAAGAAGCTTTTTGGAATCAGAAGAAGCTTTTTGGGACCAGAATAAGCTTTTTGGAATCAGAAGAAGCTTTTTGGAATCAGAAGAAGCTTTTTGGAACCAGAAGAAGCTTTTTGGAACCAGAATAAGCTTTTTGGGACCAGAATAAGCTTTTTGGAATCAGAAGAAGCTTTTTGGAACCAGAATAAGCTTTTTGGAATCAGAAGAAGCTTTTTGGAATCAGAAGAAGCTTTTTGGAATCAGAAGAAGCTTTTTGGAATCAGAAGAAGCTTTTTGGAACCAGAAGAAGCTTTTTGGAACCAGAAGAAGCTTTTTGGAACCAGAATAAGCTTTTTGGAATCAGAAGAAGCTTTTTGGAACCAGAAGAAGCTTTTTGGAATCAGAAGAAGCTTTTTGGAACCAGAAGAAGCTTTTTGGAATCAGAAGAAGCTTTTTGGAACCAGAAGAAGCTTTTTGGAACCAGAAGAAGCTTTTTGGAATCAGAAGAAGCTTTTTGGGACCAGAAGAAGCTTTTTGGAATCAGAAGAAGCTTTTTGGAATCAGAAGAAGCTTTTTGGAACCAGAAGAAGCTTTTTGGAACCAGAAGAAGCTTTTTGGAACCAAAATAAGCTTTTTGGAACCAGAATAAGCTTTTTGGAACCAAAATAAGCTTTTTGGAACCAAAATAAGCTTTTTGGAACCAAAATAAGCTTTTTGGAACCAGAAGAAGCTTTTTGGAACCAAAATAAGCTTTTTGGAACCAAAATAAGCTTTTTGGAACCAGAAGAAGCTTTTTGGAATCAGAAGAAGCTTTTTGGAACCAGAAGAAGCTTTTTGGAATCAGAAGAAGCTTTTTGGAACCAGAAGAAGCTTTTTGGAACCAGAAGAAGCTTTTTGGAACCAAAAGAAGCTTTTTGGAACCAGAAGAAGCTTTTTGGAACCAGAAGAAGCTTTTTGGAACCAAAAGAAGCTTTTTGGAACCAGAAGAAGCTTTTTGGAATCAGAAGAAGCTTTTTGGAATCAGAAGAAGCTTTTTGGAACCAGAAGAAGCTTTTTGGAATCAGAAGAAGCTTTTTGGAACCAGAAGAAGCTTTTTGGAACCAGAAGAAGCTTTTTGGAACCAAAAGAAGCTTTTTGGAACCAGAAGAAGCTTTTTGGAACCAGAATAAGCTTTTTGGAATCAGAAGAAGCTTTTTGGAATCAGAAGAAGCTTTTTGGGACCAGAAGAAGCTTTTTGGAATCAGAATAAGCTTTTTGGAATCAGAAGAAGCTTTTTGGAACCAGAAGAAGCTTTTTGGAACCAAAAGAAGCTTTTTGGAACCAGAAGAAGCTTTTTGGAATCAGAAGAAGCTTTTTGGGACCAGAAGAAGCTTTTTGGGACCAGAAGAAGCTTTTTGGAACCAGAAGAAGCTTTTTGGAACCAAAAGAAGCTTTTTGGAACCAGAAGAAGCTTTTTGGAACCAGAATAAGCTTTTTGGAATCAGAAGAAGCTTTTTGGAACCAGAAGAAGCTTTTTGGAATCAGAAGAAGCTTTTTGGGACCAGAAGAAGCTTTTTGGAATCAGAAGAAGCTTTTTGGAACCAGAAGAAGCTTTTTGGAATCAGAAGAAGCTTTTTGGAACCAGAAGAAGCTTTTTGGAATCAGAAGAAGCTTTTTGGAACCAAAAGAAGCTTTTTGGAACCAGAAGAAGCTTTTTGGAACCAGAAGAAGCTTTTTGGAACCAGAAGAAGCTTTTTGGAACCAGAATAAGCTTTTTGGAACCAGAATAAGCTTTTTGGAATCAGAAGAAGCTTTTTGGAACCAGAAGAAGCTTTTTGGAACCAGAAGAAGCTTTTTGGAACCAGAAGAAGCTTTTTGGAATCAGAAGAAGCTTTTTGGAACCAGAAGAAGCTTTTTGGAACCAGAAGAAGCTTTTTGGAACCAGAAGAAGCTTTTTGGAACCAGAAGAAGCTTTTTGGAATCAGAAGAAGCTTTTTGGAACCAGAAGAAGCTTTCTGGAACCAGAAGAAGCTTTTTGGAACCAGAAGAAGCTTTTTGGAACCAGAAGAAGCTTTTTGGAATCAGAAGAAGCTTTTTGGAACCAGAAGAAGCTTTTTGGAATCAGAAGAAGCTTTTTGGAACCAGAAGAAGCTTTCTGGAATCAGAAGAAGCTTTTTGGAACCAGAAGAAGCTTTTTGGAACCAGAAGAAGCTTTTTGGAATCAGAAGAAGCTTTTTGGAACCAGAAGAAGCTTTCTGGAACCAGAAGAAGCTTTTTGGAACCAGAATAAGCTTTTTGGAATCAGAAGATGGGATCCAAAGTGTTTTTAATAGCTAATGGACACGAATGGAGCCGTTTTGCTCAACACATAAATCTATTTCCTTACTGCCGTGGCAGAATATTAAGAACAAAAAGCGCAGTATAAAACATTCAAGCAAGCAGCTTTGCTAAAACTAATGGTGAAATAGAATCAGGAGGTTTACCGTTGAGTTTGCGTATGAATCGGGGCTTCCTGTCCTCCGGTAGATAAATGGTGACATAATAAACTGGCACTCCAGACAGAGCGATGCTGATCCCTATGAGAGAGTTGATGGTGTCTCCATACAGAGGGACGATGACCAGGAAGAGGCTGCACATGCAGTAGACGATGGGGAAGAACAAGCTGAGCTGCAGAGACAAAGAAGAGGGTTTAAAGCTGTGAGAAAAGAAACCAAACCTTCAGATTGAACCAAGGTCAGGTTATCTGAGCTTCACAAATATAATTTGGTATATAATCTAAGTTCAGGTATAAAAACTAGGTAGAATGGTAATGCTGTGGGTGGAAAACTAACACCAGAACACCTTCTCAGTAGTCATTTTCTATCTGTTTCATATTTCTGAGGAGAAGGTTTGATTCTTTGGACTTTGAATCCTTTCAACACCCTGATTATCCTGCTGAAGATTCTCAGTCATCCACTGGACTTTTTTTCCAAGTTTGAAGACGTTTCTCTTCCATCCAGGAAGATTTTTCAGGAAAGTTTGAATCAATCTGACTGGATGATCTGGTGAACTGGAAAGTGACCTGAGATGACATGATGTGAATTGGAGCTATAGAAATAAACTGAATAGAATTGAATAGAACTGCTTGTTCTTCCAAATAAGGTTAAATAAATTCCTGCATCCGGGTTATAAAATGGATCATTACCTAAATGTAATGGATTATTGGATTGAGCTGCACCTTTGCTAAAAACATGTCCAGTTATCCTGAACACAGACGGACAGACAGACAAACGCTGGAGGTAAATATTACTCCCTGCTTCTGAATCTGAAGCAGGTAAAGCAGACTCTACCTTGACTGGTCTGTGCCTGTCCGGCTGGTTGATGCGCAGGTAGATGAGGCCAGCAACAGAGAGACCAACATAGAGCCAGTAACTGAAGCTGAAGTAGTTAATGAGTTGGAACACGTCCTCCACACACAGGAAGATCAAACCCATGAGTCCCTGAAGCCAAAACGGAAAAAGTTGAAAATGTGTTGTTTTATTTCCAGTTATCGACACGTTTTCATCGTGTTTTAAACTCACATTGAAGAGCAGAGCAGGTACTGGTGTGTACCGGTTCAGGTGGATCAGGCTCAGACTGTCGGGGAGGTGGCCCTCCCTAGCTCCAACAAAGAACAGCCTTCCTTCCACAAAGACAAACATCAGTATAATACACTGCTGGTTCCTTTAACCGCATCAACAGCATGTGAGCAGCTTCTCCATGCTTACTGAGTACCGTGAAGCAGCAATGACAGAAGCGTTGAGTCCTCCATAGCAGGACATGGCCACGGACACGGGGACAATCCAGTGAAACGGACCAAGTACTGCATTTCCAAAAGTCTGTGAGGTTAAAAAGAAAGGATTAGTCATAGACAGTTGGTTAAACTGAGTATCAACACCAACAAATTCTCTGATTTGTAATCGGAAGTCTAAGTTTTCATGCTCTCAATGGAAAAAAACAACATCCTAAAATGTTCTGCAAAGTGCTTTAAATCAGTCCTATCTGTCTTTATCCATGCAGGTCAGATCCTGGCGTTTGAAAAAGGAGGCAGAGAAAGCAGGATAAAGCTTTAGCCTCGCTGCATGCAGTTAGCCTAGCCTTGTTGCTAAATAATTCTATAAACCTGTCAATCAGCTGAACTTTCTAATGGACGACTGTGATGTCAGCGCTGTTGTCATGATCGAAGCCCCGGTAGCCTATCTGATTACTCACTTTATTCACCTGCAGTTTCCTCCCCGCTCTCTAATTCATCTCATTCATCTGCTCCCTATATACGGTTCAGCCCAGCTATCAGGGCCAGATCATTATTCTGTTTATTCGTTTCTTCTTAGTCTATGCATGTTATTTGTTTATGTTTCAAGTTTTCGTTAAGTTCCTGGTTCACTTCCTGACTCTTGGAGGCCAGTGGATAGAGAGGGTTTGGTGTTTGTCTTCTGCCTTCTGATCCTGTTCCGGCTCACGGCCCTCAAGTTTTTGGCTCCCAACGTGGGGGAGGTCCAGTTTTAAAGTCGTAGGGAAGCGGCTGTTCCAACCGTTGCTTTTCCTAATTCTCCCGAGTGGTGCCCGACTTTACATGAGTGAATAAATTAAATGTGATCGGTCGATTATCAAGGGGGCGGGATTGTTGTGGCGGAAGGTTCGCAAGCAAGTTTGGTTGTGGCTGGTTTGTCGGAAGCATCTTGCTAACCAGTTAGCAACTTAGTGCTAGCAGGTTCCCAATGGGAAATTCCATTGGGACCAAGTAGCACTAAATTGGTGACTTAGAAACGACGCTGTCAAGGAACGCTATGGACAGCGGAAACATGCAAGAGGAGGAGAGTTTAGTGTCGGAGGTCGTGGATGAGTCTCCTCCGTCATCCATTTTTTATTTAGAGGAGGAAAGCGGGGACGAAGATGTTGTGGAAGAGGACGCCAGGGCGGCAGAAGCTTGGTTTGGTGTAGAAGGCTTCCAGCCGTACATGTTTGAGCCCTTGCCTCGCAACGCTGCCAGTTCTGTTAGCTCTACGCCTGCCGAAGACACAGACGTCCATCCCCGTGAACACTGGGACGCAACTCAATGGGAAAGGATTCTGGTTTTAACAGTTGCGTATATTAGCTGCGACACATGAATCAAGATGCTATGACCGAAAATAAAAACGATTTTAAGATAGGATTTTTTTTTTTTTATAGAAATTTTCTAACTTTTGGGACAATCTGGTCTGATAAAGAGTACATTGATATACATATTTAAGCCAGAATGATTTGACATTTAAATTTAATTTGCCTACGACTTTAAAAAATGCCTTGAATGAGTATTTGTGCCTTCTTTCCAGAATGCAGACATCATGAAACAGGGATCCTCAATATAACGATAAAGACTCTTTATTGAACCAGACTGAGCTTCTAATGTAGAAACCTGTAAAGTCATCATACATAAATTGGCCTCCTTTCATGATCAGGTTTGACTCGGTTCTCTCTGTGCTGCTGTTAATGTTCATAACCCTGATGCGTGATTTTTAGCACCCTCTGTAAAAACTCAACTACTGATAACTTTAGGGTTATATACCGCAGCTCCTAAGTTAAAAGCCACATAAAACAATACCTAAAACAGAAATAGTCTCAACAACGTCACAGCAGAACTCTCAGCCTTGGCTCCCGTATAGAAATGTCCTGGCTGCCTCGCTGCATTCACCCCCAACTAGAGCAGCTTTATATTTAGCATCAGTGGGAATTATCTCTCGGGTGTCTGTTTGCTTCTTACCACAGCAACAGCATCGCTGGCCAACAGGGACGGCATGTCAAGAACTACGTAGTATGCAGCGTTGGTCAGCAGATAAATGATGGTCACGATGGGCATAGAGATGGCAATGGCCAGGGGGAGATTCCTGCACACAGAGGGGGGGCGACTGTTAGAAAAACAGTTGAGAAAACAACACAACATGGATTTGGATTTTCTAGGTTTGTTTTTTCTAGAGTAGCAGCCATTCAAAATGTCCCCACTTTCCTTAATGGGTCCCTATTTTAACATGATTCCCCTTTTAAACATCAATCTTTGTGCTAAAATATTCTTCCTGTCATGATTTGTGGACATTAAAGGAATAGTACACCCAAAACACGATCAGCCTTCATTTTCTACTCACCCCCATGCTGAACAACACTCTGGAGTACTTTTTTGATATCTCAAATGCATCTGGAGATCTGGGAGGCTTCTTGCTGTCTGCTGACATTCAAATAATGGAGGTCTATGGCGCCCGAGGCAGAAAGGTCCATAAAAGTCCACAAAAAACGTGTCAATATTCCTCCATACTGCTCGTCCAATGTATTCCAAGTGTCCTGAGTGGGTAGCATCCAGAATTTACTCGAAACAAAGTCATTTAGAATGTTTTTAGAGCATAAACAGTAGTGTATAGGATTTCCTGAAAGCGCGTTCACGACGCTACGGAAACCGCAGCAGACCAAACCAGATGAAAGTGCGCATTCAGCGTCTGCTCTGCCGATAATGCAAGCGTAGAAGAAGAAATGTGCTGTTTACCTGTGCAAAGAAAGAAACAACGAAAGAAAAATGTCTGAGGACTTCAGTGTTGAGGAAGAGCATGAGTTCTTTGCAGAGCTGAATGCGCACTTTCATCTGGTTTGGTCTGCCGCGGTTTCCGTAGACTCGTGAACTCGCTTTCAGGAAATCCTATACACTACTGTTTATGCTCTAAAAACATTCTAAATGACTTCATTTCGAGTAAATTCTGGACGCTACCCACTCAGGACACTTGGAATACATTGGAGGAGCAGTATGGAGGAATATTGACACGTTTTTTGTGGACTTTTATGGACCTTTCTGCCTCGGGCGCCATAGACCTCCATTATTTGAATGTCAGCAGACAGCAAGAAGCCTCCCAGATCTCCAGATGCATTTGAGATATCAAAAAAGTACTCCAGAGTGTTGTTCAGCATGGGGGTGAGTAGAAAATGAAGGCTAATCATGTTTTGGGTGTACTATTCCTTTAAGATCTAAAGAGAAGCGCCATCTCCTGGTCAGACCCTGTAATTCAGTGAAAGGGTGGAGACAGAGTAAAGAAACATGCAAGAGGGGGGTCACTGCAGTGGCTGGAAGTTGGAGGGGATTCTGGGTTTGACTGGGAACGGCCATTTTGAATGGGTTCTGCTGTATTTAGCAATAATGTACTTCTATGCTTATTCTGATGTAATAAGAGCAACGTGTGTAAAGATAGACCAGGTTCTGTGAAGGTTTCATCAGTAATGAGCCACCTGATGAAGAACTAATGACTGTGTTCACACCAGGCGCGCTCTGGGTGTCAAAGCTTCGTTGGGTAAAAAAAAAAACGGTGTTCCCCTTTAAGAAAAACAACCTTAAACAGAGGTGGTGGACTCAGATTTCCGCTTACAAAAACCTTCTTTCTTTCCAAGTTTGAAGACGTTTCTCTTCCATCCAGGAAGATTTTTCATGTCAGAAATAGTGTTGAGTTTGAGTCTCTTATACAGTCGCCCAACAAAGCTTTTAGAAAACATGCAAATTGATACAGAAAAACAGGTCCCCCCCCTTTAGAACGGGGGTCGTTTGGGGTCTGTAAAGGGGTGGAGGTTGCGATCATCGCAGCCCCACCCCCTTTACAGGGGAACAAAAGACCTCTCCTGTTCAGCCAGGCCAACAATTCCCTTTAACGACCCCCCTTTCAGAGACATAGACAGGTATGGGGCATTGCAGGCTATCAAAGAAGCCAAACGACCCCCATTCCAAAGGGGGGGACCCGTTCATCCGTTTCTATTTGCATGTTTTTTTTAAACTAAAACCAGGCTTTGTTGGGCTGCTGGATAAAACCTGGAACTAAACGCTATTTCTGACATTTTGGATTGAAAAATCTTCCTGGATGGAAGAGAAACGTCTTCAAGCCTGGAAACAAAGAACAGTGGATTTTTTTTTTATTTCCTTTTTTTTAATAACTATGACCTGATGAGTGAGAATCTTCTCCAGCGTTCTGCTGCTCCTGTGTTCAATGGCAGCCTGTTAAATCCGTTACCTGGAGGATTTGCACAGCTCCAATAATTAAATATGTTTCAGCAAATATTTTCTAATCACTTCAAACTTTTTTAACAGAGACTTATCAGTATAATGATAAAAAAAACAGAGAAAAAATGAGGAAAATAAAGATAAACACCTCATTTAATCCTGTTCACGTTGAATTTCAGAATCAGAAATACTTTCATAATCCCAGAGGGAAATTGCTTTTATTACACACTCCAGTTACAGTTTTATATAATATATACACACATCCAACTATACAATATAATAAAGATAAATAAAAAATAAATAAATAAATATTTACCTCTCAGGGTTCTTAATTTCCTCTGTGACGAAGTTGAGCGTATCCCAGCCTGAGTAGGAGAACAGAGCGGAGTAGAGAGCCAGAGCTATGGCTCCAGGCTCTGTCGATGACCCTTCGAATGGACTCTCAAAACTATTTATGTCTCCTACACAAAAAGAAGACAAATATTAGAGCAAAGGACGTTTCCTTCCACCGATGCTTTGTTTTTACTCACCTGCTGCCATTTTCAGGATTCCAACAATGATGATGAGGAATAGAGCCATGAGTTTTGCGTACGTGAAGATGTCCTGGACCAGAGTCCCCCACTTCACATAAGCACAGTTTATGAAGATCAATATACCTGGAAAATAAAACACAAAACCCTCATCGATAAGATGTTAAACTTCCTATAAAATATACTCACAATACGGCCATTACAGGTATGTTTGCATTTTCTATCCCGTTGGTGCATTAATTAGAATAAACTCAGTCAGGATTATTTTACTAAGTGTTTCTATGCATCCTTAGGAAAAAAAAAAAACGACATATTTATCTGTCCACTCAGGTACACTTTATGCATTATATACTGTGAAAAAAAAAGAATATACAGCAAAAAGTAGTTTGCATAGATATAGTCAGGGGCGGATTTAGGAAATGTGGGGCCCTAGGCAAAGACAGGCAGGGGCCCATCTGAATGGAGAAGACATAAACAGCCCCATTCTCCAGATATAGAAATGTTAATAGAATAGACATCCATTATCTGTTCTAGGTTGTGTCCCTCTCTTCTTGTCCCTTTTCTTCTTGTTTTCCTCTCTATGTTTTGTACTCAGCTGACTTTTCATGCTGTCTCTAAAGGAATGAAAGATTTTTTCCAAGCACTAAGCTCACTTAGCTGATTGCTCCTTCCTGTGTTTCCAAAAAGGCCAAAGTAAATAACCCAGTCCTTCTTTTCACTGTAGACAAGCCATGATCTGCTTATCTGTTCTCCATTTTTCATTTGGATGAAATAATAGCTGCATGAATCATGACAGCAGACAAGATAGAGGAGAGCAGGAGGCGGGGTTACCAATCTACTCGCTCTGGAGAGCAGAGTTCGCTGCTTTTAGATGTTGTCTCCAAAGTCTCCAGTAGCAGAAAAAAGTCTCTAGATTTGGCGCTAGGAGCTTTTTAGAAATCAAAGTGCTAGAGGGGTCTGAAAAGTGGCTAAATATAGCGACTAAAGCGCTAAGTTGGCAACACTGCTCTTTGCATGGTTTGTTTTCAAATGGTTTGCTGCTGTCTGTTTGGACCTTTCTGAACATGTGCAGCAAATGGACTGATCCAATATGGTGGACACTGATGGGGGGGGGCTGAGACACACTTAATATTATCAGCGTTCTGATGGCATTTTAGCCAAAGGATTTTTATCAAAAAAATAATTAATAAGCACAAATAAGGAATAGTTAGAACAAAACCTCATAAAAAATTGAAAATTAATAGCTGAATCTTTTTTCTTTTTTATTCAAATTCTAATTATTAAATTTAAACAGTTGAAATAATTTTTAAAATCTGAAAAAACTGCAAACAAATTCAAATACATTAGAATTAGCCTAAAAATGAAATAAGCCTGTATAAAATCTAATAATTTTATTCAGAATTCAATTATCAATTTTAAGTATTTATTTTATAAAATAGACAGTTTATCATAAAACCAGCATTGCTTCTATTGCCTAATTTAAAGTAAGCTAGGCTTCATGCTGGCAATGAAGGAGTTAAACTATTCTAACAGGTGGAAGCTCCACTGATTGGTCAGCAGGTATTCTGCAGGTCACACCTTACAGTCAGATGTCAACATTAAATCTATTTATGACCATTGGCCAGACATTTACATCACATTTAAACAGAGATGGGAAGTAACCAAGTACAAATACTTCGTTACTGTACTCAAGTAGATTTTTCTGATATTTTTACTTTACTTTACTACTTATTTTTATGGCAACTTTTTACTTCTACTCCTTACATTTTTACACAAATATCTGTACTTTCTACTCCTTACATTTTAAAAAATTGGCTCGTTACTTTAGTTTTGAATCATTTCAATGGAGTTACCGTTATTATTTTTCACGTCATCAATACCAAATTCAATCTAATTGGATGGGAATCTACGTTGCATTTGACGCACCGCTACAAGATGAATCGACAGATTCGGCGGTATTCATTGGCGGCAAATCATTGCAGCTTGGTGGCGGCGGCGTTAGCATAGTAGCATGGACGACGAGATGATTGAAAATGAACACAACGGAGATCTAGTCCTATTGGCAGACATCCATTTAAAATGGAGGCAACGGCATGAAAAAAGTGGTTTCTACTTTTACTTTTATACTTTAAGTAAATTTACAAGCCTGTACTTTGTTACTTTTACTTGAGTAAAGAGGTTTAATCAGTACTTCCACTTTTACCAGAGTATTTTTTAACACAAGTATCTATACTTTTACTCAAGTACGGAAAGTGAGTACTTTGGCCATCTCTGCCTTTAAAGATAATAATCTGAACACGTTTCTTTAATTGCTTCATTAAAATGCATTTATCAAACCTTGGATTCTCTCTTCCAGGTTTAATTTGTTGTGCCCAGAAAGACCCCCCCTGAGGGCGCCGCGCCCTAAACTCACGCCCGCTGATGAGAAAACATATTGAAATATGAAAGAAAAGGGACATTTTAAACATGTTTTTATATTTCTTATGCATGGATGCCTTAAAATTGATCGTTTTGATGGACAGATAAATGTGAATTAATAGGTTTTACATGTGTAGAGGCACGTTTCAGTGGATGAATGAATTCTCTGCTCAGTAGATGCTGATTCCCCATTTTGCTATCAGCTCCATTCTAGATCATTTCAGACACTTTATCTGTTAAGCTTAGAACCTGGAACCTGCGGAAGATTCCCTCATTGTCACATTTATGGTCCCAGACTTATGAAACTCATCCCACAGTCACTGAACAGGTATGATTATGCGGAGAAACTTGCATAATTGTAACTTAAACCGGGCATAAACTGTGCGATATTTTTTCAATCGTTGCGTGAAGCTACAGCTCACATCGTACGACGAAACCGCAGGATTTCTTCGTACAGTGTGAGTTCCCAGCTCCTGATGTTTGTTCTCACGCTGCGACCCGACGCTCTGATGCGATCTACCTGCTCCCACTGTACGTCTAAAAACCAGGTGGGACTCAGCTCCGCAGTGAGATGGCGCTACTGGGACTCGTCTATCTGGAAGCCAAACCAGTAGCAGAGGAACATGAGGCTCACTAGAGTGAAACGCGCTGCCTTGGATATTTGGGCAATTTGTGCTGAAAGCCCTAAAAAGAAAAGGAGACGACGTATTTGGACAAAGACATGGCTGAGCTAACATGGCTACTACGGTCTGACAGTTTGACAGAAAGAACTCCATTTCACTCATTGCCCCCCCGCCATGCTGCTGGGTTTACAGCTGAGAAGAAGAAGAAGAATCCATGTTTGCCCGCTGAGCGATTTATCTACGACCACCTTACGACGGCCGACTGAAAATCAAACATGTTTGATTTTCTCCCGACCTACGATTCCTGATGGGGGGGTGGTCGTTAGAGGCTGATCGCCCCTCGTTAGCCCCTGTTCACTACACCACGCACCATCAGGCTGGAAGTCGGACCGAAGAGGGCAAAAAATGGTACAGTGTTGGTCTGGCTTAATCAGGGAGGAAGATCTCAGCAACTTAGAAGCTGCTGAAGATTCCCTCCTTATTTTCACAGTCCTTCAAATCGGGCTTTCTTTGCAAACACACATTAGAGATGTCCTCATAAAAGAACTGAGTTAATTTTGTTCTTTTCTTGATTTTGAACCTTATCCAGTTGAACTGGAAAGAGATTATATATATTTACATTGTTACACTGCAAAAATGATCTAAAATAAGTAAACATTTCTTAACTAATTTACCCTTAATTATAGTAGGTTAATGGAATGATAATTTTTACTCTTAAATAAGATAATTACATAATATGCACTTGTAATGAGACAATGCAAGTGCTTTTTCTTATTTTAAATGTAAATTGTCTTGCTCCATTGGCAAAGAGTCTCACTTACCTCCTCAATTCAAGAAAAAATGCACTTATTTTAAGAAAAAATTACTTATTTAAAGTTCAATTTTTTGCAGTGTAAACACATGAATAAACATTTTATTTTACTTTACTTTTACTTTGAAAGGCTTCAAATAACCCTCCGGTTCTGACAGTGCAGCTCTGCTGCTAGACTGTCTGTCTGCAGAGGATCCCAGCGAGCGTGAGGCTTGGTAGACCAGTTCATGACTCATGATGATGTTGCTCTGAACAAAACAGCCCTTCTGCTTCCTGGGATCTTCAAAACACAAACTCATATTCTTAAACATTGTTGCATCCTTTATGGCCGTCGCTCCAAGATGAACTACAGCGCAGTTCCTCAGTCTGGGACCGAGATTAAAGGACATCAATGAAGACATCAAATCAACTCTGAAACCAGAGGGAGCCTGAAGGTCTGGAGACGTGATGAATGTAGACTTAAAAGATGTGAAATCAAATCATGGAATTACAAATATTTATTAGTTTTCTTTTATTGCAACATTTTCATGTTGATGTTTTAAATCAACTCATATAGAGTTTCTGATTTTGATAATGACAGCAAGAAATGGAGAACAACATAAAAGTCTCCAAGCTGGTTTTAAATGCTGAGGCCACAATAAAAACCTTTATTTAATTTCATTAAGAAGAGTTTAGATAAATAATTTAAAGAAATGTTCTGTTAGTTTGTGATCTTATTTCTACAACAGCCTATTAGGACCAATTAACGATGGAAAAAGAATTGGAATAAAAATTTTAGAACTTAAAGTAGCTGATTTACCAGAATAAATGTGCAGATTTACAATGTTATAAACATGGAAAGTTTAGAAGGAAACGAGAATGTTTGAGAATAAATAAGCTAATTTACACCATAACAGGCACCTCTAATAATACCCGCCTTAGACCCTCAGGGACAATTGGTTCCATAAATGACAGAGATGTAAATAAAGCTGCTGGACCAGACTCTGTTTCTCCTAGAAGCTTTGTGCTGATCATCTGTCTCCGCCGTTTTGTAACATTTTTAACTCCTCACATGTCGCGTACCAACCTGCCTCAGATCCTCCAAGGTCCACAGGACTCCATGACTTTAGACCCGTCGCCCCCACATCTGTGGTTATGGAGTCCTTTCACACCTGAATGAGGTCACGACCCCCCCCTGGACCCCCTACAGTTTGCCTACAGGCCAACAGGTCTGCAGCCGTCAGCTCGGTCCTTCTCTCCATCCTCCAGCACCTGGATTCTGCAGGTTCCTGCTCCAGGATCCTGTTTGTGGACTTCAGCTCTGCCTCCAATCATCCCAGCTCAGTGTGTCTGACTCCACCTGCAGGTGGATCACAGACTTCCTGTCTGACAGGAAGCAGCAGGTGAAGCAGGGAACACCTGTCTCTGACCCCCAGCTCATCGGCACTGGTTCCCCCCGGCTGTTCTTTGCTACTCGCCCTGCTGTCGGGCTTACAACAGAATCTTCTTCTTCTGGAATATCTCCAGGAAGAACAGAGCAATATCGACCACATAGTTCAGCACCTGAATTTGACTGAACCACCAAAATGGACCCGCAGGGCAACCAGGTATAAATATTAGTGCGCATGCCCAACATTTCGTCGCCTATTTTTGCTTTGGCACCACAGCGCCACTTACAGGCCTTTCATACATTTTGCAGCGTTTTCATGCATTCGTGTGGACGATCACATTTATTTTACGTCTCCGTCTTTACGACAGACGTTCTGGAAAATATTAGCGTTTCGTGTTCGTTTTGACTTCGTGTGGACGGGGCCTAAAGCACAGCCTACTGGCTATATAGTATACAGATATACACTATAGGTAGTATAGATAGTATAGATTCTGTATTCTGTATATCTATTTTGTCTGCACCATCAACACCAAGTCTAGTTCCCTGTAAGTGCAAAACTACTTGGCAATAAACTTGATTCTGATTCTGAAAATGAAACATTTTAATGGAAAAGATTTACGATACTAAAAGGCAAATTTACGAGATTCTAAGCATGCAAATTTATTGCATCATTAAGTTTTTAATTTGAAAACTTCCATGAGTTCATTGTTCCATCTCATTCCATCGCTGCGCCCCCCCCCCCAATTAATGATGCGTTTGCTTTATGTAGCATACTTTACCGCTGAGGTCTTCAACAGGGGGTCCGCGACCCCTAGGGGTCCACAGGGGTACTGCATGGGGGTCACCAAAGTTTTGGTTCTTTAGACTTTTATTTAATATTCCCCCCTACAGTTTTTCCCACATGAACATGAATCCAACAGATTGTAGTTAACAGATAAATGGAGGCAGAAGATGTCTTTCAGTCATCAATGCTCACATTCAGAGACACACAGGAGCTCTTTCAAGCTGGACACCGTTTCATTCACAACAACCAGGAACCAGAAATACTTTAATAATCCCAGGGAGGGATTACTTTAGTTACATTACTGCATCTGTAATAGAGTGACTATAGGAGGGGGGTCCCCGCTCCATCTAACCATCAGTTTGGGGTCCTTAGCCTGGAAAACCTTGAAGGCTCCTGTTTTAACATGTATTATAATCTGACATTGTTCCGAAAAAGTGAATTTATAAATCTTGCAAATGTCTTACTTTTTACTCAGATTGCATGTTTTTTTTTTCTTATTAATTTGCTACTTTTTCTATAATATATTTATGTTTAAAAAAAAAAAATGTCTGTTTTTACTTGTAAATTTGCGAGATTATTCCCGTAGAAATGCAGCTTTTTATTTTTTATCTTTGAATGGCCGTAATGTACACCTCTTTAGTTTTTATCTTTTCGTGTTTAATTTGCATCCTGGATGAACCATTTCTGCGTTAAACTCAGCCTCTGCCTCCAGTCTAAGTCCTGGAGAAGCAAACACGTATTTCACAATAAACTAAAGTCAAACACTAAATGGTCTCATCTTCTAAACACACATTCAGTTAAAGTCGCAGCTGAGTTTCCTCTGTTTAATGGCGCCTTTGCTCAAGCAGCCTAATAAAAAACACAGTTTAGAGTTTTGTATCTAAATTCACGCATATATTCAGACTAGGGATGCACGATATTGGGATTTTGGCCGATATCCGATATGCCGATATTTTAAAACTCATGTAGCCGATAACCGATATCGATACCGATGTTAAAGCTGGACAAAAATAAGTAGTCATTGAAAATAGCAGTTTTGTTATCCATTTCTGACACTTTGAAAAATAATATACTCAAATATATTTTTATATGCTGATATCAAATAGATTTTTAAAAACGCGGTATCGATCTATTTTACTTTCAAAATCTGGTGAAATTTCATCGTTCTGTTACAAACTCTGGTGATATTTTGCAAATTCTTGTGAGATTTTGTTAGTAAAATAGATCGATACCGCGTCAATATATCAACATATAAAAATATGGCAACATTTGGTGAATTTTCGGGGATTTCGTAGCATAATGATGACATATAGCAATATTTCATTAGTGAAAGAGATTGATATGGTGTTTTTAAATGGCAATATATCAGCATATGAAGATATTGGGATATTTTAATGGATCAATATTTTTTCCCTCGTCTTTAGAAGTTTTTAAGTCTGTAAAAAAGAAGTTTTTGAGGAAGAAGAAGAAGTAGTATTTTTTTTTTTTTTTAGACTTTAGAAACTCAGAAGCTGATCGAATATCGGGTTAAATATCGGTGGGGGGGCCGATGTCCGATATTCAGTTTTAAGGCCGATACCGATAGGGGGGTGATTATATCGTGCATCCCTAATTCAGACAGAACAGTTTCTTACAGAGGCAGGCTGCTGCGAGGAGTCGTACGGCGTCGTACGGTGGCTGGCAGGTAGGATAGAGAGCCTCGACCAGATAGAAAGCAAATGTCAGTGAGATGGCAGCCTGGCTGGCGGGCTCAATCAGCAGAATAGACGTCCACAAACGGATAAAAGCCAGGAAGCCCCCAAAAGCCTCCAGGATGTAGGCATAGCTGGCTCCAGATTTAGGGATGGTGGTACCCAGCTCTGCGTAGCAAAGAGCTCCAAACACAGAGAACAAGCCTCCGAGGGCCCAGATGAGCAAGGAGAGTCCGAAGGAGCCGCTGTACATCAGAACGCCCTTTGGAGAGACGAAGATCCCCGAGCCGATCATGTTGCCCACGATGAGGCAAATCCCATTGATGAGGGAAATCTCCCTCTTCATCTGCATCTTCTCCCTCTGCCCGGCATGTGGAGCTTTAAGGTCCCCCTCAGAACCAGCTGAAGAACTGGGGCATATGGTCTGTGACATGACCCCCATAGTTTGCCTTAATTCTCCCATCAGAGCTGCAGTCCTGATGTGGAGGGAAAGGAGCGACGGTTAGAGCAACTGGACTTTTCAAACAACAAACCAAAATCACGTTACTAGGATCATATCAGCAGCTTAAAGCGAAGTCAGAGAAAAGGTCAAACAGAGTAAACATGAAATAATAACTAAACGTTGGACTCCAAAGTTAGGACAGGTCAGCCTACCTTGTTTACGAGATGCAGACGTGTCTCCTGGGTCAGAGCAACCTGTCTGAGTCGCCACTTCGGCAGCAGGGAGATCACATCTCACAGGCAATGTTGCAATGTCTGCAAGCCGTTCTAAACACAAGCCCTGTTTTCAAGCACTGGCAAAACACCCCCCCCCCCATGCTATTTTCAGAGACATGCCCCCCCCCTTTCTGCCTTCACAGAGCCTTTCAGAGAACAGCAGGACCAGCCAAGCTGCATCGGAGCACAAACAATGATCCTCATATTTACCTTCTACTGGTTTCAGAGGTTGACCCTTAATAAGACAGGCCACTGTAATAAACCTGAATAAAAACAAAGATGGTGGAGAAGATTCTCAGTCATCCAGGTCACAGTCATTCCAAAAAGTTTAAAAATAATCCACTGGACTTTGTTTCCAAGTCTGAAGACGTTTCGCTTCCAGGAAGCTTTTTGAATTCAGAGTAAGGAATGCTCTGATCTTTATACTGGAGAAACCAAACAACCTCTCCACAGACGCATGGACCAACACAGGAGAGCGCCCTCCTCTGGACAAGACTCTGCACTACATCTACACCTGATGGACAAAGGACATTCTTTGGAGGACCAGAATGTTCACATTTAGGACAAAGAAGACAGGTGGTTTGAGAGGAAGGAAGCATCTATGTTAGAAAGAATGTAGGGGGGGTCGTTAACTATTCCCTCTAACGCCCCCCCTTTCAGAGACATAGACAGGTATGGGGCATTGCAGGCTAACAAAGAAGCCAACCGACCCCCATTCCAATCGGGGGGACCCGTTCATCCGTTTCTATCTGCATGTTTTCTAAACTAAAACCAGGCTTTGTTGGGCTGCTGGATAAAACCTGGAACTAAACGCTATTTCTGACATTTTGAATTGAAAAATCTTCCTGGATGGAAGAGAAACGTCTTCAAACTTGGAAACAAAGTCCAGAGGACTGATTTTTTTTTTTTTGGAAAGATTGTATAGAAATAACAGGCTTCCTACAGGAATGAGTGACTAATGCTTTTTAATACTTTATTGCTCTTAGAAATAATTTTAATGCCATCAACAAGTTCCCAGGACACAGTCAGTGTCTCATCGTCTTTCCCGTCCTCAGGCTTCACGGTTTTTCTGCCACTTTTGTTCAAATTGGTTTTTCTTGGTCATTCTCTAACTTTTTTCTCCGTCTTAAGCTTCTTTTCCAAACATACGGCTTTACGATCAGCTGGAAGCAGTTCCGCTCAAACACGCAGAACCAGTTATATCTGATATATCTGATCAAATAGTTTTTATAAATGTATTATTTTTTTTAAAGTAAAGCATTTTAAATGCCACCACAATAACATTTATGAATTTTAATGCCAATTATGGTCATATATAGGGATGCACGATATAATCGGCCCACTATTGGCCTTCAAACTGAATATTGGACATCGGCCACCCCACCGATATTTAACCCGATATTTGATTCTAAAGTCTTAAAAAAAAAAAAAATACTACTTCTTCTTCTTCCTCAAAAACTTCTTTTTTACAGACTTAAAAACTTCTAAAGACGAGGGAAAAAATATTGATCCATTAAAATATCCCAATATCTTCATATGCTGATATATTGCCATTTAAAAACACCATATCAATCTCTTTTACTAATGAAATATTGCTATATGTCATCGTTATGCTACGAAATCCCCGAAAATTCACCAAATGTTGCCATATTTTTATATGTTGATATATTGACGCGGTATCGATCTATTTTACTAACAAAATCTCACAAGAATTTGCAAAATATCACCAGAGTTTGTAACAGAACGATGAAATTTCACCAGATTTTGAAAGTAAAATAGATCAATACCGCGTTTTTAAAAATCTATTTGATATCAGCATATGAAAATATATTTGAGTATATTATTTTTCAGAGAGTCAGAAATGGATAACAAAACTGCTATTTTCAATGACTACTTATTTTTGTCCAGCTTTAACATCGGTATCGATATCGGTTATCGGCTACATGAGTTTTTTTTTTTTTTTTTTTTTTTTTTTTTTTTTTTTTTTTACAGTGTCCTGTCTGGCAAGGTGGCAATAAGAATAATTGTCTTGATGCCAAAAGGAGCCCAACAGATTTTACTTTCACAAGTGTAGCGGTATCGCAATTGCCATACCGCTCCACTTGTTTCATGTATATAAATTGCTTTATTATAATTATGCAGGGAGTTTTACAGTTCATATGGACACTGCAATGTAAGTAGAGCAGAAAAACAGAAGAAGAAGAAGGAAAAAGAAAAAGAAAAAAACAGGACAAAAGATGAAAGAAAGAGGAGATAGGAAGGAGACAATGACAAAACATTTTCAGTCTGCTTCAACACCTGTAATGAGATGGAGAAAAAAAAAAAAAAAAAGAAAAAAGAACAGCACAACCAAAAAACATGGTACGAGATATACAATAAAGCAAACACCTTGAAACTATCGCTAAAGTAATATTATTAAGTCTGACATGTACTCTGTGTTACCTGAAGATATGAATGTGGGGTTTCTGTTTGGAAGTGAATCTCTGAGTACCTGAAGCCTAGCACCTGTAGTTGTTTGTGAGGGTGAACTTGTGCATGTAAAGTTTTAACCATAGAAAAAAATGCTCAATAGTGGTTGTGGAGAGCCGGAGAGGCACACCCCCCAGAGCACTGAGTCCAGCGCCGGGAGACCCAAAGCCCCAGGCGCCCAAGGGGACCCCAGAAGCGAAGGCACCAAGGCGGGGCCAGCCCCGGAAATCAGACCCCACCAAGGCAGGAGGAGAGACAGCCACGAGGAAGCCCCCCAGCCACCGCCATGCCGGCGCCCCGGGGAGCCGCGGGGACGAGTCCGCGGGCCCCGCCGGCAGCCGGCCACCCCGAAGTAGGGCCGGGCGCCGAACACCAGCCCCCCCACGGCGCCGACCGAAACGCCCCAGCCCCACAGAGCACCGAAACACGCCCCGCCCCCCCGCACCAAGCCCCGGCGACCGGCCGCAACACCCACCGCGACCGCACCACCCAGGAAAACACTAAGACGGCCCCGCCCCCGGCCGGGGCCCATGCGCATCCGCCGCGAACCGGCCACGAGCGCCGCGGGACCCCCCCCAAAACGCCCCCCCGGCCAAAAGCGCAGCCCCACCCCACCAAGACCGATGCCAACAGCGCGCAACGAAACACACCGCGCACAGAATCAGCCCGAGAGCAGAAAAGCCGCCCGGCGCAAAACCGCAAGAGGAGCAGACCGCAGCCGGCGCAACCACCCCCCCCCAGCAGCCCGAGGGGCAGCACAAAGCCAGAGCGGAGCGAACCGCGCCGCCCCCCCACCGGACGATGCCAAAGCAGCCCAGCCACGTCCGCCACCCCCCCCCGCAGCCCGCACCAGGCCCCGACACGCGGCCAGAGCAGCTCCGCCGCCCCGGCCCCCCACCACGCGCCTGGTCATAGCCACCCCAGGCCCACACCCGCCCCGCAGCCCCACCCGCCGCGATCAGTGGGAACAGAGCAGCCCCGCCATGCCTCCAGGAGGGAAAACCCACCCGAATACCCAGCCAGCGCAGCCAGCCCGCCCAGACCGGCCCCCCAACACTACCCCCGCCGGAGCCGCCCGGACCCCCACACACCAGCGGCGCGCCGCCAGCAGGACCCCCACCCAGCAGGCCCGCCTGCCCCCCGAGAAAACAGACATGCCAAACCCCCCAAAGAAAAAAAGAGAAAAAAAAAAAAAAAAAAAAAAAAAGGGGCCCCCACAATGCGACAGCGGACACCAGACACCGACCCGCCCGCAACCGCTCCCCCCCACCGAGGAAGAGAAAAAAAAAAAAAATAAAAAAATAACAAATAAATAGGTAAATAAATAAATTAATTAATAATTACAATTAAAATAAATAGGCAAGAGGAGAAGTGCGAGCGGAAAAACCGGAGCCCAAAACAGGACCCAAGACCCGCACCCCACCATGCCGCGCAGCTCCCCCCCTCCCCGAACCGATACCACAGAACCGGCATAGGAAAGAAACACCGCCCACACTGCAAAAAATAGAAACCTCAATAAGTTATTTTTTCTTAAAATAAGTGAATTTTTCCTTGAATTGGGGACGTAAGTAAGACACTTTGCCAATGGAACAAGACAATTTCCTTTTAAAATAAGAAAAAACAATTTTATCGTCTTATTTCAAGTAAATATTATCTAACTATCTTATTTTAAGAGTAAAAATACTCATTCCATTGGCAGATCATCTTATTTACCTGCTCAAATTAAGGGTAAATATACTTAATTTAAGAATTTTTTTACTTATTTCTGGATTGTTTTTGCAGTGCAGGAACCGGCATCGTAGCGAAGGCACCGGCACCGACCCCGAAAATCCCCGAACAACACCCAGCCCCACCCCGAAGCGGATCCAGTCCCAGGCCCCAGGGATCCGAGGCCCCAAGGGCACCCCACCCCCAGACAGGAGCCCCAGCAAAGCCCCGGCCGGCCGGGGCCAGTGGAGAGGCCGCCAGGAATGAGCCAGCAGTCCCCCGGGCATCCACCCCCAGCTCCACCAGTGCACCGGTGAGCCCCGACGCCAGCCAGCGGAGGGAGAGCAGGACGGGGGGAATGGGCTCCGCACTTAGCGGAGACTTGAGATGTATTTGGGAGAGGGTGCGGTTGAGACCCCAACCTGGGAAAGAAAAAAAAAAAAAAAAAAAAAAAAAAAAAAAAAAAAAAACACACCATCTCAATCATGCCTTCCCTCCCTAGTGCCCCCACTCGTACCACAGGAAAAAAAAAAAAAAAAAAAATTGAATAAAATAATAATAATAAATAAAGAAAATAACAACGCAGACACACATTCACACATAACACTCACATCCAATAATACCAGGACCAAAAACCCGGTGACACCGGTGGTCGGTCCCGGGACTATCGAATGACCCCATAAGTGAACCTAAAATCCGGATGTGAGGGGAGGGGAGCGGCGACACCGCCACACCAACCCATCTCTTTCCTGCTTCAAGCCCGGCCCCCCACCCCGCACACGGACCGGACCACCCCCCGCAAGAGCCCCCCCCGGGACCGGGGCCCACCCATCCCGCGCCGGCCACCCAACCAGAACCGCCCCCCCCCCGAAAAGAACAAAAAAAAAAAAAAAAACCTTC